GTTATCCGTTAGGACAGTGAACGGCACCCCCAACAGATGGTCCCGAAATTTGTCAACCACCGCCCACTTCAGGGCTAATAACTCCAACTTGAAGGAGCTATAATCCGGATATTTGTCCTCCGCTCCCCGCAATCCCCTGCTAGCATAGGCTATTGGGTGCTTCTCCCCGTCCTCCCCTACTTGTGCCAGGCATGCCCCTAACCCTTTGAGTGATGCATCCACCTCCAGGATGAATGGAGATGAAAAGTCCGGGTAAGCCAGAACTGGTGCTCGCGTCAAGGCTTGTTTCAGAGTATCAAACGATGCCTGGGCCTCCGCGTTCCACAAATATGCTGCAGCCTTCCGGATTGCTCTTCCTTTACCTACAGTGCTTACAATAGGCGGCAACATGGCATGTAGTGGCGCTGCTATTTTCGCGAACTGTGGTACAAAGCGGCGATAGTAGCCAGCGAGACCCAAAAATGAACGCAAATGCTCTGCTGTTTTTGGAACAGGCCACTCTTTTATCCGTTGGATTTTCTCATCATCTACAGACGCACCCTCGGCGCTTACAATGTGGCCCAGGTATCGTACCTGATGTTGAAACAACTGACACTTTCGGCCTTTGATCTTTAGTCCAAATTTAGATATGCGCGTGAGCACCTCATCTAGTCTAGACAGATGATCCTTCAGGTTAGGGGAGAACACCAGTATGTCATCCAAATACACTAACAGCTGAGTCAGGTTCAAATCCCCCACGCACATTTCCATCACCCTTTGGAAAGTACTTGGCGCATTGGCCAAGCCGAAAGGCATCCGTGTAAATTCAAATAGCCCAAATGGGACCCTGAATGCTGTCTTACATACCGAGCTCGGATCCATCAACACCTGATGGTATCCATGCGCTAAATCAAGGAAAGAGAAGTAGCAAGCCCCTCGCAAAGCTTCCAGCGACTCCTCTATCCGCGGTAACGGGATGGAGTCTCGCACAGTGCGCGCATTCAATTTCCTATAATCCACGCACAGACGGAAGGATCCGTCCTTCTTACGCACCAACACTATGAGACTAGCGTAAGGGCTGCTACTTTTGCGGACAATCCCCATGTCTAGCAACTTTTGTCTCATGTCACGCACCTCTCCAAGACAGTGGGGAGGGATCCTCCTATAAGGCTGGCTTATAGGCACTTCGTCCGTAGTATGGATCTCATGCAGCACCTTATCACATGAACCTACATCAAACTGGTGCTTGGAGAATACTGAGTCATGTTTCTGTATCAATCGAACAACACTGTCTCTATCTTCTCTGCTCAAGAGACTAGAACTCAAATCCAACCCGGATGGCAATGTATATTGCGAACCATCACCAAAAACATAAGTTTCACGTTCAGGGGTTTTAACCCCTTCCCCATCCTGTGCTCCGACGGGGATTTTACAACCCGTTTCGCCAGCGCAATTCGACAATACCTGATTCACTGAAACATGTAACCCATCAGATTTCTCCTCTAGCCCCAGATCTACTGTGGGTGCAACCGTGGTTACGGTTGCCAACTTTGTGTGAGGAGGTATTGTTACTGCTCTCATCCCAGCATTTGCAACAATGACGTGTACCACTTTCCCCCCTGTAACCTCACAGGTGTCATACACTCTGCATGACTCCCCTAACCCTGCACTTCTGTCTTGACCGCCATTTAAACCCTCAACGACTACGGTCTTGCCTTCAAATCTATCTGGTGGCGCGCGAATGTAGAAAACAAGGCTTCGAACCTCATTTGGCAGGACGGTTGTTGGACATCTGCCCGTGCGGGCAGGGGCTTGTCCAACATTGCCTAATTCCCTTGCCGGTTTCTCCACATGGGCCATGCGATACCAACGCAATGTCATGTCCCACGCGTCTGCATCGTCACTTGCAGGTTGTATAACCAAATCCTTCAACAAATGCAAATTGTTGCAACCCAGCAACACAGGACAGCGACCCCAATTCCATGCCCCACCCCCAAAGGAATCATCAACAACAAGAAAATGGGCATTAACCTTAAGGTTATGGACGCACAGTGGAACCTGTATGTACCCCTCAATTGGTATTGACTCGCCGCCTGCACCCGATACGTGAATATCATACCCAAGGGAATCAATTCCATTGATTTTGCCCTCAATGTTTCTCTTATAAAATGAAGAGCTAATCAGGGAAGCCTCCGCCCCAGTGTCTAACAAACACGTTGTAGAGACACCTGCAAGGATAATACAAGCCTTCGGGCTTTCTCTCAATAACCTGGCTAAAAGATTGTCTGCCGAGGCCTCCGGTGACTGCTCTTTCCCTACTGGTTCCTTTTTGGGTGAGGCCTTTGTTTGTTCCCTCTCCACAACTTGGCCCTTAGTTGTGGAGAGTGTTAGTTTACCGCTGCCTCATGAGTAAGTTGCGATTGCCCACTGTTTTGTTGTGCTTTATTCCCTTGAGATTCGATTGCTTGTTCGCGCGCGATCCGTAGTCGACAGTCAGCACGAATGTGCCCTGGCCGGCGACAGTAAAAACACAAGAACTGGGACCGATCTTTTGGTGCAGGCCCGAATTGAGCAGCGCCGTCACGCCCACTTGATGATTTATCCCTGTCTAGTACGCGCTGAAGCAACGTAGTGATTTGCTGCTGTTGTTATCCGACCTGTTCTTGTTGTTGTTGCATGCACTTAAGTAACTCCTGTTGCTGCTGAAGCACATTCTGTAGTGCCGTGCCACCAACAGCGTTAACTTCTGCACTTGCAGTGTTAACACTACCGCTTGTTTGATCACAATGGCCTATGCCTTGACAGTTTTCCAGTGTACTACCGACATGTTCGGCTAGGACCGGGTTTACATGACTGCGCCTTGATTTCTGTACTTTTTCTAGATCGCGAAAAAGTTCTCTAGCAGCATCGCGCAATTCACTGAATTTTTGACTCGGTTTTTCCAGCTCTAAGCGCCGCAGTTCCAGACGCACTGTCTGGTTCCGCGCCCCCGATACAAATTGCCCAATGAGTACTCGATCTCTCAAAGCCAGTAGCGACCCCTTTTCCTCTTCCGATGCAACCTCTAGAACTTTATTGTGTAACCGAATAAGGGCCCTGGAGAAGTCCATAAGAGACTCCTCCTCCAGCTGGTAAAGTTCGAATAGAGCCTTTTGAAGCCCTTGAACGGTTTGTATTTCCCCAAAGTTGTGCCGCAGTACTTTCTTGATTGCCTTTATGTCATTACGGACACTCTCTGGGTGACACTTAACTTCCTGCCGGGCCGTACCCGACAAATGGCTGACCACAACTTTCGCCTGTTCTTCAACGGGGATTTTGCATTGCTGCAAATACGCATCAACTTCATCTAACCAATCGTCTATTGCCAGATCCCCCACCTTAACAGGTTTCCCACTAAATTTTGAAAGTTTGATAGGACGTTGTGCAATACTTTTTGGTTTGGCCCCCTGCAGAGCGTCCGTAAGCCCAGACACCAACCTTGCGACCAAGTCTGCCTCAGCCGTAGCCATGTTAATTTTGTTATTCCCAGCAGAACACCAAGGGCACTATATAACTTAACAACCCCTCTCCTTTCACTACCGTCCTAGGCCTACACTATTATAACTCAATAAAGTATCAAAATGTATCCAAGAAATCGATTGCTTAAGTATACACACCAGACAAGGCTACCTGTGTCAATCGTACACTTGTAAGTTCAGAACTGAAAGTTGACGAACGTCACTGTCCTTGCACAGTTCAAGGCCGTTGTTCCTCCACGGAGTCCTCTGCTTGCTCCCGAACCGTCCGTCCGATGCTACTCCTCCGAGGCTCCGGGTATCGGTAGTACAGCCAGCCGTTCCCTGCTACTCCAGCCGCATGCCAAGCTTGCAGCTACACACGCCGTTCGTCCGTTGTTTCACTACGGCGTTCTCGAGGCCTCCAGCCGTCCCCTTCATGCACACTCCACTTGGTCCCGAACCGTCCGTGCGTTAACTTGGCTGTATCCCCCGGCATCAGGTCCACGTCAAGCTAGTCCCGCCTGCACTGCACTGGTCGTGGTGGTCGAGTCAAGGCCCTTGCTGCGCTTGAAACCATCCGAGTGTCTGACTTCATGTACACCCCATCCGTGTTTCCATTTGTAGCGGTATTTTGATTGATATTTCGCCCTGCCCAAAAGCATATAGTCTCCGGTAAAGGAAGAAACTGGGCAAGGGGTTCTCCAGTCAGCTCAAATCTTTCTTAACTTGGAAGGAACTGCTCCTCATTTTATTCCATCGACCACCGACAACAACACAACTCACACACACAAATCTTCTCCCTTTCATTTTCCATACCCGTACCCCCCCCCCCCCACCAATGTATACATTTGTAACAACTTGTCCGCGCGTCTCGCTCTTTGACCCATGACCCCTGCCAGTGGGCCCCAGGTGCACGGCCTATTATTAGCGCATGGGAATTTACAAAAGTTTAACACAACAAGCACCCTAAATAATCATTTCCCCACATTATGGAAGTTCCAAAATGGCTACCATCATACTTTAAATCTGCGTGCTTTTATCTTTCCCCAGATTTCATCAGGTACCCTTGCCAAACCTCAAGATTGATGAACTTTGAATTCGCAAATTTACTTACTGGCACATTTACCATGATAACACTAAGTGCGAAATCATTGGAACAATAACATCATGATATTAAATGTGACACAACTGAAGAGTGGTGGAAGATTATTACAAGGCAGGGTCTCAAAATGTATATCTTTGGTGATCAAGTCAGCCTGATTTGAATAATAATAACAACATTCGATTGTCTTTTTTTTTTCAGGGGAAAAACTAATATATCGCAATATTACAAAACCCAAACATTAGGCCTGTGTTTAATGACTAAGAAGGTGTCAAACAAAAACTGCAATAAAAGAAACAGATTCCTCCAAATTTGCATGAAGCATCCGTTGGTTGTTTGAATTGTAATGTAACAAATAATCACCCGCACGGAAGAAAAAAAAATAACATTAAATCAAAGTTATAAAATTATGAAATGTGCAAAGCATAGCAAACAGCAAAACAGTCGTCTATGATTGTTTTTCTTAGGACATTTGGGGTATTACTGCGGTATTACGGAATCCGCAACCAAACACAGCGATTGTCTCATGTGTCCCCATGTCAGAAACCTTCTCATGTTAAGAGAGGAAAAAGATGCTGTATGGTCAAACATTGGCAGCGTTAATAGCACACGGCCTGAATGCGTCAATCCGGTATTAGCTTTATATGCTGTTCTGTTTCGGCAGGAGATTGATTAATCACAAGAGAGCTTCACTCGCTCACACCCGCTGAAGGATGTTGACAGAGAACACATCAACCACCACGAGGTCTCCGCTTGGCGCGAAAGTCAGACCGCGGGGACAGACAAGTCCGCCAACCACCCGCCCAATGAAGACTCCCGCGGGTGAATAATGGTGCACCTCACCGCCTTTATCTTGAAGACAAACGGAAACATAGATGTCCCCAGCATCATCGTAGCACAGGCCCAAGGGTCGTACACGTTCCCCGTCAAGTGAAATGTTGACATTGAACACCTTATCTCCTGTATAGGTAGTACAAATCAACTTGCTCTCAAAGAAGTTTGCGAAGATCAGGCGTTCGTTGAGCCCGATGGCCCAAGATGTATCAATCATGTCATTTGGAATGGTTGTAATCAACGAGCCATCCAGATTGTGGAGAGATATCACCTTTCTTCCGATGTCTGCCACTGCAATCTGATTTTCCTGGTCTCCAGCGATACCAGCGAGCCAACTATCTGTATCAACGTCTTCCTCATTTTGTGATGGTGCGAGCTGGCGAATGAATCCTAGACTAAAGTCAAACACCTTTACGTACTTTTCATCAGTGACCAAGAGTAGGTCATCGGAGGTCGCAGCTACCCCCCAGGGGTTATTCAACCAATCCAGACCTATACTTGTTTTAAACTCCCCAGTTGAAGTAAACATCATCAACTGCTTTTTTGCTGTGTCGGTAACGGCTATGTCACCATTGCTTAGACACGCGACGCCTCCAGCAAACTGAAATTGTCCATCGTCATCACCCTTCTCACCAAACTCTTCTTTCAGCTGCCACTTTTCTTCCTGAAGCACAACACCGAGGTCTGTATCTGCCACGACATCTTGACATTTCACCCCGATGAATGAGAGCTCTTGCTGTGCCTGCTCAAACTCGAGTTCCTCCTGGAACTCTAAGTTGTGCATCACCTTCGGTTTAAGGTCCAAAAGCTCAAAGTCGTCAGCTTGCTGCATCAAGTCGCTGACTGTCGCTACGATTTGCTCAGCCCACTCAATCTTGTCACGATTGCTTTTTTGAACTTCTTCAAACCTTCTATCGCGTTCTTCTCCAATTTGTGTTACTTTGTCTCTGAGAAGGCGAGATTTATTCTGAATCTTTGCAATCTCTTCCTCCTCTTTGGAGGTAATGTCTTTACAAGCCCGGGCGACCTTGATTCTCAACCTGTTCCTAGCATGCGTCAGTGAATCGTCGGCGACTTTGAATTCTTCTCTTCTTTTGTCAAACCTTTTCAGAATTTCGCGGACATCTCGACGGTACGATAGCATGGCATCAGCGACTTCTCTGTATTCATGTTCCGCTGTACGATGATCGAACGCAGCACATTTTGCACACGCCAATATCTTGCATGTTTGGCAATAAATGCAAATTTCCTGGTTAGTGTGCTTGTTACATTTTGGGGTATCGTTCCCCCTACCTACTGTAGGAGGCATCTCTGCTCTTCTTTGATCCAAGTTGGCGATCCGATGTTTCTTGGTGCATTTCATCTTTCGATGCATTTCCAGGCATTTCTGGCAGATGTTCCCGTCACAGTCTAAACACCTGGAGACGGCTTCCAAGCCCTCATCGCATTGCTCACATGTACAAGTATCATCTAGCGTGCCTCCTATCAACCGCTCCTGCTTGTTGAATTCATCGACGAGGGAACTCAGGAAATAGCAGTTGGGTAGACCCTGCAATCCGGTGTCTGGTACCGCAGTTACCCGTCTGCAAACTGGACAATGAATTTCGTCTGCCTTGGGTTGCTGACTGCTGATGAGCTCCTCAAGGCAGTTCAGGCAGTAGCTGTGCAGACAGTCCAGCACCTTGGGATCGATGAAACGACAGCAACAAATCGGGCATTCGTGGTGCCCCTGACTGATCGTACCCAGCACGGACTTGGCTGCAGCTTCCGCCATTTTCTATAATCAAAAGAGCAAATCAAATGACTTTGTCATCTTGTCATCATAAAATACTTTTATCGTAATTCGTCTCTGAGAGACTACTAAAACGCAAAACAAAAATAAAAAAATTGCACAAGGATTGTTCGAAAAGATCAGAAAGTGACAGAAGGCTAAGGGAAAATATACACCAAAAATGTGACTCGCTCCATTTCATTTAAAAAAAAAATATAGCAATGAGGTACATGGTATTGACTTTGTCAACATTTCACGGCATACATACTCTATTCGTAAGTAAAAACCCATGATAAAAAAAATATTATATTAAAGAGATTATAAACTTCAGCTGTCCACCACTGATAATTTACAATTTTACAAACTAATGAATACCCGTTACACACAATAAGCAAGGACGTTTACGCATCTCCATAAATGAACCATAACTTGCAAGCCGGCGAATATCGCCATCAATATTTATAACACAAAAATGGGTTCACTTGTTCCTTAATTCAACACAATGTCTGACAGCAGCAAAAATAATCTCTCAATCTTGACTCAAATGATTGAAATCTAATTTTGTATTTGAATGTCCGCAATTCTCTCTCAGCTCAATAGCTTTTAATTGACATTCCATGGACAGCTATACAAAATAAGGTATTTTAGTAAAACATGCATAACTTCTGATTCACACAGTTAAAGGCATTCGTACATGCTGCAATATTTTAGCATTGGCTTTTGTGATGCGTTTAAAAATAACAACATGGCTTGAGTTCCTGAATAAAAAAAAACACCATGATTAGGCATTTAGTAAAAACATGTGCTCTACATGCAATCTTTGACGCTCACTTTTTACGTACTTGCGAGACCGTACCGGTAGGTTAACTTCAGCACATTTGAGGATCATTTGACGGTCGCGTTTACTAGATGGGCACGAACAGATGTACATGTAGCTGTGTGTGCACAGATTTTCCGTGTAAGGAATGAAACGGATTCCTCATGCACTGTGCAATGTACAGACGTTATTGCTCACTGTTGTTGACACACCAAACACTATTTACGGCCGAGCACAATACACATCGAAAGATTCAAAGCCAACTCGATCATGCAGTCAAATCGTGCTCAGGGATCGTCTTTTATTAGCCTATTTGAGGTATGGCCGATACAATAGGAGGGCACTATTTTGGTTGGGTAAATATAACAGACTTTACCCGAACCAAATAGCGCCCCCCCCCCCTATACTGTGTCGACAAATAGTCATTACCATGTCTTTCAGCCCGTTCCTGGCAACAACGACGCCACTTGGAGCTCCAGCAATCCCATGCCGCCTTCATGAATCAACAGCTGCAAGTCAGGAACAACCTGCGAAAACGCGCAAATCAGCTCAAACAGCGGCTGTCGCAGACCAAGAAGGAGTACCGACAAAAAGAGAGGACCAATCACGTGATAGATGGTCACCTGACCAAGCTCAGGGGCGACCTGGCCTGCCTCCAACAAGATCTGGTTTTGCGCCCGCAGCTCCAAGTCATGCAGGAGAAGTGCCGACGATGCATCAAGTTTCTGAATCTGCTGGGGAAATCTATATTTGGACTGGGCATCTACTTCGCATGACGCTCTTTGATTTAGGAATCAATGTAAGGAATTTTAACTCAACTGACAACAATTATGATATCAAGCAGAAGCGTATTCATAAAGTTATCTATATGATTGAATTACAAAAATATTATTTCAAGAGAATTTTCATTTTCAACCGGACAAACAAAACAGCTTTACAGCAGGAGGGGACAACTAATTATTCAAGCCATCATCATGTGGCAGTGACAGCTTATACTTAAATCTACAAGTTAGACAACAAGTAATTTTACCTCATGCACGCAATATCCTCTATGGATCAAGACATATCTTTATTGCGATACACCAATCACAGTAGCCAACTCCATTCTCAGTCGCGACATGTACTCAGTTTATACTTAATCTTCCCCGGACTCTACACAATCGGTATGATTTCTGTTAAAATATTGTTATTATAGTTAACTGTAAACTTTGAAGAAGGCATATAGGTTAATGTGGGGGCATTTTGAAGTGATTAATCGTTAATAAATCTTTTGGATATTTGGTCATAATATCAGAAGAAACTTTATACGTGAAATCGTTTTGGCTCTTTACTCATTAAAGTTTTGTGATTCGTTGCAGTGAACTGCAGCTCACATCAGTTGTGTGCAGCCATAGCCAGTAAATGAAGGATCAAGAGAGGTACGCAAGTAGACGAGAATAAAAGGACTGGAGTGAGTTCAGATACAGAGTTTGGACAATTTATTTACCATGTAGTATAAGCTACAACATGTATATTTGTATCATGAAGAGCGCCCTCTTTGTCACGTTGTCTACCGGCAATCATCGACTCGGGTGCGAAAGGGCACAGAAGGCGATCCCTTGGCACGAGTTCACTGAAAGGTAGAGTTGCCTTTGAACCTATCGATTTGCATTGCGCCACGGAAATAGAGTTTGGTTTGTCCCCAACAATAAGCAATAACAATATGACCTTACAATTCCAAACTCTTGGATCCCGGGCAATAATGCTGTTCTCGCGGGGTAGGCTGGCTCGTACCCCACAATTAGTGTAGATATCGTTCAGATACAAAGCGGATCTGTTTGTGCCCAAAATAAGAAACCCGATTTTTTTTTTCCACAGGGCTGCAGACGTGCCGAATAAAGGGTGGAAACAGGCCCCATTTTGGACCCAAATTTTATCAAATCTACTCTTAGATATTAGTCCAAAAGCTATATTCGCACGATATTCGCTGATAAGGTTTACGCACAAAACCCCGAGCCAATGAGGTTTTGTATAGAAAGGTGGCCGACCACTTTTTGCGAAGGTGTGCTGATAATGTACAGACCAAACTTAGATCGGTATGACTCAAATTGGGAAATATTTTAACATGAACATTGATTCGTCCGAAATTGCTAAGCGCTACCGGGTACTTTTGCAAAATAATCCCCAAAATAGCATTCCAAGACTCAAATGATCTTTTAACAGAGTTGAAAAAATTTAAAAGGTAATACAAAAAAATAAAAATATATATTTTCAATGCATAGGAAACAGCAATAATATGATTGTTATTCTAAAGAATTTTTGGGTATTACTGACTGCACATTTTCAACAGATATTTACAGATTCCATAACTAAACGCAACGATAATACCATTGTGCCTCTCGATGTCTGTAACGTTCGCATGTTAAGTGAGGACCATGATGCTGAATCGTCACAAATTGTCAGCGCTAATGACACACTGCATGCATACGGCAATCCGATGTCAGCTCAACATGTTTAGTTTTGACAGATGGTTATTAAATCACACGAGAGTTTTTCGCTCACACCCGCTGGAAGATCTTGACTGAGACCTCATCTGCCACCACGAGGTCTCCGCATTGAGAGAATGTCAGGCTGCAGGGAGAGTGAAGTCCGCGAGCCACCCGCCCAATGAAGACTCCCTCGGGTGAATAATGGTGCACTTCACCGCCTCCACCATCTTCCCGAACGGAAACATAGATGTCACCTGCATCATCGCAGCACACGCCAGAGGGTTTCACAGGTTCCCAGTCCAGTGAAGTCTTGACATTGAACACCTCATCTCCCGTAAAGGTAGTGCAAATCAACTTGCTCCCATGGTAGTTTGTGAAGAACAAGCGTTCCTGGATCCCGATGGCCAAGTAGTAATCAATCATGTCATTTTGAAAATTTGTAATCAAGGATCCATCCAGATTGTGGACAGATATCAGCTTTCTCCGTGTATCTGTCACTGCAATCCGATTCTTCTTGTCCAAAGCGATATCAGTAAGCCAACTCATTGAATCATCGTCTTCCTCATTCTGTGAGGGTACGAACTGGCGAATGAAGTCGAGACTGGAGTCAAACACTTTTACATACCGTTCATCGGTGACCAGAAGTAGGTCATCAGAGGTCGCAGCTAGTCTCCAAGGGTCATTCAATTTCTCCGGACCAACACTTGTTCTATACTCTCCGGTGAAATTAAAAATCATCAACTTCAGTTTGTTTGTGTCGGTTACGGCTATGTCACCATTGCTAAGACATGCGACGCCTGCAGCACACTGAAACTCTCCATCTTCCGACCCAAACTTACCAAACTCTTCTTTAAGCTGCCATTTTTCTTCCTGAAGTACATCCCCGAGTTCTATATCTGCCACGACATCTTGGCATTTGACCCCGATGAATGAGAGATCATGCTGTGCATGTACCAACTCAAGTTTTTCCTGGAACTCCAAGTTGTGCATCACCTTTGGTTTGAGGTCCAAAAGCTCGAAGTCGTCAGCTTGACGCATCAAGTCGTTGACTGTCGCTACGATTTCCTCGGCCCGCTCCATCTTGTCACGGTTGCTTTTCTGGACTTCTTCGAACTTCTTCTCTCGTTCTGCTCCAATTGTTGTTACTTTGTCTCTGAGTCGGCGAGATTTGTTTTTGATCTTTGCAATCTCTTCTTCCTCTTTAGTGGCAATGTCTTTACAAGCCCGGGCCACCTTGATTCTCAACCTGTTCCTGACATGCGTCAGTGAATCGTTCGTGACTTTGAATTCCTCTCTGCTCTTTTCGAACCTTAGCATAATTTTGCCAATATCCTGACGATACGATCGTATGGCAGCCCCGATTTCTGTGTATTCATGCTCCGCTGTCCGATGATCCAATGCAGCACATTTCGCACACGCGAAGGTCTTGCATGTCTCGCAGTAAAAACATAGTTCCTGTTTAGGGTGCTTGTTACATTGAGGATAATTTTTCATCCGAAACTCAATTGGAGGTATCTGTGATCTGATTCGATCCAAGTAGATTGTCCGATGTTTTTTAGTGGATTTCTTCTTCCGATGGGTATACAGACATTTCTGACAGATGTTCCCATCACAGTCTAGGCATCTTGTGACGGCTTCTAAGCCTTCGTCGCATTCCTCACACGTTAGAGTATCTGGTGGCGCATCTCCAAGCAGCCGCTCCTGCTTGTTGAATTCATCGACGAGGGAACTCAGGAAAAAGCAATTGGGTAGACCCTGCAATCCAGTGTCCGGTACCGCAGTTCCACGTCTGCAAACTGGGCAAGTAATCTCGTCTGCCTTGGGTTGCTGTCTGCTGATGAGCTTGTCTAGACAGTTCAGGCAGCAGCTGTGCAGACAGTCCAGCAGCTTGGGATCGGTGAAACGACAGCAACAAATCGGGCATTCGAGGTGTCCCCGACTGATTGTACCCAGCACGGATTTGGCTGCAGCTTCCGCCATTATCTAAAAACATAAGAGTTAATCAAATCACAAATATATCGTCTTGTCATAAGACGCTACTTATTCCGATTGGTCTCTTGAATACAGGATGGTTTAAAAAACATACTTGCAATAGATCAGTAATCGCTATGTCAGAAGCCTATAGTCCCTTTATTTTATGTTAAACCGGAAAACAATATCTTTATGCGGCAATCTGTCTAGTTGGTAGAACCCTACTTTCAACGGTACATGGGTTTTAGCTAGTATATGCATTTATAAATTAAAACTTGGCTGAAATTCTTAATGAAACACATCACTGAAGTGAATTGAAAATGTAAACTCCTATACAATTTTTGACACTTACCTTTGATGTGCTTGTGAGACCGTACCGGTAGATCAATTTCAACACGTTTGAAGATCATTTGACGGTCTCAATTACTAGAAAGGCATAACCAAGATGTAGCCGTTTGTTAGACAGACTTCCTACTATGACCAATGGAACGGGTTCTCCGTGTACTGTGCAGTGTATACAACTGTTATTGCTCACTGTTGGTTACAAACCAAATGCTATTTTAGTGGCACAATACAAATCGAGAGGTTCAAAGTCAGCTCGATCATGCATTGAACTCGTGCCTAGGGTCACATTTTGTTCTCTACCGTACGGTGGCCCTGGAACGACATTTTCATATTGACCTTTTTAATATGAACCTTGTAACTTCTTAATATTGACGTTGTACCTTCGCAATATGCACGTTGCACGTAGCTTAATATCGCATTGTGGAAGTTCTTCCTTCTTAATGTAAATGTTTCAACTTGTTAATGTTCACGTTCGATCTTGTCAATGTACACCATTGATCATGCTTGATGTTAACGTTGCACCTTGCTTCTTCGCAATATGAACCATGTTCCTTCGCATTGTGAACGTTTGACCTTGCATCTTGTTAATATCATTGTTGAACCGTCCTCCTTCGCAATGTGAATCATGCATTCTAAAAAGTACGAAGTCCTTGTCAAGCCCTATAGTTAAACAACCAGTTATGATGGAGTTTCAATCTGACAGCTATTTAATGTCACTTAACCTGGGTCTACCTTGTAGTGATTTTTAGCATGAATCAAGGCTCTCTGATTTATTTCACATATCTTTTAAAAATCATGTTCAGGCTAATGAGCGCTGTTTCACTAGAAAAGATGTGTTCAATTCATGAGCCTAATTAATTTCTTGACGGTATACTCTCCGTCAATTACAATAATGCAAAACAGTGTTCTGTGATAACGTTAAGAAGGCTTTTATCATAATACTTTACATCCTTCAAGCCCTATTCAGATTTTTTTTGTGTGTTTTTAATCATAGTTACGAGAGATTTCCGTCGAGATCCGCGTATTTAATTAGTATAAGAGTATGATCGTCAGATTGAAACTCCATCATAACTGGTTGTCTAACTATAGGGCTTGGCAAGGACTTCGTACTTTTTAGAATGCATGATTCACATTGCGAAGGAGGACGGTTCAACAATGATATTAACAAAATGCAAGGTCAAACGTTCACAATGCGAAGGTACATGGTTCATATTGCGAAGAAGCAAGGTGCAACGTTGACATCAAGCATGATCAATTGTGTACATTGACAAGATCGAACGTGAACATTAACAAGTTGAAACATTCACATTTAAGAAGGAAGAACTTCCACAATGCGATATTAAGCTACGTGCAACGTGCATATTGCGAAGGTACAACGTCAATATTAAGAGGTTACAAGGTTCACATTAAAAAGGTCAATGTTAAAATGTCGTTCTAGGGCCACCGTACTACTGCGGCTTCACACCTGGTATGGTAACACGACTTACAATTGGTGTTACTCTGAAATGGTCTTTGTATCAGTTGGTAGGGATTTGGATTGGGTTTAAGTGTTGTAGTCATCGAATTATCATAATTTATTGCTAATTTGAATAACAACTCAAACCAGATCTGTATCACAATGTAACCTTTAGAGAACTGTGAATATAGTGCAAGCCGTGAGTGGGTACAAAAGTCACTCTCGACATGCAACGATACAGTAACATCTTGGCAACCTGAGTGCTTGTTGACAGACCATTAGCTGCAGAGCTTATCTTGATAAGACACACTCGGAATAAATGTACTTGTGGATCTGTGCCAAATACGGAAAACACTTGGGAACAAAGTTTAATAAGGCATTCAACTGTAAGCGTTATTGAATGAAGCCCCAAGTTGACAACAGGCGGGTTGTATAAATGTTTGGTACTGCGCCCTCTCGTGGTGATGACTATTGTATAGAAACTTAATCTCTCGCACTGTATGTGCCAGCCGGCCATGGATACCTGCACAATTATCTCCTTCACCATAAAGCAAGGAACTGATGCCTTAACCAAACCGGGAGAAATAGATCAATACAACGGTTGCTTTAATATTTTTGGATTTTCTACGAAAAAAAATAGTGGTGCACATTTAACGTATTTGTTTTATTATGTAGCGGTGAAGCCACTAATCATGGGTCGCCTCGTCAGCAGGATCCACCATAATTGTCATGTCACATGACAAACTCAAACATCCATTCTCTTTCGATCTCCGAACTTTATTGTTTCCCGGAAGACAAGAAGGTGCAAATCCAGATGAAAGGTGACATCTTGTAAGACTGGAGGGTCTTTACCGGTATAAGATCAGTAATACCTCCAGAAGAGTAAGACTCAGCTAAGACCCTGGAAATTTCCAATGAGTATTGAGACCACCATTACACGCAATTTTCTAAAACATTCTCCGATCTAAGAGTTACATTTTAAATAATTAGTTACACAAAGGCACCCACAAAAGTATCAGGTTCTTAAATAAAGGATACAGATATAGCTGTCTTCCAGAAGCTTGTAAAACAGAAAGCCTAGTCTGTCAGCCTCCATGCATACGTGTGTGCTTTTTGTGTAGTCCAAGAGCTAACTCTGGCACACGTCTTCTCACGGTCCTATTGTATACAATTGTATACATTTGTCCAACCAAAATGTATGGAGTGCAAATTCGACCAAAAAAGGTAAGGAGCTCCTGAACTATTTTCTCCGATTCCCACAATAATATACATGGCATCCTTCACAAAACATCAGTTAAGAACATAAGCTATGTATGACCTTGACAGATTGAAAGAAAAGCAAAACCTACGAGTTTCACATGAAGCCAGTTTTTTTGTTTTTTTCCCCAAAGCGTCAATCAAACACGGAGCACTGAAGCGTCCAACTGAAAACAATCATGAAAGATTGAAAGACTTTAGCCAGGTAATTAAATGACTCCGTGAGTTCTTTGATGAATGATCCTATAAAGGAGGAATTGACGATAGAAAATAATTATGTCATAAATGCAGGGTTCGTTAAACATTGTTCAGCTCAACTGCGTCTACACGGGTTAGCCCCGCGCCGTTCAAATAGCTCTGACGTCATTTTCGTGACTTACCCGGGTCAGCCACACCACAGGCCATGTAGTGGAGCAGAGTCAGAGGTGGAAACACGTCTCGCGCATGCGTTGTTCATTCCTAGTATGGACAAATATGGCGGCCGGAAATCTCAAGTGGACTTAAACAATTAACTGTATTTAAAGTCTAAAGGTAATAATTTATTGAGTTCATTGCGACTTAAGACATTATATAGTTCCAGCCCAACTTGTTTGAGTCTTGCAATTGACTGAAAAGCAGTAAATCTTAAACTGAGATCCAATACGAAATGGGCGTTTTGTCAGTGGCTACGGCCACGGCTACGGGTGTCACGTTAGGATAGTGATGGCCAGCGGTTTAGCGTTCAATTAGCCCGGCTGTCGTTTCTAACCCGACCGCCTTTACCCAGGTCGATCCGAACGCATCCATAGATTATTACTCACTCACTCACTCACTTCGTCGACCCAAGTTGCTGCTTGAGACGAGCGCAATGACGCACACGCCACACATCACGACTGTCCTAGCAAGTTCATCCGTCGGCACAACCCCTGCATCATCCTTCATCGACTTCACCATGATCTTAATTTCCTTCCCTCTGCTTGGTTTCACGTACTTAGGTTCCCAGAGGTTCACTCGACTTGTTGGCAGCTCTGGGTGTCTCTAGCGGTGCCCAGCAAGGCTCAAAAGTTCGACTTGAACTTCTTCGAGACCTTTGGCAGGTTGCCGTGCGTCATATGGGCCTTTCAGCTGACACACTGTGCCATCCTGAGCATCCGGTCCACGTCTCGATGCCGTAGAGAAGAATCGTCTCGATTGCCGCTTGGAAGTATCTCAAATTGAGCTTCTTTGACAGGCTTGACCTTCACATTGGCTTCATCGCATGAAGAGCTTTCCGTACCAGAGCCTTCTATACCCTGATGTCCTTCTCAGTTCTCTGCATTCTGGCGCCGAGACACACCGCCGTCGGTCCTCAGAGTACCATGATCGCCAATTTTGCAACACCATATACTCCGTTTCCTTGGCGTTGAGATGCAACCTCACTTTCTCACACTCCGACTCCACTCTGTTGGGCAGCTCCTGGGCCTCTCTGGTCTGCTATGTCATCCGCCACATCGAGATCAGACAGGATGACTGGACCGATTCTTCCGGACTTCTTTGGTGTGATGGTGAAGCCCAGATCCTTGTCATCCTTGAGTGCTTGTCTGAGGACGTAGTCGAGGACTATGGTGAACAGGAACTTGCGTCAAAAGCGTGTCACCTTGAAGGACTCCAGGGAAAATGATCAACACGTTTCTGTCTCCATCGGGGGTGACAACTTTGGCAGTGATGTCGGTGTTAGTAACCTCAATGACCATAAGAAGTCGAGGGAGGGACTTCAAGATCCTGATCATTTTGCCTCGAGTTCGCTGGTGGAATTCAGTACATCTGAATAGAGTCGATGAAAGTCAGAACATCTGGCAGATTGCTCTTCTCAACTTCTTCAATGATTCTTCGGAGGGCCAGGATTTGCGAGACTGTAATCCTCTTCTCCCTGAAGCCGTTCTGGTTAAATCTCTGCTTGGGGATTATGGCCGTCCTGATACAGTTGAAATGCAGGCGGTAGTAGATATTGGCTTGGACACATGTTAGGCTGATCCCACGGTAGTTGTCAGTCTTCCTCGGGGTACCGGTTTTGGGTATGAGGATGATGTTTGATGAGGACCATTGGGCAGGTTTGTCATTTATCATTTACGCCGTATGTAAAACTTGAGTCATCAAGCTCGCTTTTAAGCATCTTTGGAGGGATGCCATCTGGACCCGCACTCTTCCCTTGCTTGAGAGACGTCTGCGCATTCCTAAACTCCTCCATTTTGAAGGGTCCATCATCGATATCAATATTCATGAGGACATTCTGTATGTTTTCTTCGTCATCGAAGAAAGGACATATCCGTCAACGTTTTATTTGTTCGGGTTTTTTTCCGCTGACCCATATAGCACAGCGTGATTTTCCGCATGGCGCAAGCTGTGCCAGTGCTCCAATGGACAGCCCAACATTGGCCGTCCGTGCACGGTGACATCGTTTTTGACGACGCGCGGTTCGTACATGTAAACGTACGGTTGGAAACAAAAAATAAAACCCACCTAAGGAAAGCTAACCTATTTGCAATAACTCGTCAATCCTGTAATAATATTTCTTAATACCTCATTCAAATGCTGTGATAAGTGGCATGTTTGGGGAAACTGGAGAACATTAAAAAGAAATCCCAACTTAAGTTCGCCCTTTTTGCTGAAGATTGCATGGAAATGGAAATCAAACAACGATCTAAAACGACATTTTTTTTTAAATGTCGGCTTTTAAAACAAAAGTATGGTGAATAAAATTTAAAAACTCATTTAATTTCATCCGATGGCATGTGTTTCACCCTATCTAGCAAAACGAACAGGATGTTTCAGATAAAAATTGGTGTCTTTCCTCGGCCGCGACGCTGCAATTTCGACAGTCACTGTCATTAGCCGAGATTTTTGCGCATGCGCACAAACTAAGTGAGAGGGATGAACATACGTGACCTACTTTGGTCGATCTTCCGATCGAACGAAGGAAGCGAAGTCTCTCCAGATGTCTTTTTTCAGCATTAATGTACGCATCTCCGATGGTGATTTCAGCCCAGTATCTCTTTGAAGAAGATCAATGAATGTCGTGGCCAGCCTCCCTAGTTTCAGATGACCATGAGTTGGTTGCCATAGTGTCAACTTGGAGGATATTTTTTTTTAATAACCAAACATAAAAGAACATTTTTAAACAACCATATTGACTGTACAAATTGACGTTAACCATTCCTCAACTTTTTTTCCAAATTTGGCCTACGTTTTAGTGTTGTAGTCATCGAATCATTATATTGCTGATTTGGTTAAGCCTGGGCGGAGTGACCTGATGCCCCTGGGGCATAAAAAAAACATTTTTTTTAATAAAAAATTGTTAAGGCCCACGTTCACCTCCTATCTAATCCTCATTCAACCCTTGCCAAATCAGGTGGTTCAATGAACTTTGCAGCCAGGGCTACACCCAGGCCGTGTCAACAAACTTTCGACCAGGCCTCCTGCCAAGTCTCATTGAAACATCAACAAAGACCTGTAACTTGACACAGCTATCTCCCTTCATATCTGCATACCACAGCCGCCAGTCAATTATCTTCCAGCGCACTGTCTGGCAACTGTTTGGACACTGTCTGGCACGTGGCTTTTTGTTGTATTGCTATGAATAGGGTCTTGCGTAGTGCGGGAAAGTACCTGTTGCCCAGAGGTCTTTGATGAATCATCCTATAAAATGCAGGACAATATTATTGTTTCATTATGGACAACAATATGCATCAAAGGTTATTTTTTTGGTAAGTTAAATGAAAGGAAACATACAGGCAATTAGTGCTGCAATCTTTACAAATTCGTCGGGTAGCGTGGCGAATGTGTGCAGTTGGTGTTTGAATAATCGAGTCAGGTATAGCACGACGTAAATGGTCGTCTAATGAAAGATTATCGTGCGACGTTTGGGTAATGTTTCCATCCAAAGATGCTCATCCATTAAGGCGGTACGGAAACACATCGCAATTTTAAACAAATTACGCCTCCACCATATTGCACATAACATCAACTTTTGGGTCCAATGTCATCCCAAATTTATCAGGAATACACGTTCCACTTCAAAGACCGGTTTAGAGTGGGACCGTTCATTTCTAGAAACCCTCAAGTGCAGGCTCCACAAAATCCCCCTTTTGCTTGAAGCTATTTTACCTCCTCTGCCAAACATTTGTATAATGTGTAAACACCGTGACGTTTCAAATTCCATCAACAGACAAAAGAGGTATATGGTAGATATAACTTGCATAACAATCACCTGCAGTCAAGACATAGCTATCGAATTGAGAAGGGGATCCTCAACTGTTAACAAGTATCGCTAGATTGATTCTGGCTGCTGTTCTGTTTCTTGAATTCAAAGGCCCCAGTAGTTAGGTGGCTTTTGGTGGAATCGTTCCGACTGGTCCAAAGCACAAAATTTGGCCTAAAGATTTTATGGAGAATACAAGGCATACTTAGAAAGGGTGACACCTAAACAATGTTTTGGAAGGGTTACCGTATTTATTTTGCATAAATCGAAAATAGCAGCCGTGTGATACATTTATGCGCCTATTTTAAAAATATTTTTGGGGTAAATTTTCAAAAAGCATATTTGGAGGTTTCTATATCCTTACTTACATATCCTTTACTTAAAGCAGATAAATGACTGGATAATTATGAAGACATTATGGAAGTTCCAAAATGGCTACCATCATATTTTAAATCTGCGCGCATTTATCTTTCCCCAGACTTCATCAGGTACCCTTGCCAAACCTCAAGACTTATGAACTTTAAATTCGCAAATTTACTTACTGGCACATTTACCATGATAACACTAAGTGCAAAATTATTGGAACAATAACATCATGATATTAAATGTGACACAACTGAAGAGTGGTGGACGATTATTACAAGGTGGGGTCATAAAATGCAATATAATCGGTGAAATCATGTTCAACGACAACAATAACGTTGAAAGATTTTAAATGGTAATGAAAACTAACCCAATAAAATAATCACCCGTACAGAAAAAAAAGGAAAGTTAAAATAATATTAAGTAAAAGTCATGAAGTTATACATGTACAATGCATAGCAAACAACAACACACTCATATTTGATTGTTGTTCTTAGCCTCATTTAAGGTATTACTGCGGTATTACGGAATCCGCTACCCAAGACAACGATGGTCCCGTTGCGTCTCCATGCCAGAAATGTTATCATGTTATAGGGAGGAAAAAGAGGCTGAATGGTCACACATTGTCAGCGTTAAAAGCACACAGTCCAAATGCGTCAATCCGGTATTAGCTTTATATGCTGTTCAATTTCGGCAGGAAATAAATCACAAGAGAGCTTGCTCGCTCACACCCGCTGGAGGATCTTGACAGAGACCTCATCAGCCACCACCAGGTCTCCGCTTGGCGTGAAAGTCAGACCGCAGGGAGAGTGAAGTCCGCAAACCACCCGCCCAATGAAGACTCCCGCGGGTGAATAATGGTGCACCTCACCGCCCCCACCTTGGAGACCAACGGAAACATAGATGTCTCCAGCATCATCGCAGCACACGCCCCAGGGCCCTACAGGCTCCCCGTCCAATAAAGTGTTGACATTGAACACCTCATCTCCTGTATAGGTAGTACAAATCAACTTGCTCTCAAAGAAGTTTGCGAAGATCACGCGTTCGTTGAGCGCGATGACCCCAAATGAATCATACACGTCATATGGCATGGTTGTAATCAACGACCCATTAAAATTGTGGAGGGATATCACCTTTCTTCCGCTGTCTGCCACTGCAATTCGATTTCCCTGGTCCCCAGCGATACCAGTGAGCCAACTATCTGTATCATCGTCTTCCTCATTTTGTGATGGTGCGAACTGGCGAATGAATTCTAGACTAGAGTCAAACACCTTGACATGGATTTCATCATCAGTTACCAAAAGTAGGTCATCTGAGGCCGCAGCTACCCCCTGGGGTTTTTTCAACCTCTCCTGTCCAATAATCGTTTTATACTCACCAGTGGAAGTAAACATCATCAACTGATGTTTTATTATGTCAGTAACGGCAATATCACCATTGCTTAAACACGCGACGCCTGCAGCACACTGAAATTGTCCATCTTCATCGCCCTTCTCGCCAAACTCTTCTTTCAACTGCCAATTTTCTTCCTGATGTACTTCACCGAGGTCTGTATCTGCAACGACATCTTGACATTTGACCCCGATGAATGAGAGATCATGCTGTGCCTGCTCAAATTCGAGTTCATCCTGGAACTCTAAGTTGTGCATCACCTTCGGTTTGAGGTCTAAAAGCTCAAAGTCGTCAGCTTGCTGCATCAAGTCGTTAACTGTCGCTACGATTTGCTCGGCCCGCTCTATCTTGTCACGGTTGCTTTTCTGCACTTCATCGAACTTGTCATCTCGTTCTTTTCCGATTTGTGTTACTTTGTCTCTCAGATGGCGAGATTTGTTTCGGATCTTTGCAATCTCTTCTTCCTCTTTAGTGGTAATGTCTGTACAAGCCCGTGCAACCTTGATTTTCAACCTGTTCCTGGCATGCGTCAGTGAATTGTCGGCGACTTTGAATTCCTCTCTGCTCTTGTCGAAACTTTGCAAAATCTCTCCGACATCCTGACGGTACGATCGCATGGCATCAGCGACTTCTCTGTATTCATGCTCCGCTGTCCGATGGTCTAACGCAGCACATTTCCCACACGCCAAAGTTTTACATGTCTCGCAGTAAAAACAGAGTTCGTGGTGAGCGTGCTTGTTACATTGTGGGTAATCTTTCTTCCGAAGTTCCATCAGAGGTTCGTGTCTCCTGCTTTGATCCAAGTTGACGATCCGATGCTTCTTAGTAGATTTCATCTTCCGATGCATATCCAGACATTTCTGACAGATGTTCCCGTCACAGTCTAAGCACCACGAGACGGCTTCTAAACCATCGTCACATTGCTCACATGTACGAGTATCCGCTGGCGCGTCTCCAAGCAACCGCTCCTGCTTGTTGAATTCATCGACGAGGGAACTCAGGAAAAAGCAGTTGGGTAGACCCTGCAATCCTGTGTCTGGCACCGCAGTTCCCCGTCTGCAAACTGGGCAAATAATCTCGTTTGTCCCAGGTGGCTGACCTCTGATGAGCTTGTCAAGGCATTTCAGGCAGAAGCTGTGCAGACAGTCCAGTATCTTGGGATCGGTGAAACGACAGCAACAAATTGGGCATTCGAGGTGTCCCCGACTGATCGTACCCAACACGGATTTGGCTGCAGCTTCCGCCATTATCTAAAAACAAAAGCGCAAATCAAATCAAGATTCAAGAAGACATTTATTCTTTACTCATTTTGGAAGATACATCGATAATGAAAGAAAATTAGTACATAGGAAAATGTTAAAGATGGATCTAATTGAGGGGGCTCGTTCCATACTTTCACAAGGAGCGTTGCTCAAACCCGACGAACCAAAAAAAGAACTTCCCCCGTTCCCATACTTTTTGCCTAACTCAAAAACTACTTGGCACCTCTTGCTCAAATAACGACTAATCAGTACAGAAATTCCTTAGCAATCCAGCCATACTCTTTATTTGGTCCAAAACGGTAATGATGTGGGCGAATTTATGCAATTTATGACAAATGATACCGAAAACAGTTGCACTTTTGTATACGTGCATGTTGCGGTTCACGCTCACCTTGCAAGTGTACACAAAAGTGCAACTTTTTTTGATATCACTTGTCATAAATTGCATCATTTTATACACATTATCACGGTTTTCGGACAAACGAAGAGTATGGCTGGATTTTTAAGGAATTTCTGTACTGATCAGTCGTAATTTGAGCAAGATGTGCCAAGTAGGTTTTGAGTTACACAAAAAAAATATTAAGGGGAAACTTACTTTTTTGTTTGAGTGTAGTACAGAATGTAGTAAACAGTTATACACTCGTAAAGAAATACACTCGTAAACCAGCTTGCTTTGTTCCGTCTTTTGTGCACAGCCAGATATTATTACCAGACTATTGTTTGGGGTTTAAGAGGGGGGTTGGACACATTATATTTAATGAATTTGATGAGAAACAATATCTTCAGTTTTTCAATATAGAAAAAGACGCATTGTAGTACATAATAGGGCCCTGTAAATGAGACACACGAGTTCAAAAATCTGGGAGGACATTTGATATCGTGTCCCCCATCCTTCAACAAGTAGGGGGTTGACGCCCACGATTGAAAGCAACCACAATAACATTAGTAATTGTTCTACGGGCGTGCCGGGCCAATATGAAGCTGCTCAAATTTTGTGACGCAAGAAAAGCTCAAGCAAGCGGGTATTTTGTAGTTAATCTAAGTTAATGGTAATGTGACAGGACTGAAGAAAGTGTTGGACGATTATTACAAGGTAGGGTCATGAGAAGTATTTTCTTTTCTGGATCAAGTCAGCCTGATGTCAATAATAATAATAATAACAACATTGGATTGCCTTTTTTCCCAGGGGATAAACTAATATATTGCACGTCTCCGTGTTTTCATTTAAAGAGAGGAAACGAGGCTGATTGGATGGTCACAAATTGTCAGCGTTAATAGAACACTGCCTGAATGTGCCATCCGGTATTAGCTTATGCTGTTCAATTTCGACAGGCGATGACGAAACACAAGAGAGCTTCTCGCTTACACCCGCTGAAGGATCTTGACAGAGACCACATCAGCCACCACGAGGTCTCCGCTTGGCGTGAATGTCAGGCCATGGGGAAAGAGAAGTCCGCGAGCCATCTACCCAATGAAGATACCCGCGGGTGAATAATGGTGCACTTCACCGCCTTGACCTTTGGGATGAACGGAAACATAGATGTCCCCAGCTTCATCGCAGTACATGCCCGTGGGCACCTCATCTCCCGTATAGGTAGTGCAAATTAACTTAATTGCTCTAAGAGAAGCTTGCGAGGATTAAGCGTTCGCTTAGCCCGATGACCCAAGAGTTATCAATCATGTCATTTGGAATGGTTGTAATCAACAATCCATCCAGATTGTGGAGAGATATCACATTTCTATCGCTGTCTGCCACTGCAATCCGATTTGCCCGGTCTGTAGCGATACCAGAGAGCCAACTCTCTGTATCAACGTCTTCCTCATATTGTGATGGTGCGAACTGATGAATGAATTCTAGACTAGAGTCAAACACCTCGACCAATTTTTTATCAGTTACCAAAAGTAGGTCATCGGAGGTCGCAGCTACCCCCCCCCCCCCCCCCCCCAGGGGTTTTTGACTTCTCCTGGCCAATCATTAATTGTTTCATACTCCCCAGTGGAACTAAACAACATCAACTGCTTTTTTGTTAACGGCTATTTCACCATTGTTAAGACACGCAACTCCTCCAGCAACCTGAAATTGTCCATCTTCATCACCCACCTTTCTTTAATGTTTGAATGGGCAACACTACTTGTTATTTATGTGGCCATGTGTTTTGTAAGAAAAACCCTACATTCAGTGCTACATGGCTATATGACCATCTCTACTATACATCTTGTTACGCTTTCAGCTATGCATTTATAAATTTAAAGTTGGCTGAAATTCAATTTGAAAATTGTATATAATGTATAATTATTCAATATGAAAAATGTATACCCCAACAATATTTGGCACTCACCTTTGATGTGCTTGCGAGACCGTACCGTTAGATCAATTTCACCACGTTTTGAGTCATGTTCGACGGTCACATTTGCTGCATGACTGTGTAGCTGCATGTGGAATTGTACGTGGACGAATGGAACGAATTCTGCATGTATGTGCATGAAGGCCCCACTGTGCAATGCAGGCCTAATGCATGTACTGTTATTGCTTACGGCTGGGGAAAACCAAAAGCTATTTCGGTGGCACATGTACAAGAGATTCATGTCAACTCGACCTTACAGTGAACTCGTGCCAAGGGATCGCCTTTTATACCCTTATCCGCTCAGCGCCTGATTTGATAAACACGACTGACTTAAAGATGTAGGGCCCTAGAGGGTTTGTACCTTTGGCTCATATCTTTTGGCCCGCATTGTGGTAATCTAGTCAACGATTCATCATACTTGTTGACTTGGTTATGAAAAAAATATGTACAAATGATTCGCTTTGATTGGCTGGGTCATCACATCAGTCAGTGCCACTAAATGCTTGATTCTTGGGAAGCTACAGGTCAAAAAAGAGTAATTTACGCCACAGAGGGACTAATTCTTTGAGAGGGCATCAGTTGGCACGCGATCATTTTCATATGTAGCCGAGATTAACTTACGGCAAACAAACGATAATAAAATGTATTCATAAGCGGGACTGTTAGTTGCAGTATTTCCAGGATAAAAATAATATTTTTGTTACAAGAAAAAAAGGAAAACGTTTAAATTTGTAACGAAGGTACACATGGGACTAAATAAAATTGCTGAAGAAAATGTACCCTCAAACTGCAGCGGCTCAACACCCTGACTTATGCTATTTGTCTTCGTGCATGCATGCTCTCTTTCAATGTTCAGAAAATGCAGAGTATTTTTGTAAATTAACCGCAACGACTGGTTCCAAAGCTTGACAGTTTTTAGGTCAAGATACCATCCATTAATATCACCTGACCCATCGACACGGGCGTCAATCCTTGCTTGCGAGTGGGAATGATGGTGAATGGTGAACCGCAGTATCTAAAATGGGGGCACTCTTCACGATACTTACAAATGTGCATGTAAGGCGAAATTGTGTGTTTACATACCTTATAGGGCCCATGAAATGTATTTGTTGCAATGCAATTCATGAAAATGCACCTTTATGTCCCTTTTTAACTCTCAATTTTTTTTTTGCCATTTTCAAGGGTATTTGGTGCCTTTTTGGTTTTTATGGTAATGTGAATTTCCATATTCATGAGCAAAAGTGTGATGTCATATCAGGCAGAAACCTCAATGTTGCAATTGGTTTGTGCCTCAAAAATTGGCAGATTTTCGGATATTTCGCTGTCGTAAACTTTTTTTTCTTCAGTGATTCCTTGTCAGTTCATGGCAGTAAGCCAATGAGCAAACTTTAAAAAAAAAAGTTTTAAAGGAGAACATTTTTGGGCTCACAATTCAAAAGAAGAACAAATCATATGAATAGTGTCTTACTCAAATGACATCACGCCAACAGCGCCCTAAAATGTCCTAAAAAACATGAAGAATTTTGAATGTATAAAGGAGTGCACTTTTCCAGTAAAATTAACTACAAAGGGATGTTTTTAGTTTTTTCATACTTTCAAGAGGATTAGCAAGTAGCACAAACTGGGTTCCTATGAAAAAATGCACTTAATAGGCCCTTTACCTTTATATATAAACAACAGTTCGTTATAAAGTTTCGTACTGTCTGCTTTATTTTTTTTTTCCAGTCTTATTTCATGCATTTGGACCCTTGCAAAGTAACATGATAGCCTCAATTTCACTTTTCTGTCACCTTAAAATCCTGGAGGGGAAGATCCAACGGTCCATCCCCTTCAAAAAGTGATGACAATCGGGAAACCCCACGCGGCTTGAGGTAATGTCCGCAAATGTTCAAATTTCGAGGTTATCATTATTAATTGCGTTCGATTTTCATTTTTTTTTTATTTGATCAACAGAATCCCTGTCATGTCTTTTGCATAATCGTGGGATTTGGAGTTTCACTTTAACTGTAGCTTGAACATTGGTAACAATTAGCATCAAATTCACTGCACTGTAATGACATGTCAAATAATGTAAATCCAACGTAGATGTTTTACATTTTAGCCAAAATGCAGTAATAATTAGGGAGTTCTGCAATCCTGACATTGATGAGTCATGTCATATCATTCTCATTTCATCGATTGGAACAGTCATAAATGTTTTCCGTTGATATGCACAGTCAACGTGGGCAATACTAAATCCTACAATTAATTATAAACCGGGCAGTTGTTTTCTAAAACATGTATCCTAAACAAGGTCCTAAGCGTTGCCTGCATGCAATAAGTGGAAGGGTCATCATCGAGGTAAACAAGGAACTGAAACGGTCCAAGAGTGTCTCCCTGCACTATATAACGTCATCTCTTGTTGTACTGTGTATTGTCCTATTTGATAGAACTAGTCGTTAGTGAAACCTGATTCCTTTTATAATATCTTCCTATGAAGTATTGTACATGTATTTAAGGTCTTCTGAGTGGAGTCAATAAGGGTCAACAGTCGTTCATTTTCACCTCCCCCGGTCAAACGCCGGAGTGCCTGACTTCGGGTGAGCATGTACTGCTTCTCAGCTCAAGAATAAGTCTTTGTTTATGCAGAACCTTGTGGTTGATCGGTTTGATATTGATCGGTTTGATAGCGAGTTTTAAAGCATCTTTGAAATTATTTACAGAGGTGAGACCTATGCTTCGGAAGTTATCCCAGACACGCAAACATGAGACGTTTACCTTAATGAATATTGTTTTAACAAGTATAGCCATAAAATGCATACAAAACAGCAAAATGTTTGTTTCCTTGGGAAATTTTGGTATTACTGATTGCAGTTCTTCAAGAGATATTTACGCAATCCACAACCAAACGCAACGGCAGTTTCATCGTGCGTCTCGATGCTAGATAGTTTCTCATGTTAAAAGAGGAAAATTAGGCGCAATCGTTAACACATTGTCAAAGTTATGCCTAAATGCGTGAACCCGATGTTATAGCTTATCATTTCTTATATTCTTGATAGATAGTTGTTAAATGGCATAAGAGCGTCTAGTTCACCCCCGCTGGAAGACATGAACTGAGTCAAACTCAGCCACCACGAGGTGTCCGCATGATGTGAATGTCAAGGCAAATGGAAAGTAAAGTCCGTGAGCCACCCGCCCAATGAAAACTCCCTCCTGTGAATAATGGTGCACTTCGATCGCTGCCTCTGTAGCCATAATTCCTGTCGTCACCTTCTTCGGGATCAACGGATACATAGATATCCCCCCTGCATCATCGCAGCACACGGCAGATGGTCGTACTTGTTCCCCGTCAAGTGAAGTATTGACATTGAACACCTCATCTCCCGTATAGGTAGTGCACATCAACTTGCTCTCGGCGTAGTTCGTGAAGATCAAGCGTTTCCTGATCCGATTGTCAAACCGCCAAAGATCGCGGAATGGTTGTAATCAAGGACCCATTCAGATGGTGGAGAGATATCAGCCTTCTCTCTCTAACTGCCACTGCTATCCAATTCTCTTTGTCCATAGCGATATCGGTAAGACAACTCTCTGTATCATCGCCTTCCTCATTATGTGATGGTGCCACCTGGCGAATGAATTCTAGACTTGAGTCAATCACCTTAACATGCTTCTCATCAGTGACCAGAAGTAGGTCATCTGAGGTCACTTAAACTCTAGAGGGGTCATTCAACAACTCCCGACCAACACTTCTTATAGTTCCCATTGGAATACAAAATAATCAACTGCTATTTGACTGCGTCCGTTACGGCATTGCCACCATTGCCTAAACACGCAATGCCTATACAGCCATGTGGTTGCGAATGCCGATTTCTAAAGGTTCCGGGGTAAAATTGGTAAAAAGGTAACATTGGAACGAGTACGAGTATTTTGCGACGACTACGAGTGCAAGTACGAGTACAGGGATTTTTTTGCGAGTACTAGTATGAGCACGAGTACATTTCCATAAGTACGAGTATGAGTACAGAAAAAAAGTACTCGAGTACGAGTATGAGTACGTCTAAGATTAATACAACACTGCTAGCTGGCGAAACACTCCATAACTTTTCCTCGAATGCCATAATGATTTAACTTGTAAAGCAAGATATTGTGATACAGGGTGTCGAAAGCTTTGAAAAATAAAGAAAATACCTGAAGTAAGGGCAGAGTTGTCAATTCCAATGGAGACTTTGTTTATCAGGTCAAGCATACTCTTGCTAACCCGCGGGTCGTACTCTGCTGTTCGTGCGCTCAGAGGTATATTCATGTTAAAAGGAATTGCACGCTCGAACGCACCAATAGGCCAAAAAAAAAAGTCTCCGGTTTCTGGTATGGAGATTGCCCAAAAAGTGTTTCGGCGACGCGGCTTTTTTTTTTTTACCTGATTTTATTGCTTCAAATGTGTGCTGATAACTGCAAATGGTGCCCGACTAAACTTAGTGCAAATATATGGGAGTCCAGAGAGGCCACATAAAGCTTATTCTCGACCATAACCCAATCTAAAAACACGTTTAAATTGTGCAGCAGCAGGATTCCAGTCAAACCAGTGAGTTTGGCGGTTTTTAGACATCTTCTTTCATTGAAAAAAAAAAGTTTCATTTTGCCGACGCGCATGGCTACGGCGACGCGCGCGCATACCAGAAACCGGAGACTTATTTTTTGGCCATAGCTACTCTCTCTCGATATTTCATGCTGTTAGTCGCCCTGCAACACACCTTGTGCATTGCAGAGGCGTCAGCTTGCGTTCTTTGTCAATCATAATTTAGTATTTGATGTTATATGGAGAACTATTTTGTTATATCGGCGCATCAATAGTTTTGAATTAATTACAGTTGAACGGGCTATAAAAATATAAGTTCAAATTCAGTGGCTATCAGCCTGACTTGGGACAACATCGCACCATGTCTTTATTTTTTTTCTAAGTTCTGTTTGATATTAAACTGAGTTTGATATTAGATTTGTTTCTTTATTGTAGTAGTCACTGTATTCGAATAATCCGGGGCCGGCAAAAGAGATCCACATAACAATAGGCATTCATCGGTTTAGCGCATGCAGCTGGAATGTATTAGTGTAGTGTTTACTTTTACCAAAACAAATGTCGTTCAAAGACTTCAACATGTTTGTGACCAAGTTAAAAACATTGAATTCTAATGGACATATGTTATCCCAAATTAAATACACCTTTAAAAAAATTAAATGCATTTATAATGCATAGTAAACAGCAACACACTCATCTATGATTATTAGTCTTAGGAAATGTGGGGTGTTACTGGGGTACAGGTTGTCCCACACAAAAAAGAAAGTCGAATCGGGTTTTGGGTGGGTTTTTTTTAAGTGGAGGTAGTATTCAAATAGTGTATAATGTATTGCTGAGTAGAATAATTGGCCTTCCAAAAGATTATTAGTTGGTTTCATTAGGATGTTGTGTTCAAAAGATACAGCTTCAACCACAATACGGAACTTGAAAAACCACTTGAATGGGCCACTTTTTTATTGATCAAGTTTGTAGAACGAAACCGGTAGAATAATTCAGTCACACGTTACTCTATCTTGAACAAAAGAAATACATCTTTTGTGTGTTTATCTAACTGCGCTTTCTCACTTTGAAGGAAAGTGGCCCAAGGCGATTTTTAAACCTTGAGTTCGATGAAGCATAGCGTTTGTCTTCATGCATCGATTTGAATGAAATAAAGTTTGTATGATAGATATATAGGTTATCCGACTTAAAAGAGGTATTCTAAAAATGATACAAAACTCACATGCAATATACCTTCATAAATTGGCTTTTGACTGTTAGATTTTTATTTTAGAATCCACAACCAAACGCAACGATCATCCCTTTTTGCGTCTCGATGTCGGAAAGATTCTCATTTTAATTCAGAAAGGAACATGATGCTGAGTCGTCACAAATTGTCAGCGTCAATTGCACACTGTTTGCGTCAATCCGATGTTAGCATATCGCGTATAGTTTCGGCAGATAGTTGTTCAATCACAAGACAGCTTCTGGCTCACACACGTTGTAAAATTTTGACTGAGTTTTTATCAGCCACGACGAGGTCTCCGCTTTGCGTGAACGCCAAGCCCCTGGGCAAGTCAAGTCCGCGAGCCACCCGCCCAATGAATACCCCTTCGGGTGAATAATGGTGCACCTCACCGCCTTCATCTTTTTCGAGACGAACAGAAACATAGATCTCCCCAGCATCATCGCAGCACACGCGCAAGGGTCGTACAGGTTCATCGTCAAGTGAAGTGCTGATATTGAACACCTCATCTCCCGTATAGGTAGTGCACATCAACTTGGCCTCCTGGTAGTTTGTGAAGATCAAGCGTTCCCTGATCCCTGTGGCCAAACCACCACCGACCATGTCATTTGGAATGGTTGTAATCAAGGACCCATCCAGATGGTGGAGAGATATCAGCCTTCTCCCTCTGTCTGCCACTGCTATCCGATTCTCCTTGTCCATAACGATACCAGTAAGATCAATCTCTGTATCAACGTCTTCCTTGTTTTGTGATGGTGCGAACCGGTGCGTGAATTTTAGACTAGAGTCAAACACATTTACATGATTTTCATCAGTGACCAGAACTAAGTCGTCAGAGGTCACAGCAACGTCCCAGGGGTCATTCAACTTGTCCCGACCAACACTAGATTTATACTCTCCAGCAGAAGTAAAAATCATCAACTGCCGTTTGGTTATGTCTGTCACGGCAATGTCACCATTGCTTCGACACGCGACGCCTGCGGCACACTGAAATTCTCCAACTTCCGGCCCCCACTTACCAAACTCTTTTTTCAACTGCCACTTTTCCTCCTGAAGTACTTCCCCGAGGGCTGTATCTGACACGACATCTTGCCATTTGACCCCGATGAATGAGAGCTCATGCTGTACATGCTCCAATTTGAGCTCCTTCTGGAAGTCCAGGTTATGCATCACCTTCGGTTTGAGGTCCAAAAGCTCAAAGTCGTCAGCTTGCCGCATCAATTCATTGACGGTCGCTACTACTTGCTCGGCCTGCTCCATCTTGTCACGGTTGCTTTTCAGCACTTCCCCGAACTTCCTATGTCGTTCTTCTCCGATTTGTGTTACTTTGTCTCTGAGAAGGCGAGATTTATTCCTGATTTTTGCAATCTCTTCTTCCTCTTTGGCGGTAATGTCTTTACAAGCCCGAGATACCATGCTTCTCAACCTGTTCCTGGTATGCGTCAGTAAATCGTCGGCGACTTTGAATTCCTCTCTGCTCTGTTCGAACTTTTGCAGAATCTCGCCGACATCCTGACGGAGCGATCGTATGGCATCTGCGACTTCTCGGAATTCATGCTCCGCTGTTCGATGATCGAACGCAGCACATTTTGCACACGCCAACATCTTGCAAGTTTCGCAATAAATGCAGAGTTCCTGATTAGAGTGCTTGTTACATTGCGGGGTATCTTTCTTCCTAGATTCCGCGGGATGTACCTCTACTTTGGTTTGATCAAAGTTGACGATCCGATGTCTCCTATTGCATTTTGTCTTTCGATGCATATACAGACATTTCTGGCAGATGTTTCCGTCACAGTCTAAGCATCTTGAGACGGCTTCTAAGCCATCATCGCATTCTGCACACGTACGAGTATCCGGTGGCGCGTCTCGTATTAACCACTCCTGCTTGTTGAATTCATCGACGAGGGAACTCAGGAAAAAGCAGTTGGGTAGATCCTGCAATCCGGTGTCTGGTACCGCAGTCCCCCGTCTGCAAACTGGGCAGGTAATGTCGTTTGCCTTGGGGTGCTGAATGCGGATGAGCTCTTCCAGGCAGTTCAGGCAGAAGCTGTGCAGACAGTCTAGGATCTTAGGATCGGTGAAACGACAGCAACAAATCGGGCATTCGAGGTGTCCCCGACTGATCGTACCCAGTACAGATTTGGCTGCAGCTTCCGCCATTTTCTAAAACCAAAAGAGTAAATCAAATGACTATGTCATCTTGTCACCATACAATATTTATCTTTACTGGTCTCCAAAGAATCATGTGAGAGACTAATAAAACGGGGAAAAAAGTTTGTACAGGGTGAGTCAAAAAGAAAGAGACTGAATTAAAAAATAACCATAATAAAATATATATGTGGCTCGAACCATTTCATTTTATTGATTATAGTAACTGTCAAAATGTCACGTCATTTCAGCCGTCCACCACTGATCATTTACCATTCTACGAACTGATGAATATCCATTGCATACAATAAACATAGGCGTCGCCAGGAATTTTTCGGGTGGGGGAGGGCAAAGCAAAATTTTCCCCAAAAGTCTTTAACTTTTTCATGTTATTCTTAATTTATTATTTTTCTGAGCGTGGGTAGGGGAGCATTTGCCCTACCCCCATCAAATAAACAGCAATATGGCTTCGCAACTCTTTTTCTTTTTTTTTCCTTTTTCCATTTTCCTTGTTTTTTTTTTTTTTTCGTTTTCCGGGGGGGGGGGGGCAAGCGCCCTCTTGCCCCCCCCCCCCGTGCAACGCCCATGACAATAAACAAGGACATTTTTCGCACTTCCATAAATGAACCAAAACTTGCAAACAGGCGAATATCGCCATCAATATGTTAGAAAAAAAAATTGACTTGGTCCTCCTATTCAAAACACAAAATCTGACAGTAAAAATAATATTTCAGTCTTGATTCAAATGATTAAAATCTCATTTGTATCTGAATGGTTGCCTGTAATCTGTAATTCTCACTTCCAATGGCATTTATTTGAAAAAAAAATTATGATTATTTTAGTAAAACGTGCGTATCTTCTGATAGCATGGATCGCTTTCAGTATTTGTTTTCTTTTTCAGATGAGTGGAAGAACATGCTCTTTGAAGACATGCTTCATTGGTGCATCAAATTTGATTGCTTTTTAAGAAGAAAAAAACCGTCATTTATTCAGGTCACTTTCTTGTTGATCACACTGTGTATGTCAGAAGTCGATGTTTTGGTATAGATTAGCTCCAGTTGTAATGTTGAAATGAGTACCAGCGGTACATTTGTGTGGTGTTTATCTATTTCAGATAATTTCTGGTGTTCCACTGGTTTTCCTTTCTTGTGTTAAACTGGGACCGCCACTAGAAATGGCGGGGCCTACAGCTGGGCGCCCGGTGGCTGTGCCATTGCAATGTAAATGTATACAATAACAAAACCATGTTTGCAAAATGAGTTATCGTATTACATGAATGTTTACTTTATCGTAACACTCACAAATCATGTTTTAACATACTGCTCATTTTCAAACTGAGCGTATCTAACCGTTCTTAAGTTAGTGAAATAACTTTAAACAATCATGTACGTCATATTGCCACATATCAGGCAATATTGCTTTCATTCAAACCCCTTAATGCTCAATTCTGGGAGAATTAATGCAGTTTATTTACCCCCAGCTGGTGACTGCCTATTGCAGAGAACCCTAGTATATATTGGCATCTTCGTAGATAGCATGTAAGTTGTTCATCCATTAGTTTTGTCTCGTCTTATTGGTGTCCAGTCGTGACAGTGTGTCATGTTAAACTCCACGTCAATTCCACGTGGTTAAAGGCATTCGTACTTGTTGCATTATCCAGCATCGGCTATGGTGATGTGTATAACAACTAAAAAACATGGCTGATTTCCAGAATAAAAAAAACACAACTAAAGTCAAATTATTAAACTGTACTCCTTTACAATCTCTGGCACTCACCTTTGATGTGCTTGCAGGACCGTACCAGTAGATCAATTTCACCACATTTGAGGATTGTTTAACGGTCACATTTACCAGATGGACGCTATAATAATAAAAGGACGTAGCTAGCTGTGGGATGACAGATTTTCCGTGTGACGAATCGAACGGATTGTTCATGTACTGTGCAATGTACATGTACCTGTACATGTACACCCGTTATTGCTCACGTAGCACAACACAAATCGAAGGGTTCAATCAAAGGCAACTCGATCATGCAGTGCACTTGTGCTCAGGGATCGCCTTTTATTTAGCCTGTTTGAGATTATGGCTGACACAATAGGAGGGCGCTATTTATTTTGGGTAAATACAAAAGAATTTACCCAAACCGAATGCCGCCCTCCTACTGTGTAGGCCATAGCACAAATAGGCTAATGCCCTTCTGTTCAACGCCTACAGTGATGACACGACTGGCAATAATGGTGTTAGTGTTACCCTATCAGTCGGTCTTACCCTGGCTTGTGTTTAAAGGGAATATACAACATTTGCGAACATCGAAAAACAAAACACATTTTACAAAATACCTTACTAGGATGTTGATAAATGACAGTCTAGGATGTTGATAAATGACAGTCTAAAGCATCCTGTAAAATTAATGCACCTGGTGTGGAGTCATTTTCAAGAAAAGTGGTATTTTGTATAAATTTCCAACAGTGGTCGGCTGACCACCGTTGGAAAAAAACTAACTTTTTTTCAACTACTGTTCCAAATTTACCATTTTGTTTTTTACCAAATTTTGTTTGCTATTGGTTTCATGTTCATGGACGTAGCAGGCCAGCTAGACTGGTTCCCTTACCTTAAACATTTCCGGCATCTATAAATTGATCCAGTTTCATCTTTAGTGGAGTCAAGGAACCAGACTACTTGAACATTTGTCTTTTTCTTGGTTTTCCAGCATTTTTTAACACAAAACTTTACACATGTCAGTGTAACAGCATTTGATCTGTTATACAAACCGCTCAAATAGTTCGTTTCTGAAAATTACACTAGCCAATTTTTGTACATTCCCTTTAAGTGTTGTGGCATCGATTCAATCAAAATATAACAGTCAGAAAAAAATGGCATTCGGTAATAATGTTAATTATGAATGACAGGCAAACACAGTGGCAAACATTATGCATGCTATTTTAGATATGAAACAAAATAAAACACTGTTTGGTGTAGTGGGTCAGTAGTGACATAAGCCAATAAGTCATATAAGTCATTTTAGACTGTTTTAACACTATTCAATATCCAACCAATACACCTGCCCAATTTGATTGAACATTATTTTTCTAAACGAATGCACCAAACTGAATTCCCGGGCATTAGTTACCAAAAAAGGTCTAAGGGATCATTTACTTTGTATATTCGCTTGCAATATAATCATCTCTCAAAATCCAGAGAAAAATGTTCAAGACCTAACATGTTGTTGATTACAAAACACGATTTTGACAACTGCTTTGGTTAGTAAAGTACCTTTTTTTGCTTTCGCTTCATGTGGATGTGTTTGAAGGACTGATTCCCATTTCTGCACCATAGTTCACAGAGTGACACTTTACAGCATCACGAACAGTCACTAACTCCATGCATTGTACAAAAATACGATAAGTCACGCCCAGGCTCTCCACTTTGGTTACTTCATGGAGTGAAACCGCGCGATTGCAGCAGGACACTCGCGGCACAATGCTCAGACGTCAAACCGGTGTCAGCTTATCGTGTTCCTTTTTGGCAGATGGTTGATATTCAAATCAGGAGAGCTTCTCGCTCACGGGCCCGCTGAAAGATCTTGACCGAGTGCCTATCAGCGACCACGAGATCGCCGTATGGGGTGAATGCCAAGCCAAGGGGAGAATAAAGTCCACGAACCAGTACCCGCTCAATGAAGACACCCTCGGGTGAATAATGATGCACTTCACCGCCTTCACTGCCTTCGGGATGAATTGAAACATAAATGTCCCCAGCTTCATCGCAGCACACGCCAGAGGGTTTCCCAGGGTGCCTTTCACACGAAGTACTAACACGGAACACCCCTTCTCCTGCACAGGTTGTGCAAATCAAAGTTCCCTTTGTGTAGTTTGTGAAGACAAAGCGTTCCTGAATGCCAATGGCTAAATCGTTACCAACCATATCATGTGGAAAGGTTTTTATCAGGGACCCGTTCAGCTTGTGGAGAGATATGAGCTTCCTGCCGCTGTCTACCACTGCTTTCCGATTCTTCTTGTCCACAGAGATATCGGTAAGACGACTCGCTGAATCAACGTCTGAATCATTCACTGATGGTTTAAACTCGCGTATGAATTTTAGACTTGAGTCAAACACCTTTACGTACTTTTTATCAGTGACCAGAAGTAGGTCATCGGTGGTCGCAGCTACTCCCCAGGGGTTATGCACATTTTCCTGACCGACACTTCTTTTATACTCTCCAGCGGAAGTAAACATTATCAACTTTCGTTTCGTTATCTCAGTTACGGCAATGTCACTGTTGATTAGGCACGCAACGCCTGCAGCACACTGAAATTCTCCATTTCCCAGCCCTGCATCACAAATCTCTTCCCTTAACTGCCATTCTTCATGAAGTACTTCGCCTAGGTCTGTATCTGCCACGACATCTTGACATTTGACCCCAATGAAAGAGAGCTCATGCTGTGCATACTCCACTGTGAGTTTTTCCTGGAACTCTAAGTTGTGCATCACCTTCGGTTTAAGATCCAACAGCTCAAAGTCGTCAGCTTGCTGCATCAAGTCGTTGACTGTCGATACAATCTGCTCGGCCCGCTCCATCTTGTCACGGTTGCTTTTCTGGACTTCCTCTAATGTCCTATCTTGTTCTTCTCCGATTTGGGTTACTTTGTCTCTGAGAAGGCGTGATTTGTTTCTGATCTTTTCAATCTCTTTTTCCTCTTTGGTGCCAATGTCTTTTAATACAGGCCTGGGCAACCATGTTTTTCAGCCTGTTCCTGGCACGTTGCAACGAATCATCGGCGAGTTTGAATTCATCTCTGCTCTTGTCGAACCTTTGCAGAATCTCGTCGACATCCTGACGGTACCATCGTATGGCGTCTGCGACTTCTATGTATTCATGCTCCGCTGTTCGATGATCTATGGCAGCACATTTTGCACATGCCAACGTCTTGCATGTCTCGCAGTAAAAACAGAGTTCATGATTAGTGTGCTTGTTACATTGCGGTGTATCTTTCTTGCGACAATCAGCCAGAGGTACCTTTGCTGTGCTTTGATGTTTCTTAGTAGATTTCTTTTTCCGCTGGGTATCCAGACATGTCTGACAGATGTTCCCATCACAGTCTAAGCATCTTGAGACGGCTTCTAAGCCTTCGTCGCATTCCTCACACTTTTGAGTATCCGCTGGCGCGTCTTCTAGCAACCGCTCCTGCTTGTTAAATTCATCGACGAGGGAACTCAGGAAAAAGCAGTTGGGTAGATACTGCAATCCAGTGTCTGGTACTGCAGTTCCCCGCCTGCAAACTGGGCAAGTTATCTCGTCTGCCTTTGGTGGCTGACTGCTGATAAATTCTTCAAGGCAGTTCAGGCAGAAGCTGTGCAGGCAGTCCAGCATCTTGGGATCAGTGAAACGATAGCAACAAATCGGGCATTCGAGGTGCCCCTGACTGATCGTACCCAGCACGGATTTTGCTGCAGCTTCTGCCATCTTTCTACAACAAAGGAGTGAAAAATCAGTTAAAATGATGAATGTGAATCTGAGAATAAAATGTCTTTTAGTAGATCAAATCTTTTAATAGGTCACTGATTGCTCAGTGGCATTGCTGTAATAGTTATTTGAATTCGAGGAAGAAAAGGAGACATATCTTGAGCGCCCACGTTCCCTTTTTGTCTATACCCCATGCACTCTTTATTTCTAAGCTCCAGGAAGAGCTTCTGCATGTCACTTCATGGTCAGTCGGTCGGTCGGTAGGTCCGTTCCCGGAAAATTGAGCCCCCTAAGTTCCCCATACAATATAACTACCAATTGGTCAAAAATTGACCTAATGCAACACCGTCGTCAGTAATTCACTCTTTACGAAAGTTTTTGGAACACGCCCCATTGTCTCGATCGATGCGCATCCGCGTCTATTTTGAAAATGAGGTGAGATATTCCGGAGCCGGGCCAGAGCTTATTGTGCAGCACTCGTGCTTGTTTTAAACATTATTGGGAATGGTCAATGAGAATGTGTCTGAGTTGCTGTCTACAGTTTGTATGGTTAGTCCCTGTAACTGTCCTCGTTTATTCGCCCTCGCAATGACTTCATCATCTGTCCTGCATTCAGTTTCATTGACTTTTAGCTCATGAACATAATACACTGAGTGAAAAAAACCTACAAACTGAACAATTGCATTTGCATATCAGCTGAGACACCTACCTTGTATGAACTCATGTAACCACTCCGTTAGCTTAAATATGGAGAGAGAGAGAAACGTTGAGAATTGAAGACAACCAATAGGTGTGTTTTCGGACGCAGGCATCCGTTTAATGAGACGAATTCGTATTTATTGTGCAATTTATTACTCCAATTTCCCAATGTCGGAAAAACCGACAGGTATTTTTGTGGCACAATGTAAATCGAGAGGTCCAAGGTTCAATCACTCATGCAGCGTATGACCTACTTGTGGTAAAGTAATTCCGGTACCTTAATTTACCAGCACCAAAAGCCTATAAAGTATGATAACACTAGTGATGGTGCTAATCTGAAGTTATCAAGTGGCTTCTGCATTTCGGTCGATGGTTTGGCTGTTGTTTTACTCTTGAAGTATTAGATTAGTTGTGTTTGGTTCTTATACCCTATCATCATCTTTTTGAATATATTTCTCTGGTTAAAAGTTAATGCAACAGTTGCTAAATACTTGAGTTTATGTTAAAGTTCAGTATCGATAAAGTATATCACTCCGTGTGGGGATGAAGTCTCCGGATCACTACCATATTTGTTGGGACATCCGAACCTCTTGAACGCTTGTTGACATTGTTTATAGCTTAACTTATCTTGATATAGTCTTGGCCCAAGACGCTAGTGATCGATAGTGGATCGTGCACTGTTCACCCTCGGATGGCACAACAATAATGTGCATACTCGCACTTACGTCGTGGGTAATTCGTAGCAGCTGTTTAAAGGGACACTAGGTCCTGAAATCACCGAAAATTTCATGTTTTCGATTATTTACTTAGCCTTTTTCAAACATCTGGTTGCAAGGAAACCAACCTAATGTCTTACCGTTCCCGAGAAAAGACGGGGAAAAAACCCGGTTGTTTACATCCGACACAACGGAGTACGAATACGTTTTTCGTGTCGTTCTCAGTGTACGATATACACGTTGTGTGTTTCGGGAACAGCGGTGACCAATCGCCAATGCAAAAAAAAACGGTTTCTTCAACGTCCGCAAAAGGCGACCACTTTACGAATGATATCACAACTAGCATCAAAACAGCTCGAATTTATGGGGTCGCAAAAGTGGACCCCAGAATTCGTTTTCGCATGCATAATACAGGAATATCACAAAACGCCCAGTTTTTAAAGGAAAGTTGTGTGGATGTTAAGCCTATATCCTACTTTTAAAGGGAATGTACATCATTGGCTTTTGCTGTTATTTTTTTTTAAATGAACTATTTGAGTTTTTTTTTTAGTACAATAGATCAAATATTGTTACACTGACGTGTTTGAGGTTTTGTGTTCGAAAATGCTGGAAAAGCCAAGAAAAACAAAAACGTTCAAGTAGTCTGGTTCCCTGACTCTACTAAAGATGAAATGGATCAATTTATAGATGCCGGAAAATTGTTAGGTCAGGAACCAGTCTAGCTGGCCTGCACCCGTTCATGAACATGTAACCAATAGCAAACAAAATTTTGACTGAACAAAATGGTAAATTTGGAGCAGTAGTTGAAAAATAGTTAGGTTTTTCCAACGGTGGTCGGCCGACCACCGTTGGAAATATATACAAAAATACCATTTTCTTGAAAATGACTTCACACCAAGTGCCATAATTTTACAGGATGCTTTAGACTGTCATTAACCAACATCCTAGTGAGGTATTTTGTAAAAACTTGGTAGTTTTATTTGTCGATGTTTGCAAATGTTGTATATTCCCTTTAAAATGTACTTTCCGATTAACATTATCTCGTTCAAAGCGCGTTTTGTAGCCCAATTGAGCTGTTCCAGTACCCAGTGTTCATTTATTTTTTTGTTTATTTTCTCCCCAGGCTTTCCGAGGGAACCAATCAGCGATCGAGAAATGGGCAGTAGCACGCGTTCGCGCGACGGATGTTAACATACGCGCTATACGCGAGGTGATTGATTTCATTCATATTTACACCATACCAACAGTCTAATTTACATAAAATGGCCACGCCTCCATTGCTACGAATTGCCCGAGACGTGAGTTAGAGAAAGTAGAAAAAAAATTATGCAAGGCGCTCTACAACAATGCAATTATCGCTATTGATCACTGACTTGGGCCAAGACTAACTTGACATGGCACTTGGCAAAATACCATACGCTACTTTGCACTATACGCACAGATGAAAGAAAGACGAATCAGATAAAATTGTCCGGACGCTTTCATTCAAAGACCGGCTTCTAATTTACAAACGACGACGCCTTTTGGTATGATGAGGACAACTATACACAATTCTGTATTTACCTTCGCGCGCTCGTGCCCAAGGTTAAGCCTGTATAAGGCGGCTCCAGACCAGTAATCGGTCCAAAACTGCCTACGCCGGCAAAATCATGATTTGCGTGCCCTCAAATTCCTCGGTATTGTGTGGGCCATAAACTTGAGGGTTTTGTAAATAAATAAGAAGGGTGGAATCCGTGCACAGGACCGTGAACTTGTGTTTTTGTGAAAATTAAATGAATTTGGGCACTAAAAGCGCTCTATTTTGCAATGGAGCGTAGAAATCGTTTTTTAAATGAATGATCATCTTCGGATGGAAATTTCTCACAAAAGTCATCGGATTAACCCCCCCCCCCCAAAAAAAAGAACAAACAAAAATGAATGATGATGAAATAAGCTTTAATTTGATGCGTGTCTGAAACAGCCTCGTCCCCGAGGCTTACTTTATTTTTTAACCTCGTCTCCAATAGTAAAACCTGTGTATACACGGGGAAGCTAATCGAACGCACCCAATCAGACTTTCGTAGAACTGCAACCCGCCTGCATGGTGCGCAGGAGGAAGAAAGGGGAAATATCACAAGAAGTTTGTTCACCTGTTGGCACAACAATAAAGGCCGTGGCATGCAACATGTACTTTACAATGTGTACATGTACATGTACATGTACATGACTGTACAAGGTCCCGTGTAACCACAACAGAATAGGGCCTTGTCTGAAACGGTCTTCAATAACGACGACTATTGTCAACTGTGCCCACGTACGTGATTGCAATCGGCGAAGAAATACATTTTATTTTTATGCGGCCTATATTGTCGGCCGTCCTGTTAGAAATAAAGCAATTATAGGCCTTCAGTACATCTCTAGTACTATACAGACTCACAATTCCGACTGTGGCGACACTAATTAATTGTATACAGTTGAGTTGTGAAGAATTATTCATTTTTAATAAGCTTAATCACAATCGATTTTTTTTCAACGACGGCTGTTTCGTTCACAGAAGATGCAACAATTCCATTGCGTTGTGGCAAGAGATACAATGTTATTTTATTGTGAAAGAAACACAATAATATTCTTGGGACAAACCTTTCATTGTTTTCACAGAGCCCTCATCACAAATTCAAATAAAAATGGTGATACTTTGCGACAAGTAGTATAATGATGATTAATTTATGTCGGTTCACAAGTCACGATAAAACGCAGACATTTTTCAGTTGCTGTATAAATGAAAGCAAATGTTTTACTGTGTCACATTTGCACAAGTTCACGGCGGGCTTGAATTGTCCTTTGAATCAGGTAACCTGTATTGGTAAATCTTTTCAAGTTTTGTCATGTTTTCTCCGAAAAAAATCTAAAAGTATACAATATTATTCCCCCCCCCCGCAATATTTTTGTTGTCTGCCAAAACAAAGCGAGTTAGCACTTAAAAATTACTAAAATTAGCTTCGACTGTAAGTCGTCGTCGTTGCATTTTGTTTGTTTTGCAACATGAAATTGAACCAAAGCATCATCACATGAGGATAATGGGAAGAGTTTGGATAATAGAAAGGAATAGTATTTATTCAGCCTGTACAATACATAATATTCAGACGCATGTCAGATCGTCCTGTATTTCTAAATTGTCCTGTTTTCATTGCTAATGCAGTGTATTTTTCAGTAGCGTGTGGTAGAGGAGGGAGGGGTGGAGGCTGCAATATAATTAATGTTACTGAAAACTAGTACATTGGGTCAAAATAAAAAAAAAAGAATGCTGAAGTTCATAAATGCATTTTTATTTCTTAAATTGCCTTATAATGCAGGAGAAATCATCATAGATTTTACAATTGTCCGGGACATGAACCCAGACCATGGGCGTCGCGAGGGGGGGGGGGGGGGGGGGGGGGGGGGGGGGGCAAGGGGGGGGGGCGCTTGCCCCCCCCCCCCCTGGAAAACCAAAAAAAAAAAAAAAAAAAAAAAAGAGGCGCGAAGTCATAGTGGTGTAAATTTAATGAGTTGGGGGGAGGGGCGAAATGTCCCTGCCCCCCTCTAAAACTGAGAAGTCGAGAATATGTTGAGAAATACAGGAATTTTTGGGAAAAAATATGTTTTGCCCCCCTCTAGAAAAAAATCCTGGCGACGCCCATGACCCAGACCCCTTGGCCTAACCTTTGGCACGCCTTAGATACAAACCACCCCCCAATATATCAACCCCCCCCCCCCCGTTTCCTGAAAACTAAATCCGCCCCTGATTTTAGACGCGACGAATGAAAGGCACCGGGTTGAAATATATTGACCGGTTTTAAAGTGTGTATTTAAGGGGGAAAGGTGGTTAGGATGCATATGGCTGTGTATGGCTAGTGTTGGGCAACCATGCACCGCTTTTCATTATGCCCACAATAGTTATTTACATATCACTATTGAAAGAAAAATCACAAGTTTCCTCTCCTGGAAAAAAAACCCGTACGATTCTGATAATCTTAGCTCTTTGCTTATACAATGCCTTCACCATACGTATGACTACAAACAGCGTCTCATTACTGTGCCTTGAACACATTTTGACTTAATCGCCTCAGCCACCATCTCCGAGGTATAATCCTTGACCGCAATTGCTTTTTTTTTCCATTATTTTGCGGTTTCACATATCAGAATTAAATCAGGCCAATTATAGCACAAATTCGCGGTCATGAAATACAAGAAAATGAAAGAAAGAAAACAGAACAATCTTTGGCCATAGTTTACTATACATGTACATTTCTTTGGCCATAGTTTACTATACATGTACTATTACATTTCTTTGGCCATAGTTTACTATACATGTACTATTACATTTCTTTGGCCATAGTTTACTATACATGTACTGTTACATTTCTTTGGCCATAGTTTACTATACATGTACTATTACATTTCTTTACCCAGAGTGTGCCCAAACAGTGTAAAGCTTGATTCCATTGGGGCCCTGCATAGCTACAATTACAACACAGCACAATATAATAAAATAAAAGTATATTACTGCATGATTGTGAAGCAACTATTTATAAATTGGTAGGCTATTATGATCGCCAAGGATCCAGATTCAAAAGGCAAAGGCACGGTGCTTGGTCATTAACAATGTGATCATTGGCTGGAAAGGTTAAGGCCAAATAAAAACAGAGAAAAGTAAGGGGTTAACTGCGTAGAAATACCAACACACACTGTTGTTCTGCACTCTGTGGTTCCCTCCATTCGATGCTATTATTGAAAACCGACAGTGACAGCGCATGTACATACACATGTGATAGTAATGGCTCTACACACAGAGAGGGAAATTCTCTCCCACCGTTGGGAAGGCAGTAATCCTGTTGGCTGAAGATGCTGCTTTGTTTGGGGACAGATTACGCCGTCATTTGTTCCCCAGTTTGCTTAGCCTGGCTGAGAGGCGTGGACCGGGTTGAGCTGGGCTGTGATTACGTGGCGTAGCGGTACTGACGATCGATAAATGTAACTCCATCGTACAATGCATGCCACTGATCCGTCTCATTTCTATCACATCTTCATGTGTTCAGCTTGTCCTTCTCTAAAAATGGTCGGCCGCGATAATAAGAGGATAAGGTTTAAACTGCCCTCTGGCAACTCTTAAAACTCGCAATGGATGACGCTTTCTTCTTTGCTTTCGAGTACCGATTTATTTTGGGTGTACAGTAGACGGCCGTAACGGGATATTAAAATCAGTGCTGCTATTATGCAGTGTTGATTAGATCGCAGGTGTTCGCCTTGGACGGAGTGAGATAAGGGAGCAGACAAGATGAATGTAGCGGAGACGTTGATGACCCGCTCGGGGAAACTCATGGTAGCTGTCCTGTTCGTGATATGGGCTGGCACCATCCTTCTCGTTATTGACACACGAAGGAACTACACTGATAGGGGTTCTCGGGACACGGAGTGTCCCTGCCGACTGCAGAGACATTCGGATGAAATCCCGTTGTCACCGGTACAGGCTAATGCTAGTAACCCTGAGGACAGCAAGCCAAAAACCATCGTCAAGGTGCTGAAATACTGCCGTCATGAGAAGTCTAACTCGACAGTGGGCAGGCAACCGTCGCAGTCCGGAGGGGAGAAATCACCGCAGCGCCTGCCTCCAAACGACCGGCCGGCGCACCCGCCCGGTAAGCCCAAGCCGCCCGGCCGGAAATACACCAACCCCCACCCGTACTACTTCACCATGAAGAACCCGGGCGCCTGCAAGCAGTTCACCAACAAGCACGGGTACGTGGACGCGCTGTGCCTCGTCCTCACGGCACCCGGGGACAGCTATATGCGCTCGCTGATCCGCAAGACCTGGGGTAGCGCCAAGCTGGTCAAGGGAAAGCGCATCGTGACCATGTTCCTCCTTGGCAGGCGGGACGCCGAGACCCAACACCTCCTGGAACTCGAGAACAACCACTACCACGACATCATTCAGGAGAATTTCTTGGACTCCTACTACAACCTCACGCTCAAGACACTGATGGGCCTGCGCTGGGCCGCTCAGTTATGCCCTAACGCCCGCTACATCATGAAAGTAGACGTGGACATGTTTGTCAACGTCTACAATCTCGTGGACCGCCTGGACACCGCTCCCACTTTGAACTTCGCTGAGGGAAACCTCAAGGACGTCACAGAGCCCATCAGGAACCGGCAGAGTAAGTGGTACACCTCGAGGGATGTCTACCCCGACAAGACCTACCCGCCGTACCTGGACGGGCCTGCCTACCTGATCTCCGGGGACCTGTCCGCCCGCATCTTCGGAACCTCCTTGAACGTGCGCTTCCTACCTTGGGAGGACGCCTACATGGGCATCATTATGCACCGCATCGGCGTGGAACCGAGGTTCAATGGCAAATACTCCAATTACCTGGATTATGACAACATGCAGGACACGTTACGAAAGATCAGCCAGAGTGTTGCCTTCCATTTGGGCGAGGACAAGGAGGAGAACAGAGAGAACATCTTGATGGTCTGGAACTACGTGCGCAAGTTGAACGATATTCCTGTTCTGGAGGAGTGATCACTTCTCGTACAGCATTCCATCTTGACGTTTAGTGAAATATTAATTAATAATTTATTTAAAGATTTGCCCCAAAAAGAGTCAAATCTATTGTGTTTTGGTCAGACTTGCGATCAGACTTGTGATTCGATCATTTAATTGTACAAATGTGTATATATCAGTTGAATGTATTTTTTTTTCCTCGTAAATCCGATCCAGAATGCACACGACACTACATTCCATCGTGAATGACTAAAATATTCACCTGACATAAAGGTATGCCCTAACGCAGTATTTCGGATGCCAATCTTATTTCAAATAAACTCGTGGCATCTATCGGCGGGGGGGGGGGGGGGGGGGGAGAGGATATGCCCATCCACTTTTCGACCGGGGAATAGGCGATTGGATCGTCCTCCCCAAGAACTGTTGCGGTGGAGCAAAAACTCTGCAATAGTCCACAAATATTAAATACGCAGAGTTCTGTAAACGGAGAACGAACAGTACAAAAGCTTTAAATGTACGGTTTTGATGTAAGGTTAAGGGATGTAAGGTTAAGGGACGTAAGCCCCCCCCCCCCCCCCCCCCCCCACACACACATTTGGAATTTACACGGTTTGGGATCTTTGGTCAACCCCTCACCGACACAGATTACGCCACTGTGTGTGAACTATTTTTTATTTAAATTTAATATAAAGAACTTAGACTCAGTTGACATAATTTTAAAAAAACCACCTTTTTATTCCAAAAATAAAACACGATCACTGTTGATATTATCAATTTAAGCCTAGATTATCGTTGTATTTGCATCAGTTTTAGCTTTTTACTTGTCTACTTGAAGCTTCTACTTGTCACTTGGTGGTTGTTGGTCGAATGGTCCACCGTCTGTCTGTCTGTTTCCGGAAAATTGAGCAAATGTTCGGGGTTCCACATTTGCCATCGGCGTTGCATTTTTTCAACTGTGGCAGGAATATATTTCATGCAAAACGGCCAGAGCGGCGAGTGATCGCTGACCACGAGTTGGCATTTTTTTTATCAACAATTCTGCTTATTTTTTTTACACACAAAAGTAATACCTTTTATTTACATCTCTTATTTGAGTGTGCAATACAGCAGGGCAGTCAAGACCGACATGATTTTAATTAACAAACCTACAGAAACACCGAGGCCGAGAAGTTCATTTAAGTGGACCATTTGCTGCGATAAAATGCTCTAATGTTTGAATTGACAATATTATTCAAACAAATTAACTTGAATACGATTTATCAGTCATTATCAATTTTCTTTCCAAAGAGTCATTCAAAGTCAACGGAATGTACAGGGTGAGTAAAAAATGGAAACCTAAATATCAGGACCATTTGTTTTAAAGAAGTTCTGCATGTAGCACTTTGAAAATCAAGGATATGAAAGCCCAATTCATAAGCTTTCTTTTAGTACAAGAATCATTCAAATCACTCATGTACTTTTCAAGTTAACGGAATTTTAAACACAAACACCGTTTTAAAGTTCAGTCAACGGATCACAGAAAAATGGTAAGTGTTCTTTCAGCAAAACGAAAACAATTCACATACATCCCTAACGTACATTGTGAGAAAAAAAAACTGGTCCTGCTATTTTGTTTCCTTTTTTTATTCACCTGTAGTGATTTCTTGATATCATGAACGAGATTAAGAATTGCTCAAAGATAATTACGATTTCAATTTGACATTTTGTTCCTTTCATGTCCCTGTGGTAGTTTTTGTACATAATAATTATTCTTCACACGTATGAAATAGGGTGGTTTTAATGATGCGTTCTTGCTGCAATCCTCATCTTATAATATTATTTGTTGGGTAGTTTTGATGATTTGTTTGACAGTTGTTTCATTAAATCAGGAGACATAAATAGCAAGATTCAGATTACTATTATAGGCATAATTTTTCTTGTGTTCCTAATTAGGGGGTGTAATAATACACGAATAAGCCTGATCGCCCCACATTTTTACGAGCCCCTTGCAGTACATAAATACACACGGAATATTTACTACATGTTAGAGAAAATCCGTCGCTGCTGTCAATATTGCCGAACACAGAAACATTCTGATCGTACACAATGACTAATGCGATGTAATATATTCGGAGGGTCACGGCACTTCTTCCTTCACAATGGACGGGAATTAGTGGCCTTTTGTGTCTGCGGAATGTTATATAATTGTGCGCCGAAATGCGCCATTAAAAGTCTTCCACTGCGAACTCATTGATCCGTTGCTAGGATTTACCCGTTCTCAATGAGTCAATGCGCAAATGTTGTCCATACTGTGTATGCCAATTTTGCGTTATCAAAATAAATCCGCAGCTTACCATTTCGTGTAGCAGTTTCGTACAAGGACGAATCCAGAACACAATTTTTTTTTGGGGGGGGGCCAAAAAAAAATTTGTGTCTCCCAAAAAGTGGGTCAAAAAATTACGCTTAAGGGCCCCGAAATTTTTTTGGATTCTCGATGCTCTGTGGTGCGATCTGAGGCAATTTCTGACCCCTTTAGCCAATGTTTTTTTAGGAAAAGATGGTGGTGTACTCATTGCCTGCCTTTATTGCGATGTCACATAAAAACAACAACGTTGGGGGGGGGGGGGCATGGCCCCCTTTGCCCCCCCCCCCCGTATCCGCCCTTGGTTTCGTATAAAAAGCTCATTGACTTAGAGGTCACGATTTTTTTCCCCAGTGGAACCCTCAATTTTATGTCACGTTTTACTTCATTTTCAGTCGTCATATTGCTGTTTGTATAGCCTTGATCCAATATGTAACTATCTGGTGTTTGTTTAACCCTAAAAGGGCCCGGTTATTTCGACCAGCTTACAGCCGTGGGGCGATTTTTGTTTCTCTCCCAAACGACATCCACATATAGGTGTACGCCATGGCGTTCTGAACTTAACTTGTATACAAACATGAGAAGAAAATACAAAATTAGAAAAAAAAGGGAATTTGAACGTTATGAAATTCGGACTTTATTTCCCTTTTAAAAAATATCCTCCAAAGCCTCAGGTTAGAAAAAGAAAAAAATCCGGGTGCAAAACCGAGATTCAAACCCACAATCTCACGGTGTAAAATCCTACTTTCTATCTGTAGGCCATCAGCTGAAACTCAAAAACCGGCTGTAAAATGAGTTTCGTTCCAGCAACACTGGGTCTACTTTTTTAATGCACATATGTGGGGTTCAGTACATCACAAACACTATGTCAAAAGTTCTCCAGCAAATATGCTGCCTTGTTGTTTTTTTTACACCTCATCAAAGTTTGCCAATGTTATGTACATGTATATGCTAAAAAAAACCACATTTTCCAGTTTGAGGCCTTGCGTTGGCACTTCCAATTTCAAAACTACGCACGTACAGCACTATAGCTTGTCATATCCTAGAAACTCCTGACCCTAGAAACTCCTGGGTCAGACTCAGTCTGCTCAGTCCTTTTCCGGGTCAAAAATTGACCCCTTTTGGAGTCATAAATGACCCCTTTGGAGTAAAAAAAGACATGTTTCTCGGTCATTTTGACTGAAATGTGTATTTTTTTTTACCCAGAAAAGGACTGAGCAAATTTGGATTCAGATTCTGGGTCAATTTGACCCAGGAAATTTTAGAGTTAAAAAATATCTTTTATGTACATTGGCAAGTGGGTCACACAGAACATGACCTTTTGTTTTCTCATCTGGTAGACATCACCACAGTCCCTCTTCCAAAAAATATTTCACTGTAATCTAACTTATTTGGCAGCATACAACAATGCAATTATTTTGAAGGTTTATAATGCAGTGGTGGAACCAGCTCAAGATTAATGAAAGTGAGGGGGTGCCCAAAATGGAGGCGTCTTTAGAGTAAATAAATACCTGCACATGTAACCAGCAGAAGAAACAGGAAAGCAGACAAGACATGTCCCTTTAAACAAAGCAAACTAACGCATATAAAAAAAAATAATGGGTGCTATGCCCCCCAAACCCTCTGGATCTGCTGTGGTGAACCAGGTACGTCACTTAAAGAACCTTCTACTTGTAAGAAAGACCACCTTTTTTGGAATGAAACAGGCTTTAAATACAATTATAAATCAAAGGACCATCAGATAGAAGTCAGAGTCTGGTTTAATAATTTCAAAAATCAACCATTGTACATTTATTTGCTATCTAATCAAAACAGCCATCTTGGTTTGGAGAAAAGCCTTAAGATCAGTCTTTTGTCAAAGAAAATGTCAGCTTTTTATTTATTGATACATTGATTAGCACGTATAAATGTTTGCATGTATATCAATAAAAAGAAAACAAAACCATAACTCATGCTATTTTGTATGCTTACACATTAAAGAGAGTGATTTGGCTTGTCATATGTGGCTAGTCTCACTGTTAAAATTCACAGAATTTGCCTTTTTTACTGGAACTAATTTTTAATAATTGAAAAGAATTAAAATGAATAAAACCAACACTAATGAACAGAAGGATACAATTATGTAGTTTTGAAATCTAGAGTTACTCATTATTTTCATTATAATGTCAAATGCTAACTAGTCGTGCTGATACAACTTCAAGTAAATGTTATCACTACATCAAAGTTCTCATCAAATCTTGTGCAGTAACAGCATAACAACAGGGTGGAGCGTATGTCTTGCTTTCTAAGCAAAAGTTTCAGTTTTGAATCCTCCTCTGAAGTCCCCAGAGATTCAACTACACATCCAGCAGATAAAGTAGCGGTGTAGATGATGTCCCATATATCAAGGAAAGAGATCTGTGGATATTCTCTTCTAAGCCGATATGTCAACTTGTCAGTTCTGTAAAAAAAAAAAAAATTGTAAAATATAGACAGGTTTAGTATCTGATGATCAAAAACAATGATTACTGTGGATGTGCTTTAGAAGAAAGAAAACAACTTGTTCAATCTAGAGTTAAATTACAAGAAAGATCACGTGCCCGATCGTTTTGCCTTCCACTGTAAATATGTAAACATTGGTAGCTATTGAGAACCAACCTTTTCAGCTTCCAAAGCAATATCAAGAAGTTTTCATTTTGAATATTCTATTAAAGTTTATGTCTGTTTGCACTCTGAATAACAATCAAAACATCTTACCGATATAAAGATCCAAGGCCAGTTCCTTCGGTTTCTAAATCATTTCATGATTCCAACAGTTCAGCAAGCTGGGACATTCTCATGACACTAAGTTGTTGATCGGGGTTGAACAGTCAGTCGCAGAACATCTCCCTTTTCCTGACGTTCATCCTTTAGGCCTATATATATATAATCAAATAGTAAATTCTATAAAAAGCTATTTTGCTATTTTATACAAAGGGAAAGACTACCCTCACACCTCCATAAAAGTATCCTTCAACAATGGAGAAAGAGACTGCACAACATTTTCTTATGGGATTTTGTGCAGTACCCAGTGTACTTTGGCATCTTAACGTTAGACATATATTTTCAGTGCCAGAGGTACTCGGTTTGAATCATGGATGATGGAACAAAAAAAAAAACCTTTTTTACTGGGTTTTTCAAATAAGATCTATTTGTCATTGAAGACATTTTTCTTCATTGACTTCAGAGAATTTTTCTAAAAGGAAAGTAAAGTCCAAGAACCATTCGGTAAACAAGTGACGTACCCAACAGTCCAATGCCGTAGAGAAAGAAAAGGTGTTTTTTTATAACCAGGAATCTGTTATCATTTTGAATGGTATCTTTTGCAAGAAAATAAAATTTTCCTATGCATTTTCAGTTGACGCCATCCAAATCGATGCGGTTCTGTGCATTCACGGTGCATCGTGGTGACCACCAGCTTTGCTTTCGCATTGCTTTTTTATCGTTGTGTCACCCCAGTTTCCCTCAAAGAAATTAAAACCTAACCTTACCCTAGCAGGAGTTACCCAGCCCTGAGTTTTATCATTGGGTTGTCATTGGTTGCGGTTCCAGTACCAAAGCTGTGATGCGAGTGGTAAACCTTATATTAGTGCATAAAACAGTCATCGGGTGTTACGCTTCCGCGTGACGTCATGCGCCAACAGCCAGCGCAGCCGGCAAAAACGAGTAGTTGACAGCGATCGCTCTCTGTGCCTGTTAATCGACCGCCATTCATTGTACACAATTTTTCGTGTGCACAAACCAATTGCGGTCCTGGCCAATCCAGCACGGTTGTCAAGTTAGCAGTTATTCCTCCTGTTTTCACTGCAATTGTAGGCTGAATCTTCATCGTGGATCGTTTTTTACTTCAAGGACCTGTGTAATGGTTATTCCAGGCAAGTTTGGGGTGAGTTGCAGTTGCAATTAGTGTGTAACGGGGACAAAATTGAACATTTTCCAAAAAATTTTGCCTATACTACAAGTTACGAGAAAAATTCGCTCCAGCCCTAGATGACAACCCAATGATAAAACTCAGGGCTGGGTAACTCCAGCTAACCTTACCCTTAATTCAAGACAATTAAACCCAAACATGGATTTGTTGGTTCTTTTTTGGGGCACATAAATACACAATCGCCTTTATTATAATGACATGTAGGCCTACCTCCAACGGAAGTTCTGCTTGTTGTACTGTCCTTGAATTGAGGTTTTCATCGAAATCAAAATCCTGGTTGAGTTTGTGTGCAGCATGACACAGTTATGTAGATAGGCAATTCAAAGAAACTTGAACTTTGCCCGGAGCTTTTTCGGTGAAGAAATCTTGGTCTCAGCTGAAGTGTCTGGTTTGCGTTTTCTTGCAGCACCGAGACGTTTACTATCTATAAAAACCGCCACGGGTGAGCTCGGCCGGCCGGACTGCCTTGTTTACATGCGCCGGTAGTGCATGATGTAGTACTGTACAGTACGTACGATACAGACATGGCAGATCCACTGCCCACACATCGTGGGTATATTCGGCGATGCCATTGTGAAATTCAGCCACTCTTTGGCACAGGAAATGAACTTACTATCACCGGACATCAGATCCTTCGCATTTCCTCCCTCAAACGTGACAGATTATGAGTACAAACACTTCTTTTTTGCACCGGTCGATGTTTACGTTGACGCACTTTTGCCAATGGACACCGCCATGTTTGTTAAATGTCATGACCTGCGACCTCATATCTGGTGTCTAATTGGACAGTTCACGTCACGTGGTACGATGCGTCATACGCAGCGGATTTTTTTAACGTAGGCGCGGTACGTTTTTGAACGTCCACAGTGGACAAATAGTTCGCTTTTTCGAGTCAAATTATCAAAAAACTGCTGGACGAAATGTGGAGAACTTTTGTAGTATCATTCTTTGGAAGTGTATTTCGGTACAACTGTTAAAAATTTTTAGACCCGCGATTGCTGGAGCGAAACGAACGAATTTTCCAGTCCAGCTGACGGCCTACTGCTGATCTGTTGCATTGCACGCTACATCGTGTGAAAACAAATAATCATATACCTGCGTGCGTATCAAAAAATAACGTAGAGGACGCTAAAAATGTCTGCGGATGTAGTTTGGGAGAAAAAAATCGCAGCAGGCGGGGAGGGGGGGGATCCGCCCAATTCCCCTCAGATCTCGGCCATCGAGTGACGAACAATTATGAAACTCGGTACATGCACAGAACAACTTAATCTGAACATACCTAAGAAATTAAATAAGTACAGATAACCCAGTGGGCACATGACGTTGTTTCAACGTTGAATGTTGGTTGAAATGACGTCACGACGTCGAAATACCGTAAAACAACGTTATTTCAACGTCACTTTTGCGACGTTGATTTTATGTTACAGTTTGACGTTGTTTCAACGTCGAATAAATGTTGAAATTGCGTCGCGATATTATCAACCTAAATTCAATGTCTATCCAACGTCGGTTTTGTAACGTTGTTCCAACGTCCATATTTCGACATTAATCCAACATTGAATGTTGGTTGAAATTGCGTCGCGATATTATCAACCTAAATTCAATGTCTAACCAACGTCGGTTTTGTAACGTTGTTTCAACGTCCATATTTCGACATTAATCCAACGTTAAATGTTGGTTGAAATTGCGTCGCGATATTATTAACCAAAACTCAATGTCTATTCAACGTCGGTTTGGTAACGTTGTTCCAACGTACATATTTCGACATTAATCTAACGTTGGATAAATGTTAAAATTGCGTCGCGATATTAACAACCTAAAATTAACGTCTCTCTGACGTCGGTTTGGTAACGTTGTTCCAACGTACAGATTTCGACATTAATCTGACGTCGAATAAAAGTTTAAATTGCGTCACGATATTGACAACCGAAATTCCATGTCTATTCAACGTCAGTTTGGTAACGTTGTTCCAACGTACAGATTTCAACATTAATCTGACGTTGAATATGCGTTTAAATTGCGTCACGATATTAACAATGTTAAATTCAATGTCTATCAATCGTCAGTTTTGTAATTGTTCCAACGTATTTTGACATTATTCTGATGTTGGATAAATGCTTAAAATTGCGTCGTGATAACGACCTAAATGTACCAACGTCGGTTTGGTAAACTTTGTTTAACATACGGATTTTAATTAGTCCAAAGTTGAAAAAATGTCGAAATTAAGTGCGTCGCAATCAAAAATATTGCATTGCTTTGAAATTGAGTATCCTCGCGGTTACTTCAACGTCAGTCCTGCTGTATCAATTAACGTATAATTTTAACTATCAAAGTGCAAAATATTATGTCAAGCAATATAAACAAAATAGCCGACTTAATTGAACTTTGTGGCCTTTTTTATGAAAACATATTATTTGTCAGCACGCCAAAGCTGTGACGCTAGCCAATCACACGGCGCGTAATTTGTTCTACATTCCAAGGTTGTGACGCTGGCCAATCAGTTTTCATGTACTCTCTTTGAATCACGATATGGCGCGCAAGCATATGACCGTTACATATTTCGACATCATACTGCAGTTGTGTGGACGTGTAGCGTGCAGCCGACATCATTTTACTCAAATAACAGGTAAGAATTTTGCCATCAAAATTCGTAGGTATTGTTATGATGTTGCTTAGACATACCTGACGTTTATTCGAAGCACTTACTTATTAATTGCAACCAATTTCTCCCCAAAACGATAAACAAATATTGACACATCACTGGGGTCGGGGACACTGGCATGCATGGTCACCGATGATACCGGCGTCCGGTACGTATGGGAACCAGGTCGACCGCATGCATCCCGGCACTCGGAACAGTGTATTGCTGAGCTGTACTAAAACGGGTTCAATGGGAAAGTAGTGAGAGAAATCCTGAGAAATAATCCTCCATTGGCGTTTTGAACTGTACAGTATAATGGACGTGTGACTTAAACTTTCCGAGACGATATTGTTACCATGAATAAATGTGGCTCAATTACTGGATTTCCTTTGTATTGAAAAGTTGTTTCTGAGGAAATAGAAATTGCATTTTTTTTCACTTGGTAGACCTTATGGACATGAAATGCATGATGATGAAATGTACTTAAGCCTACCTGGTTAAAAAAAATAATAACCAGGAAAAATATAATTCGATTTTCTGCACTGTAGAGTTTCAGTTTTCATGTAATTTTCAGGCTAAAAAGTAAAAATGGATCGTCCAAAAGTGATTGTAGAATGGAATGCAGTATATTTTCTCGAGGTCAATTACTGCCATACTGGATTTCTTCGTACAGCTACACAGCGGTGATAGGTCGTGGGTCATGTACATTATACCGTTTTACTTCCCCTGATTATTAAACCAGGTGGGTTATCTTCCATAGGGAATAGGCCTATCAAGTGGGGGATAAACACTCCCGATTTCGATTTCACATGTTGCTATCACCACCCCGGTGCTCTTGTACATGTACAAGTCACAAAACGGAGGAAGTTGCTGGGTAGTTCCTTGATCCTTTGTGTAAAACTAAAAGTTGCTGTGACAATAGTGAGAATGCATAACACAAATTTCTGTATCAAAACTTTAGGTAAATGCAAGCATGGATAATTATACCGCTGTTTGTAGCCTGTGCTGTGAATGGTGCAATAACAAAATGGACTCACGGTGCAGGGAGTGAGTAATTACGTAAATGTATTGGCCTAAGTAATCAATCATTGCATAGGCAGGTGGTATTTCTACATAAACTTGTTTTTGTTTTGTGTAGATACTAGACATGGTTTGCATATTTTTTGGGGAGTATGCAGAGTCTAAGTTTGGCAGGTAGGACAGGTAGGGTAGTTAATCTCACTTGTTCAGCTTCTGAAGAAAAAAATCCTTTTCAAAATTCCAGAAGAGTTTACAAGACCTCACAGATGACGAAACCCCACTCAGCAATGATTCATACAGGAATTGAGGAGGAGCCAAAGTCAGCATGGATTGTCGAACCAGTATGGAGGAGTTATGTATGACTTTCGAAGATGCTTCAGTTTGAAATCTTTCGGACAGTACTCGCAGTGCCGTAGCTGGTATGTATATGCCGACAAAAAAAAATTCAGGGCTAAGTTTTATGGCAAAAACCGATTATTTTATTCTTAAGTCAATAACACTTGCAGAGATGTAGCTCTGATTGCAGTCATCGCACATAAAAAAAGTGGTATTCAAATCCATTTATACTTGTGCGAACAACAGACACAATGGCCAGTTCATTCAAAACGTTAACAAAACGCAAAAATGAAAACAGATTTGTGGCTATATCTTAATTGAGTGTTGGCAGAAGTTTCGTCACAGTGCATTGTATAATAACTTGTGTTTGTTTACACTCTTCCGTTATCTTTTTTCCTGATGGGTCTTTGCTTTTGTCTCTGAGCGTTGTTTTTTTTTCTCATCCAACAGGTGCATGACCAAGTGATTGAAGACAGTTCAACAATGATGGGCAGAGTGGAACTGAAAAAAAGCAGATGAGGAGACGGACCTTTTCAGTTTCGCAGGTAATTTAATTTTCTTCGCCAGATTTAATTTATTTTGACCAATTATTGATCTTGGTTAAAATCTCATTGTGTGGGTACTTGGTTGTATGGTTGATAATTGCTGAAGTGTCAGGAAATACAAGTGGTAGTTTTTATAAGTGCAAGTTTAATAAAAGGAATCATTCTGTTGAGTTTTTGTACACAATGTCAGCACATAAAATGATGACCAAACGTGTTGTCGCTTTGTTGAAAATAATATGGTTTATGTATGTATTTCTCTTTGTTTGTGTTTGTAACATTTTCGTTTTTGAGGGTGATTTGGTTGTGTTAATGAATAAAGAGATGGTTGGGGAGGAAGCTTGCAATTCTAAAATATTACACTATCTTTTATTTGTCTTTTCTAGCGAGGTCTAGTAACTTCGTAATCGGGCAAGGTGATGGATGTTGCTGCTTGTTGAGTTTTTCATCTCCTGTCAAGTTTGCGCCTGAAAGAAGAGGTGATGGAGGGACACACTGAGGGCCCATGCACCTTCACATTCAGTCGTACCTTTGGACTGTGTTAAATATTTCAATATTGGAACAGTTGATTAATAGTAATTGTTCAAATACAGTAAGTTGCTCTGGAGTGGCTGGTATCTTTCCGTAAGTGTAACAGGTAAAGGCTCTTTAAGTGATGGAAATTCAACCTCTGCCGCATCTTGTACTTTTCATCTTGAAACTTCCACGTTCGAGAAGTGGGGGACTGTTATAATAATTATATACAGTACATGTATTGTGCATTATTTAGTTATTACTGTTGATTCTTGGTTGACCTGTTCAAATGTTCAATTGAATCATTTAGATTAATTTTGTATGAATGATGCTGTTTGTTTTATTATTTTCTATTTGATAGTTTCTAATGCTCTTGCCCAAGTCTGCCGCATAACCTCTTGCAATATTTCACAAGAAAATTCATAGATATGATAGAATAGTGCTGCAGGTAAATTTGGAAAACTAATATGAATTGTATGCAAATGAAAAAAAAAAGTGAATTTAGACGTTTAAAAATTGTACCTGTATGCTTGTTAATTCGTGTTATATTTCCGATGTAAATGCACTGGGCAGTGCTGCATTTCTTTGAAAAAAGAATCAAATTCATTATCATGTATCTTTTTAGAGACTAGTACCCTCGTTTAGGCTATAATGCTGTTGGAACAAGTCAATCTAATTCTGAATTTTACTATGTATGGATTAATTACTACTTTGTTGAAACCTAAAAGGTGTTGTATAAGCTGAAAAGGTTGGAAGTTAATTAATAAATACACACATTTTTTTATGGAAAAAATTAAAGTGATTGATAAAGAATTTCATTTAAATTTAAAGTTATTCAATTTCGACATGGATTTAACAACACTCCTCAGCTTGCAAATTTATTTAACATAGAACGATTGGAAAAATGCCAACATCCACCATTATCAGTACATTCTGGCTTTAAATCTTAACACAAACCTTAAAATATTTTGATTCAAGAATTGCATTTATTTAACTGTGATATTTCTAAGAATAGGATGTCATTTAATGTTGATTATTTATACGTTGATTGAACATCATGTCAGTGCTATTTTAATGTAGAGATGTCGACGTTAAATCAATGTTGAAATGTCTACGTTAACTCAACGTTGTGATCTTAACGTTGTTTCAATGTCGACATTTCCACGTCGCTTCAATTTGCAAATTCAATCATTAATCAACGCTGAATCAACGTAGAATCTCCGACATTAAATCAACGTTGACATATCTACGTTGATTCAACGTCGTGCTCTCCACGTTGGTTTAACGTCAGCATAATGACGTCAGATCAACTTGCAAATTCAATCATTAATCAACGTTGAATCAACGTAGAATGTCCGACATTAAATCAACGTTTTAATATCTACGTTGATTCAACGTTGTGCTTTCCACGTTGGTTAAACGTCAGCAAAACAACGTCAGATCACCTTGCAAATTCAATCATTAATCAACGTTGAATCAACGTAAAATTTTCAACATTAAATCAACGTTGAACTGTTGACGTTGATTCAACGTCAGCATTTCAACGTCAGATCAACTTTCAAATTCAATCATTATTCAACGTTAGTTCAACGTCGGAATCTGACGTTGTTTCAACGTTATTTCAACGTATTTTGCCCACTGGGAAAAGAGTTTTGGAATTATGGCTAATTAATTAATCATTTGCGACAATGGTAATTCTGCTTTGTGTACACAACATAATTAATATGAGAAATTCAGTTTTCACGGCGCGAGGCGCCAAATAAAATTGTCGCTGCGCGGAATTTGACGGAATTTTACGTTTTTTTGGTATCAAAAGATGTGCAAGACTCGAGCCTATTTAAAAGATCAAGAAAGCTCGAGTCGGTTTTTTTTTTTTTTTTTTGTGAGGGTATCGTGGAAAAAAGTTTGGGGGGGGAGGGCGGATTCCGCCCAGCCCTTTTTAGGGTTATAGGTTTCGAATTCTTCAACTGATCCCTCAATTTTATTTCCCATTTTACGTTTATTTCCAGTCATCATATTGCTGTTTGTATAGCCTTGGCCCAAGACGTTATTATTTGGTTTTTGTTTAAAGATATAGTCCATCATTTGTAATTTGTGCATTTTGTTCGTTTGAAGCAACAAAAGTGTTCAAACTCTAATGAAGAATACTGAACAACTAACCTGATGAAATTTCAGCTCAGCTTCAGCTGTATATTCCGAGAAAAACAGCATTCTAGGATCTCAATTTCAAATAAAAAAATGCTGAATTATGTTTTGAATTGTTTTGAATTGCAGCTATACGCGATGTCGCGCACTGATCCGACGAATTATAGCAACCGCGCCCTCCTGTGCGTCGTGCCAATGCTTGCGCGGGCTGCGCCGAATAACAAAACGAACTACTAATTTAAATTTTCCTACGGTGCGTCTTAAGACGCACCGTTGGAAAGGCCCTCTTTCGTTGATTACTTCAAAATGACAGCTTGCCAGAAAGAATAATTCCACAAGGAGTTTAGTCCCCTTACTATCTTTCACCCAAGTATGTTTTTCAATAATAATACGCCAGTTACTTTTTTTCGGATGGCTGGAAATGATGGACTATAGCTTTAATTGTACGCATACTTTTGCACTTAACTCCATCAACAGAGGGCGCAATTTACAGATAGCGTTCGCTCCTACCCCCGCCCTGCAAACAGGACGCGTAATTTTTTTTCCTAGGAGGGTTAAGGGCAATGTCATGAATAATTCAGTTTTTCCTTTGAATCATTGCAAGACTTTAATAGGTTCTCGTTCTATTTTCCCCTTAATTTAAAATTATCTCAGTGATCAATTTGGAGAAGAAAAATAGCTGATGAAAATGAGCAGCGACGACGTGGATTCGAACCAGGGATCTTTGTATCCATAGCTCATCTCGCTATCCACTAGGCTACTGTGTGGTAGCTCGACGACAACCGTTAATTCTTTAAAATGCCTTAATGTATTGTAACTAGTTGAGTAACTAACAACAATGCTGTTGATGTCATTGTCCGTTCTCATGGATAAACATGAATTATTCATGACATTGCCCCTAACCCTCCTAGGAATAAAAATTACGCAAACAGGACGCTGGTATACTCTGATGAGCTTCACAGAATCTTCTGAAGGAAGTGGCCTATGACCTATGTATAAAGCAACTGGCTGCAGCTGTTGAAGACCGCAGATAGACAATGTGCGCAAATGCTATCCGAAAACTTCCCATAGAAATGCGCACATTCCATACTGGATGTGATTAATGTTTCATTGCGGGCCATGTGGACAACATTTTGAGCATTGCATAATGCAGTCCGACCGTTCGTGATTCGAAACGGAGCCTGAGTGAGTGACGGGAATTGTAAATTGACAACACAGATCAGTTTTACAGAATTTCTTACATTATTACGCTTTTCAACGAGAAAAAAACATCTCTAAACTGGAATAAAAGAGGAATGAATCAGTCTTAACGGCCGTTTCAAACCTTGCAGAGTCATGACCTTGATGACGCGCAGGTCACTGGTAACGCAAAATCCAACCAATCAGAGCGTGAATTCATCAGAGTATCCCAGCGTCCTGTTTGCAACTAAAATGCATTCAATAGCACTGATCAGTAGAGAACAAAGTACAAAAGCTTTTTAAAATGTAAGCGCGAGTATATATAATTGACAAAGAGCGTCCCAGTATAATGTGGTGTCAGCCCCCCCCCCTCTTCGGATGTCCACGGCCGGTTAATTCGGGCGTTTCATGTGCCACTAAGAGTTTTCCAAGCAGTGTTCATTTTTCCTAGTGCATTGTGGAAGATGGTCGACAAATTCGCAGCACGGGACATTTGAAATTGTTAGTTTTTTTTTTCCAGTCAGTAGGCCTAGTTTGTATCAATATGGCCGGTGTTTTTTGAGGCGGCAGAACGCTATACCCGAATTTATAACCACTTAGCTAAAGTTGTTTAGTGACACTCATTCAAATGGGCCTTGTTTTGTCGACCGTAATTTAAAAAACTGACTCTCCATGGCAAACTCTTGGTGGCGCTGTGCATTGTGAATCGCCCGATTTTTAGGATTTTCAGCACAGATTTACGCCAATGGCCGTCATTGCACTCGCGTGGTCATGCCACCGGCCGGGCGTTAATGTGACATTGTATTATAATGGCATCATTCCCTAGACTTAGCGCAAGTACAGGAAAAGGTAAATTTTCCCAAGCTAGCTAAGAGAGGTGAATTAGAATCAGACAAACAAAATTCCCCGTACAAATTTGTAAAAGGGTCAGTAGTTTGACATAAATATAATGAGGTAGGGGAAACTTACTAGAATTTCTCTCAATGATAGTGACATGTCAGTGCCGGCCGACAGACGTGCGACGCGAAACAATAATTGATGAGACAGAATAAGGACGAGCTTGGTAAGGTTAATTGCTCGTAGTGACTCTGAATAGTCAACTGCTCAGTACATAAGAATGACTGCAGAAAAGATTTACGTAATTCATGTGTAGAGCGCGATGCTGATGCATCTTTCGTGCAGCTGTGAAATTAAGCTGTCTGACAGCGGATCCAGGGTTGGGGGTTCGAACCCGCTTGGTGTCATGTTTTGGTTTTTGATGCCCGCGGTTCTGTCATTTAAGGGTATTAATTTCCCGTCGTCATTTACCAACAGCAGTTAGCTCGGTCGGTCGGTAAGCTGACTCACAAGTTGGGACTGTCTGCGAAGTCCAGGTTGGCGTCTGCGTATAGGTACGGGGTTCTTTTGCTGACTCGGCAGCAAGGCTTAGGGTGCCACCTCGTTTCCTCCCTTTATGGTGCCTGACTTTCGAGTTACATGGATGGACAGGGAAGGAGGTGTGGTGGGCCGGGTACCGAGTCCCGGAAGAGTTCTATATGGAAGTCGGTAAGGGGCTCATTGAGTTAGGGTCATAAGTCCGACTCCTGAAGACTTGGCCATCGCCACATAACTTTTTGTTTTATTTTCTTTCTTTTCTATCGGAGGACAATTGCAAGAATGTTCAATTTTGTTATATTCAGAGCTTGTACTGTAATCGTTCGAAATTTATTTTTAAAATTGCTCGAAAATACAAAATTCAATCCGGCTATAATGTTTTTATTTCATTGTCGCAAATCTGCACGTACATGCTCAGTACCTTTGCGCATACCTTGTTTAGGCCTGTTCCCTGATCCCAGACTCCGGGTGGGGGGGTCTTTAAATCCTATAGCGGAATTTGTTATATTTTTATATTTGTTATATGCACAGCTGTAGCTGTCAACCCTGTATATGAAGTGACTTTGCGCGGCAGCTTGTGCCGACATGACAGAATGTACAATCTTTTGCCATGGGTTTCAGAACCGGATTTTAGCTTCGCGGAGTTTTGAGCAGTGGTGTTTATTATTTACATTCTCCACATTGTTCTTATTCTCTCTTCCTTTTCCCTTCCTTCTCCGTTACTCGGAACACTGGTGCCTAGGGCCTACCATGGAGGAAGAAATAGAAGGAGGTCTACGAATCACTTAATCCGGGCCTGGATACTGATTGAGTCTGAGCCTACCTCCCTAGCTGCCGTCGCCTGACCAGGGATCCGGATCCCTACCCCCTGTTGCTGTATACACATCAACAACCAAGGAACTGCTCAAGAAGTGACCACCGCATTCTTATTCGACATGTTTCGCACAGCACGAGAAAATGTACAATAAAGTAGGTCCAGGTGTCAAATACGTACACGCTTAAGTATAATTAGTTCGACTAGATTCCGATGTCAAACATTTAAAAGTGTCCAAGTTGATAAGTTGTGAAAATCCGTAATCTTCATTAATGAACTCCATTATCTTTGTGTATTCTAAAAGGTGTTTATAATGCTGCACGATAAAATCGGGATGTACATTATGTAATGGGCCACGAAAAGGGAACTTGTCATAAAGTCACTAGTTGGGCAATTTGCTGTAAATCTATTAATCAGTAAATATGCAAGACGAAAGAAAAATTAGGTGCATCGTCTAGTTGTGTGTCATTAACAATTTGTCTGTGGCCGCATATACCAGGATACAGCTGCTACGACACTCATGTCTTCAAAGTTGGTGTTTTCGGTCAATCACGTGAAACGGGTTTTTTTTGTCTCTTAAAAATGGACAATAATTCTATATACAGTCACACTTTGGGGAAGCACGTTCTAATGTCTGCCGTTTTTCGATTGCTGGGATAAAGGTTACTCCAAAACAGGGATGTCGTTGAGCATCCGCACTCGGTTCCAAACCATCACTATGTTATCCTTGTTCTCCTCCTTGTCCTCTCCAAGATGAAACGTGATGCATTCGTTAATTTTCCGAAGCATGTCTTGCTCGTTGCGGTAATCCAGGTAGTTGTCGAACTTCGCATTGTAACTGAGTTGCACCTTAATCTTGTGCATGATGATACCTACGTATGCGTCTTCCCATGGTAGGAAACTCGTTTGGAGCGACGTACCAAAGATGCGGGCGGAGAGGTCTCCGGACATTAGGTAAGCGGGTCCAGACATGTACGGAGGGTACGTCTTGTTAGGGTAGACTTCCGGAGACGTGTACCACTTACTCTGCCTGTTCCGTATGGGTTTCGTTACGTCTTTGAGGTTACCCTCCGCAAAGTTGTGTGTTGGGGCAGTGTCCAGGCGGTCAACGAGATTGTACACGTTGACGAACATGTCCACGTCCACTTTCAGGATGTAGCGGGCGTTGGGACAGAACCTCGCTGCCCAGCGCAGTCCCATGATCGTCTTGAGTGTCAGGTTGTAGTAGGAGTCGTAGAAATTCTCCTGGATTATGTCGTGGTAGTGGTTGTCCTCCAGACCTATGACGAACTGTGTCTCTTCGTCCCTCTGCCCAAGGAGGAACATGGTGACGATCCGCTTACCCTTCACGCGTCTGACACTCGCCCAGGTCTTGCGGATCAGCGTGCGGGTGTAACTGTCACTGGGAGCTGTCAACACGAGGCACAGGGCGTCCACGTAACCGTTGCGATTGGCACCCTTTGCGCACGCGTCCGCGTTCGTGATGGTGAAGTCGTACGGATGCGGGTTGACGAGGGGCGGACTTTTCTTCGCGTGCGTGCGTCTAGCCTTACTCCGTGGGACTGTGGTCTTTTCGCTGCCGCTGTCCACCGGGATTTCCTTGCGGCAGTACGTCAGCCATTTGACGACGGTTCGAGTCTGGACCTGGTCATCTTTGCTTTCCTTGGTTGACACCTGCTGAGATGCGCACGAACACTCCTTGTCCCGCGCATCCAATGTGTAGTTCAATTTGGTATCAATAACCAGAAGGATGGTGGCAGCCCAGATCAGGCATACCACAACCAATGTGACATTGCCAGGACATTTGATTATTGCGTCCATCATAAACCTCATGGCAGAATCCGCTGGCCCTGTATATTTAACAAAAAAAATATGCAATTATTTCGTTATAAAGACTCAAAAAAATGTCTGTCACCTAAAAATGCAATTGTTTTGGAGCTTAGCCGAAATTGAGGGTAGCCTAGAAGCCCCAACCACAACATCGTGTGAGAGTAGGGTGCCAAAGGCCGAAGTGCAAACGGTTGTTGATTGTTGGCCCCAAGCATCTTAAGTTTGTCTTTTTATTTCTCCTTATTGTAGACTAACGTCGACATTTTCCAACCAACCAACCATAGGCCTATGATATAAAATGCAGTGCAGATTAGAACAGCTTGCTGCGAGTCGGTGTGACGTTACAGCATCCAATTTTGTGAATTAACAAGTGTGACGCGGGGCCCATTATGCAGCTGATTCTAAACACAAAGAGTAAAGGACAAGATTTTGATGAGTGCCAGAAAAAGGTAACAGCCAAACTATACCATCCTGCTATTAGCTGATTCTCAACTGTTTTTGATTAGCACGTATAATTATATTATTGATCAAAGTATTCTGCTCATGAAGCCGCACAGCCGTTCGAGAAGCTCACCCGGGTTGACTCGGGTCAACCCCGGGCCGACTCGGGTCAGCCCCGTGCCGACTCGGGTCAGTGCCGACTCGGGTAAGCCCCGTGCCGTTCGATTAGCTAGCTCTACAGTCATTCTCGGGGCTAGCCCGTGACAGCCACCACCACAGACCCGGCCTGGTCGTGCAGCAGAGTCAGTGATGGAAATACGTCGCACGCACCCGTTGTTCATTCCTAGAAACAGACAAATATGGCGAGAGGACAGCGCGGCCCTCTCATGGCAAAATTAGGGATATTTCCACCACTTGGATTTCTTAGGACTTTTAGTATGTCATTCTAGGGACCTTATGGAAAGCATTGTAGTGAAAGAAAATTTCTGTTGCATTTTGTGCCTGGACTACAAACGCACCCACTAATGATAATATAGGACCATGGTCTCAAGGATAAAGCCGTTGTTCCGACCCCACGGTCCACTGACAAGTTCTTAATCCATCCACGATCCCAGCGATATGGGATTAAAAGAAATCAATTACACATGCAAAACGCATGCATTACTTGAAGTAAACGTGTGTGGGGCAGAGGCTTGAAGGCCGAACAAAAAAAAATCAAACTTTAATTCTATACGCCGAATGAGAATCAATGGTGCCGGCTGAATATACAGTTTTACTACACAGACGAGTGAATATTTCTATGTAGGCCAAGTAAAAGCAATAGTGTTCCAATGTAAACAACTTGACTTTAAAGGGAATGTACAACATTTGCTTTTGCTGCAATTTTCAGAAATAAATGGATTTGGAGGATTAGTAGTATGTTATAGCAAATATTGTTAAAATGACTTTTTTTCACGTTTGGGCTTGTAGATGCTGGAAAAACCAAGAAAACCAATCATGTTCTTGCAGTCTGGTTCCCTCACCCCACTTAAGATGAAACGGAGCAATTACTAGACTTTGGGGAATTGTAAGGTCAGCGAATCAGTCTAGCAGACTTGTACCTCTTCACAGGTGTGTAATCAATTGCAAAGAAAATGCGGAATAACTAATTATGAAAAATTCGGAGCAATTTTTAAAAATTAGCCAGTTTTCTCCAACGCTGGTCGGCCGACCAGCATTGGATAAGTACCATTTTTCTTGAAAATGTCAGCACACCAGGAGCCACGATTTTACAGGATGCTTTAGACTGTCATTCCCTAACAATCCAGTAAGGTATTTCGCGATAATTTGATCATTTCGTTTTCTGATGTTTGCAAATGTTGTATCTTCCCTTTAAGTTATGAACTAAATGAAGTTGGCCTCGGAACTAGATGCGGCCGTGCCATTAATGCCGAATTCCAATGTCAATTTAAGATTCAAAAACACTGAATTCAATTCATTAAAACTACGTTTGTGCATTATATTTGACGGTTTTGTTTTGAATATCGAATAACACGCTACGTATACAGCGTGTAACTCATGTGAAAGTCTAGGTGTAACGTATACAGTGTGTTTCAATAAAAAGAAAACCCAACTTTGAAGAACAAGTGTCGACAGACTAAATGTCTACTGGCTATAAAACTAGTATCATCTGAAAGCGTGATCTCTATGCTTTTCAATGATACCTTGTTTACATTTCCAGGGTCATGCATTACTGAGCGCCACTGTCATGAGATTTTGATGCAAAATTGCAGTTGGTTCACTTTCATGTCAAACACAATAGGCATGGTGTGCCATTTTCCCCGAGGATTAACATTAAAGCCATTTCACAGACATTTCCGTAACAATAGGCACACCGTGCCCAGTGTTTTTTTAATTTTTTTTATGAAAGTGAACCAACTGCAATTTTGCATCCAGTTTTTAAGACAATGTTGCTCACTGATGCATGACTCAGAAAACCTAAACACGGTATCATTGAAAAGCATAGAGATTACGCTATCAGATGATACCAGTTTTATAGCCAGTAAACATATCGTCTGGCCATACTCATTCTTTGAAGTTGGGTTTCCTTTTTTTTAACACCCTGTATTGTGGGACATAGGTACGCCCAAATGTGTATTAATAATTATGAAAAGGAAGATGGAAATGCAATTCGCTCATTTAAGTTGGAATGGTAAGTAAAAGAAAAGTGGTTCAAATGTCTGGATTGACAACAGGGAGTTTTCAATACTTCAACAAAGAGCAACCCACCATAAAACCTATCTCAGTTTTAGGACACGTGTCCATGCAAACGGATCTCTCTCACACATCGTTCGCGTGATCTATTATTCACTCACTACGGTACCTTCCCTGCACTTTCTTATTTTACACAAAAATTGTTCTTAAACAATAGTTGACAAAAGCACAATATATTCTACTATACAGATGCATATTTCATAAAGGTACACAAGCTTGCTAAAGTTCATGGGTTTGTTTGCTGTTTACACACCGTCAATATTGGCACCTCATTTCCGGCAGACGTCGCCGATTCCATCCCCGCTGTATTAACTACACTGCACGAAATACCGAACATCTCATGATGAAAGTTAACTATCCAAACTATTGAAAAAACTGACTCAATAAGCGGCAATGTATTTCTAAACAATAGCGAGAGCCATTATTGCAATAAGAAGCCAGACAAAAATGATACAAAACCATACAATTTACCTTTCAACCACAAAACCTAGCATGGCTGGACCATGCGATAGAAAGCAGCCACTCGCTACATTTTTACAGCGGGAAAAGAACAATGAGACAGGAACAAATGCGATATGATGTTTTGCATGATGGAGAGCTACTTCAACTTGATGTTAGCTATAAGCCCACTCTGTCTTGAGAGAGTGTGCTGAGGTACCAGAGAACTAAGCACCTCTTTTTCACGTGTGAGATAGGTCAGTATCACATGGTGTAGGCCTATCTACAAAATTAAGTCGAACACAATGTAGTTGGAAAAACCAACAGTTGTTAATACGCACTGCTGAAGGTTGACTTCACATAATAGGTCTATGGGAAGTCACAATCTTACCTGAGTTAATCAGCTTTACAATTCAAGTGAAGTTGCTCTGCTGGACCGCGTTATATAAACGAACATCACCACACGCGGGTTTATATCAAACGATAGCAGGATTCAGTGCTGTGCATGTGGATAAATAATTCTCTCTATGCACGAGTGGTGAAAATAACGTATGCCCAGTTGTATAGATCTCCGAACTTTACTGTATGCGCGATGATCTGCAGCACTGGAGAGTCAATATGATATCGATTGTTATTGAATTTTAGTGGGGCCTGAGCTGGACTGCATGATGTTGTCTCATTCTAAGATACAATCGGATTTCTCTTACCAGCCAAGCTGATAGGGTTCCCACGTAACTTTGGACGCGCTAGTTGTACACTTTTAGCTGCGTGGGGCAAAGGGAAAGCTCAGGGCAAATGTATTCGTTGTTTTTGAAGGAGCTCCTTGATTTTCAAAGTTATCGATCGTGTTCAGAGAGTTGTGAGTCATCAAATTATTGGCTCACTTCCACGCCGTAGAAGACAAAGGTGCTTGGCACTGAAGTTGACAACATTTCATTTATTTCCGAGTTGGGATGTTTTGCCATTCAAGGGTCGCCAGGAGCCAGCACGCGCCGTCAGCGGGCCGGTCGGGCCTCGACTAGTCTATTGGGCTAGACGTTGTTATGGTTTGATGATCCGCGATAACCCGCCTCGAGAGGGCGTTATCCCAACTAACCAATATCACCCACGGGTTCGTGGTTCGGGCAAGTGCGAGCAAGGACGACGTACCCAGCGCATGCGCACTGAAGTTAAAGTGCGAACGACTCTAGTCGAACTATAATATGTCAACGACCGTTAAAAAATGAAGGTCGCACGATTATTCAACTCTTGTTATTTCTCTTAATTTACACAATAACGGTGATTGTGTTTAGTTTAGGACATCTTACATAATCGCCAATGTACAATGGTGACAAAAGTGGCATAATCATAATAGCTCAATGAAAATGAAATTTAGCGCTCACAGTTTCCTTTTCCGCCATTTGTGTAGATAGTTGGTCCCTTCTGAACTATGCTATGGAAATTGATATTGATAACCAGTGAATCGTTGCGCGACCGGTCGACCAGCCGCGGTAGGCTGGTCCCAAATAGTCGACTAGCGTAGTCAACCATCGTCGACTAGACATAGCTCGGGCTGACAGGTTTTAGTGGAACTATGGCTAACCACAGTGGTCAACATTGGCCAAGTTCGCGCACGGACTATAGTTGACCAATGGTTGACCAAACAAATTGCATTTGAATGGAAAAGGGCAGTCTGTACAAAATATTGGGTCTGTACAAAGAATTCGTGGTTTCGTCTTCATTATTTCAGCCCATTGACGTGACAGACATTATGTGTAGCCCACTTCCTAACAAAGACACACCAAATTTAGGCACACAAGGCTCAGGGGTATGTATATTTTGGTGGATTATTGACAGTGCATCTTCGGGAGGCCGGCGTTTGGTAACTGAGACCGACAATATGGAAATTAGTTTGACGTCATGATCCCGATGCACTGTGGGTCGCACGCGCAGTGTAGTATGAGTAAACGCCGATTTCATGGTGGAGAAAACTGCATGAAACTTTGCCGAAGTTGCCGGCGAATTTACTACACTTTACCGGATAAGCACGCATACGTTTAACAATTACTCAGTATATAGTCCATGCCGTACTGTCATGAAGGTACTTGTATATACCTTTTGTTCGTAGGCCTACAGTGCTTATTGTTGTAGTTATGATTGTTGGTGATGGTTTCAAGTAAAAACATAAAACTTGCTACATTGTCCAACTGTACATTGTTCACAGCTTATCAATTATAAGTCAACAAGAGTGGTCATACAAACAACGTTTTTCATGATTTTTTTTATTATATTGGTCAACACTTTGAACAAAGTAGCAAAGGATTCATTTAATTCAAATGAATTTAATGTGAGCCATTCTACAAAACTTCTAATGCTTTCCCCAGCAGCCCGACCATGGGCGTCGCGGGGGGGGGGGGGGGCCTGGAAAACGAAAAAAAAAGGAAAAAGGAAAAAAAAAGTAAAAAGAGGTGCGAAGCCATATCGCTGTTAATTTGATGGGGGGGGGGGGGGGGGTAAGGACAAATGCTCCCCTGCTCACGCTCAGAAAAATAATGAATTGAAAATGTAATGGAACAGTTAAGCAATTTGTTGGGAAAAATTTGCTTTGCTCCCCCCCCCCCCCGGAGGACTATTCCATCATAATGTTACTGAATTGATTAACATGCTCAAGCAGGTATGTATTTCAATTCGGGCGATTCACATTGCAGTGCGCCACCAAGAGTTTGCCACGGGGAGTTCATTTTTCCCAGTGCATTGTGGGAGATGGTCGACAAATTCGCAGCGCGGGACATTTTAAATTGTTAGATTTTCCTGTCAGTGGTTTTGTAAGCGTATGATTCGAGGATCTGTTTGCCCATTTCTTTTCTTGTTATCAATATGGTGTTTTTTCTAAGGCGGCAGAACGCTGTGCTCCAATCTATGACATATTAGCTCAAGTTGTCTACCGACACCCATTCAAATGGGCCATGTTTTGTCGACCGTAAACTTGAAAAATTGACTCTCCGTGGCAAACCCTTGGTGGCGCACTGCATTGTAAATCGCCCAAATTGAGAATACGTACGTGTATGTGGCGAGTTGTGGGTACTAATTTGATATGGTTTGTACAGGGTGAGTCAATAAAGAAAGCGGAACCCAAACCCCCAAAAATTATGTTTCATATTGAAGAAATATGTAGCACCAAAAATAACAAGGACTGGAAGGCCAATTCATTAAGTACTTTTAGATGAAAACAAATGACAAATTGGTCAACCTCGTCCCTAGGGTGTCGAGCAGCACGCGCCCATCACTACCTGCTCTCTCACCCTGTTATTGGATCATTTGCATGTGAATGATTTTTAAACACGTATGCAAATGAGGAATAGTCTGGTGCCTGCGTTAGCGTTTGTTTTTGTATGCGGTGTCTGGGGTAAAAGCAGAGTCAAGTCGTCGCAGTGCGAGCATGGTGTGATTTACGCAAACACAATTTATTTAATGAAACTGTTACGATATTATCGAGACAACATGTAGTATATCATTTCATATTAATGTGAACAAATCGGGAAGGAAATGAGTATTTTCGAGAAGGCGTGGACGAATAATCGCGAAAACATGAATGCACGTTGTGAATGACAACACCAAGTACACGATAAAAATCACTCAGTAGCCAATTGCCGTATCGAATCAGGATACAGGAAAAAAGTTTCCTATCCAGGGCTTACTATTGGGAACTAGGTTGGAAATAAAGTAAGCACTGGAGACGAGGTTGCAAGGTTTTTTTTTTATAAATGACATTATCCTTTTTATACTGCTTAAAGGTCAAACAAAACCCAGTGGCTACCGTTGCAGTTGGAACCAGACTATCAACCAAATGGTTCTCGGTTTTTATTTGCATCTAAATAAAAAACTCTCAACCATTGATTTCAATCCAAAAAGAAAATAAAATCTATTTAAATAACAAAAAACTATTCGGTTAGACCAAAAAAAGAAAGTCTCCGGTTTCTGGTATGCGCGCGCGTCGCTGTAGCCATGCGCGTCGGCAAAATGAAAAAGTTGGGTTTTTTTTTCAATAAAAGATGGAGTCTCAAAACTACCAAACTCACTGGTTTGACTGGAATCCTGCTGCTGTACAATTTTAACGTGTTTTTAGATGGGGTTATGATCGAGAATAAGCTTTATGTGGTCTCTCTGGACTCCCATATAAAATTATTTTCACTAAGTTTAGTCGGGCGCCAATTGCAGTCCTCAGCCGACATTTGAAGCAAAAAAAAACAGGTAAAAAAAACAGAAAGCTGCGTCGCCGCACCACTTTTGGGGCGAGCTCCATACCAGAGACCGGACACTTTTTTGGCCTTATTAAGCCAGGCGCAGATCCAGAAAGGGGGGACCCCCCCCCACCCAGCTCTGTCTACATTTTGTTTCATAGAAATTCACAGAAAACAAAATGCGAAACACCCCCCCCCCTCCCCGCTCCGACACCCAAAAAGGCTTTACTGGTAATAATGTTTGGCTGTGCACAAAATACAGACACGGCCAGCTTGGTTAGGTGGTATAATTATGTACAGTCGACTCTCGTTAGTACAAACTCTGTTAATACAATATTCTGATATAACAAACAATTTGGCTAGGTCCGAACGAGTTTGTTATAACGAGACTCGACTGTACACTATTCTGTGATATAGTGTTGATAATCGTTGGATTTGAACAGCGCCCCAATTGAAAGTATGGTACGAGACCCCCCCCCCCCCCTCCCAACCACCTATTGATTTTCGGAGGGCAAGTGTCCGGAGAAACAACAACCTGTTTACATGTCAGATATTTTTTTGCCGATGACCCCCCGCCCCCGCGAACATTCCTGGATCCGCCCCTGAAAGCGTTCTGGTTGGATGGACAGTTGTGAATCCGATATGTTCACATTGTGATAAAACATTACAGTGATGAAATTGTGTTACAGCTGTCGCAACGATAGCCACTGCGAACGATTTAAGGAGGTCAATAAAATGCAATGTGTTTGCTTTCAGGTTGAGGCACCGCGTTCTGTTTAAATCCGTGTTTCATGCCTGGAGTTGCCATGTCAACTGGTGATGGTTTCATGTGACCCAGTTTTAATCCAGCCTTGTCGCCGGGAATCCGTGACGGGTCTGGAAAAAAAGGCCCTCTTGATTGGCTCCCTGGATGATGAGTCGTCAATCCCGCTACAAGTCATCAAAGAGACGCTCCCATTGGACGAGGGAGCCCCACAGCCACTGGGCGATGTGGAGAATCCACCAATCGGAGCAGGCAATTTAGAGAGGATCGCCAACTGCCATCAAAACTGTCCAATCAGAGCAGCTTTTTCCAGACCAAAGTGTGGGGTATTCATCATTATGCTATAGCAGGTCACAAATCGGCAATAATTATATTATACAGTTACACTTAAGGGCACCCTCAGCATGTGCCAATGTCTGCCGTTTCCAAGTTTCGATCGTCTATTTTTTGCGGGATACTCACTCGTCACTACACAGTTTGATCAAAGTTCAAAAGAACAATGTTATCCAATGTTAAAATAATTTGGCTACTCTTCAATGGGAATGCCGTTGAGCATCCGCACTCGGTTCCAAACCATCATAATGTTATCCTTGTTCTCCTCCTTGTCCTCTCCAAGATGGAATGCGATGAATTCGTTAGTTTTCCGAAGCATGTCTTGTTCGCTGGGGTAATTTTCGTAGTTGTCGTACTTCGCGTTGTAGCGGGGTTTCACTTTAATCTTGTGCATGATGATACCCACATAAGCGTCTTCCCATGGAAGGAATCTCGTCCTGAGTGACGTACCAAAGATGCTGGCAGAGAGGTCTCCAGACATCAGGTAAGCGGGACCAGACAGGTACGGAGGGTACGTCTCGTTAGGGTAGACTTCCGGAGACGTGTACCACTTACTCTGCCTGTCCCGTATGGGTTTCGTTACGTCTTTGAGGTTACCCTCGGCAAAGGTGCGTGATGGGGCAGTATCTATGCGGTCAGCGAGATTGTACACGTTGACGAACATGTCCACGTCCACTTTCAGGATGTAGCGGGCGTTGGGGCAGAACTTCGCTGCCCAGCGCAGTCCCATGATGGTCTTGAGTGTCAGGTTGTAGTAGGAGTCGTAGAAATTCTCCTGAATGATGTCGTGATAATGGTTGTCCTCCAGACCTATGACGAACTGTGTCTCTTCGTCCCTCTGCCCAAGGAGGAACATGGTGACGATCCGCTTACCCTTCACGCGTCTGACACTCGCCCAGGTCTTGCGGATCAGCGTGCGGGTGTAACTGTCACTGGGAGCTGTCAACACGAGGCACAGGGCGTCCACGTAACCATCGGGATTGGCACCCTTGACGCACGCGTCCGCGTTTGAGATGGAGAAGTCGTACGGATGCGGGTTGACAAGGGGCGGTCTTTTCTTCCCGTGCGCACGTCTAGTCTTGCTCCGTCGGACTGTGGTCTTTTCGCTGCCGCCGTCCACCGGGATTTCCTTGCGGCAGTACGTCAGCCATTTGACGACGGTTTGAGTCTGGACCTGGTCATCATTGCTGTCCTTGATTGACAGCTGACGAGACGCGCACGAACACTCCTTTTCCCTTGTATCCAACGTGTAGTTCATTTTGGTATCAATAACCAGAAGGATGGTGGCAGCCCAGATCACGCATACTACTGTCAATATCACATTGCCGGGACGTTTGATTATTGCGTCCATGATGAACCTCATGGCGGAATCCGCTGGCCCTGTATTTAAATGAAATGATGCAATTATTTGTTTTAAAAGGTTCTCAAGAAATGCCTGTCACTTAAAAATACAATTGTTTTGTAGCTAAGCCGAAATTGAGGGTAGCCCATAAGCCCCAACCACAACATCGTGTGAGAGTAGGGTGCCAACGGCCAAAGTGCAAACGGTTGTTGATTGTTGGCCCCCAAGCATCTTTGCATCTTTAATTCCCCATATTATAGACTAACGTCAATACTTTATAAAATACAGTACAGGCTAGAGCAGTTTGCTGCAAGTCGGTGTTACGTTACAACATCCAATTGTCACGGTGAACAAAATGTGACGCGGGGCCCATTTTATGGAGCTTCCAAAACACAAAGAGTGATTATACACGATTTTGAGTGCCAGAAAAGCCAAAATAGCATACTGTATACATTGGTATCGGCTGGTTGTCAATTTGTTTTTGCTAGGCACGTAAAATTGAATCAGTGAGCAAAGTTTTTCTGCTATCCGGTCAGCCGTTCGAGTAGCTCATCCGGGTCGACTCGGGTCAGCCCCGTGCCATTCGAGTAGGTCCACGGGTCATTCTCGGGGCTCAGCCGCGTCAGCCACCACAGACCCTACTCCGTCGTGGAGCAGAGTCGGTGGCGGAGATACGTCACACGCATGTGCTGTTCGACCCTAAAAAAAAAAATATGGCCGTCGGACAGCGGAAATCTCAAGCGGACCCAAACATCAACTTTAATTGATTTCTAAAGGTCATTATTTATTGAGAGCATTGCGACTTTAGAGGCTATAATTCCAGCCCAGCCTTTCTAATTTTGCATTATTGACTGACGAAAAGCACTAAATTTCAAACTAAGAGCCAATCCGAAACGGGCATTTTGTCAGTGGCTATGGCCACGGCTACGTACGTCAAGTGAGGATCGTGGTGGCCCGCGGTTTATTCGATTAGCCCGGCTGTCGTGGCTAACCCGTCTGCCTTTACCCGAGTCGGTCCGGGTGACTACTCCACGGTCTCAAGGATAAAGCCTTTGTACCGACCTAGCGGCCCATTTACAAGTTCTTAATCCATCCACGATCGCAGCAGTACGGGATTACAAGAAATCAATATACTCATGCATGCCAAACGCATGACTTGGGTCTGCATAATGAGACGACTGTAAGGCGGGGAAAATCAATCTTGAATTCTTTAAGCCGAATGGCAATCGATACCCGTTACCAACTGAATATACAGTATCACAACACCGATGGTTGCAGATTGCTAGGCATGCTTAGTAAAAGCAACAGTGTTCAAATGGGACACAACTTTACTTATGAAGTAAATGAACAACCAATGCAAGTAGGCATCGGAATTAGATGCGACCCATGTCATATTTGCCAAATTTTGCCGATTTTAGGATCAAAAGCAAATTCGATCTGTTACAGCTAGTACACGTTTGTGTAATGTGGATTGTGATGAAATTTTATCGACAGCGCTGACATAGATAATAATATGGGACGATGGTATGATGACGAAATGTGTGTTATTTCCATGTTATGAAAAAGAATTCGGAAAGATTTCCATATACGAAGTTCACTCAACACCCTGTGTACAAACCCTATGAGATTGGACTGAAAAATTCTAAGTGTTTTCTAAGAAAATGCTTGTATTTTCTCACTGCTCAAATTGACTTCGATGACATGAAATTGCTATCTGGGGTTTGTTAGTCAATTATACAGAGGAAAATTAGTGAACTTCTTATATGGAAATCTTTCCATAGCCAATCTCAGTTTTTTTAGGACCGCCCCGGCAAACGGCTCATATACGGCTGTTCGTATTTCGGACGTCCTTATTTCGAACATTATGGGGCTCACATAAAAACAATTGCTCTGAAAAGCCAGGCGACAATAGGAAAACCTACGGATGCAGACAATGTCGCAAAAGTTCATGATTTTCTTTGCCGCTCGCGTTGTCGCTAATTACACACCCGTTTCCGGCACAGGTCGCCTATTACATCTTCGACATGTACTATAAAACACATCGCCCGCAATAATAAACACCACATAATAAGACGGCATCATCCAAATAACAAAACTGGTCTCAATAATATGAAGCTCGCTGTTTTACAGCAGCATTTCTGCACATTAGAAGCCAGAAAGAATAGCAAAGCATACATTTTACCTTTCAACCGCAAAACCATGCATGGCTGGACCGCGTGATAGAAAGCAGCCACTCGCTACATTGTGCATAGCCGGAAAAGAACACCGAGACATGAGACAAATGCGACATGATGTTTTGCATGGCGGAGAGAGCATTACTTCAACTTGATGTTAGCTATAGGCCTACACTGTCTCGAGAGAGTGAGGTACCAGAGAATTTATCGCATCTTTCACGTGAGATTGGTCAGTATCGCATGGTTTTCTGCGAAATTAAGTCGAACCATGGAGCTCCATTGTCGAACCAATACACATTATGCATGCAGTTGGGAAAACCAACAATCGTTTACGCACTGCTGAAGAAGACTTTATATTACAATAGGTACGGTCAATAGGAGTGATCGCAATCTTACCTGAGTTAGGCATAATCATGGCATAATCAGCTTTACAATTCAAGTGAAGTTGCTCTGCTGGACCGCGTCACATTATAGGGGTTTGTATCAAACGATACGATTCACCATTGCTGTATATGTATACATATGTATACATGTAGCTACATCCTCTCCAAGCAGGAGAGTTGAAAATAACGTATTGCCAGTTGAATGCATCTTAACTACACTGCATGCGCTATGCTCTGCAGCTTTGGACGTGATATCGATTGAGTGGGTCTACTAAGCTGCATGGACTGCATTGATGTTGGTCTCATTCTAATATAGGTTTTCCCGGACAGCTTTTGAGAATGTGTACATGAATTTGTAAAAGAAGCATTCGTTTTGTGCGACATAGAATGAACGTTCCAAAGCCCTGTTTCTATGTAACAAAAAAATAAAGATAATTCTATTTTGATGAAGGTGCGTTCAGTCGTTAAAAAAACCCAGCATTACATTGTAAACCCTTATTAAGGTGCTACATAATGGGTCTCATATTTCTCATAAAAGTCCACTTACCTGTCTTTAAATATAGACATAGTTACCTACGCCTTGAGTACCTAATTGTTGGCAGATACGTGCGCTATGTAAGACTCAGGTATTATTATTATTAACATTAAAGTGAAAGCAGAATATGCGAATTTAAATTATAACATAAGAAAAAAGAATGTTCAATTCATCCCGTGATGCATTACTTTTTCGCTTTTGGAAAAAAAAAGCGGTCGTCTTCTTTTGGGGCATTTATCATTGGGGTCGATGGCAGTTTGTTTACTGGTCTGCTACCGTGACCTCAACCTCGTCCCCAGGGTGTCGAACAGTACGCGCCCATCACTACCTGCTCTCTCACCCTGGTATTGGATCATTTGCATGTGCAAGATTTTTGCACACGTATGCAAATGAGAATAGTGTGGTGCCTTGGATATGCTTTACATTAGCGTTTGTTTTTGTATGCGGTGTCTGGGGTAAAAACAGAGTCAATTCGTAGCAGCGCGAACACGGCGTGAGTTACGAAAACACGATTTTTGAAATCAAACTGTTACGATCTTATCGAAACAACATGCAGTATCATATTTCATATTAATATGAGCAAATTGGAAAGGAAATTAGTATTTTCGAGAAGGCGTGGACGAATGATCGCGAAAACACGTACTGCACGTTGTGAATAATAGCACCAAGTACACGATAAAAATCCATTACTGGTCAATTGCGGTATCCAATCAGGATACTGGAAGAAAGTTTCCTATCCAGGGTTTACTATTGGAAACGCGGTTGGAAATAAAGTAAGCACTGGGGACGAGGTTGGCCAAAACCCATCCGCCAAGCTCATGGATACAAGTTTTTTACCGGCCCTCAAAATGTTCTATATTAGAGAGTCATAAAATTAGGGAATTGAATAGGGCCTAGATATGGCAATGGACCTTTCGCCCGGATTGGGGGCTTCCAATTCTGAACATTCAGGATGAAATTGAGCTCGAAAGTGGCGCTATTTTGCCACGGTTGTGGAGGGATCGTTTTTTACGATGGCTACATTTTCGCTTCGGGAAAAGAAGCGGTCGTCTTCTTTGGGTGAGCTCGAAAAGTTAATGGTCAACCCATCAAAAAATGAAAAGAAAATGAAAGATGACGCGCCAATCATCATTTTTGTAATACTCTCCTATACCCAGTTATTTATGGTCTTTACGTTTCCTTAATCTGTGCATTTTACTTTCTAGAATTTAGGATGAGAACGCGCTATTGTTGCTTGCCTAGCCGATATTATTTTACAAGTTTAATTTCTCCCAACTCTATCATTCAATTTTGTCCTCGAAAAATTTCACACGCTTTTAAGAAAACCAATTTAGTGATTTACCATTTAAAATTCCCTTTAGTCACCGGGTTAAGAATATTCGTCATTACAGATCGAACTCGTCCAAGCTGTTGCCGAATGGTGCGTTCAAAGATCGGATTCGTCCGTATATCAATCAATTATAAAAGAATTTGGTTTAGGTTTGGCATAGACGAAACGAACTTCTCTGGGACGAAAACCGTGTCGCTTGTCTGAATTTGCTTGAACTGAATTTGAAAGACGAAATTAAACAAATTAAGAGCACCTAATCGCTATTTAATATGGACGAATTTGAATATTAGAAACAGTGAATTCGAATAATTAACGTTTTAAAATATAGCCGGGAAACCTATAATAACAGTATTTTAAAATGAAACAAAACTAAAATATTAATGATCTTTATGTAGCATCAGGTTTTGTTCCCCACTGACAAATGATTTACGTATCATTAACAATTCCTTTAAGGTGCCCCGATTGTGGGAGACCTATGCCCTGGCGGACGCGCGCTGCCCGGACCAGGTGTAGCATGAGTTTAGGTTTTATGAAATATACGGACTCATTGGTGGTATTGCGCATGTTCATGCATAGATTAGGAGAGAGACCGGTCACGTGGGAGGGTTTAACCAATAAAAGGGGAAAAGAGTCCGATTTTCATACGAGTCCGATTTTCATATGACACCGGTATGTGTGGGCAGATGGCTCCGTTATCGAGAGTTCGGGAGTACACGGTTGATCAGGTGCGCCGTTGTTGCCTTTCATGGCTTAAGTATGTTTCCTGAAACCTAGATCTGCTCCAGAAATAAGAAAATTACCGCCCCCTAAAAAAAAAACTGTCCACCTCACTACACTTTTTACTACGAGTCCCACTGACCCTAATCACCCCCTTCTGCTTACCGAGGCCCCGCCCCTCCCAAAATTAGTTAAATGAGGGCGCTGTACATACATTTTTTTCATAGACATTTACGAATTCGTGGTTGCGTCTCCTTGCGTTCAGCCTCCGGCTTCGTTATTTCAGTCCATTTACCAAACAGAATCCAATACAGCATGTATAGTCCACTTCTAAAAACGATACACCAAATTTAGGCACACAAGGCTCAAGGGTATGTGTATTTTTGTTGGATTCTTGAGAAATTTTTGGCTGGGGATGGAGCCGCATGGAGGAACGAAGCCGACATTTGGTAAATACCAGCGATATGGAAATAAGTCTGACGTCATGATCCAGATGCACTCTGGGTCGCACGCGCAGTGTAGTCTGGGAATAAACGTCGATTTCATGGTGGAGAAAACTGAATGAAACTTTGCCGAAGTTGCCGGCGAATTTACTACACTTTACCGCATAGGCAGGCACAAAATCCTTCAAGAACCTCTTGGGACACGGGGCAATTGTTTTCCGATCTCCTGATCGACGGATTGAGAGGTAAAAAGGTTGTTTTGGCGATGAACTGGGTGGGGAAATAACGCGGGTGGTTCGTTCGGTTAAAAAAACGCGTCTTTGTCAAGTGAATGGATGGGGAAATGTACGAAGTTGAGAGCGTCCTGCGGTGTTGTCCATTCCTTACTGTAAACACAGGGTTCATGCGGCGAAGTTTGGATGGAATTGTGATTGTAGAATGGTCTGACTTGTGTGCGAGATTACAGAAAGGAAGAATTGCTTGCTAAAACTGAAAATAAATGCACTTGATTTAACATTTTTCACTTGACTTGTAAAAGACCAGCATGACCAATGCAAACTGCAAGACAAGTTTTTAAAGTTTGATTCGATTTGAAACTTAATTTAAAAACTTTGATAAAGTTTAATTTTTCGAAGTGGCTATCATTACGGCAGCCGTTGTTTAGCGCCCTCTATGATACTTTTTTGATACGCGTGCAGGTATTTAATTATTTGTTTCCCCACGTTTTAGCGAGCAGTGCGACAGCTCAGTCGATAGACATGATAGGGTAGGATTTTGCACCGCGAGGTTGCGGGTTCGAAATCAGTTTTGCACTCAAATTTTTTTCCCTTTCAAACCTGAGGCTTTGGAGGATTTTTTTTAAAAGGGAAGTTAAGTCCGAATTTCATAACATTCAAATTCACTTTTTTCCTTCTAATTTTATAATATTTTCTTCTCATGTTTTTATAAAAGTTACACTACTACTTCTACCGTAACGATAGAAAATGGGAAATGCGTTACGGCTGCCATAACGATAGCCACTGCGTTAATGTATTGAAATGAACAGACAGTCATAAAGGCCTATTGCATCTTTTAAGAAAGGAATTTCTGCACGCAGTTAAATATACCGATGACGCGCATAATTTTAACGAAGTAGTGTACTCGGTACGCCGTACAGTACTTGTTTGTACATGCAGTTTAATTCTACTTCTACCATGTCTACAGCGGTACGTCCATAAGTTTGGATGTGGTGCGGTATAGTACATGTTTTATGCGTAGAGTACGTATTGTAGTTATGATTGTCAGTGAGGAAAGATTCCCATGCCCATTTTCATTTTTCCCTTTAGTTTAGTGACCTACAATGTATCAGCCATCAAAACATGATTAATATGTTTTGAAAAGTCAATTTAGCGGGAAAAACATTGAAGTTTTTACTTCTAAGAAAACACTTGTGATGGCCAGATATGGGAATCTTTCCGTCAGTGATTGTATGTGAATGTATAATGTATTAAACTCAGATAATTATCAAACTTTACATTTTTTTTTACAGCTTTGAAATACAAAAAGGTAAACAAAGGTGGTAGTCATAATTCATGGTCATAGAAACAATGTTTTTCAAGAAAAAAGAAAATGATTCATTTAATTCAGATGAATTGAATGTGAGCCATTCTTCAAAAATGCTAATGGTTTTCCCGAGCAGCCCAACTAAAGCATGTACGAGTATTTCAATTTGCACTTTCTCGGTAGCATGCGCTATCTTGTTTGCATGCCAAAAAGAGCATGCGTTGCTAGACTAGACATGGTCTCATTTTGGAATGAACGCAAGAAGCGCAAAAGTGTTCGACTGACGCTGCTTACACAACAATGTGTGTAGTGCCCCGCATATCACCGTGAAAGTGCATATATTGTGGCCAGTGGTGTGTGCTGTATCATGTATCCAAAATTTGATATGGAAAAACAGACGGAAAGATTCCCATATCTGGCCATCACTTTTCGCCCTGTGCACAAACTGTATGAGACTGGTCTAACAATTTGTAAGTGTTTTCTCAGGAAATACTTCAATATTGTCCCAGCTAAATTTGACTTTTTAGGAGATCACTTTCTGATGGCAGATAATTAGTGATGGCCAGATATGGGAATCTTTCCAATCAGACAACTGCACATGTAGTTGTTGATTCAGACTTACGTGTAAAGGGAATGTACATTATTGGCTTTTGCTGTTATTTTTAAAAATGAACTATTTGAGGGGTTAGTAAACTTAGTATAATGATCAAATATTGTTTCACTGACATGTTTGAAGTTTTGTGTTCGAAAATGCTAGAAAAACCAAGAAAAACAAAAATGTTCAAGTAGTCTGGTTCCCTGACTCCACTAAAGATGAAATGGATCAATTTATAGATGCCAGAAAATTGTTAGGTCAGGGAACCAGTCTACGGTAGCTGGCCTGCACCCGTTCATGAACATGTAACCAATAGCAAACACAATTTTGACTGAACAAAATGGTAAATTTGGAGCAGTAGTTGAAAAATAGTTAGGTTTTTCCAACGGTGGTCGGCCGACCACCGTTGGAAATTTGTGCAAAAATACCATTTTCTTGACAATGACTTCACACCAAGTGCCATAATTTTACAGGATGCTTTAGACTGTCATTAACCAACATCCTAGTGAGGTATTTCGTAAAAACTTGGTAGTTTTATTTGTTGATGTTTGCAAATGTTGTATATTCCCTTTAAATCTGAAATTACCTATAACAGTAAAAAAAGAAAACCAAAGGTTCAAGGCTGAAAGGTAGTAACAGTTTTTGTATCTTACATTATTCCATATGAACTGCATACAGGTCAAACAATGTAAGGTGGTCACTGTTAGTATTATACACTGATTGTTTTTGTTTGTTTTTTTGGCTTTCAGTTTGATGCACGGCATTCTGTTTGAAATCCATGTTTGATGCCTTGAGTTGCCATGTCAACTGGAGGTGGTCTGCTGTGATCCAATGAATCCAGGCATGGAGCCGGGAATCCGTGATGGGTCCGGAATTCCCAGGAAGAAAGCCCTCCTGAACGGCTCCCTGGATGATGAGTCGTTGATCCCGTCGCAACTCATCCAAGAGACTCTCGCATTGGACGAGAGAGCTCCACAGATAAAGTGCGATGTGGAGAATCCACCAATTGGAGCAGGGAACAGAGAGGATCGCCTACTGCTACCAAAACTGTCCAATCAGAGCAAGGACGAAGTGATCCCACAGAAAATTGCAGACTCAGTTTCTAAACCCATGCCTCCGGATTTTTTTGACTCGAATCCAGATAGTCATCTAACTTTGCAGAGAACTGCAGAAAAATCTGTGGATGACAAAAACCAAATAAGAAATGAAATTGTGGTCATGGAAGCCACCTCTTTCAAAGCAACGACATCAAACTCTCCGGAAAATCAACAAAGTGCTCCTTTGGACAATCCACCAACAGAACCATGTCCGGTAGATGTTCGCTTTCAAAAGTCAAACCTAATCCAAACATGCGCAGAAAACGAATCCGACACGAAACCATTCCAGCTGAACACTCCGCACAGTGCAATAGACAGTAACAGTGAACAAGATCGCGTAGTTGACGCCAGCATAAAACCAAAGGAACAGCCCTGCAATAATACGACGCCAACTACAAGTTCACTAACAGCACCAGAATCCAGTTCCAACCGATGTATAGAAAGTGTGGAAGCAACAGGAGAAACAGGAATGGACGTACTTGTAGAAGAATATGAGGAAATAGTGAATGAATCTAAAAACGAAGTTACTCGCTCTTCATTGCTGTCAATGTCCCCAAACAGTGCATTTGGCGAGACCAAATCAGAGCAATCAGAAACGACCAATAACAGCCGTGCAACAAGTCGTCGGGACCCTTTGACATCTTCAAGTGATTCCCAAAGGTATTGACATGACTATTGCACATTTAAAGTGTAATCCTGACCTTAGATAAGATACAAAAATGTAAGTTAGCACCATGTGAATAAATCTCTTTTGTGAGTATGTGTGGTTCTGAAAAGAACCGGAGGGACTCTTCCGTGTGGTTCTGAAAAGAACCGGAGGGACTTTTCTTGAGTCCCTCCGGTTCTTTTCAGAACCACACATACTCACAAAAGAGATTTATTCACATGGTGCTACCGCAAACTTATCTTGTCTTAGTATCTTTCCACCATGCAAACCTTCAAATCGCAATCCTGACCTTCCCAAATCCTCCAAAATCCTCTTTGCTCATGTGGATGCTCCAAAGTTCTCTTTGCCCAGGTGGAGGATTTTGAAGGATTTGAGGCTGTATGGCACGTTGATTCTGTTGATTTTGGAGGATGCATTTTGAACAAGGTCTAGGCTGTACCATATGTGACGTGATTTTTACAGATTTGAAAAGAGCACAATCTCAGCATCTGTGAAAACCGCACGGTGGTACCCTCTTTAGTTCATAAATTATGGAAGTCGGAACACCAAGAGATGCGATGAAGTGATGTGATGAAGTGGCCCTATTTTGGCCTGAATCTCCAAATGAAAGTTCCCGACAAACGTCTCATTTACATGTAGCTTGATCGCATCGCATATGTTGTTTGTGCTTTGCCGTGCATAAATTAAGGCTGAGATAGCACTTGAAATCCTCCGCACTGCTTCTGGATATATCATCAGCGCTGCCTCAGTGTATTAACAGTGATTGTTGGAGGCTTTTGCAAGATTGAGGCAGTGGTCACCCATCCAATGAAGAAATAACAGGATTTTTCAGAATTGAGACTGGACTTAGGGTTAGGGTTAGAAGAAAAAAAAATCAACTTAATTTTAAATTTTCAATCGATAAAAAAAAGTGAAGAACCATGCACAACCTTTTGATCACAACACATGATTTCGTCAATAGAACTCTTTATTCCAAACAAATTCAGTCAATTGACTGATCGTTGGAAATCGCCTACTTTTCTTGATTTCTTCTAAATGACAGCAAGCCAGACGGAATAATTTCACGGGGTGTTTAGTACCAGTCCAGTTACAATCTTTAATCCAAGTAAGCTTTTTTGATGATAGTTGGTAGGTTTCTTTGGGGATAAATGCAAATGATCCTATAATGTATATGCCTTGAAATAGAGTGGAACCTCGCTTAACCGAACACCGCTATACCGAACATTCGGCTGTACCGAACATTGTCCTTGGCTCCCGATTTTTGTGTACAAAACCAACTGAACATTGTTGTTGAAAACTGTCAATAGGAGAGCAAGAAGTGGCTAATATTTCCCCAAGGCATAGAAGGGAAAGCCACCCATCGATATAGGTAGTAAGCTCAAAACTGTGTAATAACATAATTCAATAGTCATGTTCGAAGTTGTCTTTCAGTAACTACCAGGGCGTGCAGGGTGAAGTTATGAAGGGCGCCATTTATTGAAAAGTGAGAACTGGAGCACTGGCAGCTTAAAATCGCGGTACCGAACGATCACTATTACGAACCTTTTCTGTGGATCCCGCGATGTTCGTTATAGCGGCGTTCCACTGTAGTGGTTTCATTAAATGTTTACCTCACTTAAGGGAATATACATCATTTGCTTTTGCTGTAATTTTCAGAAATGGATGGAACTGGGGGGTTGGAAATATATAGCAAATATAGTTACACTGACTTTTTTGAGGTTTTGGGTTCGAAAATGCTATAAAAACCAACATGACCAAGAAAAACAATCATTTTCCTGTAGTCTGGTTCCTTGACTCCATATAAGAAGAAACATAGCAGTTTACATACATTGGGGAATTGTAAGGTCAGGGAACCAGTCTAGCTGGCTCGTACCCGTTCATAGGTTTGTAATCGATTGCAAACAAGTGCGATGGTCAATTGGGGCCAGTATTTGGAAAAAAAGCCAGTTTTTTTCCAACGCTGATCGGCCGATCAGCGTTGGAAATTGATACAAAATACCACTTTTCTTGAAAATGACAGTATACCAGGTGCCATGATTTTACAGGATGCTTTACACTGTCATTCACTAACAGTCCAGCAAGGTATTTCAAAATGATTTGGTAGTTTTATTTTTTGATGTTTGCAAATGTTGTATTTTCCCTTTAATGGGGATTCTCAATCCTTACTCTCAGGCCCACTGCAACCGACACAGCTAGCTCCTCCAGGTCAGCCTCCTCAAGTCAGAAGAGCTCCTCCAAGCTGCGAGGCAACGCGATGATTTACGTCCCGTACCTCTCCGAGGAACTGATGCAGGGCTACCGCATCCTGACCGAGATTTTCGGCGACAAGTGCAAGTCGTTTGTCTGGCCGTTTCTGGACCCCGTGGACACGGACACACTGTGGGACTACGAGAGCAAGATCAAGCATCCGATGTGGCTCAGAAAGAGTAAGTGTATTTACTGGGGCCAATACAGGCATGACAGGTGGTGCATAACGCAAAACATGGCCCTCTGATGGCAAAACAGCCTAACAATAGAAATGTGGGGATTTTTTTGTTTTCCACCCCCCCCCCCCCCCCCCCCCCCCCCCAGTCTGAGTATCGCCTGTTATCCACAGAGTCCAGTCTCGTGTATATCGTCTGATATATCTAAGCTTGTAGATTTATGCGATCCCGCGCCTCAGCCAATCGGAGTCGACTTTACTAAATCTTGACGTCTTTTCATTCCAAAATCAGGTCTAACTGTTTGATTGGTCGATTCAAATGCAGTGTTACGGCCAGGCATATATGATTCAACCTAGACAAGCTTGGGCGTGTTGTGTAATATAGCCTTTGTTCCTGTGCCTAGATTTTTTTATTATCCATATCTATGACGCAACAACGGGTGAATGACCGAAGACCCGATATAGAAAGAGCCCGCTGATTGGTCAAGAGGTGGTTGTCATGAATAATTAATCAGCAAATCTGCTCACATGATATAGACTACCCCCCCCCCCCCAACAATTGAGTCCGTGTCAATCAAAGAATGTTGGGTGTTTCCCTCATCGATGTAATGTAACAAATGGTAAACGACCCGCAGTTTTAAACAACTTACATCTCCGTGACATAAAAGAAAAACTTTTATTCAAAAAGTCAAATTCTTGATACTTCCCTTAGTCGAATCCAAGTTTGTCAACAAGGAGTACCAGAGCATCACTGAATTTGCCGTGGACATCCGACAGATGCTGGAGAACTGCTACCGCTACAATGGCATCAAGCATCAGATCTCCAAGTACGCACAGACCCTGGAGTGTGTGTTTGAGCAGAAACTGGCTCTTCTATCACGGTAGGTTCATCCGATGTAGCACGACCATTCAGCACCTTCAGTAGCAGCGGTTAATCTGTTCAAAGGGGAAGATACAAACATCAAAATACGAAATGATCAAATTATCACGAAATATCTTTGTTAGGGATTGACAGTCCAAAGCATCCTGTAAAATCGTGGCTCCTGGTTTGCAGATTATTTTCAAGAAAACTTGTAGCCAACCAGCGTTGGAGAAAACTTGCTTGTTTCTAAAACTGCTCCTAATTTTTCCTGTTTAGTTATTCTGCATTTTCTTTGCAATTGATTACACACCTGTGAAGAGGTACAAGCCAGCTAGACTGATTCTCTGACCTTACAATTCCCCAAAGTCTACAAAGTGCTCCGTTTCATCTTAAGAGGGGTTAGGGAACCAGACTACAAGAACATTGCTTGTTTTCTTGGATTTTCCAGCATCTCCGAACCCAAAACGCGAAGCAAGTCAATTTAACAGTATTCGCTATAACATACCAATCCACCAAATCCATTTATTTTTGAAAATTGCAGCAAAAGTAAAAAATGTTGTACATTCCCTTTAATATGGGGGGGGGGGGGCTACAAAAAAAAGTGAATTTTTTTTTTTGTTCCTCCCAAAAAAATTGAGTCAAGCAACAAAGCAGGAACAATGTGTGGTCACAGATTCCCAAGTTGACAAGTTAATATGATAACCATCATATCTCCGTACACACATTCAATGACGTGTCCATCAAAAAGTATTATTTTCTTTGTTACCGAGCATATTTGAAAATGAAAGATTTGAATAATCATGCCAAAACTTCAATACTTTTAATTCTTAATAGGCAACTATTTCCAAGTCGCATACATATGTCCCATACATGTATACCATTTATAATGGCCTCTAATGCATGAAGTACATGCCTGTTCATGTAGATGAAAATGATAAATGGCATTAGTTTGTTTTGTTATGTTTTTCAGGCCCCTTCAAGAGAAGACAACGCTGTATGTCACCTCAGATGGCAAGTACAACGACGGATGCCCTAATACAGTGGAACTGTCATCAGGTATGTTATCACTAATCCTTAAGACTTGAATTGGATTGTTATTCCCTTTGTCCTAAAAATTCACATTTTACCAAGGTAAGTTAGGTCATTTGTCAGTAGTACATTTTTTTCGTTTGAAGCAATAAAAAGTGATCAAGATCTAAAGACTGTGCTTTACAACGTACCTGATGAAGTTTCAGCTCAGTGAATGCTGTATATTCCAAGAAAACAATATTCTAGGGTCTCCATTTCGGTTCAAAAGTTGCGGAGTCAAGTTTTGAATTGGGCCTGAAATGTTTTGAATTGCGCTGTGTCAACGCTTGTAGGCACCTGTTCACGGATTCGCCGAATTACAAATTAACTACAAACGGTAATTTCCAAAAATGCTTCACTTGACACATCTTTGGAAATTACCTTCTTTTAATGTTTTCTTCAAAATGACAGCATCCCAGAAAAAATAATTTCACAGCAGGTTTAGTGCCACTATATTTAAAGGAAATATGAAATGGGAGTTTTATGACTTAAATTCATTGAAAATAGCTTTCTAGTCATGTACTGTGACTTTCCACCTCCTTTGTAGCAGTAAAAGGGGAGAAATTACAACATTTTTAGTTTTATGCTCATGAAAATTTCCATATTCATGAACCAAATTATGATGTCATTCAAGGCAGAACAGTAGTGACTCTTTAGCTTTGTGTTTTGTTTTCTGGAGGAAGTTCCACTTTTTACTTGTTTATCATGTTAAACAGCTTGTTTGGACAATTGTAGTGGCCAATATTTCTTCCAAACTTTTTTTTGTGGTTAATTTTGAAGGACTAATTTGTCTACTGTTCATGTGCACTTTTGACAAGGAGAACCTTGTGTGACAAAAGCAAAATAGTGCCCTCTTACATGTATTGATGAAAGGATTTGCTAATAATTGACAAAATTACCACTTTCTTGTCACTTCCAATGAAAACAAGTATTAAGATCTTGTGTTGCAACACATAGAAATGTGCTTGAAAACAAGATGAGCTGAATTTCCACTGCATGTTTCCTTTAAACCAAGTAAGCTGGTCAACTCTTTTTGCATCGAGCCATTTTAAATACTGTATGCCCGAATTGTTTTCCATTAAATTTACAGGTCGTCTACGCCGCACATGCACCCGCCTGGCATCCCGCGCCCTGGAGCAAAAAGCGGCCGCGCCGCTGGCCTTCCACATCAAGCAGGAGCTAGAGCAGCAGGAACGCGAAGAGAAGCGACAGAAGATCGTTGACCGACGAGACGAGATCATCAAGGAGAGGCAGGACCTACTGGAGTGGGATAAGCAGTTGATTGGGGAGACACAATGGACGTATATGAAGTCAATCTGGGAGGTACTATCGCACATTTTTTTTGGGGGGGGGGAGGTGTTTTATCATTTTTTTCATGTCGGTCATTTTCATTCCATTTACCCACACCATCCTTCAGGAATGTTGTGTATGTTAAACACTCTTGGCAACTTCAGGGTTCAACTTTTTTTTTCACTAGCCAGCCGGGCTACTGCAACAGCCTCTTAACTAGCCCGCAGGCATTTTTACTAGCCCACATGTATTTCTTTAATAGAGTGTCTCATAAACAACGATGTGCATACATGTAAAACGTGTCTCCTGAGGCAATCCTGTCAGTGTTTTTAATATAAAACAGATCTAATAATATAACCCTAAACAGTTAATGAAATTAGACACAAATTGATACAGGTTTGCTTTCTGATTATATATTTCTTCCTGCCCTTTCATCTTTGCCGTAGCCCAATAATTTTTGACTCCCAATAATTTTTGACTCCCCAGCCTGGCTACTTAAGGAATAGTTTGACTAGTCCGCCGCTGTTCTGACTAGCATTTGGCAAGCAGGCTACCGCTAATTGCGAATCTTGAACTCAACAGCATGCAACATTTGAGAGGTGTCCTGGCAAAAATCAGGTTTAGTTGCACAAAATGCAATGCTTAAAAAATCATGATGATTATCTTGAGGATGGCAAAGAGAGCATATGTGATATATTTCACTCGCAGTTGTTTGAAGAAAAAGACGAAAGTGCCCGATTTTTTTTTCCCACTTACAAATATTTAGTAGAGTTGCGTGGTTGTTTCATGGACTTGCTGGAATGGTGTCATGAATGGTGCACTTGTCTTTGTGACTTTTTCCTCAACTTTCTCAAGTAAGAAGCGAACGTCTTTGTTGGCGAGTCCGTTACTCAAACTGTAATTCAGGCTTTTTCATTTTAGGCCAACAAAAAAAAAGGATCCGGTTTCTGGTATGGAGCTTGCCCCAAATGTGATGTGGCGACACATTTTAGTTATTTTTTTCCCCCTACTTTTTTTTTTCATTGGGGCACAGAAGTCAGAACAAAGTTGTCGGCTGATATTGCAGATGACGCTTCGATCCCCTTAAAACTCTCAAAAATATACCTTCAGGGTGGAGCTTGAGGTGACCTCGGTATTAGGCCGTAAGGCTTGAGAATTCTGCACGCACTTTACGATCTCGACCGACACGAGCATTCTTCGGGAAATGTAGATAGTCAAGAGAAAAATCAGAGAAAAATATAGCGACATCGACATCGTTCATGTGCTGCCAGGCTGGTCATTAGTCTGCTCCCTTACACATTGTGCTAATTAAAAAGCGTTTGCAGGTTCCAGATACGCGACCATCGCTCCCTCAGTCTGGCTTCCAGACGCACAATTACAAAACTGCAACACTGTCTAAATTTAGTGCAAATTATATGGGACTAAATTTAGTGCAAATTATATGGGAGCCCAGAGAGGCCACATAACGCTTATACTCGATCGTAACCCCATCTAAGAACACGTTAAAATTGTGCAGCAGTAGGATTCCAGTCAAACCAGTGTAGTTTGGCAGATTTGAGGTATCATCTTACATAGAATTTTTTTTTTATAATTTTGCCGACGTGCATGGCTACGGCGACACGTGCGCAGACCAGAAACTGTAAAAATCATAAAATTTTGTTTGGATCTAAAATAAAACAGGAGGTGGTATCTAAAAAGTGGGCATGAAGTGTATTGAACATGTACGTACATGTACGTTTACATGTGTAACTGCGGTACGGCCCAGATTTCGGGCACGGATTTTTGTTCGGCCTATATTCCGATTTGTTTCCCCCATAGAACAGTTTTATCTCTGTGGCCTATTTGATATACATATTTGACAAGGGACAGTACTGATTCTGTCGTCCTAGAATTCAATTGGGTTTTTGTTATCTTGCAGATTCCAGCTATTGGTCACTTCCTGTGTCTCTGCCAGTCCTCACTGGAGCTAGAGGAGATCAGCTTCTTTGAGTTGGAGCGTTCCTTCGCCATCCCCATGGAGAGCATGATTCTGCGACGAATCTTCACGACGCTGCTCAGTACGCCGTATCAGCGCACAAGGTACACTACAGTCAGGCATGTAATGAGTTAAAGCTAGAGTCCGTCATTTGCAGCTAACCGAAAAGTAACTGGCGTCATTATTGTAGAAAAACATTCTTGGTTGAAAGATAGTAAGGGGACTAAACTCCCTGTGAAATTATTCTTTCTGGCAAGCTGTCATTTTGAAGAAATCAACAAAAGAAGGCCTTTCCAACAGTGCTTCTTAAAACGCACTGTAGGAAATTCATATAAGCAGTTCGTTTTGTTATTCGGCAAAGCGCGCACAAGCATTGACACGACGCACACGCACGCGCTGTTGCTATAATTCGTCGGATCAGTGCGCGACATCGCGTAGTTGCAATCACCTCAGTGAGAACGCGTCTCGGACGCTGAAGTCGGGCCCAATTCAAAACATGATTCAGCAACTTTTGATTTGAAATTGAGATCCTAGAATGCTGTTTTTTCGGAATGTACAGCTGAAGCTAAGCTGAAACTTCATCAGGTTAGTTGTTCAGTACCTTTCTTTAGATTTTGAGCACTTTGGTTGCTTCAAAAGAACAAAATGCACAAATTACAAATGATGGACTATACCTTTAATACAGACTCAGCCGTACCTCTAAAGTTTGTTGTATCCAAATTTTGTATCCGGTTCGTTAGTAAAAACGTCATACACACGCGCGCGCACCACTGATTACTAGCGCCCATTGGATAAACGCTCGAGTTGCATTAACTTCCGGTTCCATTCGTGTTTTGCTACACCGTGTGAAGTACGAATGGTTGAATTGAGATGACGTCGCACTAACGAACCGAATTGAGTTGAGGGTCCCATTAATTGTGCCCATATATGCAGGGTCAGGACCGAGGCTTTATATTCAATATGGGCCATCAAATGAGGGGAATAATCGTCATAGCGATTTTTGGCAAGGTATGCACCTCCAGAGCTCGAAAATATGTGATAGCATCGCAGCGGTGGCAGCTTTTTGGTTGTTATCACCCATTTTTTTGTTCAAAATGTCCATCAAAATGCTTGTTACCTCTGTAGGGGCGGTTTACCTTGGCATGCGCACTATAATCATTTATGCTCTGATTTGATACTGACCAAACCCTCAGGCTGATGGCCTAAAATAACTCAAATTTTGGTGTAACTGAGTGTGTATTAAAAAGAGTCGAAAGTATATTAAATTAGGTTTTTTGCCCTTCATCGACGTATAAACACTGTGTACTCAGTGTGTTACCTCCCGAGTGAAAGTTGGAAAAAGTCACTCAGGTGGGACTTGAACCCACGACCTCCTGCTTTCTAATGCAGATGTCTTACCACTCAACCACCAAGCTAACGGGATCGGTTGGCTGGTTCGATCTGATGTACATAGCAGCGGGTACCGCATTAAGTATTCATAAGATGGAATTTTGCGTCGGGGTGATGTAAATTAAATTAAATTGGTTTTTTGCCCTTCATCGACGTATAAACACTGTATACTCAATGTGTTACCTCCCGAGTGAAAGTTGGAAAAAGTCACTCGGGTGAGACTCGAACCCACGACCTCCTGCTTTCTAGTGCAGATGTCTCGACCACCGAGCTAATGGGATCGGTTGGCTGGTTCGAATCTGATGTACATAGCAGCGGGTACCGCTCGGTGGTGGAGTGGTAAGACATCTGCACTAGAAAGCAGGAGGTCGTGGGTTTGAGTCCCACCCAAGTGATTTTTTCCAACTTTCACCCGGCATGCCCGGGAGGTAACACTCTGAGTATACAGTGTTTATACGTCGGTGAAGGGGAAAAACCTTATTTAATTTACATCACCCCGACGGAAAACTCCATCATATGAATAGTCGAATGTGTATTCAAATTGACCCTAACATTCATGGGGTGTGCGGCCTACTGGGTAGGGTTTGTGACTCATTATCAGTGGACCAGGGGTTCCAATGCAGCTGCTGGCCTGAAGTTGTGTCCCTGGGCAAGCCACTTCACCCCCACCTGCCTCCCTCCACCCATGAGTATAATGGGTACTGACATTAGCTGGGGAGTAACCTGCAATGGACTGACGTCCCATCTAATAAGGGGATAGAAATATTCTCAGTCGTTTCATGCCAACGAAATTGAAGACATCATCCAGTCTGATGGGTCATATTGGCTCGAGACAGACTTTACTATTTTATTTTCTCTTCTTTCATTTTCTTGATTGCTTGACAGGCTCGGCAAGAAGCCGCCCATGCCATACAAAGTGTGGGAGGCCCGGCTCAGGGAGTGGGTGAGAGGCTGGTATGTCGTCTACAACAAGCTGGGAGATCCTACCAAAGTGTGTGAAGTAACACAAATAATAACTAGACTTCTGTGTCGGTTTTCCCAACACGGCATGGCACATTTTAAAAATGTTTGACCTAGACATGTTAGACATCAATATATTATTTGAGAAAAGAGCAAATTCATTGTGAAATTTACATTAAGATAAATTGAAACTCAGAATCTCATGAAAAAAGAAAAATCACATACAGTCCTGATTTGAGGCGTGCGATCGCACCCCCACGCCATCACACGCCTAAAAGCTTTCTGAGAAGTGCGAATAATCGCACGCCTGAATCCCTCTGTACCGCACACCTCGGCATACATCTACGGCATAGTTATACATAATTTGTAAAAAAGAAGTATGTTTATGAAGAGAAAATGTCTTTGCTGTAAACCTAGAAGAATTTAAAAAAAAAAAAATACCAGATTGTTTAGTCCCCCTTGGACCACAGAATCACACGCGTAGAAAATCACACGTTTAGAAAAATCACACGCCTAGAAAATTCCAGGTGTGCCTTTTTCCACACGCCTGTGATTTCCAAATCAGAAGGACTACATCACACTGTTGTCACTTTGTATTACTACAGCAAATCAGTTTAGTGTACTCTTCATATACTGTAATACTGGGCAATTCCATGAAGAAAGTGGACACGGCTGAAAAATAGAAATTAATAAAATCTTCAAACCTGCAAGCATCACAACCTCAAACGTGGTATCAAATTAAAAGGGACAACAAAACCTATCATTTGAGTGATGTGGCAGTGAGATTGCATTTGGTTAAATGTATTTTTAGTCAAAAACATTTTGGGGGGCTAAAATTATGGATTTTAGGTACACATTTTGGCACCTTGTTTTCACATGCAAAATGGAATTAAGTTTTTTTTTCTGATTGTAACGTGAGTCACCTTGGAATGGCCAAAAAGTTGAGTTTTTGATGATGCCATAATATCCTTAAGTTTGTGTATGGTGTTTAGACATAGTGTATTCTAAGAAAGTTTTGAATCAAGCATTTCGTTCACCGGCCATCTCTAAATGAATTTTTAAAATCAATTTTTATAAACAGACAGTCATAATTGCGTCATCTTGGCATTTTGCATTTGCCATGCGACCTGGAAGTTAGTATAACCATACCAAGTTCAGCTCTATCCGATGTGTAGTTCTTGAGATGTTGCACTTTGAAAAATGTTGGGTAACTTTATTAAAGTTGATGTCATGTGACACATTTCGTTGTTTGTAGTACAACTGTAATCAGAGGTCATTAGTGCAAAGTGTGAACTCAGGTGATTTAACCAGTTTGCGCCGGGATTTTTTTTCACAAGAACGGAACGAGGCGCTGGATTACTTTTCACTCAACCTCAAGCCAGGCGGGTTGAAGCCATCACCCTCGGGCAGCACACTCATATTTCCAGCCTCGCTTGCTGCGAGCGGGTCGCTGACAGATAATTATTTCTGGCCTCGCTTCCTGCGTGTTTATCTGTCATCTGAATACCGCAAAACCTTTGCGTGTACATGTACACACGTCATCCAACGCGAACTGGTTAATTGCTGGAGGTGAAGGAGTTCAACATGCCAATTCAGTAGTTAAAAGGATTTTATACTTTTACATGCTCTGACTGTGTCTCCTAATGACCAGCAGAAATTGCCAAAAGATTTGAGTCTCCACCGTTTTCTCTTCAGAACCACCCAAACTCACAAGCAAAAAATTTCATGTCACATTGTGCAACCCAGCATTCTCTTACATGTATCTGTTGACAAAATGTGACATTCTGTTTGGTGCAGGTGTATGAGAAGATTGGCGTGCCTGAGCGGTTCTTTGAGGTGCTGGGTCCCCACTTCCCGCTGGACAGGGTCCAGTACCACGAGCTGACCTACTACGAGAGAGTCTGGATTATGAAGGCTCTCTGCGACCAGCTTTTTGTAAGTAGCATCTCAGGTTTTCTCACCGGTTTGTTGGAAAAATGTGTGGAAAACACTAAACACGGAGAGGGTGAAATATGGCTCCAAAAAATATGCAGAACTGGGCACAGGCTGTAGTGGAGAAAAAATGGAAACAAAATGGGGGTGATTTTTTTTGATTTTCAGATTTATTGATATTTGTTATCTGTGATATGTCAACTATACATTTTTTTAAAAGAAATAGCATACAAATCTTGTGTTTTTATAGAAAAACAATTGGAATCTTCCATTTTCACAGCTAAAAACTCAAAAAGTTTAATTTTCTCAATATTTTACAATTTTGAAATATGGCAATGAATGCAAACTTAAACAGCCACAACAGAGGGCAAGTTCGCGCAAGGACTATAGTTAACATTGGTCGACTAACGCTTGCCCGAACTCAGTCTAGTCGACAATGGTTAACTACGCTAGTTGTCTATTTGGAACCAACCTACTGGGGTTGATTGCTTCGCTGGTAACCATAGCCGCGCGCGTTCATAACGTACAGCAGGGAGCCAGGATCCAGACGTTTTGCAATGACATTTTGACCAGCGTTCGACTAGAGACATTCGCACTTTGCTATTAATGCGCAGGCGTAAGGTACGTCACAAATCAACCACTAGTCGACTTATGGTCCTTGCCCAAACTTGGCCAGAATTGGCTGCCTGCATAAAGGATAGAGAAGATTGGGGACGCCGCAGGGGATCACGCCTGGGGGCGACATGCAGGGTCCGCAATAAGCGGTATCGCATCGCAATTTGCAACACATTCGAGGCCGACTGCGACGCAATTTTTAAAGTGCATCGCAAAACTGCTATACAACATTTTGATCATGAAAAGTTGACACAAAGTGTACTTGCCACCAAATTTCGGTCCACTGAATTCCACAACTATCGGACATGGTAAACATCCATCATGTTTTGATTTAGAAAAAGAACGTCAATTTTGTTCAGCTGTATAAAATCTGTACGTGTTTAGTTTGTAAACAGGCGGCGTCTGAATAACGAGACCACGTGATAAACGCAGCTAATAATTTGGAATCGCACTTATGATCCGGACGTAAGGAATGCCCTGAGCGTCAGTGCGATTCCAAATTATCCGCAGCATGTATCACGTGGTAAATCACATGCATGATTGGAGGAGGTTGCAGGTCGTACGTCGAGATTTTACCTCGTAGCTTTGAATCTGCTGCGACTGTGCGAGGAATAATTTATGGATTTATAAAAGAAATAACACATTTGTACACTATCTGGTCAAGTATTCAACAAACTTTATTATTATTCTCACTCACTGGTAAATATATGCATGAAATGAGTATTTTGGTGGCTAAAAAAGTTACATGCACGTCGTGCATGCTCAGTAAAAAAGCTACGTGCACAAGCTAAAATCTACATGCACTGGTGCATGCGTGCATCCGGGTAAATCGAGCCCTTTCTCATCACTTTTCTTTAGATATTTGCCGGTTTATCTTAAACATTTTGCCGACACGGAAAACGGGTTTACCCCTTCAAGTAAATCACTTGATACGCACGTGGGATTCGTGGGAACTAAAACGTCAAAATCCCAGCTGTGTTGTCGTTTGTGCGCTGTGTAGCATAGTGATGAAAACATGGCTACTACGAAAACTACCGGTATCAAGGCAAATACTGCCAATAATTGGCAGGCGGATCTAGGGTTAATAAATTGTTTTTTCACTCGAAAGTTATTCCAGCAAGCATGCAGCTCCTGAAATAAACAGACAACTGATGAGTCATTAAGTTCACAGCTTAACATAAGTTACTTCTGTATTGCTTTGTAATTTGTACAGTCTGACACTGACAGGTAAATAGTAATTGCAAAGCCGAGGCTACATTTGAGTATAACAAAACTGCTATGCAAAATTGGTAAACTGCTATGCAAATCAAAATTTGCATAGCAGTTTTGCTATACAAAAAAAAATCCTTAAGGCTTACCCTGGCGACATGATGACTGATAACCTGTTAACGGAATGTCCGATTGAAATGTAACAAACAGTATTGTAAGGAGAAATTTATTCTCCTTTCAAAAACATCTACAGGCTGTAAACCCTTGTTACGACTTACTTGTACCATGTTTTAACGTGTAATAACTTGTAATGACTTGTGATGGCCTTTGATGACTTGTGACTACAATGACTTGTGCAAACTTGAGATGACTTTCGATGAATTTTTATGACTTGCGGTGACATGTAATTACTTGTTATGACTTACAATGTCTTAAAATGTCTTGTGATGGCTTGCAATGGCTTGCGATTGCTTGTGATGACTTTGTGACTAGTGATGACTTGCGCTGACTTGAAATGCCTTTTGATTCATTTTTATGGCATTCAATGACTTGTTATAACTTGTTACAACTTACATGTACAAATGTACAATGTCTTATAAAATGACTGGTGATGACTTGGGATGGCCTGTGATGACTTGTGACTAGCGATGACTTATGCAGACTTGAGATGACTTTTGATGAATTTTTATGTCTTGCGATGACTTGTAATTACTTGTTATGACTTACAATGTCTTAAAACGTCTTGGGATGGCTTGCAATGACTTGCGATTGCTTGTGATGACTTGTGACTAGTGATGGCTTGCGCTGACTTGAAATGACTATCGATGACTTAAATACAATTTATATCACTTACAATGACGTGTGATGACTTGTGATGATTTGTGCTGGCTTGCGATGGCTTACATGGCTTACGATGACTTGGTCCCACTGGCTAAGACAATTTCGTCATTCAAAAAACCTGTGATCTCGTGCAGGAGACCCAGATGAGCATTCGGCGCTGCGTCCTGGCCCAGCCGGTGGAGGAGCAGAGACCCATCATCCTGGGTGTGGACGGAGAGGCCAACTCCTACGTCCACTTCCCTCAATTCTGTGGGGCTGACCTGAGGATCTATCGCCAGTCCAAGTACCCGGACCTCCTGAAGAAGTCCAAGAAGGACAGGGTAGGAAGAAGATGTCTTATTTTCATACCTTGGACGTTGTTGAGGGTTAAAAAAAAAAAAAGGTAAAGGGGACGAACCTGTGTTCACAGGAACGGAGTGCCCATCTCTCTTTCAAATTGGGTTTTTGCCCTTCACCGACGTTTAAACACTGTATACTCAGTGTGTTATCTCCCAAGAGAAGGTTGGAAAAAATCACTCGAGTGGGACTCGAACCCACGACCTCCTGCTTTCTAGTGCAGATGTCTTACCACTCGACCACCGAGCTAACGGGATCGGTTGGCTGGTTCGAATCTGATGTACATAGCAGCGGGTACCGCATAAACTATTATAAGATGGAATTTTGCGTCGGGATCATCTCTCTTTCTTTAACGATTGGGCCAGACTCATATACATTGTACTGCTGTGGGGGGATCGCCACACCTCCTCCACAGCGAGTCTGTTACCTTCCCAGCATGGAATAATGCTGGTACCCATTTAGCACCTGGGTTGAGATGGGTAATTGAGGTAAAGCACCTTACTCAAGGGCACAAGTGCTCCACCGCTAGACCACACATCCCCCTTTTATACAAATGGCTGGGAAGGAATGTAGTATCCAGACGCCACTTTTTTGGTTGTGTACAAAGTGTACGGAGAGTCGAGTGCGTTTCAAAAGCATTTGCTATTAACAAAATGGGAAATGTTTCTCAGTCCCAAATTCATGTCTTTTCAACATGGTTGCAATGGCTGACCATCATTGAGATAATGTATGATGAAAAAAGTGGTGTCAAGAGGCAGCATTCTTTCCAATAGCTGCAAACTATGTAGTTCACACTCAGTGCAAAAAGGAAACGAACCACAATTGATAGCGTCAAGGCAAGTTTTGGGCACTGTGTATTCCCAAAAGTCCAACACGTTTTAACTCGGGTGAAATTCACAGCAAAATATTTTTTGACATGAAACTTGCTCCGCACATGCATTCAAGTGGAGTATGAACCTGCCTTATGTGGGCTGGGATTCGAACCAGGGCCTCATAAGCAAAAGGCGAGGAAATACTTTGCATCCAAGTGACCCCACCATTTAGTTTATATTCTGTTCATTTTGATGCTCCCCTTCCTATGACATACTGTTTAAGGTAATATACAATGTACGACATTTGCAAACATCAAAGAAACAAAACTACCAGATTATTATGAAATACCTTACTTTACTGTAAGTGAGTAATAATCTCAAGCATCCTGTGAAATCATGGCACCTGGTGTGCTGTCATATTCAAGAAAAGAGGATTTTTGTATCAATTTCCAACGATGGTAGGCCGACCATCATTTGAAAAAACAACTGACTTTTTTCTTCAAATACTGCCCCCAATTTACCAAATTGCCTCAATCCTGCAAAATCCTCCATTTTGCGAAGAGGATTTTGGAGGATTTGGGACAGTTGAGGTTAAAAGACAAACTACCGGTACGCCTCCGCCCCTTCCCCTCCCCCCTCCCCCCCCCTCCCCAAAAAAACATTATAAGAGTCAAGATTTTTTATTTATTCTGATTGCGGCACAGGTGAAGACAGAGGAAATGGAAGACCCGACTGAAGAGCAGTATACTCAACGACGCAAATACCGCAAAGGCCCGGCAGCGAGGAAACGTATCGCCAAGCCTAAACCTGTCATCGTGGAAACTCCCCGCTCCAGGCCAAGCAGACTACGCCAGGTGAGTCTTGAAACACACAAAATATATTGTTAACTTTGGCCATTTCTCAAAACCTGGCTGCAGTTGCAGCTCTGGCTTTGGCCTTGGGCATGTTTGGCTACTAATTCATCATTTAGTAGACTTAACCATTTCTTTAACTCGGCCCCAACTGCAGGTTCCGGCATCCAGACTTTTTGTTGTTTCTGTCTTTTCCAAAGTTTAATACCAATTAGAACGTTACCCCCCTCCCCCTCCCCAAAAAACCTCCAAATTAAGTCAGTGTTTTCCTGAATGTCACTGGTCTTTCAATAACTATGATGTTCTTAGAGATAGAATTCCAAAGTCTTGTGAAGTGTGAGAGCTTGTTGATCATTTAAAATTTGTGTTGGCTGACTTTGAACATATCGGCTCAGATTTCACCACAGATTATGTCTTGAATGGCCAAATGGATTCGCCCAATTACAAAACAACTTCTAATGGAAATTTCCAAAAAATCTGTCACTTGACACATCTTTGGAAATGACCTGCTTTTAAGTGTTTTCTTCAAAATGACTGCATGCCAGAAGGAATAATATCACAGGAAGTTTTAGTGTCATAAAGCATTTAACAATAATTTAGTCAGTTACTTTTTTAGATAGCAGCAAATGATCGACTCTACCTTTAATGTTTTTATTACTGTACTATACATGCCCCAAATGACTATTTTACTTGGCAACTGTCCTCTGAAAATAAGCATAACGACCTGTAGCTACTATTGTTCTGATGTGCTGCACAGTTGCTTTGAAATGTTTCATCAAGGGGTGGTTCGGGAAAGTAACATTGGAGCAGATAGTTTGGCAAGTTAAATTTGAAATAAATATAACGTGACGGAATTCCAAAAACATTTTTCAGTCTTAGTTTGAGTAGAAAATGCAACATTAATCTCCTTTGTTTGGTTTCACTGAACAGAGACTGACTACCACCGTACATTATGGGACATATGCAGAGAGTGTCATCTCCAGCACAGAGTCTGAGGATGTCACCAGCGAGTTTACAGAGATGGAGGACGAGCCCGAGTCAGACAGCCAATCGGAATGCCAGTCGACGTCAAACAGCCAATCAGAATGCCAGGCAGCATCAAACAGCCAATCAGAATGCCAGGTGACGTCACGCAGCCAATCAGAAGGCCAGACAATATCAGGCAGCCAATCAAAAGACTGCACAACCTCAAACAGCCAATCAGAAGGCCATCCGACATCAAACAGCCAATCAAAATGCCCAACGACATCGGACGAACCTCAGGAAGATGCAAAACCGATGGATGGAGTTCAGGAAGAAGAAATTGTAAAAGATCCCAAAAGGGACAATGGAGACAGTTTTAACAAAAGCAGGGCAAATGAGGAATGCGAAACGGTTGCAGAAATTCAAACTGGAGAAGAGAAGCACCAACCGTCGCACACCACTGGAGTAGTGAAACAGGAACCAACATTGACTGTTGAATCCATGGACTCAAGAGTTGACTATCTGAATGCCGAACTGAAACCCAGTCCAACTGAGCAACTGTGCAATGGGGAAACCACTTCTAGTCATTCCTCCACAACTTCTGAAAATATTTCCCTGGAGGGCCATCCAAAGTCCTACCCTGAACAAGAGACAAAGGACGGTATCTTCAAAGATGCTGAAAAGTGTCGGAGCCCCTCCTTTCAAAATGGAACGAGCAGTCAAGGCAGTGACTTCAGTGCCAGTGCAGAACACTCCATTAAAACCGAGGGGGAAGCAGAAGCTGCCGCAGCTTCGGAGGGGAGTGCAGTCACTGAAGAGCCAAACACGAACAACAATTCCAGCCAGACTTTGGACATACATCATGATATGAAACTTCTGGCAGAGCCAAACGACAAACCCTGCGGTGATACCGCCCCAAACGCAGGGGATGACACAGTCCCCACTGCGGGGGATGACACAGGCCCACCGGCATCCCCTCCCAAACCCCACGTGGAGGTCCTCCCCGTTCTCGGAGAGTTTGAGTTGGTCTGTGACAGCATGGAGTCCTTGAAGGAGCTGGTTGATAAGTTTGGTCCACCGGAGTCAAAGCCCCTGCCACCAACCACAGGAAGGAAAAGAAAGGTAACATGTATGGCCAATTATGTCGATAATGCATCAGCATGCATTACGTCTAGATTGAGCGTGGACCAATCTGGGCATGCAATCAATTCTGTCACGAAGGCCCCCTCCAATGGCGACTGCACTGTGCTAGCTGTTGTTCAGATAATCGGTCACGAGGCAGCTGCTTTGTAAAAGAGCGTGCACAATGGTTTCTCCATTGAAGGGGGCCTTTTGAGTGTTCAGTGATCACGTGCCCGGATTCGTCTATACACCATTTCAGAAAAAAAATGCCAAATTATTACATTATTTAGCTGCATGTATCAAACCGACATTTAACCTTAACCATCCTGAATCCTTCAAAATCCTCTTTGCCAAAGTGGAAGAATTTGGAGGATTGAGGTTGCTTGGCAAAAGTGCGTAACTCACTTCGTAGGATGCACTTTGTCAAGGTCTTGGGCCGGACCTTGTGTTGTTTTTGCTCAGCCATGCATAAATATAGGCCTGGATTGTGCTTGAAATCCTCCGTACTGCTCCAGGATGTCACTGGCTCTGCCTCAACATATTGACAGTCACATGACTGCTGCAGGATTTTGCAGGATTCAGGCAGTGGTCACCCCTCCATGGACCATATTCAAGAAACAATGCAGGAATTTGCAGGATTGAGGCTATATTTTTCCCTGAGGCCAATTGGAGGATTTTGCAGGATTCAGGCTACATCCTAGGGAGTTTTAATAGCAAAAAGGCCTAGGGAGTTAGGGTTGACATGGTTGAAAGCCTCATTAGATGCAAACCTGTATGCTCACAATAACATTGGGCTGATGTGTGGGTATTGTGTACTGCTCGCATGCAAACTTGTATATTCATGGAGGAAAGGTTTTTTAATGCATTTTGGGTGTCCCGAATGAAAATTACCAGACTCATTTGCCTTGGAAATCACATGTGTGCAGCATAAGCAAATAACTTTTCAGAAAATGCTCCGGACAAAAATGTCTTAAATTTGAAAATACAGCTCACATGTACATAGTCAGTTTACATTTTCTGCACTTGCATGAAACTAGCAGTAACAAGTATGTTTTTGTTGGTAGATATTTTGTTGCCGGTTTTTTTTTAATTATCAGCATGCTCTGTGTTTGGGTTCAATCAAGCAAGCTTAATACGCGAGGTGGTGTTTTGGGGAGAAGGGTAAAAATAATAATTGTTGTTGGTCCAACTTGTCTTGTTCTGAATCCAGGCAACCATGTACGTCAAGCCACCCGTGCGCAAACGCTGCGAGAAAGAGCTACACGAGAAGCTGACCAACCTGCTCCTGGAGCTGACCCCTTACGAGGCCAAGCTGGCCAAGTTTGCCATACGCAACCGGGAGCGGTTCAAGAAGGAGTACGAAGCAGCCCAGACGGCTCCTGAAACTGATCAGGTAGAAACTGTTCAGGTAGAAACTAATCACGTAGAAACCAACCCGGTAGAATTTGGAAGGATAGAGTCCTCTATACTTTACATGTACATCAGGGATGTGAGTCCTCCGGCGTTTGCCGGAATTCCAGATTGCTAAAAATTGCCGAATGAGACTTCCTGCGCCAGGTACTAACATGTCTCAGTTCATATCCAGAACGAGTTCCTGACAATTTGCGGACAGTTTATCAGGTTTACATTAACCCTAAAAGGGCCGGGTTATTTTGACCATCTCTCAGCTGCCCCCCCCCCTCCAAGATCTCGGCCATCGAGTGACAAAACATTTTGAAACTCAGCACATGTATAGAACAACTCATCATGAACATACCCAAGAAATTTCATGACTACAGGTCAAAGGGTTGTTGAATTATGGCTAATTAATTATTCATATGTACGAATGGTAATTCTGCTCTATGTACATGACGTATATGGGAAAATTCAGTTTTCTACCATGTCTACACGCCGGAAAAGTTTTCGCTACACAGCAACCCGTGGTCCGATTTTTATATGTTTGGTATCAAAAGATGCGCAAAGCTCGAGGCTAAGAAGTCACAACAGCTCGGGTTGCGAGAAAACTTTTTTTTAAGGCTATCGCGGAAAAAGTTGAGGGGGGGGGTATGGATTCTGCCCCCCCCCCCCCCCCAGCCCTTTTAGGCTTAAAGTTTAGGATTCTGAACAACTTCCCCGCAATGAAGTGATCAGTATTGGTGAGCGAAGCAGTTGCTTATGGAAATTTCCCCAAGAACATTTCGGGGATAAACACAGAGCTTCTTCCTGACAAAGTGGATGATTCTACCCGCAACCTTTCTGGAACTTGTCTAGGATATGAATTGAGACAGGCCCATATTTCCCAGCCAAAAAAAAAGGAACCAAAAACAAAAAGAATTGGCGTAACGTCACCGGCTGGCAGGCTGGGCCAACCCTTCCAATACTTACATGTACAACTATCAGATTTCCATGAAACATAGGCACAGATATTTCTTGTGGTATGTTTGAACCACATTTTCATTGATGTTTTTACCACATTCCTGTTAATTTGTTGAAAGAAAAACCAAATAAAAAACTGAGAAAAACATGTGTTTTGTGGTCAATTGAAATAAGTCTGAATATTCTCTTTATTGGGAGTATGTTCTCGGGACAAATACTTGTCCGACCTGGTTTGTAAAGCCGCCCCCAGGTCGACCTTGCAACAACAGTGACACAGCAACTGACTTTTCAGGATCAAGCTGCGCCTGAGCTAGTCTATTTTGTAGACCCTTGCAATTAATTATGCAACTAGACTGCGTATGACCTTGAGAAACTGACCAATCAGCAGTTGCCTTCTGTACACACATATTTTAAGCTCCCCACGTGCGTAACTATCACGCCCATGATGAGTAGCATTTTTCTGAAGGTGGTTGTATTACAAAAAGGCGGCATCGAAATTGACCAATCACAATCTTAGTCCTGATTTCGGAATAAAATGACGTCACTCATGCTTAGATATGTCAGACGTTAGACAGGAGACTGCGCTCCGTGGATAACGGGTCATACTCAGACTTCACCTGAGCTACGACCATCAGGAATATTTCAGGTTTTTTGCGACCCGAGTGCAAAAAAATGCGACGATATTAAAGGGAATATACATCATTTGCTTTTGCTGTAATTTTCAGAAATGGATGGAATTGGGGGGTTGGAAATTTATAGCAAATATAGTTTCACTGACTTTTTTGAGGTTTTGGGTTCGAAAATGCTATAAAAACCAAGAAAAACAATCGTTTTCCTGTAGTCTGGTTCCCTGACTCCATTTAAGAAGAAACAGAGCAGTTTACATATATTGGGGAATTGTAAAGTCAGGGAACCAGTCTAGCTGGCTTGTACCCGTTCATAGGTGTGTAATCGATTGCAAACAAGTGCGATGGTCAACTGGGGCCAGTATTTGAAAAAAAGCCAGTTTTTTCCAACGCTGATCGGCCGATCAACGTTGGAAATTGATACAAAAATACCACTTTTCTTGAAAATGACAGTATACCTGGGTGCCATGATTTTACAGGAAGCTTTACACTATCATTCACTAACAGTCCAGCAAGGTATTTCAAAATGATTTGGTAGTTTTATTTTTTGATGTTTGCAAATGTTGTAGTTTCCCTTTAAGTGGATCGCCATCAGTTGGTGCTCCAAAAAATCAACAGTTGCAAGGGTAGGCAAATTTCAGGCGGGAATTAATCGCAGTTGGCCTGTGTGAAGATACAACGTCATGCGCACATCCAGATTATCTAGTTTGGTTGTGAATCGTCTTCCTGTCATGGATGACATGAGCATGGTTGCAATTACTCTGTACTGAGATGCTGTTTGATGCCCAAGAATCACACAGTTTTTCAGCTTCATGACCCGAGCATTACCTTTCTGTTTGATGTTGACGGTCGCGTCGTGGCTCAAGCAAATTCTAGGTCGACCTGAGGCTGGCTTTAATAATAAGCTGACGCATCAGTGCTCTTTGGAGACTAGCCCGGATGAAAAGCCCCCGTGTCCACCATGTCCACTAAGTTTGTGTCGTTTCACAAGCTCTTGTTTCTTTCCTGCTTCAAAAGATTGATGCAAGAAAACTACAATACACACACACAAGAAAATATGTGTTCTTCGTTAGCCTACCTGCCAACGAGGGACATAATGATCTCAATCATATCAATAGCAGCGCAACGCAGAAAGGCCAACGCAGGGTACTGTCGCAGTTTCCAATGTCGTAGCCAGCGTTTTTCCTGGGCATGTGAATCAGATCACACCTCAGCCAAGTTAATTTTGAGCAAGTTTGGGCGAGAACTATTAATTGATTGGTGGTTGATTTGGGCCGTAACTAACACCTGCGCACGCGTATCAAAGTTCGAACCCCTCTTGGCAAACAGTGGTAAAAAGTCCTGGCTCCCTGTTGTGCTTAAAGGGAAGATACAACATTTGCAAACATCACAAAACGAAAATGATCTGATTGTCACAAAATACCTTACTGGATTGTTAGGGAATGACAGTCTAAAGCATCCTGTAAAATCATGGCTCCTGGTGTGCTGACATTTTCAAGAAAACTGGTATTTTTCCAACGCTGGTCGGCCGACCAGCGTTGGAGAAAACTGGCTTTTTTTCAAAAACTGCTTGCAAACTCTTTGCTGCAAAAAAACTGCAAAAACTCATTGCAATTGATTACACACATGTGAAGGGGTACAAGCCTGCTAGACCGATTCTCTGACCTTACATTTCCCCAAAGTCTTATCTTTTCATCTTACATGTAAGTGGGGTCGGGGAAACAGACTACAAGAACATGAATGGTTTTCTTGGTTTTTCAGCTTCTACAAGCCAAAAACATAAAACAAGTCATTTTAACAATATTTGCTATAACATACTAATCCTCCAAATCCATTTATTTCTGAAAATTGAAGCAAAAGCAAATGTTGTACATTCCCTTTAACTCTTTCAGTGCCCGCGAAATTTGAAAAGTTTAACCCTAAAGCGTTTTTGTTATTTGTTCAAAATTCTGTAAAAAAAAAAGTAAATAAGTTTTACTCACTAAATTTGTTGTTGTTGCTCTCTGGTATATCCTTGATATATTGGAAAGTCAAAAGTAGTCACAAACATAGTGATACACCCTGAAACACTGGCCTGAACACAGGGGAATTCCGTACTTTTTGCAGAAAATACGAGATTTAGTGCTGCGCCCTCTCGCAAGAACTCGAAATGAAAAAATAAATACAGGTCGTACATGCATGAAATGGTACCATTAGAAAGAGCGAGAGCGCCCCCTTTTGATAACATATTTACTCTACCTCGTACATGCACGAGGTTTGGCAATTTTAAGTACGAACATTTATGAACATTACCTCGTACATGTACGAGGTTGGCGCTTTTGCACTAACAAATATACCTCGTACATGTACGAGTTTGGCACTGAAAGAGTTAATAATGCGTGCAGCTCTATTTGTATCCAGAAATGGAACTGTGCCCATGCTCCCGTTCCAAGTTGTCGACTATAGTAGTCCAACCATCCGTCTTTCGAGCAAAGTTAGTCCATGAGTGGTTTACATGTACATGTGCGCGTATTTCTTAGTGTATTTCTTTTTTTGTGTAGGTCTCAATTGTTTGGCAAAGTTGTTTGAGCTCACTTACATCCCTGCTACATTTACTTGACCTCGTACCGTACTTTCAGTGGGGGCGCTGTTCAAATCCGACGATGATTAACGCTATATTACAAAATGGTGTACAAATACCCCCTAACCAAGCCGGCTCTGTCCGTATTTTGTGCACACGTAAACAATGTTACCAGTATAATATTTTTAGATTTTCGCATTATTTTTAATGAATTTATGTGAAAACAAATTGACAAAGCTTTTTTTGGTTTTTTTACCCCCGTTTTTTTTTTTACCCCCGGCACCTAGTTTCATCATTATCTCAGTATAAAAAAAAAGGAGATTCATTTTAGTTTTTTGATTTTCCCTGCAGGACATCAAGGACATATGGGCATCAGAAGAGTCATCATCAGAATCTGCAAGTGATGCTGAATCAGAGAGTGACGAGGAAGCACAGCCAGCCAAAGACAATGATGAAGATTGGGATGCCTGCTCTGAAGGCATGAAACTTAGGAAGCGAAGCGCCAAGAAATCAGCCGCTGCAGCTCAAGATGCAGATGAGGAAGCTGGAGAAACTGTTCAGGAAGATGTCCCAAAGAAGCCAAAGCGGCCCAGACCCAGCGGCAGGAGAAGCCCTCCGCACAAGAATCAGCTCAACACCAGCCTGATGGGGCTGTTCAAGAGCCTCTCCACGGATGGCTTGCAGGATGCCTGCAAACGATTGCAGACGATGATCAAGCGAGCGGAATCCACTCGCAACCACATGTTCCTCAAGTCAAAGATCAGCCCAGCTTCCCTCTCCGGTTGTGGGGACGGGCAGGCAGTGATGGCCTTCCTCAACAAATTTTTCTGGTTTGGTGCGAAGCCCCCAGCTGTGGAAGGCAAGGTCGCTAAGACTGTGGAGGAGCTGACCAGCACATACCCTACATTTGTGCACAACCTCATTTTCAGAAACATTAAGAGTGGTCTAAGCAAGCTGGCCAACACTGCCAAGAGTACCAGTCATGACAGCACCAACCAAAAGAATGAACCTGAATCCAAAGAAGAATCTGACATACAATCAGAGCCATCTCAAGAGGCTGTTCAGTCACAATCCACTGAAGGAGAAAATATGTCAGATGCGCTTACCAGTTCAGGCAGAATTGAAACCAGGTCCTCAGTGTCGAACACCTCTCAGGAAAACAACTCAAAATTGGAATCCAACATTAAGACAAAAGAAGTCATGGATGATTTTACACTGGCTGGACTGTACACAGTTCTTAGCCAGACCAAGGGACTTTTGCGGGAGCGCCTGGCCACTGGGCTTTCAGAATTACTGCCAGACTACCCAAATCTGCAAGACAGCGTCGTCAAAATTGACCAAATGGTGAAGAATGAGCATGGAGATTCAGTCCAACCAAGTTTGCCCTCATCAAGAAGTGAAACTGACAAAGAGCTGCTCCTTAAAATGCTGCCCAAGCCGTCGCAATACCTAAGAGGTTCAAAATCAGCAGCTGAAGGCTCCGCTCATGTCACTCACGTCAAGTATATTTCCAACGAAGATATTGCAAGCATGGGAAGCACCATAAAGCCGGGCAATTCCCTTATAGTCCCTGTGCCCACGTCCAAGTTACCCTTCATGCCAAAAAGCCGTTCCAAAACAGAAACTGCTAAAGCTGCAATCCCAGCTATAAAGCCAGCCCATCCCATTACCCAAGCAACTGCCACAACTGGTAGCCCTCAACTGTCTGATAACCCAGGAGCTGTACCACATGGTGTGTACACAATCAAAGTGGATGCCAGTGTATGGTCACAGCTGCAAGGCAAGCCGGAGCTGCAACAGCAGTTTGTGCTTCAACAGATCAAAGAGATGCAGCGCAAGCAGACTGAGTCAGGCTCTTCGACCGACTCCACTGGGAGTCTGAACAACCCAGCACAGGCGGTGACGTGCATCCGCAGCCCTCCGAAGGCCCAAGCCACAGTGCAAAAGCCTTCCTCGCAAACAAGACCCACCCCTGCTCGCAACACTGGACGAATCTCACAAACCACCAACTTACAGAACATTTCTGACCTGTCATCTCTGCAGCCTATCAAATTGTCCAAACCAGCCCGGCCAAAGGCCTCTGCTAAACACCACGGTGGTTTGCCAGAACCTGCTTCAAATTTATCACAGAAAGAACTGATTGCACTACTGCAACAGCAGCAGAGGCAGCTCCAACTTCATCGGCAGCAACAGCAAGAGAAGCAGCTGCTAAAACAGAAGAATGAGCAGCAGCCTCAGCAACAGCAGCAGACACACACACAGCAGCATGCAAAACAACAATTTGTACTATCAGCGTCAGGAGCATTACTTTTGCCACCTCAGCCTCAGCAGGTGACATTAACAGGTATGCCAAAGACTCCTATCGTGCCAGGTGTCGGAAACACATCTCAACGCGTTGTGCCTTCTTGTGTTCAACCTTCCAGTGCAGTAAACAGCTCAGTTCAGCCCACAATAGCTCCCTCATTAGCATCGCATGCTACAAAATTATCCACCAAGACCACTGTCACTGCAGCAGTGAAGCAACCAAAGATGACAACGAATCTAAACAATCCCCAGCCTGGTGCAGTTGCTTCATCGGCCACAACCATCCTTTCCCAAAGTGGGCAACAACCTCAGATTATACATCGAGCCCTAGTGCCTCAGAACCCTGTCTTGGTATCTAATCCCCCAAAAAGTCCAGGTAGTCAGCTTCATCTTGTGCAGACAAACAATGGTACTCAGTTTGTTGTGCGCACAGGCTCATTGCAGGCCCCCAGGCTTCAAAGCCAGCCTTCTGCTGGAATTATTGGAAATCCAAGAAACACATTCCCTGTGGTCATGGCAGGGCAGAATAGCCAGGCTGCTGCAATAGGTGTTACCTCAGCTAATAGTACTGTCCTGGCCCTGCCACAAACTGCTCAGTTTTTGATGCAGCCCAGTCAGGCTGTTCCAAACACTGCCAAATGTCAGCCACAGAGTGTTCAGGGAAGCTGCAATTCTCTGTTAGGGCAAGCGACTACGTCCGTATATCTAGTAGGAGCTACTCAAGCTGGGCCCCAATCCAACCAGGATACACCAAGAAGAGCAAATAATGCATTAACAAACCAAAGTGTTGGACAACTTGCTCAGCCCCAGAGGCAGACAGCACCTGTTGTCATCCAGAAGCCACAGTTGGCAGTCTTGAAAGGTTTAGGAGATTCCAAGGTGATCGTTGGGAGCCCAACAAAAATGGTCCGTCTGGTGCATCCAAGCCACCTTTCGACAGCAGCAACATTTGTACCGACATCTGTTCCAGGTCAGGTAGGGAGTTTGCCAGTTGTGGTGACTAAGGCTGTCCAAGTTGCACCACAAGGAGTGCAGGTGGTAGGCCAAGCTCCAGCTCAACAGCAGTTGGTACATCCACCTGTTCAACCAGGCAAGATGGAGTCTGTCCCTTCTGCCCTGGTTGCCCAAGGGTCACCATCGGCGTCTGGGACCATAATTCAGGAGCATCTACATCAAGTCGTTCTACAACAGCTAGCTGCTGGGAAGCTCAAGCTTACACCTCAGACTATTCCAGTGTCTCAGATTGTCCATCAGGTCAATCAACAGCAAGCTCCAAACCAGCAGCCAAAGGCAGCACAGGTAGTCAACACCAACCCGTTAGTACTATCTCAACAAGCACCTCAGCTGATCACCAAAGTCCAGCAGTCATTGCCTACCACTATCAAGACCAGCCCCCCGATTTCTGGGACAGATGCTCTGTTTGACCGACAGTTGCAGGCCAGCATCAAGATACTCAGTCAGGCAAAAACTGGGCAAGGGTCTGCTGTCAGGCTCCTGGCAGCTCCCAGCATGACCAACCAGGGAAATCTATCCGGCCAGGAACCGCAGAGACTTCAGCTAGTCAGCGCTGCCAGCTCAGTCACTGGGCCAGCATGCTCATTGATCCAGGTGCCAGCTGTGCAAAACAGCCCAACACAGATAGCAGTCCAAGCCTCTCATTTGGTCCTGGCGCAGCCGTCTCTTAACAACCAAGCAATCAGTCCAACTGTGCCGACCCAATTCATCTTGCAGACTGAATCAAATCAGCTGATGGCTTCACCTCAGAACGCTGTTCAGAAGGGTGTAAAGCGATCCTCGTTTGCACCTGTTGTGGCTTCTGTTGTAAAGGTACCCAGAGTCACTGCCCCCGATCAAGCAGCGACAGCGCAAGCAGTACCAGCAACTACCTTCTCAGGATTTCCACCAAACACTACCACGGGTGTAAGCTGATACATACAGTATCCAGGGCATCTATCCAGGAATCTGCTTTCATAAGAAGACAAGATTTCAAAAAAGACTTGTGTTGCTTTGTTTCTTTAACAGAGAATTTCCAATGTTTATTTCTTTCATGTTGGATCGAGCTGTAACAAACTTCAGGTGCTTGATTTGAGTATGAATTCACAAAGGGACCTTATGATTTTTGTCTCTTTTTCCCAAGCATATTTTTGAGTTCAATACATTCTGGTATTAAAATTCTTTGATATATTATTAAGTGTATAAATATTTATTAAGATAAGAACAGTGCTGAAACTTTTCCCATGTTTAATTTTTCTGTGAATATCTTGGTTCCCAACACTGACTGTTGTCATGACCAGTTGATCAAAAGTGAGGTCAGGTTTTTTGTTCATCATTATGGTCACTTTATAAATGTACATGTACATGTATTTGCAATATTTTGTCTGTCGCACAACGAAGTGAGGCATCGTGTGCACAAAGCCCATAGACGATACGCCACATCGTGGTGCAGCCGATGATTTATATGCTCTTTCTTTCACCCCAAACAAGTTACATGCACTTACATTAAGGTGATGTACTATGTGGTGGACATCACCTACATGTAATGTTCTTAGAGAACATCACTTTTCATCACTTTGGAATATTTCTTGCCCCTGCTGCTTTGTTTTAAACAGTTTTGTCCTAACAGCAGCAGGGGCGAAACTGTTCAAAACTCTCTGAAAACTATAGAGAATGGTACAATGTACCTATTAGCCTAAGTGTGTGAAGGCATCAGAGCGTTAACCAGCGAGCGAACCAGAACGAAGACAACTAACGTCAGACATTGGTACTCTATAAAAAGATGATGTTCCCTGAGAATGTGAGGTGATGTTCTCCACACAGTCCATCAGCTCATCATACCTGAACTTATACAGTGCGACACGCGAACAGTTCTCAGCCAAAGAAATCTCACAATCCAAAGTCCAAGTTGTAGCAAGTAATATGCATGAACCAGGTTGAGCTAGCAATAAGTCCAACACACTGGCTGTTGTGAGTAGGGCCTACAGTCGACTCTCGTTAATTACAAACTCAGCTAGACCTAGCCAAAATGTTTGGTTTATCTGAATTTGTACAGAATGCACAGTCGGGACCAAGGCTTTACATGTACGTCACGGGGCCGTATCATAAGTCCGACGCCTCACAGGTCCGACGCCTCATAAGTCGGAAATTTCGGACTTTTGAGGCATTGGACTTATGAGGCATAACAGATATTTATTCTGCCTCATACATTGTAGGTCAGAGGCCTCATAAGTCCGACGCCTCATAAGTCCGAGGTCGGAAAAACGAGGAGTTCAATTTGTCGGAGCTATGAGGCGTCGGAGCTATGAGGCGTCGGACTTATGAGGCGTCGGACTTATGAGGCGTCGGAATTATGGGCCTTTATTTGGTAAGGGGATGCGATTTTGTCGGACGTATAATCAGAATTTGTATTAACAGAGTTTATATTAACGAGAATCGACTGTACATAGGACACACAGTGTCATCTGCTTTTCCTGTACGGAATCCAAAGCTCCTTCATACATACACGTATGCTGGGCGAGAAAATTGTATTCCCACAAAATCTTGCAATTTTTGAGACCAACTTGAATTCGGCCATTTTGGTGGCATTAAATGACGTGTACTGAAGCTTATTTGATAAAATGCTGGTATCAAGTAAAGGTATACAAAATGTGCTTTGAAAACAAATTTCAAAGATTTTCAATGGTCATTCCAGTAAGTTTCCAGCAGACTTCATGTAGGTTTTCTTATTTTGATATGCAGAACTAAAAAAAACACTGTGTAAACAATGTTTATTTAAAATTGGGAGGGTAAACATTTTCTCTTTCAAATGTTCCTTTGGTTGAGTGTGTTACTACTTGTTTTTATAACTTTGTTAATTTATGTATTTATAATTTTGATTAAGAAAAGTTTTGAAAGATATGAAAATTATAAATAGAAATGTCCAGTCGGATTGCATCGTTCATAATGTGCTTCTCCCATCCATCGAATAAGAAGGTGAATTCGAACCTAACCATGACCCAGTAGACTGATTCATTCAGATGCTGATTTCAGCGCAATTCAGAACATGACTGCAATTTTTGAATTGAAATCGAGATCCTAGAATATTGTTTAATACTTGGAATATGAAACATTCACTATAAGCTAAAACTTCATCAGGTTAGTTAAGCATTCGTCTTCACTTTTGTTGCTTCAAACAAACAAAAATGCACAAATGACAAATGATCTACCCTACCTTTAAAGGGAAAATACAACATTTGCAAACATCAAAAAACGAAATGATCAAATTATCACGAAATACCTTACTGAATTGTTAGGGACTGACAGTCTAAAGCATCCTTTAAAATCGTGGCTCCTGTTGTGCTGACATTTTCCAGAAAACCTGTTTTTTTTTTTTCCAACGCTTGTCGGCCGACCAGCGTTGGAGAAAACTGGCTTTTTTTCAAAAATTGTTCTTAATTGTTCATATTTGTTATTCTGACTTTTCTTTGCAATTGATCACACACCTGTGAAGGGGTACAAGCCTGCTAGACTGATTCTCTGACCTTACAATTCCCCAAAGTGTATTAATTGCTCCGTTTCATCTTAAGGGGGTCAGGGAACCAGACTACAAAACATGATAGGTTTTCTTGGTTTTTCCAGCATCTACAAGCCCAAAACGTGAGACAAGTCAGTTTACCAATATTTTCTATAACATATTAATCCTCCAAATCCATTTATTTCTGAAAATTGAAGCAAAAGCAAATGTTGTACATTCCCTTTAACAGTTTAAGCAGAGAACCTTTGCTTACCGACTACTGGTTAACAAAAACAAATGTATTGTGGAATACATTTAAATGTAAACTGCTTAAGTGACTTAAGTTGCCTAATGTTTTGTGCTATGCACACACATTTGCCAAGCAATACCGATATTTTTCTTGTTTAGCAACTACATGTACATGGAATTTGAAACAGATGTTCACAGTGCTTGTGTCATGGGGCTGGATACTTTATTATAATACATTACTATAAATCGCCTCTGTGATGTACAGAAAAATGTGTACAATGAATACTAACCTATTTTACACTATGAAAAGGAAACAATAAAATTGTTCATCAGTAAGAATTACGCTTCCAGATATTGTGTATGGTTTTATTTGGTGAGTGGCGTAATACAGTGACATGATCTAGGAAAACCTGTTGTTTGCTAGATATGATTTACAAGAAAGTAGAGAAATCGTTCCGAGAATTTTTTTGTTTTGATTTACTTTGTCTTCTGGCATGAGTTAAAGGGAATATACAACATTTGCAAACATCGAAAAATAAAACTACCAAGTTTTTACGAAATACCTTACTAGGAACTTGGTAAATGACAGTCCAAAGCATCCTGTAAAATTATGGCACCTGGTGTGAAGTCATTTTCAAGAAAATGGTATTTTTGTATACATTTCCAACAGTGGTCGGCCGACCACCATTGGAAAAACCTAACTATTTTTCAACTACTGCTCCAACTTTACACTTTTTTCAGTCCAAATTTTGTTTGCTATTGGTTACATGTTCATGAACGGGTGCAGCCCAGCTAGACTGGTTCCCTTACCTTACAATTTTCCAACATCTATAAATTGATCCATTTTATCTTAAGTGGAGTCAGGGAACCAGACTACTTGAACATTTTTGTTTTTCTTGGTTTTTTTCAGCATTTTCGAACACAAAACTTCAAACATGTCAGTGTAACAATATTTAATCTATTATACTAACCCCTCAAATTGTTCATTTCTGAAAATTACAGCAAAAGCCAGTGATGTACATTTTTTCCCTTTTAACATACTGATGTTTTCTTTAACCCTAACAGAACTCGACCCATCAAATCCCCATATGGTATGTTTTGTTGGAATCTGTCAGGATGGGTACAGTACCCCTAAAAGTGACAGTAATTTTACATTGGGTTGGCACACCTCCAGAATAAAAGTCAGAAATATGTGCGTGCAGTTTCCCATATGGTGTTGGAATTTGCCAGGATGGGTATGGTTCCTAGTAAATCATGCTAGGGAGTTAGGCTTAACTTTTGAATGCCTCCATTTAGAGCATGATTTTATTTGAAGATTGTTCAAACTTCCATTCATTGCTTGGACATGCAGAACTGATGTTTGAATAGGTCACATAATATGTAATTTGACCAGATCAAGACTAGCCTTTTCACGTCGAATTGCAACACTGACGACCCCCACCCAAAAAAAACTTTTTTCAGAACACACCACAATTAAAAAGTGATTATTATTCACCCATGCTTTGAAAAAGATGCTTCAGCATTAACCTATAACCCTGCTGAACCCAATAGGATCCAACTATGTCACATACCCGATGGAGCCTAGCTGGATTGAGCAGTTAACCCCTTGTGTACATTCCTCATGCAAAATGTTGGATTCAGCAGGCAACTGAACCGCATTATAACGCCATGTTGGACTCGGTTGGATTCAGCAGACAACTGTATGAGGCACAGTGGATTGAGCAGGAAAGTCCGGTTGGACTCTCAGTTGGTTAGCAGGGTAGTCCTGAGGAACTACTAGGGGGTTAGGGTTCTACCCCTGAAATGTAGTTATTAAAATCAGAACCAATGTGTAATTTGTCAAATATAGAGTATATTTCTGCACAAAGGTGTATTTGTTTTATTCCAATGGACAAATACATGTACATGAACAATAAAAACAAACATTTTATACATGTTTATATAAGTAGCCATTAACCACGGCAAGAATTGCAATGTTATTGGAGGCCAATACTGCAGCTGAATCACTGGTTCCTTTTATTTCAGGATTAGAATTAACTGCAGATAACATAGGAATATTAAGCCTACACAAATTCAGGTGACAATACACATGCATACATATATGAACATCTTCATCCTTTGTAAATTCGTTAAAGAGCCATTTTCCCTTGAAATTACAGTTAACTAAATTTTCACGGATTTTTCAACATATTAAAGGGAATGTACATCATTGGCTTTTGCTGTAATTTTCAGAAAAGAACTATTTGAGGGGTTAGTATAATAGATCAAATATTGTTTACCTGACATGTTTGAAGTTTTTTGCTTCAAAAATGCTTGAAAATCGACTAAAGATAAAATGGATCAATTTATAGGTGTCGGAAAATTGTAAGGTAAGGGAACCCGTCTAGCTGGCCTGCACCCGTTCATGAACATGTAACCAATAGCAAACAAAATTTGGACTGAAAAAAAATTTAAATTTGGAGCAGTAGTTGAACAATAGTTAGGTTTTTCCAACGGTGGTCGGCCGACCACCATTGGAAATGTATACAAAAATACCATTTTCTTGAAAATGACTTGACACCAGGTGCCATAATTTTACAGGATGCTTTGAACTGTCATTTACCAACATCCTAGTAAGGTATTTCGTAAAAACTTGGTTATTTTATTTTTCAATGGTTGCAAATGTTGTATATTCCCTTTAAGAAACACATTTTGAGAAAAAAAACAAGTGTTGGAAACCTAGTGCCAAGATAGGAATAAAATTCAACTATTACAATTTCATGTATCTTCATGAATACATAATAGATAAAAATGCAAGAATAACAGACACTGACAGGATATTTAGCAATGTAAAATCTCTAACTGGATATACAGGGTGGTGCAAAAAGAAGGAAACCTACTTTTAAAGATATAGTCCATCATTTGTAATTTGTGCATTTGGTTCGTTTGAAGCAACAAAAGTGTTCAAAATCTAATGAAGGATACTGAACAACTAACCTGATGAAGTTGCAGCTCAGCTTCAGCTGTATATTTCGAGAAAAACAGCATTCTACGATCTCAATTTCAAATCAAAAGTTGCTGAATCATGCTTTGAATTGGGCCTGAATTCAGCGTCCGAGACACGTTCTCACTGAGCCGATTGCAGCTACGCGATGTCGCGCACTGATCCGACGAATTATAGCAATCGCGTCGCGTGTGCGTCGTGCCAATGCTTGCGCGCGCTTCGCCGAATAACAAAACGAACTACTAATTTAAATTTTCCTTCAAAGTACTTCAAAATGACAGCTTTCCAGAAAGAATAATTTCACAGGGAGTTTAGTCCCCTTACTATCTTTCAACCAAGTATGTTTTTCAACAATAATTACGCCAGTTACTTTTCGGATGGCTGCAAATGATGGACTATAGCTTTAACAACAATTTCACATACTTGTTGAGCATATTTCAAAATTATAATTTAGTGGCATAAATAATATTGATCTTTAAACGTAAGTGACGAAAAAATGATTGAAAATGCATATTTTGTCTCCGAAATATGGCAGTTTAAACATTTCATGTGCCAAACCTGTTTGTCCACGGAAGGCTTTATCGGCTTGACTAAGCTCTGGGAATTGATTTGAAGACAAAAACACTATTCACTAGACTTAACCGAGGAAAACAGTGATTTGGGTGACTTGTATTCAAACTAGCATTGATAACTATTCAAAAAGTGGAGTTAAATGGTAAAAAAAGTTAGATGGAGCGTAAACCGTAATTATTATAAGTACTGATAATTCCACTGTCTACATTGAAATGCACGCACTCATCTAAAATATTGCACTATAAATAAGAATACTGTACATGTATTACCACACAAATACAAAATTGCCATGCCTCAATAAATAGTTCAAACACAGAATATCCACACAGTATTAGTATTATAAGAGGTTAGATATGAAAATGTTAAGAATACAAAGTTATCTTCAAAACTTTCTCAATTATTGTACAAGATTTGAAGCTAGCAAATCACAATCGCGAAATAAAATAAACGTGTTGAACAGAGTAGTACAATTTTTTTGTCCTGTCTATTCCAACCATAGACCGGAGACCGGACCGAAGTCACAACACACGTGTACAGTATGAGGACAGGCAACGGCCTCGTTCTTTTAATACCTGATTGGTTGCGAAGATCACAAAAGTTATCTTCAAAACTTTCTCAATTATTGTACAAGATTTGAAGCTAGCAAATCACAATCGCGAAATAAAATAAACGTGTTGAACAGAATAGTATAATTCGTTTGTCCTGTCTATTTCAACCATAGACCGGAGACCGGACCGAAGTCACAACACACGTGTACAGTATGAGGACAGGCAACGGCCTCGTGCTTTTAATACCCGATTGGTTGCTACTGGTATGCATCTTGGCTGTGATGCCTCCCCTATAGTTTGATTGGCCTGCACAAGAGAACACTCTTGCGTAAATGCTGAACACAGCACCCTTTTGGTACACATACCGGTACATGTACTGTACCTGACAGAGATGAAACTGGCATATGGCCAAAAAAAATCGGAAAATAGGCCGAACAAAAATACGTGTCCGAAATCTGGGCCGCGCTGCAGTTACACACACGTACACTGTACATGCATGTACAATACACTTCATGCCCAATTTCCGGACACCAACTCCTGCTTTATTTTCGATTCAAACATAATTTTACGATGAAAACAAAAAATGGTCGGTGTTTTCATTGCTTAAAACGCCTGAATTACGGTTAGAGTAATGGAGTCATCAACAAAGAAGTTCACTTCTTACTTGAGAAAGTCGAGGAAAAAGTCCGAAAGACAAGGGCACCGTTCATGGTGCTTCAATCATGTCCATGATTCAACCATACAACTCCACTACTCCACTTGCATTCGTACGTGGGGAAAAATCAGGCATTATCGTCTTTCTCTTCCAACAAATGCCAGCGAAATGTTTCGCTAATGCTCTCTTTGCTATCCTCAAGATAATCATCATCATTTTTAAAGCAATGCATTTTGTACAACTAAATCTGAAACCTTCAAAAATCGCAATAAAACATAATGATTTTATCCACTGGATCGTTAACAAGGCTACCCGTTCCCGACCGGCCATGTGCTAGCGGACGGTGCGGTGCAGGTCCTGTAAATTTCAATCAGAAATGACCCCTTTACATGTACTTCATATATGTACCTGAAGGTCATTCTGACAATCCACTTGCTGGTCAATATCCGACTGTAAATGGCCCGCCATTTTGAGTCCTCCTTTAGACTACTCTAACCACAGACATTATAAACGCATATGTAGAACGCCTGCCGTGTGCGCAAAACCATGATTTGGGAAAACTTCTGTTGATAACCCCTCAACGCGGCTAGTGTGCAATGTGCTTACATTAACCCTAACAGAACTCGACCCATCAAACCCCCAACGGCATGTTTTGTTGGAATCTGTCAGGATGGGTACAGTACCCCTAAACTGACAAGTCTTTTACATTGGGTTGGCACACCTCCAGAATCAAAGTCAGAAATAGGTGTGTTCAGTTTCCCATATGGTGTTGGAATTTGCCAGGATGGGTATGGTTCCTGGTAAATCATGCTAGGGAGTTAGGGTTAATACCCGTATTAAAATGTGTTCCCTTTTTTTGCAAAAAGGCTCCATTGGGCCAAAAAATAAAGTCTCTGGTTTCTGGTATGCGCGCGCGTCGCCGTAGTCATGCGCGTCGGCAAAATTAAAAAGTTTTTTTTTTTGTAAGATGATGTCTCAAAACCGCCAAACTCACTGGTTTGACTCGAATCCTGCTGCTGCACAATTTCAACGTTTTTTGTTTAGATGGGGTTACAATCGAGTATAAGCTTTATGTGGCCTCTCTGGGCTCCAATACATTTTGCACTAAATTTACTCGAGCACCATTTGCAGGCATCAGCCGACATTTGAAGGCAAAAAAAGTGGGGGGAAAAAAAAAAAAAAAAAAAATTGCCGCACCACTTTTGGGGCAAGCTCCATACCAGAAACTGGAGACTTTTTTTTTGGCCTTACTCTAAATCGGCACAAAAATGTTGGGTAGCACATTGTTTTGAATTGATGTGAACCAGATATCAGTACTCAAGGTATGGGTATCGTTTCGGTTTGCGGTAACACCATGTGGTAATAACTACTGCTTAGAAGATATTAGTTCTGAAAAGAACTTGTCCTGCTTATTATCAACTTTGCTAAGTAGTTTTTTGTTCTGTTAAGAACAGTCCTGCTGTAAGTTCTAAACGAACTTGTCTTTGGTCTCAACGTTTCGACTAGCCTGCTCTAGTCATCGTCAGGAGACTGCCTCCTCAGGAGACAGTCTCCTGACGATGACTAGAGCAGGCTAGTCGAAACATTGAGACCAAAGACAAGTTCGTTTAGAACTTACAGCAGGACTGTTCTTAACAGAACAAAAAACAAAAAAAAACTACTAATAGCAAAGTTGATAACAAGCAGGACAAGTTCTTTTCAGAACTAATATCTTCTAAGCAGTAGTTATTACCACATGGTGTTACCGCAAACCGAAACGATACCGATACCCCACCATGCAAAGCCTCAAATCTTATACTCAAGGTATGCTTGTTTACAATCAAGAAAATAACTTCATAGAATTGAATGAATTGTCGGGCTTGTGACTTTAACCATGTCATATTTTGATTTTAGTCGGGCGCTGCGAAGATCGCAAAATCCTCATGAAGTTTTGAATAGGACCTGGCGGTCTATGCGTTTATATGTCTGTGACTCTAACCGCGTCATCCTTGTTTGTTTGTTTGTTGTTTTACTCCAATCATATCATCCACCACATGTCATGTTACCTTTGCCGACTATCTGAGAAACGCAAAGTGCACCAACATGACCAAGGTCAAATTCTTCAAAATTAAAAGCAATGCCACAATTCCACATCTTAAATATCAATCTCCTCACATCAGCTCCTGTATATACATCAAATTAGGAATTGCCCTTCGCCGACGTATAAATCGGCCCCAAGTCACATCCTAAAATTCATTATTTAAAGCTGAAGCAAATAACAAAACCAAACCAAACCACAAAAGTTCAAGCGTATTAGCTCTCTCCCCCAACGGCTGGCACTAGTCTTCTACGCACGGTGTCGGAATGCTCCATACTGGCCTCTCCAATGACCTCCACATCACCCCCCTCCTCATCAGTGGTACAGTCCTCATCGTCATCCTGCCTAGTCTTCTTCACCAGCCTGGGTTCCTCCTGTCCCGACACATCGCCGTCGTCATCTTCGGAATCGAGGTTGGAGTCCAAGTCCCCCTCGCCTTCATCGCTAGCCTCCTCTTCAGCATGCTGGATGGGACGGTTGAGAGAGTCGGCCAGATCTGTCGGCACTGAACCTGGACCAAGAAAAAAAATGAACTTAACAACACTGCCTTCCAAAACAGTGTTAATTTTTTTTGGGGGGGGGGGGTGCCATTGATGTGACACGTTTTATTCTTCATTACTGGGAAACTTCACAGGCATGCAACTGGGAATTTAGAAAAACAAACAAGGAAATTCCAAACCACACAAGACTTTGTGCAGTGTTTTCCAATTTGTAAAGGCATTCATGAGAAGTAAAAAAAACCGGACGAAATCAGCGGATCCGAGGAAAAGTTGCATGCCTGACTTCAGTTACTTGCAATGCAGATTAGGCCATGTCCTTCTTTTTGAGGATCAGAAATTCAGGTGGGCAAGCCAAAGTTGAACGTCCTCTAGCTAGCTCTAGCTATATCGCCCTCTCGTGTCCACATACGGCCTACCTGTGAGCTGCTCGGTGACCTGGCTCATTGCTATGCCCATGCTGTTCATCATCCCTATCATGCACTGCATGGACCAAATGCGCAAGGCTCTACCGCCCTCTATTGTCCAGACATGACCTACCTGTGAGCTGCTCGGTGACCTGGCTCATGGCTATGCCCATGCTGTTCATCATCCCTATCATGCCCTGCATGGACCAAATGCGCAAGGCTCTACCGCCCTCTATTGTCCAGACATGACCTACCTGTGAGCTGCTCGGTGACCTGGTTTATAACTTTGCCCATGCTGTTCATCATCCCTATCATGCCCTGCATGGACCACATGCGCAAGGCGCTCTACTGCCCTCTAGTGTCCAGACATGACCTACATGTACCTGTGAGCTGCTCGGTGACCTGGCTCATGGCTCTGCCCATGTTGATCATCATTTCCATCGTGCAGTGAATGGAGCAAATGCGCAAGCTTTACCGCCCTCTAGTGTCCAGACATGACCTACCTGTGAGCTGTTTGGTGACCTGGTTTATTGCTATGCCCATGCTGTTCATCATCCCTATCACGCACTGCATGGAGCAAATGCGCAAAGCTCTACTGCCCTCTAGTGTCAAGATATGACCTACCTGTGAGCTGCTCAGTGACCTGGCTCATGGCTGCGCCCATGCTGTTCATTATCCTATCATGCCCTGCTTGGACCAAATGCGCAAGGCTCTACTGCCCTCTATTGTCCAGACATGACATACCTGTGAGCTGCTCGGTGACCTGGCTCATGGCTATGCCCATGCTGTTCACCGTCCCTATCATGCCCTGCATGGACCAAATGCGCAAGGCTCTACCGCCCTCCAGTGTCCGGACATGACCTACCTGTGAGCTGCTCGGTGACCTGGCTCATGGCTATGCCCATGCTGTTCAGCATTTCCATCGTGCAGTGAATGGAGCAAATGCGCAAGGCTCTACTGCCCTCTATTGTCCAGACATGACCTACCTGTGAGCTGCTCGGTGACCTGGCTCATGGCAATGCCCATGCTGTTCATCATTTCCATCATGCGTTGCATGGAGCGCTCGGTGTCCTCCAATCGTTTCTTGAGGGCCGCCACTTCGTCTGGAGTTCCCCCTGATGTATCTGACGAGAAAACGGTTTGAGAAATTGGTTTTAGATTCATAGTTGGGGAATTCCAATTTAAAAAAAAAAAACTCAAACATGTCAAATGTGGCTGAAGCCCCAAAATTAGGACTTCTCCGCATTTAGAGCTATATTGTACACAGCGATGTATGCTAAATTTTCTGAGAACTAGTTATTTCCTGAATTTAAAATTTGGACTGTTTTTTTTAATCTTCAACTTGATATTCCATATGGAAGCTACTTAGTTAAATAACCAAGAAAATGTAAATTCTGTACCTCTTGTCTAGACATCTGATTATCTGGTAATGTTAAAGAGAAACCTGAAGAGAGTTTGTCCAAGACGACTGCCAGATTTTCATGAGGTCATGGTCATGCACCTTTGACCTTTTTTTATTTTCCCTGGTTAATAACTTCATTGCGGGAAGACTCCGGCGTGTCCAGAGAAGGTGTTCAGAATCTGCCACAAATTCTGATACAATGGGCCTGTGGGCTCCGTGCGAGAACAAGCGAGGGCGCTTTTTTGCACATACAATGTACATACTGGAATTTGTATCCTTGTGGAGTCATTTCTTTGTTCTCGTGTACTAAAATTTTAAAATGTGAAAACCTAGTTTCAAAATGTTCCTATTTTAACCAGAGTTAATTTCCTGGGCTGAAATTCGGATTAATATCCCTTACTTAAAGGAAATGTACAACATTTGCTTTTGCTTCAATTTTCAGAAATAAATGGATTTGGACGATAAGTATGTTATAACAAATATAGTTACACTGACTTGTTTCATGTTTTGAGCTCGTAGATGCTGGAAAAACCAAGAAAACCAATCATATTCTTGTAGTCTGGTTCCCTGACGCCACTTAAGATGAACTGGAGCAATTTATAGACTTTGGGGAATTGTAAGATCATGAGAATCAGTCTAGCAGGCATGAGAATCAGTCTAGTCTTCACAGGTGTGTCATCAATTGCAAAGAAAACGCAGACGAACAAATATGAAAAATTAGGAGCACTTTTTGAAAAAAAGCCAGTTTTCTCCAACGCTGGTCAGCCGACCAGCGTTGGAAAAATACACTTTTTCTTGAAAATGTCAGCACACCAGGAGCCACAACTTTACAGGATGCTTTAGACTGTCATTCCCTAACAATCCAGTAGGATATTTCGTGATAATTTGATCCTTTCGTTTTTTGATGTTTGCAAATGTTGTATCTTCCCTTTAAAATACTTCAATTTGCGACAGATCAACACCTTGGAAATTCCTACTTTATGAGTAAAATCCATATATCTATCTGGTGACAACCTTGTGGAGACGTATTCACCTATGTCTCCATAAGGTACATGTACATGTAGTGAATTACAGCGCGAAGTACGCACAACTAACTTTTCCGAATGTGTGCAAAACCATAGCCGCTTCGCATGATCATCGGGTGCCTTCGGCAGTGCTTTCGATTGTCTCTCCAAGTGGTCTCCCTTAATTCTCCCTTTCTTACCGTTGTGGGGGGTACTTGTGCATGAACCCTATTGTAGACTAGTCTAGGGGCTAGACGTTGTTATGGTTCGATACGCGATAACCCGCCCCAGCGATAACCCGCCCCAGCGATAACCCGCCGCCGCGAGAGGGCGCTATCACGACCAACCAATTTGGCCCACGAACCTGTCGGAACAACGTCTAGGCCAAGTCCTTGTTGTTGTGTAATGCGCGCGCATCTGTTTGGCAGCGCGCAATTAAAAAAACTCATAGTAGTTCGGAAGCAAACTCTCAAATTTCTTCCAGTACTATAAAAGATGCAGCAAGAATTTGTGCAACTTCACTGGTCAGCTCTTTTGTTGTGTGTAGTATGTGTGGGACAGAAAATGGACCAGATTGCCTGCAGAAGTCGCGCATGCGAAAAATTTTCCCCTATTTTTTGGGGGAGTTTTTATGAGAGGTCCTAGACGTTGTTACTGACATGTTCGTCGGTGATTATTGGTTGGTTATGATTGTGCCCTCTCGCGGCGGCCAGTTATCGCTGTGGCGGGTTATTGCATATAAAACCATGACAACGTCTAGCCCCTAGACTTATTGTAGATAAACTTGTCAGCAACTTATCCCGGATGGTTGATGCGATGCGTCCTTACCTACAGGTAGATCTTTCCTGACCGGTTGTTTCTTAGCCTTGCTGGCCTTGCCAGCTTTCTTGGCCGTGATGCCGGTGTAGTTCTCGGCCCGTAGCTGCTCCGACAGCTGTTTCTGCAGCTGCTCCTGCTGCACGCGCTGCAGCGAGGCGCCGTCCTGGTTGGAGTCCCACAGGCTGGCGCCTGAACCGTTCCCGTTGCTCTTGGATTTGTCTTTCAGGAATATCTGCAGATTACAAAAACACCACAGCTGAACACTTGTGAACAGATCCCACGAAATGAACCTTAAACCCTAACTCCCCAGCATAATTTACTAGGAACCATACCCATTCTGGCAAATTCCAACACCCACATGGGAAATCGTACGCACACACTGTTGGACCTAATTTCTGGAGGTATGCCAAACCCAATGTAAAAGACCATCAGTTTAGGGGTACTGTACCTATCCCAACAGATTTCAACAACACCTGCTGTTGGACTTTGATGGGTTGAGTTCGGTTAGGGTAAAGGACAATCTTTCACGTTAGATTTTCACTGCGCTTGATTCCAATCGTATGACATCGCACTATCACGTAACCATCCGGTTCCCCGTTATCGGCCACCATTTCAGTAGGCAAGCGTTTAATTAACAGCCACATCATGCATTGTAAAGTAAGGCTTATTTTCACTTAAAATAACAGCAAATTCTTTTTCAAATAACATAATGGTCACTAACCATGCTAACTGACTGTGCCATGTACGGTTGTCATAAACATGCCAACCCAGCACTGGGTGTTGGCTCTGCGTTTTTCTCTCAGTTTTTTGCCATTCATCACAGCTTTGAAGGCTTAAGCCCGGTTCATACTTCACGAGAAAGCGAAAGCGAAGCAAAATTCGTGACGTCAACAACACAATCGAAGCGCGTCCACCATTGTTGACGACATGAATTTCGCTTCGCACAAGCTTTTGCGTGAAGTATGAACCGGGCTTTACCTAGTAACTACTGCACGTGGCGCTATACTATCTTTGCCTACTACGATAGCAATGCCAAATTTCAAGAATGTCTATCCAATATGGATTTATCACTACAGGAGAATTACCACCAATGTGACTTGCCCACTTTACAGTGTTTTGTGTAAATAGATTTTGTATTATTAACTCAAGACACTCCATTTTTTTTAACCCAACCTCCCTAGGCTTTTTTGCTAGGATGTAGCCTCAAACCTGCAAAATCCTCCAATTGGCCTCATGGAAAAATAGCAGATAGCCTCAATCCTGCAAATTCCTCCGTTGTTTCTTGAATGTGGTCCATGGAGGGGTGACCACTGCCTGAATCCTGCAAAATCCTCCGGCTATGACTGTCAATAGGCTGAGGCAGAGGCAGTGACATCCTGGAGCAGTGCGGAGGATGTCAAGTATAATCAAGGACTACATTTATGCACAGCTGAGCATAAACAACACAAGGTGCGGCCCAAGACCTTGACACAGTGCGTACTCCGAAATCCGCAACGCACTTTGGCCATGTAACCTCAATCCTGCAAATTACTCCAATTTGCAAAAAGGATTTTGGAGAATTCAGGGCGGTTAGGGTTAATCTTTAACTCTAACCTTCCTAAATGCTCCAAAGTCCTTTTTGCAAAATGGATTGAGGCTATATGGCAAATATGTGTGGCTGATTTCGGAGGATGCACTGTGTCAAGGTCTTGGACCGGACAATTGTGTTATGCTCAGCTGCGCATAAATTTAGGGCTAGATTATACAGCAATCCGCCGCACTGCTCCATGATGTCACTGGCTCTGCCTCAACATATTGACAGTGATTACTGGAGATTTTTGCAGGATTGAGGCAGTGGTCACCCCTCCAAGGACGACATTCAAGAAATAACGGAGGATTTTGCAGGATTGAGGCTGTATGCATTTTTTAGACAGAGGCATGTTGGAGGATTTTGCAGGATTTAGGTTGCATCCTACCAAAAAATGCATAGGGAGCTAGGTTTAATTTTTGTATCTCACCCTGTACATGATGTACGCGAAGTAGATGACAATGCCCACAGCGTACACAGGAAGTACTGACCCCAGCAGCCCGCGACCCTTGCTGGACGCTTCCTGCTTCTGCTGCGCAAAGTAAGAAGCTGGATCCGCTGCTCGTTGAGAAAATAGGAGGGAAATTGTATACAGAGAGTTAGGGTTATCTGAATAAATTAGTATTTGATTATTCAAAACTACCATGACTGTATTTGACTAAATATTTAAATATTTGAATATTCAAAACTCACTGATGAAGTTTTACATTCGCCAGCTCGCAATTTGAAGACTTAATTTTTGTTGAATGCTAACCTTCCCAAATCCTCCAAAATCCTCTTTGCAAAATGGAGGATTTTACAAGACTGAGGCTATTATGGCAAAAACGTGCGGCTTATACTTGAAATCCTCAGCAATGCTCCAGGATGTCACTGGCTCTGCCTCAACATATTGCTGGAGGATTTTGAAGGATTGAGGCAGTGGTCACTGGAGAAATTATGGAGGTTTGTGGAGAATTGAGGCTGTATGCAATTTTTACATGGAGGCAGTTGGAGGATTTTGCAGGATTGAGGTTGAAATCTACAATACGATGAGCTCACCATGTTTCATGTTACGCTGGGCAGCTCGCTCCATCTCCATGCGTCTTGTTGCTCCTTGGGTCCTAGGACCGTTCCTCATTTGTGGCGGCATTTCTACAAAATGAAAGCCACAATAAAAAAAGTCATCAACAGAATTAACTCCTACCGTTGTCATAAACCATAACCCCTTAGAAAGTGTTTAAAACAAAATCATATAAAAATTTGAAGATTCAGGACTGTTCTGGTTTTAAATGACTTACTGTGCTACATCAAGTTTCACTCCGAAAAAAAAAGATTATTTTTTTCAATTGCTATTTTCCTAGCAATACCAAAATTAATCGCTTTTGAATAAGACATCGAACAAAAAACATCTACCGATGTTTAGTTATTGAATTCTTTACAAAATTTGCATTATTTGCAACGGGACAATAATTCACCTCACACAGCTACATGTACAATGTACATGTATTTGTGCACAAAATGAAAAGCCCTTTTCTGAGGGTTGCGGGCGCCCAATCTAAAAATTACTGCAAGTATTGCGATCCCCCTGGCATGCTGGCAGTATTTATACAGTGAGTTATGTAAGCACACTTTTCTGTCTACTTAATCAACATCAAGAATGACCTCATTTGACCTCTAGATGACCTTTGACCTGAAATATCTTAAGTCATCTTAAGTCCCCCTAGCCAAAATTGTATTGTCACCAAGTTTGGTCGAGATTGAAGTCTGACTTTTCGTATGACAGCACTAAACATTTGACCTAATCAAACTCAACAATGACCTCATTTGACCCCTAGATGACCTCTGACCTCAAATGTGGTCATCTGAAGAAGCAAGACCCCCCCCCCCCCACCCAAAGATTGTTATCACCAAGTTTGGTTGAGATTAAAGTCTGACTTTACATATGACAGCACTAAACAGTTAACCTAACAACGGACACAAACATAAAAGTGTGTATTTGCCTGCAATCGGGGACACCATATTGTCTCTCTTTTGTTTGTAATTTTTAGGAAGACCTCCCATATGTTTTGTACAAGACCGCCAAATTGGGGACCTTCGGAAAATGGGGACCCCGTTTTCCTCTACTGTTCAATATTCCTTTTTTTTCGGGGGGGGGGGGGGGGGGGGGGGGGGACACGTCTCCTTCCTCTTTTAAAAAAGCCTGGATGAGAAACTGGGTTTTTTTTTAACTGGCCTGATTTGTTGCATAATTCATAATACCCAGTAAGTCAATAATCATTTAATGGACGGTTACATTTAACTGGCATAATGCATGTACATATGTACACGTGTACACTTCATGTACATTGTAAGTGTTACACGACAACAAAAAGTCTCTTTAATTAATATTCATAAATACCTAAGACAGTTTACGCATTCCTATTGGTCGAGAGCCCGTCACGTGGCCGGTCTTAAACGGATGATAAAGACATGGCTAGCTGGTCTTAAACACTTTTCCAGTGTCACATGAAATTTGGACTCCCATGAAATCTGGTGCCTTTTAACGTTTCATTGGTCAAACGTTCACATTCCTCCTGTATGCATGCGCAATACTACCAGTGAATCAGTATTTCATGGTCCGAAATTCACACTACACCAGCCCAGCTGCGTTTTGCGCAACATCGCGCAGTACACGCGACGCGCACGCCAATGTCCTTATAAAGTAACGAATTGTGGAGGGGCATTCCATACTATAGTCACAGGGGTGTTTCGTAATACATGAAGTAAATTGTTGAACAAAATGGTTGGCAACGTCTAGTTTTTTACTTGTTTTGATTTTTGGACCGAAAAGATTAGTTTTTTTGACCGAAAAGGTAATTATGAATGGGAATAAATATGTGTTCGGTCGGTATTAAACACTCTGTTTAAGACCGGTGTGAGTCTGGATGGGTGATTATTACCCATCCAGACTCCAACCGGTCTTAAACAGAGTGTTATAATACCTCCCGAACACACATTTATTCCCTTAATTTGCATGCAGATGTGGATCAATAGAACTTATGCACATGTACAGGCTTAAATGTACACAATGCACACAGTACTGGGTCTATAGGAAGCTGAGTAACACATGTATACATATTACTGGAGATGCTTTTAACGGTCATATAATTATTATTGTGTAGTACCATAGCCTACGTACATAAAGTAGCCTAAATTGATTTTGCCCCTTATTCCACCAATCAAATGACAAGTATCTGTATGTCAGTAATATAAATGTAGCTGTGCCAAGTTATAAATATCAGTCACGTGCACTCATGCTCAGTGTAAGCATGAGTGCACTCAACTGTTAAAAATGGTCACTTGACTGATTTTGACTGAAAGGACAACACTGATCACTGCACAGAATCATGTGTGTTTGATGGGTATATAAGTAATTGTCTAAGTAGGGAGTCCAGCTAACCAACCTTTCTGAAATTTATATCCGAAAGCGTGTAAAGAATGCGTATTATAAATCAACTGTTTCTGCCGTTTTTGTTCAGCATCAAATTCAACATTTAAAGAGCAATTGTGTGGTTAAAAGATCCAAAATTGTAGGCCTATTCCTGCCATTTTTACTACCCTTGTGGGCACCGTCATTTGGGTGTAATATTCAATGAAAATTCCGAACGATCGGAGCCATTCACCGGTTCATCAACACCTGAGCGCGGCCATGGTGGTGGCCATCTTGGTTTAACGTCATAGTCTCGTTTGTTTTGCCGATAACTCACGAGATATCACAGGGTTTGGAAATATGATGCCATCATCTTGTAGGGCAAGACATGCTCATTATTCTGATGGAGGACACAGTGAATTTGGCTGAAGTTACAGCAGAGTAATTTTTTTCATTTTCTGAACACTACAAAAAGAAACATTTTTCTTGGATTTTCAAGTTATACAATGTATATCCTCAAAATACATTTACATGCATAGCAGTCGATAAAATATGAGGTTTACCACTCGCATCACAGTTGCGGTACTGGAACCGCAACCGATAGTGCATGAAACAGTCATCGGGTGTTACGCTTCCGCGTGACGTCATGCGCCAACAGCCAGCGCAGCCGGCAAAAACGACTAGTTGACAGCGCGCTGTGCCTGGTAATCGACCGCCATTCATTGTACACAATTTTTTGTGTGCACAAACCAATTGCGGTCCTGGCCATGCCTGCAAGGTTGTCAGGTTAGCGGTTATTCCTCCTTTTTTCACCGCAATTGTAGGCTGAATCTTCATCGTGGATCGTTTTTTACTTCAAGGACCTGTGTAATGGTTATTCCAGGCAAGTTTGGGGTGAGTTGCAGTTGCAATTACTAGTGTGTAACGGGGACAAAATTGAACATTTTCCAAAAATGTTCGCAATTTTTTTTGGGACCTGCCTACGCTGCTGGGTTACGTGAAAAATTAGCTCCAGCCCTAAATGACAACCCAATGATAAAATTTAGGGCTGGGTAACTCCAGCTACATTTTCTTTAACAAAACACTAGGCCTAACAAAATTGGAAATGTTTGATTGTTTCTCAGTCATGTCAGTCCTAGATTCATGTCTTAATATCAGTTTTGCAATGACTGACCTTCACTGAGATGATATATGAAGAAAACAGTGGCGTCAGGTTGCGACATTTTTTCCATGTTTTGTTTTATTTCAAGTGTAGGCCTACCAAAATACCATGTATACTGTACAATGTCATTGACTTTGCCCAGTATCCGGACGAATACACGTAGCAAATCGAGACAAGCCAACACATTAATTCATCAACGGATCTTTTACCTGGTGTTTTCTCTTTTTCTCCTTCTACCGGCTCCGATGATCCAAACCATTTTCTGAAAACGCTGCTGAAAATTGAGGGGTACAAAACGAGGTTGCAGATGATGAGCACAGTAAACACGAAACACATCGTGTGGTAAAACGCCATCTTGAAAAATTCACTGGGCCAAATAAATAAAAATATTTGTTACCCGATACGCGATATATACGGTGGCTGATTTCCGCCAAGAATACATTTTTTTTTTATTACGGCGTTATAACGCGATAAATAATTTTATCGCGTTATAACGCCGTATTATCGCGTTATAACGCGCTATTATCGCGTTATAACGCGCTAATTTATCGCGTTATAACGCCCTAATTTATCGCGTTATAACGCCCTAATTTATCGCGTTATAACGCCCTAATTTATCGCGTTATAACGCCGTATTATCGCGTTATAACGCGCTATTATCGCGTTATAACGCGCTAATTTATCGCGTTATAACGCCCTAATTTATCGCGTTATAACGCCCTAATTTATCGCGTTATAACGCCCTAATTTATCGCGTTATAACGCGCTATTATCGTCCTTACATTGTACTGTTTAAGTGAAATTTTAACGGGAACCTCGTATTTTGAGTTTAGTAGGAAGGGGCGTAATCATACATGTCGCCACTACATTTTAAGTTAAATGGAATGGAGTTTGGCCGCCACCATGCATTTAAGTTTTTATCAGACTTGTGTTTTCTTAAAAAGAAGTGGTTTTCTGGCTAGTAAAATAGCAAGGAAGAACCGGTTTTGTGCAAGCAAAATTCAGGGAATAATCTGTTGATATTAATAACTTGTTGGAAAGTTCCAAGGTCATTCCAAGAAAGTTGCCGCCGTGAATTAGGGTTTAAAACATGGGAGGGGGATGGGATTTGCTATCAGCATCAGCAGGGCCGTTCCTCATTCTTTTCTTTTTATGGGATGTATGATAACATTGGAGTACGAGGGGCTCTGCGAGCTGATGAATCTTTTTTTGAAAACATTGTGTTTGCAACCAGCTAGGGAAGATTTTCGTTTATTTAAGACTTACAAGCACTGGTATGAATACCTGTGTAGTTATATGACTAAACTGCCTAGAGCGTATTTTTTTTAGGTTTTTTTTCCCTTTTTTGGAAATTCAATACGCATATAGGGAGTAAAATCAGTTCCACTGCTGGGTTGCGGTGATGGGTGGGTTATAACTTGTCAACACATAGCGGGCCCATTAGATTGGTGATAACCGGAGAGCGGGAGTTTCAAAAAAAAACTCATCCGGTGTTTAGGCGACGCAGGGACTGGTTTGTGTACATGTGGTTTTTGTTTCTAGTTCACTTAATGTTTTGATTTATACCGGTGATAATATGCCGTCCCACCTGTTTTTCTTTTTTGTGTGTCGGGGGAAACAGTGCATATTTTCTGTGCCCTTTTTACACACTTCATCAGTCACCCTTTGTTTAATTCTTTTGTACGTATTTACTTTATTGCTAATGATGGTAAAGAATATTTTACGCGTTAGCTTTTCTTGTAATGATCACACTAAGTGGATTCCTTATTTTTAATTTTTATTTCGAAATCCATGCCTAAATGACCATTATGTTAGTTCTGTTCTTCAAGAAGTTCCAAAAGGATTTGAACGTTCTCCTCATCCAAGTTTTTTTCTTGGTTGGATGGTGGAGATGGGTTAATCCTTGATCGGACCAGGCCATCTTTTATGTTTTTTTGTCGTTTGTATGCCAGGATGGGTTGGGTCGCAAAGAGTGCACTGAGAAAATCATTATCGCTGATCAGATTCCAGTGTTTCAGAAGGGCCTGCTTAAGAGCTGGGTGTTTAATTTGTGGGTTGTAGGGTAAAACAAAGACCAGCGGGATATTCTTTTCGGTTTTTACACGCTTTTTAGATTCACGCGAGTTTCGCCTTTTTGGGGAAGAAGGGCTAAATCTTCTTGGTTGCATCCGCGTTTTTGTAGTTTGTCTTTGAAGAATTCATCCTTCTCCTCAAATTCTTTTGAGTGTGTGCATAAACGGTCATATCTCATTATTTCTCCCTTAATCAAACCGCCAAACACTGACTCAGGGTGGGCTGAATCTCGAGCAAGATACTGAAAGGTATCAGTTTTTTTGGTTGCTACTCGAGTATCCAGTTTCCCTTCTTTTTTGAACCGTTCGCCTTTGTAGATGACGAGGTCGAGGAAGGTGACTTGACTGTTTGAAATCTCTGACGTGAACTTGAGCGTGGGATGAATTTGGTTTAGAGTTTGGACGAGGTCACCGGCTTGGTCTTCGTTACCGTTTAATATTATTAAGACGTCGTCCCTGTATCTCATGTAACTCACAATTGAAGGATTGTGTGGGAGAATAATTTCTTGTTCACATTTGAACAGGGTTATATCGCATATTTCTGGACTGCATTCGCTTCCCATAGCCACGCCAATTTTCTGTCTGAAGAACTTTCCATTGAATTCAAATATGTTTCGATGCATGATAAGTTCCAGGAGACAGCGAGCGTGTTCTCTTGTAGGTTTGGGTATTGCGTACAGACTGTTATCGGCAACTTCAAGTGCATCGCAGACTGATTCAATTGCCTCATCTTGTGGGCAATTCGTATACATGGACACAATATCCAATGTGATCAATAGGCTATCCTGCTTCAATGTCACGTTGTTTAGTTTTTCAAGCACATGCCCGGAATCGCGTGTATATGTGCTTTGTTGTTTGAAAATCGGAAGCAGAAAATAGTCTATGTATTTTGAAATTGCCTTGATTGAGTCGGACCTCCGCAACCACTAATAATAGGCCTCCCCACAAACCGCGTTTCTTTGGGTGATTCTTTTAATTTGTGAACTTTCGGTAAGAGGTAGAGGCAAGGAGTTTTGATCTCGTGGTTGTCATGGTTGAGAAACTCAAATGTTTTTTTGGATATATCTACACGGATGGTGTATAATGTGCAAATGGATCCGAAAGCGGGCAAACAATGCACGCCTACATGCACTGAAGTAAAATGGATGCGTGTACTGTAAAATTATGGCGCCGCAATAGCGCGTTATAACGCGATAAATTACGGCGTTATAACGCGATAATAGCGCGTTATAACGCGATAATAGCGCGTTATAACGCGATAAATTAGGGCGTTATAACGCGATAATAGCGCGTTATAACGCGATAAATTAGGGCGTTATAACGCGGTAAATTAGGGCGTTATAACGCTATATAGCGCGTTATATCGCGATAATAGCGCGTTATAATGCGATAATAGCGCGTTATAACGCGATAATACGGCGTTATAACGCGATAATTTATGGCGTTATAACGCCGTAATAAATAAAAAAATGTATTCTTGGCGGAAATCAGCCACCGTAGATATATATACATGTATATCGAGATACGCAGTAGCCTAGCGCGCGCCGCCGGCGCTCCGTCGTGTCCGTAGGCCTGCAATGAGCCCGTCAGCGATTTTTTGTCTTTTCGGGATGGCCACATAATTTAGAAATTAAACGAAATGAAATTGTATAATGTTATTGAACATGTTGAAGTTTTATTATAATTCTACCGAGTCTATACCTCCTAGCACTGAAGAACTTACGTTCCCATTAAAAATTAGTGGGGCACCGACGCCACCACATTTACCCATCCATTTTCCTGACATAATAGCCTGCCGGCCAACTTCGCACAAAAAGCTGAGGCCGATTACCATCCTCGATTGCGGATGGCGGGAAACATTTTGTTTAACAATGGGTTCCCTCAACTATGAAGAAACAAACTGGTGACATCTCCTTCAGCCTTGCTAGGTGTAGACTAATTAAACTTCAATAGGCCTAAGTTATATTTCTCGAAATTTAAAGCGTCCGCTCTTAAATTCAAAAGTTGAAATTAATTAACTGATTACCTCTCATGGGCCGATTTTGTGTGTGCGATGTCTCATTGGAAAGATCGTAACTAGTTATGCTAGAAAATTTGAAAATCTATTTTTTCAAGGCGCCACACCGAAAAAGTACGATTACAGCAACTTTAACAGGAGCTGTCCCTGCTTTTTAGTTTTAGCAGGTTTCGACCTTAACTCTTTTTCACTGTAGCTAGCCAGCTGGGCTACTGAAACAGACTCATAACTAGCCCACAGGCATAATTCACTAGCCCCCCCCCCCCCCTCCTCAGTGGCCAGGGTCATTGAGGGATACTATTTGATGTGCCACAGAGCTTCCCACACAAGCATGACAAGTTGGTGCCCCCTCACAGCAGTAGTAGGCTTTGCCATCAAGCATAGTTGGCTGCATGCACACCTGCTTCAGTCCAGAGATCATCAAGGCCGGCATTTTCCATGTGTTGACCAATGGCTTTCAAGAAGTTGAAGCAGACATTGGAATCTTCCCAAGAGAAAACTTACTTTCTCTAAGTCTAACATGTCTAACTCGGGATTCGCCCATACGATCAAGTTCCTTGCCCCTGCTACACAGTGGCTGGTCAGCTGTTATGATGGTATGCTGCTGGCCCATATGATTTGAAATGTCCATAAAGGACCCCAACTTAGATATACACATTTGAAGAAAATCACACTTTTGTGTTTTCTAATGCTATATAGTTGTGTTAAAATGAAAGTTAATTAATAAAATTAACAAGCTGGGGACATGTACATGATAATGAAAATAGTTTTAGTGGATAGATCCATCAGTCTAGATAAAATTTGCCACATAATTAAAAAATGTGAAATTTGACCTCATTTGACCTTGAAATAAAAAAATTGAGATGGCATCCACCCACATATTATTTGTAATGGTTCAAAGAATTGATCTAGCATGGGGGCCAGCTATTCCCCAAAAGTGCCGTGATTTTTTTTTCTAGAGGACTTTTCCTTGTTTGGCTGGTCCACTAGTAAATGTCCGTGAAACTTCTGTTAAATATTCTTTTCACGAAGAAGTGGACTTTTAATGAAAATTTAAGGGATCAGATGTTCATAGTGCCCAGTGAGGCATCAAACTAACAATACACATTGTATAAAGGTAGAGCAAAGTACATTTTATTCTGAGCTAATTTGCATAGAATGTGCATCCAGCAGTTGTCTGGACTGCTCCATCTACGGAAGTAGGTGTGCAAGTAAATAAAACAATAAAAGGAATAATCCACTTACAAAAATGGGAGTGCAAGTATTAACACATTCATTCATTCATTTCATCTGAAAACCAACTAGCACAAACAGGTAAGTTTGGACATTTAAATTATTCTAAGTTGTTTGGTCTTAAAGCTATAGTCCATCATTTGCAGCCATCCGAAAAGTAACTGGCGTAATTATTGTTAAAAAACAAACTTGGTTGAAAGATAGTAAGGAAAATAAACTCCCTGTGAAATTATTCATTCTGTGAAGCTGTCATTTTGAAGTAATCAACGAAAGCTTGCGTTGATTAGTTTCTTTCGAAAGAAGGCCTTTCCAACGGTGCGTCTTAAGACGCACCGTAGGACAATTTAAATTAGTACAGTCGAGTCTCGTTATAACAAACTCGTTCGGACCTAGCCAAATTGTTTGTTATATCGGAATTTTGTGTTAAGAGGAACATCTGTCCCATTCATTGTGCACATAAATGCACATTCGGGACCAAGCCTTTATGTTTGTTATAACCAGAATTTTGTATTAACAGAGTTTGTACTAACGAGAGTCGACTGTAGTTCGTTTTGTTATTCGGCGAAGCGCGCGCAAGCATTGGCACGACGCACGCGCGGTTGCTATAATTCGTCGGATCAGTGCGCGACGTCGCGTATAGCTGCAATTCAAAACAATTCAAAACATGATTCAGTAACTTTTGATTTGAAATTGAGATCCTAGAATGCTGTTTTTCTCGGAATATACAGCTGAAGCTTAGCTGAAACTTCATCAGGTTAGTTGTTCAGTATCCTTCATTAGATTTTGAACACTTTTGTTGCTTCAAACGAACAAAATGCACAAATTACAAATGATGGACTATATCTTTAAATAAACGTTCACTGTATAGGCCTACATGTATTTACGGTAGTAAGGAAAATCAACCAACCAACGAAAGTTAAAGAGAGATTATTCCACATGGTACTTTAAGTACTGCAAACACTCACTAGTTAATAAAATTTCAGATTTGGATCAAGAACCACGTAAAAGATGGCAATAATGTACCAACAGAAATGGCTTCTTCCTAAAATAGAGGGTGCTATAATTTGCATAAGTCATTCATAACTATTGGTCAAGACTATTTCTTAACTATTGGACCATTCCTATTGGTGGAGAGCCTGTCACATGGGTGGTTTTATACAGTTGACATGGGTGACGCGAGGGGGGGGGGGGCAAGGCGGGGCACTTGCCCCCCTCTGGAAAAGCCACCAAAAAAACCGGAAAAAAAAAACCAAAACAAAAGACAGAATAAGAGGCGCAGAGTCCTAAGGCCAAAAAAAAAAATATTCGGTCTCTGGTCAGACCAAAGTTCCGGAATTGACGCGGAATTGTCCTCATGTACGTTGGTGTCCTCCATAATTTGCTTTGGTGCTTTCGATCATTTGCCTTGGTGCAATTTCCCATTCCTTGGTGCTCTTTGGTAAAAAAAATTGAGGTGCGGAAATAGAGGGCGCTGTTGGAGCTATTGCGGAACATTTTGGGGAAAAAAAGAAGATCGACGCGCGCGCTGACCAGAGACCGACTTACTGTTTTTTGGGCCTAATATTGCTATTAATTTAATGGGTTAGGTTGGGCTGGGGGGGGGGGGGATAAATTGAGAATATGCTGGTAAAGTACAGGGATTTCGGGGGGAAATGTGCTTTGCCCCATTCTAGAAAAAATCGTGTCAACGCCCATGACAGTTGATAAAACACTGACTGGTTTTAATCCTTTTTTTTGGCACTACTGTTTTCTGCGCGACATTGTGAGTAGTGGTAAACATCTCCTTATATGGAGATAAACATCTCCTTATATGGCTAAAGCCATTATCCATGTGCAGGCCCCCAAACGCATTTTCTGATGAATATGGATAATCACATACTCAGAATCCAATGACTCTTCACAGAAGTTGGTTTTTCCATCTGCATAAGTTCTCCTTATTGTCTGCCATTGGTGGACAGTTTCCCACTGAATATTCATTAGCTTGCATGGCCTCAATCTGGCCCTCGCTGTCCGTCACCTCCATGGACGTGAAGCTGTGTGAGTTGAACCCGCTATCCGACTGCATAGGGGTCACTACCTCCCTGAACTTTGACCCCGGGTTGACCCCGGCCATTTCCATGGTGACTGTAGACCCGCTGTTGATGCCACTCCCGGATTTGACGCAGCTGCCGAGCTTATTGAGTGATGTTTCTGGAAAAGATTTCAGGGAGAGAGGTAGCTCAGTGAAAATAGAGTCGGAGGGGGCGTGGCTTGCTCTCAAACGTAGGGTTGACGTCAGCTGCTTGCGGGAGGCGGCGCAAGGCATGCTGGTACCGTCGTACCCTTCAAACGAGAGCATGTCCTGAGAAAGGAAAAGACTGTCGCCAGCACCGTTCAGCATCTCTTCGTCGTTTTCCTGGAGGCCACCACAGCTCGATGATTGACCGGATAGAGGGCGCTCTTCGGAAAACTCGTCGGCCAATCGGATGTAAGACTGTTCCATGCTGCAGACGGAGGTGGCTCCGGCGGGGTCTAAGGACTGGGAATCCCCCGAATCATTGTAATCACTGCGATCAGTGGAATCACTGCTTTCATCGGAATCATTGTGAGGTGGTCGGTCCGGGGCTGAATGTTTGTCATCTGGAAAACAAAAGCAGGTTAAGGAATTAGACATAGTTTCTCGATTGAAGTTAATTACAGCTCTGATTTGGTGATTGCTGGCAAATAGCAGACTGACGTGAAGGGCCAGCATTTTAACTCTTTCAGTGCCAAAGTCGTACATGTACGAGGTATATTAGGTTAGAAATTGCCAAACCTCGTACATGTACGAGGTAGAGTAAGCATGCTATCACAAGGGGGCGCTCTTGCTCTTTCTAATAATATCATTTACATTCAGGTACAACCTGTATTTATTTGTTTCATTCGAGTTCTTGCGAGAGGGCGCAGCACTGACACTCATATTTTCTGCGAAAAGTGCGGAATTCCCCTGTGTGCAGGACAGTGTTTCAGGGTGTAGCACTATGTACGTGACTACTATTGACTGTCCAATGTACCAAGGACATACCAGAGAGCAACAACAATAAATTTAGTGAGTAAAACTTATTTACTTGTTTGTTTTTTTTTGCAGAATTTTGAACAATTAAAAAAAAGGTCGAAGTTGGGCACTTTAGGGTTACCAAATTTTGCGGGCACTGAAAGAGTTAAGCATTACCTTTTCTCTACAATTTTATAGAGAACCAAAGTCTTCCTGCGTATTGCGGTTCACACGCAGAGCTTAAAAGTGTGTGTTGACATCAACGCCCTAACCAGCGTGTGAACCAGAACAAAGACACAACATCACACTTCGGTACTCTATTCGTCGCTATGGATTATGTAAAATCTCACTTGAAAAACTGAAGAAAAATAAAAATTCTGGAGAAATTATAGTGATGCCGCCTGTCCACTCCGTTCACAAGTACCCCCTCACTGGCAAAGAAAGTACGGTATGGGGTGACCGACAGACGCCATCTTGCCTGACTGCAATTTTGCCGCGACGGGGGGCCGTACGTACCAGTGTGTGTACATAGTACAAATCCCCTGGTGTACGTGCGTCACACACAGGGAACGGTGCGCCTTAACCAGCTAAATGTCCCGCCCATGGGACGTCGTTGCTAGGCAAAAGGGCGCCCTCTTTTGTTGGCGCACGGAGCCCATTAAATTAAGATGTGTGCAAAATGCAATTAAGGTATAGAGTGCTAGACAAAAACTTTAATGTACGTGTACAATACATGTTACCGTCTTCTACATAACATTTGGGCCCAATTTCATGGCGCTGTTAACCACAGAATTCGGTGCTTACGATCACCATTTTGTGATAACTGCGTTAGCAGAAAAAGTATGTGCTTTCCCTCTAAGCACAGAATCCTAAGTTACGGGATGTATGCAAGCGCAGAAGCCAAAATTCCTCGCTAACCAGTGAAATATGCTCTGAATTTTCTGCTATAAGTAGGGATTTTCCACTAACATCAAACAGAGCGATTCTTGCCAGCCAAACTCAGCAATGTTTAATTAACACACATGGAATCTCATTAGGAATGCACACACGTACCTTGTGTACTAGCACATGGATGATCAACTTGCTTCGCACCCTCAAGATGGTTCTCGTCGCCGGAAAACGAGACTGACGTCATTTCGACACTAGGGGGCTCCATGCTGGCCAGGAATGGGAACAGCATGCCGCTCCGCGACTTGGACGCGTGTGGGAGAATGGGCGAGGCGTCTGGCATAATCATGTCACACGGGGGCGCTTTACCCTTCACTGACGAGTCACAGATGGGATTGGAGGAATCTTTAAGGTGACAGCGAAAAAAAGAAGGACTTTTATTAAATGTTTGTAATGGTAACAATATGAATAAACTACACTATTAGAACGATCCGAAAACACTCTTTCAGTTGGTATATGGTTGATATATGGGTGGCCAAACATATCAACATGCCCAACTCGTTTCCATGGGTACGATCTTGCTGCGCCATGTTGTTTCCCATCATGCTTTGCGCGATCTTAACCCCTGGAATTGTCTCATTTAAATGTGTCAAATATTGGCACATTTAAATTAGGACTGCAATTGATGTATATCTAACGCGCGACGCCATGTTTAAAATGTTCAAAGTTTTTTTTTGGAAGAATCAAACCTTTCATACATAAGGTTTTGACGTTGCGACATAAGGTTTCGGTGTTAGCACCGCTTTCGTCCCTTTACAACCAAATGTTTTTTGGGGCGAAAAACGAGGCTACCATAATCCATATCATACAGACATCGCGTAGTTTTGAAAAAAAAATGTTCGTATGTGACGTGACGTGCATAGCACGCGAGCGCATTATAGGGCGTGCGGTCTTCGTCATACGCGCAGTACACTCTGAATAGCCGGTCAGCGTCGTTTACACGCTCATCTAGGTCAGGGGTTAGTAAAGGAACGCGCACGCACCCATGGGGTCGAGGCTGCAACATGCCAGCTTTCTGAAAAGCAGTGAATAAATCTATGTCGGGGGTGTTGCGTGTGGTTTCCTGGTCAACTAAAGTCGCCTTGGTAAGCAGCTAGGGGGTAGTTCCTTGTCGTAAAAATTAAGTCGCCCATGCTCAGGAACGGATTAATTCATGTTAACAGGAGAGAAATGCACGCTTGAACAAAACATGTTGTTGAAAATGAATAAAACTTTTCCAACTACTTACTGACTGGATTGACCTGAAATATACAAATCCGAAAATGGGGTGCTGTGGTCCAATGGTTACGGTGTTCGACACGTGTGCCGTGGTACATGGGTTCAAATCCTGACGGGGAACATGGTGCTTGTGCTCTTGAGCAAGGCACTTGACCACTATTGCTTCGTCCTTCGCATGGGACGTAAAGCCGTAGGTCCCGTGTGTCGTGTAATGCACGTTAAAGAACCAAGTAACACTTATCGCTAAGAGAAGGGGTTTGCCCCGGTGTTTCTGGCAGTGGCTGCAATATGCGCCGCAGTACCTTGTAAACCCTTGTAATGGTGCTACATAATGGGTCTCATATTTCTATGTACTTTATTTACCTGTCTCTAATAATAATCATAATTTCCAGCACCTTGAGTACCTAATTGTTGGGAGATACGTGCACTATAAGACTTCGGTATTATTATTATTATTATTATTATTATTAAAAAAAACTCTCTTCCAATGTATCCCCTGGCCGTTACCTGAGGTAGCTGGGTAGAAGGTGCTTGAGATAGGGGAGAATGACGGGGAACCTATGTGGCCCACTGATGAGGCGGCACGAGAGCCCTGGCTGTAGGGAGTCCATCGCCTGGGGGTCAATTTGCTGGAGATGGGGCTGGACGAAAACTGACTCTGCAAGAAGGCAAACACGTCAACCATTACGTTTTGGTGCAAGATTTGGCAAAAGTTTAGCATGAACAGCTAGGGTCCTTCAATATGAAAGATTTACTGCTATCTACAAATGGACATAAAGGATTTGTTACGTATGCTTTAAACTTTTTTTTTTAATGTATGCGCGTCAGCCCGATACACTGTTTGCTGAGCCGGTAAGAAAGTCACATGTGTTGTAAATAATCGTCGATATATCAACTATAACTAATATTAGTTTATTGATATATCGATTATCAGCATGTCTGATGTTGACGGACCCTATGAAAATCAGCTCGGTTTGGGTACGGAAGTCATTTGTCAAAGCATTTAAAGCTATAGTCCATCATTTGCAGCCATCCGAAAAGTATTAACTGGCGTTATTATTGTTGAAAAACAAACTTGGTTGAAAGATAGTAAGGGAACTAAACAACCTGTGAAATTATTCTTTCTGGCAAGCTGTCATTTTGAAGTAATCAACGAAAGAAGGCCTTTCCAACGGTGCGTCTTACGACGCACCGTTGGAAATTTTAAATTAGTAGTTCATTTTGTTATTCGGCGAAGCGCGCGCAAGCACTGGCACGACGCACACGCGCGCACGTGGTTGCTATAATTCGTCGGATTCAAAACAATTCAAAACATGATTCAGTAACTTTTGATTTGAAATTGAGATCCTAGAATGCTGTTTTTCTCGGAATATACAGCTGAAGCTGAGCTGAAACTTCATCAGGTTAGTTGTTCAGTATTCTTCATTAGATTTTGAACACTTTTGTTGCTTCAAACGAACAAAATGCACAAATTACAAATGATGGACTATATCTTTAAAGTATTGAAACTTTCTCCCAAGTATAGGTTTTGTGACCCCCAACTGTTACCTGGACGGATCCCGGTGTCTGTACATGGCTGATGTCGGACGCCGATAACGTTGTGTCGTCAACTTGCCTGATTGGAGATATCTGCATTGGGGTTTCCGAAAAGTAAAAGAATCTAAGTCTGAAGACGTCGTAGTAACGTTCTCAAAACAACTGTTCTTCAGGCTTTGAGCTGCCAACTTGACCCTGGACTGAGTCCAGCAATTGAAGTGCTGGTCTAATACCTTGATGGTGTAGCGTTTTCAGATTATCAATTTTTAATTATCAATTCATCTTAATTTTTAGTTAATTATCACACTTTCAATTATCAATGTTCCTTTTTGAACTTTTTAATGATTAATTCTCCTGAATGCATTACTCATCGTTTTCCTTGTATATACATACACCCACATAGTGCCTATGCGATGTGTAGTCCCTATACTTTTATACAGAGTAAATGACCTTCACTGCCCACACACAAGTCATTGGTCAGTTTCTTAGTACAACCAAGTTACTTTTAAGATCATTGTTTTAAGGAACTATATTACTCATTCCTAGTCATTTTTCTGAGACTCAAGGAAACCACGATATGACTAAGTTTCCCCATTCTTAAGTATTTCTTATTCTCAAGACTTCCTGTTTCCACCAGTATATAAGTGCTGCTCCACTAGCAGTTCTTCATTCTATTCTGTTTCATTTCTATTTCAATTCCATTTCTATTCTAGTCTATTTCAGTTCACCCAGTTCTCCTTGTCTCAGTTCACTTTAACCAGTTCAATCAATCAATGTGTATTACAATATTGTTGTGGAATAAACGGTCACGGTAAACACAGTCCTCAACCAAAGAATTGTGTATCGACTCATCCATTCCCCAACAATGGAATTAGTGTCATTGGTTGGGGATTTTTGGCCGAGTGGTCCTTATATTGTCTTGGATCAAGACGTTGCTGTTGTACAATGGATACGTAATCACCAGCCGAAAGAGGGCGTTATCAAAACAAACCTGCTGTCGCCCACGAACCGCTATCATAACAACGTCTTGGGAATCTTGTAGTGGCTCTGTCATGCGTGCACACCTGCTTTGCTTAATTTATTCAGCACGCATTCAGCACCTTGTATATTAGAGTTCGAACCAAACTCCGCAATTTCAGCCGGTAGCATGCAAGATGCTACCAGGTTTTGTGCAACTTCACTTCAGCTTGGTGTACCGTTGGTCTGAGTATCACCCGTTATCCACTGAACCAAGCCCTCTATAACGTCTGATATGTCTAGACATGAAGATATATGCAAGCCGCGCACCAGCCAATCGGAGTCGACTTTACTAAATCGTGACATCATTTCATCCCCAAATCAGGACTAAATGCTTTGATTGGTCAATTCGAATGCAGTGTTTGTAATGCAACAGCCGGGCGCATATCGCGTAACATGATACAGAGCGCGTGACACGCGGTTTTTTTGTTATCCATTGTCTATGACGCGCAATGGGTGAATGACCAAAGACCCGATATAGAAAGGGCCTGCTGATTGGTCAAAATCTAGAGGTCAAAAAGCAGTCATCTTGCCTAATCAATCAGCGAATTTGCTCACTTATTATTACATAGACTAGTCGACCGTCGGATCGGTCCGAATTTTCAGAACACACCTCTGTACGATGATCCAATGAACCGGTAAAATTCGGCAAGAAGTGGGCTTTAGGCCAAAAAAAAAAAGTCTCTGGTTTCTGGTATGGAGCTTGCCCAAGAAGTGGTGCGGAGACGCGGCTTTTTTTTTTTTTTTACCTGATTTTTTTGCTTCAAATTCGGCTGATGACTGCAAATGGTGCCCGACTAAACTTGGTACAAATGTATGGGAGTCCAGAGAGGCCACATAAAGCTTATTCTCGACCATAACCCAATCTAAAAACACTTTAAAATTGTGCAGCAGCAGAATTCCAGTCAAACCAGTGAGTTTGGCAGTTTTGAGACATCATCTTTAATTGAAAAAAAAACTTTTTCATTTTGCCGACGCGCATGGTTACGGCGACGCGCGCGCATACCAGAAACCGGAGACTTTTTTTTTTTGGCATTAGAGTTGCTCTTTGAAATATATTTTTAAAAAAATGGAAACAACAGATGCCTTCAACTGTACCTGTGGTGAGGGGATATCAGGAATTCTCTCTGGGGAGATCTGATGGTCCAGCCCTACCCCCACGGGACTGATGATTGGGCTGGCCTCTCCCTGACTGAACAGCTTGCGTCGAAGAGAAGAACTGGAGAGTTCGTTGACTCCTTCGGCCTGGCTGTCATTGAAGGCAAACTGGTCTCCTTGAAGATAATGATAAGTTTCAGAAAAAAAGTTCAAATGACCATTTATGAGAGGTCCAGAAACAGCCAGGGTCGGGGGGCACTTAGAAAACTTTGCCTTGAATTCATCATCAGTCCTTCATCTTTACTAAAACACACAATATCCCTTTCTTTACCATGGGCGACTCTTGTCGACAAGAAGAACCCCCTGCTGGTTCCCATGGGCGACTTTAGTCGACCAGGAAACCACACACAGAACACCCTCAACACAGATATAATTATTCACTACTTTTCAGAAAGGCGGCATGTTGATATGTTTGGCCGTCCATACATCAACCATATACCAGCTGAAAGAGTGTTTTCGGATCGTTCTAATGGTGTAGTTTATTCATAGTGTTGCCATTACAAAAAAAAATGAGAAAAGTGCTTCAGAAGTATCCACGCACAAATTGAGGTATGGAGTGCCATTTGGTCATGTGGTGAAATGGCTTGCAGTTTGATAAATGGAACCAGATGAACAAACAGGCATAACTTTCTTATATTTACACATATGGACTTCATTTTTACATCACATAAAAGAGTAAGGTTCAAGGAACAAACTTTACACACAACACCTATGATTTAAATCACTCCTTGGCAGTGAAAATCTGGGTTGAAAAAAGTGAGTTTTGGACTTGCGGTCATTTTGTTCACGCTCTAGTGATTTCCGCATGACTGAGCAAACAATTTGGTCCTGGGGAGAGCCAAGTCAATAAACTATGTGGTAATGAAAGGGTTAAAGCATTTTGAACAGTTGCTAATACAATCCATTGTTATACACAGATAATCACTAAAGTCTTAAAGCAATTTCACCCCCCCCCCCTCCAAAAAAGAAAGAAAAGGGCACAATTTGTTTATCTTGTACAAAACAAATACCATTTTGCAAAAGGACGTCTGAGGGATGAAGCAGAATTTTCAGCATAAAAAGTTGATTTCTGAATAAAAAATAAGTGACATTTAAACGGACACTAGATCCTGGAACAGCCCAATTGGGATACAAAACGCGCTTTGAACGAGATCATGTTAATCGGAAAAAACATTTAAAATAGGATAGAAACATCCACACAACTATCCTTTCAAAACTGGGCGTTTTTGTGTTATTCCTGTATTATGCGTGCGAGAACGAATTTCGGGCTCCACTTTTGCGTCCCCATTTATTCGAGCCGTTTGGATGCTAGTTGTGATTTCATTCGTACGCGTAAAGTTTTCGCCTTTTGCGGACGTTGAAGAAAACACATTTTTTTTGCATTGGTGATTGGTCACCGCTGTTCCCGAGACACACAACATGTATATCATACACTCTATGAGAACGACACGAAAAATGTATTCGTACTCCATCGTGTCCGATGAAAACAACCTGGTTTTTTTTTTCTTTTCTCGAGAACGGTAAGACATTAGGTTGGTTTCCTTTCAACCAGATGTTTGAAATAGGATAAGTAAACAATCCAAAACATGAAATTTTCGGGGATTTCAGGATCTAGTGCCCCTTTATCATTGGCAAAATTTGTTATACAAGATGAATGAAATAGTACAACGTCAAAACGACATTTATTTTTTTGCTCCAAATATTTGAATTGAATTAGAAATTAGTGTGCTAACTGCTGTACCCAACATTCTTTTGTGGACCCCAGTGTGGTCATTGTAGAGACATTGTACTGCATTTGTTTTGGTCATTACTGAACTTACCCAGAACTGCTTGCAGATCAAAGTCCACAGGCAGCGTCACTGTAGTCTGGCACGACACTGAGAAGGTATGACAAAAATAAACCACTATTAAAGAGGTTGTGGAATGCTCGAAGACATTTCCGTCATTTTTCGGGTATATGTAGCCTAAGCCCCCCCCCAAAAAAGTCTCTGGTTTCTGGTATGCGCGCGCGTCGCCGTAGCCATGCGCGTCGGCAAAATGAAAAAGTTTTTTTTTCAATGAAAGATGATGTCTCAAAACCGCCAAACTCACTGGTTTGACTGGAATCCTGCTGCTGCACAATTTTAACGTGTTTTTAGATTGGGTTATGGTCGAGAATAAGCTTTATGTGGCCTCTCTGGACTACCATATATTTGCACTAAGTTTAGTCGGGCACCATTTGCAGTCATCAGCCGACATTTGAAGCAAAAAAATCAGGTAAAAGAAAAAAAAGCCGCGTCGCCGCACCACTTTTTGGGCAAGCTCCATTCCAGAAACCGGAGACTTTTTTTTTTTGGCCTAAGGTGTGATGAAATAAAAACGACTATTGTTTCTGTCATGAAATGAATACAAAAGGTACTTTTGAGAGCTGTTTTTAAGGTCCTGTTTCGACTCGCACGTGCAATTTGTGTAACAGTCGTCGTTGGGGGCAGCAAACAAAACATAGTAAATCTTGACGTAATAAACAGGACTCCCTATGCAGCGTAGTATAAACGAGTCCTGTTTATTATGTCACAGTTTTTCTGATTTTACGAAGAACCCGACGACTGTTGATTTCAATTATGCGCTCGCCGACCAACAAATTACTCGATGAATTTCACTTTTATAAACATATAAACGCACATTACAAAAGAATGGGAGTCTGTCACTAAGATATATATGGGTCTACTCTACAATATAAAAATATAAAACACAAAACGATTTTCAGCATTTCACAACCTCTTTAAACAGGAGTCAGAAATTAGTGCTGCCTTTAAGCGGTCTGGGAGGGCAGTGCGCCCTGATAAAGTGATGAACATCTGGCAAAAACTTTGTGTCCTGCTAAAATCGCATACAAATGGCCCTGCTATTTTTTTTAATATCGTCCACTCCACAAAAGAGGACTAAAATTTCATGGGTTTCTGATTAAATCAGTGCCATGGAAAGGCATGAATGAACTTTTTGAACAAGTATTTTCTGGCAACAGTTTTGTGCCCTACTCAAATTGCATACATATGGCCCTGCTATTTTTTTTTATATCGTCCACTCCACCAAAGAGGACTAAAATTTCATGGGTTCCTGATCAAATCAGTGCCATGGAAAGGCATGAATGAACTTCTTGAGCGAGTATTTTCTGTGTTCTCAAAACAGTGATCTCTGTATTTAATGAGCAAACTGTGTGAAGTTGCCCATCAGGGCACAAGTTCACAACTCAGAGATGCCAAAGGGTCTGCTTGACAAAATCGGAACATGCACGATTCCACAACACTGCTGCTGTCGGTGTCCATAGTACATGTACATGTACATGACCGCTGCATGCGCTACGCGATGCGCTCGATGAAAACATGGTTATTATAAGAAAGAATTTTGCATCGGGTGATATAAATCAATTTAGGTTTTGCCCTTCACCGACGTTTAAACACTGTATACTCAGTGTGTAACCTCCCGAGTGAAAGCTGGAAAAAATCACTCGGGTGGGACTCGGACCCACGACCTCCTGCTTTCTAGTGCAGATATCTTACCACTCGACCACCGAGCTAACGGGATCGGTTGGCTGGTTCGAATCTGATGTACATAGCAGCGGGTACCGCATAAACTATTATAAGATGGAATAAACTATTATAAGATGGAATTTTGAAAACATGGTTGATACCCGGCGTTTTTTGTATTCACATATATTGCACTGGGATCGGAAACTACCAATAACTGAAATGATAGACTTAATTTCCAGGCTGAATGCTACGTGTGCTTAGAGCACAACACGCCCGCACGCGGTGAAGCACGCATGAAGCACCGCTGTACACTGCGTGCAAGTACGTTGGCCGCCCGTATCGCATGCAGGCTTGCCACCAACACAAAGACTGTTTTTAAGACTACTTCAACAAACAACGTTGTGCCATGCGTGCGCCTAAATCTACAAACGCAAGAGCGCTAATGAGATAAAAATCAACACATTGGTACAGTTTTTCTTCTCTTTTTCCGTTTTTTTGACGGCCAGAAAAAAACAGAATTTTGTGAGATTTACAAAAAAACAAAACGGAATTCCAGTTAAAACCGGAAAAGTGGCATCTCTGATGACTATGCTCACCACAGCATCCTGTGCTAATTCCTGTAAGCACAGAATCCTTAGTACTCAACAGCATAATATAAAGCCACTGACCTTCTGTCCTCTCCTTGTTCTGGCAGCTGTTCTCATTATCATGTGATGAGCGCTCTGGTGCCTCGGAGCAACTGTTGCTGTCTTTAGCCTCTGGAACGGGAAGAAGAAATCTTCTTGAAAAGCTTCGCTCTATCTACTCAAGTTAAATTCTCTTGTTTTATTGTACGTGGATACTTTATTTAATAAGTAGTCTAGAATGGCCTAATCTTAAGCCAGTGAAAATGTGATGTCATTTACGTCACTCAAAAACCCTCATTTGCAATTTTGCGTCGCAAAGGCTCAGCGCGTGGTGCAGCATGACGTGAACAGTCCTCTTAAGACCAACCCGACCGACCGAGGCTACTCGGGTTGGGACACACCATTTTGGGGAGCCTGCCCGGGGGGATTAGGATATTTAGGAGCACTTATCCTATAATTGGTTCCATAAAGGAGTACGTGAAGGTCACTCTGCCTGAGAGATTTCAAGCATAATACTTCGTTGCTGAAATCAATCTGTCCGCCGACAAAAGCATTATCATAATGATGTACCTTAAATGTTGACTTATGTTAACTGTGAAAATCGGTGAATAAACGGCCGAGAACGATCTCTTCACTGTGGCCGTTTGTGCTGACTCTCGACCACAAACTTGCAGTTCCAGAAAGCAGTGTGGCTAATAACAGGTGGTAGTTTATTTAACCGACAATTGATTTATGTGGGACTGTAGACTGGGGATCAGAGTTTGTTTACTTAAGGACCCCCCACAGAGGTCCAAAATGGTGCGTGAAACAAGCAACTTTCTTAAGAGGGCCGTTTTCGTCATGGCAAGTCAAAGGTGTAGTTCACGTCCGCGACAGAGCACGTCCGGCAGAAAAGCTCACATTCATCAAAGGTGAGACTGTGATGATTGTATTGTTCGTCCTTGTGCAAAGTTACACTGTCTTCTTTTTAACTCTTCTTTTTAATTAAAAATACGATATAACAAAGCATTGAGTGTCTGCTAACAGATGGGACATATTTTTTTTTTGCATCCTTGAAGATGACATGCTTAGGCTTATTAGGCGAAGTAAAAAACAAACATGTTTCTCGTCCCCGCCCGCTTTCTTTTTTGGAGGCCGCCTGGATTTTTTGATTACTTTATATTTTTGAAAAATGTAGTTAAAAAACCCGAAAAAGTCTACAAATTCATCGGAAAATAAATACCAATACCAACACAACTCTAAATGACACTGTAAATATGTTCAGTTCTCTTGTCCAACTTGTCTTTCATTTTTAAAAGTGTCTTTGAACAGTGGAACTACAACGGTTGCAGGAAATTTTGAAAAGGCGGTCATCTTGAATAAAATTAAAAAATATAAAATAAAAAGCCCCGCTTCCTCCCTTTTTTCAAAAACCCCGGACGAGAAACATGTTTGTTTTTTTACTCGGCCTTATGGCTTTATTTAATTGCTTTTTCATTTATATTTTTCCATATTTGTTTGCTAAACTTCTATTTTTATATTTATTTCCTTTATTAATGTACGTGTACATGATATATGAACTGCATATTGTTAAAGGAAATAAATGTTATATTGAATTGAATTGCATGGCATCCTAGGCTTGGGTGTGTCCCTTAGTGTAAATATTCAATCCCCTGTGACACAACACTAAAAAAATACCTAAAAAAACTTTAATATGATTGGAAAGTTGGGTGCTTAAATATAACATGCCTGACAGATTTTTTTGGCCAGCTATTGCCCTTCAATGCAGTCAATATGCTAATATACTATGTAATACTTTAGGCGGATTGCATGAGCATAATCACATGATCGATTGATCAACTGGCTGCCTACTGCCCTCCAAAGCAGGCAATATGCTACTATTTCACCTGCTATAGTTGGAGGGTTCTGTGAAATGCATTATGGGATGTTGGCACCTATTTCCCCCAAGGAAGTAAATGCTACATTTTTTTTTCTACTTGATACAGCTGGAGGTTTGGGATAAGGTAAAACTATCGATGCATTTTTTTTGACCATCTATTGCCCTTCAAAGGAGTCAATATATCACTAGTTTACCTGATACAGTTGGAGGATTGGGTGAGAACGTCACATGCTTGATGGGCCGCTTCACTGACCAGGGAGATGGAACCAAATGTTGCTGCGAAAAGAACTGGTTCAAAAAGAAGTATTGATTATTTGTGGTAATGAAACCAAGGATTCTTTAAAGGGAATATTCAACATTTGCAAACATCGAAAAATAAAACTACCAAGTTTTTACGAAATACCTTACCAGGATGTTGGTAAATGACAGTCTAAAGCATCCTGTAAAATTATGGCACCTGGTGTGAAGTCATTTTCAAGAAAATGGTATTTTTGTATACATCTCCGTTTTTTGATCGGAATTTCCAACAATTTATTACGAAATTAAATTCAGAAGCAAAAGAGTTAAATCTTACACCACTGGTCTGGACCCACCTGTTCAATAGCCAGCTGGGCTCGCTCCTCTGTGTCGCTATCCAGCGTACTCTCCTGCTGCAGAGCATGCTCATCAATGTCAGCAGGGTGCAATATGGCCAGCTGGTCTATGGACCAGCGGAACAAAGAACTCTTCTAGAAATTGGACAAAAACAAATGTACATTGTGATGAATCTTAACATTTGGGCGTAAACATTTGTGTGAAAAGGATCATACATACAAAATGGAAATTGGACACAAATACATGTACAATACGATGAGGCTAACCCTAACCCACCTCACTCCTCCAAAATCCTCCTGGCAGTTTTGGAGGATTCTAGAGGATTGAGGATGAATGGTGATTGAATCAAATGAGGATTCTGGAGGATTGAGGATGAATGGTGATTGAAGCACATGAGGTTTTTTGGAGGATTGAGAATGAATGGGGATTGAAGCACAAGAGGATTTTGGAGGATTGAGGATGAATGCATTTTGAGGCAGGACTGTCTGATGATTTTGAAGGATTTGGCGTTGGCTATCCTTCATTTAAACACGAGTGCAAAGTTTGGGATGAGGAGGATTTTGGAGGATTGAGGATGAATGCATTTTGAGGCAGGACTGTCTGACAATTTTGAAAAATTTAGGCGGAGTTGCAAAATTTTGGAAAATTTTGGAGGATTTTGGAGGATTGAGGATGGTTGTAAGCAACAAGGGCCTAGGGGGTTAGGGTTAACATTCAGGCGTAAAATTTGATTTGAAAAGGATCGTACATACAAAATGTACAAATGCAAAACGTCATCACCGAGTCAATATCCTGTGCGGGAACAGTACAAGTTAAAGGGAAGATACAACATTAGCAAACATCGAAATGATAAAATTATCATGAAATACCCTACTAAAGCATCCTGTAAAATCCTGGTGCGCTGACATTTTCAAGAAATATTGTATTTTTCCAACGCTGATTGGCCGACCAGCATTGGAGAAAACTGGCTTTTTACAAAAACTGCTCCTAATTTGTCATAATTATTGAGTTATCTCGCATTTTCTTTGCATTTGATTACACACCTGTGGAGGGGTACAGGCCCGCTAGACTGATTATCTGACCTTACAATTCCCCAAAGTCTATAAATTGCTCAGTTTCATCTTAATTGGATCAGGGAACCAGACTACAAGAACATGATTGGTTTTCTTGGTTTCTCCAGCATCTACAATAGTACAAGCCAAAAACATGACACAAGTCAGTTTAACAATATTTACTATAGCATACTAATCCTCCAAATCCATTTATTTCTGAATGTTGCAGGAAAAGCAAATATTGTACATTCCCTTTAAAGGGAATGTACATCATTGGCTTTCGCTGTAATTTTCAGAAATGAACTAGTTGAGGGGTTAGTATAATAGATCAAAATATTTTCAAAATTTTTTCAAGTAGTCTGGTTCCCTGACTCCACTAAAGATGAAATGGATCAATTTTTAGATGCCAGAAATTGTAAGGAAAAGGAACCAGTCTAGCTGGCCTGCACCCGTTCATGAACATGTAATCAATAGCAAACACAATTTGGACTGAAACAAATGGTAAATTTGGAGCAGTAGTTGAAAAATAGTCAGGTTTTCCAACGGTGGTCGGCTGACCACCGCTGGAAATGTATACAAAAATACCATTTTCTTGAAAATGTCTTCACACCAGGTACCATAATTTTACAGGATGCTTTAGACTGTCATTTACGAACATACTAGTAAGGGCTTTCGTAAAAACTTGGTAGTTTTATTTTTCGATGTTTGCAAATGTTGTATTTTCCCTTTAAGTAGTAAGAAGAGGTGGTACTTCGGTGGCGCCCTTTGTAAAAAAAAAACTCATGCACTAGTACCTTAGAACTGGCAGGGGTAGCAGCGCTCCTAGCAAAGACAGAGGGGCTAAACTGGGTCAGGTGCAAGCTGTCCACGCTGTCGGCTTCAAAGGGATTCAGCGTGTTGTTGGCGCTGGTGTCGGGAATGTTCCCCTGACCACTGCAGGAACTCTCCTCCATCGCTCCTCTGATGAAACCTGACGGAAAATGATTTGAATAATATTATTAGAGAGGTTTCACTGCCATTAAAGATATAGTCCATCATTTCTGATTTGTGCATTTTGTTCGTTTGAAGCAACAAAAGTGTTCAAAATCTAATGAAGGATACTGAACAACGAACCTGATGAAGTTTCAGCTCAGCTTCAGCTGTTTATTCTGAGAAAAACAGCATTCTAGGATCTCAATTTCAAATCAATAGTTGCTGAATCATTTTTGAATTGGGCCTGAATTCAGCATCCGAGACGTGTTCTCACTGAGCCGATTGCAGCTATACGCGATGTCGCGCACTGATCCGACGAATTATAGCAACCGCGCAGGCGTGTGCGTCGTGCCAATGCTTGCGCGCGCTTCACCGAAAAACAAAACGAACTACTAATTTAAATTTTCCTATGGTGTGTCTTAAGACGCACTGTTGGAAAGGCCTTCTTTCGTTGATTACTTCAAAATGACAGCTTCCCAGAAAGAATAATTTCACAGGGAGTTTAGTCCCCTTACTATCTCTCAACCAAGTATGTTTTTCAACAATAATTACGCCAGTTATTTTTCGGATGGCTGCAAATGATGGACTATAGCTTTAAACACGTTAACAGGTTAAAGCTATTCGTAACTGTTAGCAACCAAATGCTCTTTGTAATACACGTATGCACGTGTACGGTGTGATACATGCGTGGAATATGCTTACCATAAGCACGGCATTTTCTGCTATAATAAGCAGGGATTTTTCGCTAAATTGTAAGCAGAGTAAAAAAATTTGGCCTTGCTCCGTATTTCAATGGGTAAAGGCAAGGGTTCAGTGATCAGAGACCGTGGAGTGTACTCCGACCATATAAGCCTGGTCGATATTTCACTCGCGCATGCGCCAACTCGCCGGCCGCCTTGACGATGGGGGATACGCAAACCTGTTAGCCTGATAACAATGCACGTAACTGCGAACGGTTTTCCCAGCTTGGATTTCTTTAAATTTTATTGTGTAAATTAGCAATTTTATAATGATAGGGAAATGAAATATATACTATTGAACTATATTCCCGAATCCTATGAAAAAATAACGATGCCGGTAGAAAGGTGAAAAATTTGCTGTAATGATAGGGAAAATGAAATACTATTGAACTATATTCCCGAATGCTATGAAAAAATAACGATGCCAGTAGAAAGGTGACAAATTTGCTGTAAAATGTCCGAATTTTGACCAGCGTACACATAGGCGTACGCGTACATTATCATGTGCCGGTACGTGTGTATACTGGTACGTGTTTTCACAGCTTAAAAAAAAAAAACAAGTCAGGTGTGTTTACAAACACAAATGCCCCGCAACCGTGACTGTTCCCATGACACAACACCACTCTTTTAAAGGGAATATACAACATTTGCAAACATCGAAAAATAAAACTACCAAGTTTTTGCGAAATACCTTAATAGGACGTTGGTAAATGACAGTCTAAAGCATCCTGTAAAATTATGGCACCTGGTATACTGTCATTTTCAAGAAAAGTGGTATTTTTGTATCAATAAACCGATCAGCGTTGGAAACAACTGGCTTTTTTTCAAATACTGGCCCCAATTGACTATTGCACTTGTTTGCAATCGATTACAAACCTATGAACGGGTACGAGCCAGCTAGACTGGTTCCCTGACCTTACAATTCCCCAATGTATGTAAACTGCTCTGTTTCCTCTTATATGGAGTCAGGGAACCAGACTACAGGTAAATGATCGTTTTTCTCGGTTTTTATAGCATTTTCGAACCCAAAACCTCCAAAAAGTCAGTGTAACTATATTTGCTTTATATTTCCAATCCCCCAATTCCATCCATTTCTGAAAATTACAGCAAAAGCAAATGATGTATATTCCCTTTAACATCAACTTACATGTACCTTGGTCACACGGAACATTCATTGACAGCATTAGTGTCTTCTGTAGGTTTTATATGAATTAATCCCTAATCCCTATAATCTCAGAATAAATACAAGATTTCTATTGTTTTAGCCACTGTGAACTTGACCCTTGACCTTTTGGCCCCAAATTCAATAGGCTTCTTAGGATTACCAAGAACAATCCACAAACCAAATTTGAAGTTCATATGTTAAGTATTTCTCAAGTTATCGCGCTGACAAGATTTGTATTGTTTTAGCCACTGTGAACTTGACACTTGACCTTTTGACCCCAAATGCAATAGGCTTCTTAGGATTGCCAAGAACAATCCACAAACCAAATTTGAAGTTCACATGTAAAGTATTTCTCAAGTTATTGCGCTGACAAGATTTCTATTGTTTTAGCCACTGTGAACTTGACCTTTGGCCTTTTGGCCCCAAATGCAAAAGGCTTCTTAGGATTGCCAAAAACAATCCACAAACCAAATTTGAAGTTCACATGTAAAGTATTTCTCAAGTTATCGCGCTGACAAGATTTCTATTGTTTTAGCCACTGTGAACTTGACCTTTGGCCTTTTGGCCCCAAATGCGAAAGGCTTCTTAGGATTGCCAAGAACAATCCACAAACCAAATTTGAAGTTCACATGTAAAGTATTTCTCAAGTTATCGCGCTGACAAGATTTCTATTGTTTTAGCCAATGTGAACTTGACCTTTGGCCTTTTGGCCCCAAATGCGAAAGGCTTCTTAGGATTACCAAGAACAATCCACAAACCAAATTTGAAGTTCATATGTTAAGTATTTCTCAAGTTATCGCGCTGACAAGATTTGTCCGGACACACACACCCACACACCCATACTTGTTTCACATGACTAGTGTGGACTTTCCATTGCTTTCGTGTAGTTAAGAAAAACCAGTGAAAAAACTCATTTTTCTCAAACTGTGAAAACTCTTTCAACCCAATTTTTTTTCTATGATTCCCTTTAGTGTTTCTCTTCATTCTGCTACAGATAAACCTAACCCAAAAATGCCTCTAAACCTGTTTTCCAGAAATGGGGAAACACTGTGTGGACGTGGGGTAAGTCCACACAACGTCGGTGCTACCTACATTATGTGGACGTCTTTTGTTCGGAAGTCCACACTGCGTATGTAAGACAAACTCACCCACCCACCCACACACACACCCACCCACCCACCCACCCACCCACCCACCCACGGAAGGACAAGGCGGAAACAGTATGCCCCTTCGGCTTCGCCGCGGGGCATAAAAATAGCAAATATCAAAACATATTTGAAGAGAATAGTTCATTAGCTATTCAACAACAACATCTTTCCAATCGGGTAAATATTTATTGAGTTATGGCCAATTGAAAACAAGTGCTGCTTTTACATCGGTTTGTCCTTGTGCTGTGGTACGCTGTGCACAACACATCACGGCGCACATTTTTGTCAGCCAATTCATTGGCATCAATTGCACGTCCGAGACTTAGATATATTTATAAGTAAAATTATTATAAGGGCTATAAAGCTTCTTGATGTTTTTCTTTCTTTTTTTCCCGATTTCGTTATTTTCTCTAATTTGTGGCTCTGGACTGGAGGACGGGAGTATTTTTTTTTTTTAAAGTTAATAAAGTCCAACATTTTGTTTGGTCCAATTTCCATTTTCCCCCCCAATTTGTGGCTCCGGCGGATTTTTTTTAGGGAAATAAAGACTGAAAGTTAAACTTTAGTCAAACATTTCGTGAGGTCTGATTCCCGCCCCCGGAATACAACATCACAATGATAGTGTAAGCCCGGAACCAGACTAGGCAACAAGGCTAGTGTAGTAGTACTACAGTACACCGTCATAGTACATGTAGAAAGCGTACCAAGTACGACTACCGGTACGAATAACGCGCAGTCGACATCATGATAAACTTCCTGACTTCAACTTCAATCTAGACAGCAATGTATAAATACTTCGTTCACACACACCTGAAACCTTAAACCTTTCTACATTCACAAAAATAAACACCTCATAGGCCTACAATTACTCATATTTACACTAAAATTGGGGGTAAATTCAAAGTGTTTCACCTCCCGCGCTTACCGCAATCTGAAATAAGAGCGCCCTCAAGAGGTAAGGCGAAACTACCGGGTCCCTTCGGCCCGGCAGGACTTCAAATGTTGGGGGACAGCTAGCAATGAATCTTGAAAGCATTAGGAGGTTGACCTGCTAATTTTAGTGATTTTTACCACGAAAATGCACAATATTTGTCACAATTGGATCAAACCACACATATACACCACCCCTTTCACACATTTAGGCCACGCCCACAAATTGGGAGGAAAATATCATGACGTTTGAAAATGCTTGCAAAATATTCTCATATAGTTTATTTCAAAGCATGGAAGAAAATGAAAAAAATACAGTTCTGAGTTTTAATTCCTTGCGCGCCTGGCCCACCTGCCCCCCCCCCCCCTTTTTAAAAAATATTAAGCTCTGCACCCAAATGTATAGGGCCAGTTTAATTGGTCATGTCCTTAATTTACGCTTCCGTATATCGGCAAAAATGAGTACGTCCAGCTTACCTCGAATGATTAGAGCTTTGCGGCTCTGCATCCCAAATTTCATGCTTTTACCACAATTTGGACATGATTTGGACAAAATAATGGGCCAAAGGAGCTCCGCTATTACACAGGATTTTAGCCGGCGAGAAGGGGGATGGGGGGGGGAGGGGTGTAATTAAGGCAGGTATTTACCCGCCCCCACCCAATATTTTGTAAAGGGTACCCTTTTTACACGGTTACGTCTCGATAGTCCGAAGTACCACCTTTTTTTGTTGGAATGTTGCGCACACGCCCTGAAAAACACCACCTCAGTATTGTCCGATATCGATAGTGCTCATGATTGTACGGTTTGAACAGCAACCCCATAGGAAGATGGTACCAGCGTCCCAACTTGGGTGCAACCCTGCAAAAAAAAATCCCATAGACACCAGTGCTAAATGCGCATACTTCAAAATTCTTTTAAAAAATACTCCGAACTCTCACAGGTATTCAAGCTACACAGAAAAATGATGATCAATGTGTCATATTTCATTTTGAGATATTCTCACCCAAAGAAGACGACCCCTATTTTCCCCAAAGCGGAAAAGCAGCCATCTTGAAAAACGATCACTCCACAACATGGCAAAATAGCGCCACTTTTGAGCCCAAGCATCCAAAATGCTCAAAATTGAAAGCCCCAAGTCCGGGCCAGAGGTTCATTACCATATCTCTTCAATTCCCCAATTTTATAGCTCTCAAAACTCTCTAATATAGAATATTTTGAGGGTATAACTGTTATTCACAGGCGGCATGAGCCAGTGAATAAAAGTTATACCATAAAATATTCTATATTAGAGAGTTTTGAGAGCTATAAAATTGGGGAATTGAAGAGATATGGTAATGAACCTCTGGCCCGGACTTGAGGCTTTTTTTGGGCCTATTTACAGGCGTGCACCCCCAAGTACCCCTCTCGCATAACAAGATAGTGCACTTTCTCAAGACGATGGCCACCCCTGGAAAAAAAAAGAAGAGAAAAGAATGTGTACCCTCTCGCGATAAAAATATGGTCTCTCTACATAACTAGGTGAAAGAAACACAAGAGCAAAATGGACAACGTATTCGTAATGTGTCCCTCGTCATACATGTATATTAGTTTATAGCAAAATGAACGGGACATTCTTTTCCTCCACTTTCACACCGACGGAAGATGCCCCTTTTTCTGAGCAAGTGCCCCTTTTTGGTGTCCCCCCTCCCAGTTTGAAAAGCGTTCCGCCGCCCCTGCAGCCATGATGTTTTCTTCCTATCACACGAATAGAAAATGATGTAAAATTGTTGATTAATTCTCAAGAGCGATCCAGGCACAATATAGGATCTTTCCCATTGTACGTGTTATTGACCATCGTTCATAAAAGAACGTTCAGTGAATATCCATTTTGAATCAATTGAATTAATTTGGGACCAAGCTTTACTGGGTTTGCTTCGCTTTTATTTTACTATTGCGTTTTACCTTGAACATTTTTGATTTTTTTTATGACGAATATTGTCTACGAAAAAGAGTTTAGGGCCTATGGCCAAAAAAAAGAAAGTCTCCGGTCTCTGGTATGCGCTCGCGTCGCCGTAGCCATGCGCGTCGGCAAAATGAAAACTTTTTTTTTCAATAAAAGATGATGTCTCAAAAACCGCCAAACTCACTGGTTTGACTGGAATCCTGCTGCTGCACAGTTTTAACGTGTTTTTAGATGGGGTTATGATCGAGAATAAGCTTTATGTGGCCTCTCTGGACTGCCATATATTTGCACTAAGTTTAGTCGGGCACCATTTGCAGTCATCAGCCGACATTTGAAGCAAAAAAAACAAACAGGTAAAAAAAAAAAAGCCGCGTCGCCGCACCACTTTTTGGGCTAGCTCCATACCAGAAACCGGAGACTTTTTTGGGGGGCCTATAGGTCTTCTAATCATTTTTTTCTGACCGTTCCATGCAAGTTGGGATAACATTGAACAAGAATTGATTATAGTTTGAAGATTATAATGATGTGCATAACACAAATCAAACAAAACAGTAAACAATTAACCATAATAAAACGTTTGACATAGCTGCTGTTAATAGGACATCCAGTCATAACATCAAGCTATCGGATAATTTCTTTTTTTTTTCCAAATACCAAAATCTAAAAATCAAGTGAGTGTCTTAGGAAAAAAAATAACCCCCAAAATTAAACCTGTCTACATTTTGAGTCAGTGTTGTAAATGAGTTGACCTTGCGTGAATTTTAAAAATGAAAAATAATGCTTCATAATACTCAACGATACATTGTAAGAAATCAAAACTATATCCTACACACCATAACCCATAATATTATGAAAAAGAGCTTAGTATTAAAAGTTCTGCGATCATGTAGGCCACCAGTAATTCATATCCATGTTTGCCTATTTGAAAATTGTCTTCATAACGTAGACTCGACATATGTTTCAGTATTATCAACAGCCGTTGCCTGCTTTCCACACGCACAAAAGAACAACCTTTTTAAGCCTCTGCGGAACTCTTCCATGCGGCCCCAGTAAATGACCGGGTTAATGGCGGCATTGGACGCCAAAATGACCACACTGCTTTTGAAAAACACTCGAAAGCTGACCGCCTGCCCGGACCAGAATTCCTCACCACTGAAATGAGTGATCAAATTAGCGACGATATTTGGAATCCAGCATATGGCAAACGCCGCCAGGATCACGGTGAAGGTGACCATCAGGTGTCGGTCTCGACGCATGCGCGTTTCCGCCTCATCAGGCAAGGGCGCCCTCAGCGACAGCCCGTACTGGGCGATCTTACGGAACACCATGACGTAGACGACTGTTGTGAGCAGCACAATGATGACAACGATGATAGGCGTGACGAGGCGGCCGATGTCATTCTCAGTCAGATACTCGAATGGAAAGGTCAAGGCAAAAGCCAGACCCCACATCAGCAGACAGACTACAGCCATGCGACCGCTCGTCGCAATGGCGTCATAACGCGCCGGCGGGTTGATACTCAACGCCAGGAGCCGGTTCACCGCCACGGCTAAGATATTCAGCCCCTCGTTGAGAAAGCAGATCCCTGTCAGGGAAAGCACCACGGGATGCGGCACGTGCTGGAATAGGATCGCCACGATGGAAGTGATAATATCCGTGATAGCGAGGTTGAAGATAAGACCGTAGTACTTAACGCGTAGCGTCTTGGTTGTTGCCAAGACTACCACCACGAGGAGGTTGGTAACTATGGCAACAGCACAAACAACTTGCAGAATAATCTTAGCTGCTTCCAGTGCCTGTGCCTCTGTACTACCCGTCATGATGGTTCGAAGCCTATTTACATTTATTTTCTGTGTGCAGAAAGAAAAAGGCACACGCGTTAGTTCCCTTGAGATGGACAGTTGTGAACGCCCGATTTATTTTTCATTCAGTTCAGAATTCACTGGAAGTCTTGTCCTGCATGTTGTTAACACATTGGGGTGAATCCCATTTCACATAGTCCTATGGGCACTTAATTGCCGGTGAGTCCTAAGCAGAACATAAAATTATGTAAGAAAGTGAAGTAATAAATGATATTTTTAAGAGTATACATGTAGATATAGGTAAGGGGAAAAAAAGAGCAATGAAACGATAGGCAATTATGCAGACACATTCCGAAGCCGGAGGCATTATGGAGATGTCTCGACAAAACAAACCGAAATGCCAACTCAACAAATACAGAGACGGTCAGTCAGTCTGGTCAGTCTGTGGGAGAGTTGGGGGGGGGGAGTCAGTCAGTCGGGGAGTCAGTGGGTCAGTCGGTCAGTCGGTCAGTCGGTCGATCAGTCGGGCAGTCGGGGAGAAAGTCAGTCATCGGGGAGTCGGTCGGTCAGTCACTCGGGGAGTCAGGGAGTCAGTCAGTCAGTCCGTCCGGTGCATGCAGGACTCTCTTGTACAGGCCAACATTATGGTTATCGGCCAATGATCTGTTTCGCATGTCACTAAGTAGGCATCTGATTGAAACCGTTTACTGCATCATCAAGTAAATGGTTGATTTACTGCCAAGTCCAATTAGGCGATTCGGACTGTACTTTGCACGTCATTTACATGTAATACGTCTGTTAGTCTGGTTCAAACCCACCCACGCTAAACCCACACGATGTTTCAGACTCCCACCATTAGAAAGGTTGGCCGTCCGCTGCAGGGACCGGCAAAATTGAAATAGACCCACGTAAACTAAATTTGATTACACCTCAACAAAAGGGATCCCTGAAGGTGAAAATAATAACATTATTATGTACAATGCAATGTTGTGCACTTACCAGCAACAAGCAGTCAGGTCTAGTTCAGGCAATGGCGTGTATAGATCTAAACCATTCGTACGCACAGTTTGCAGTTTTATAATGAGTATTCAGTTGGCATTTTTTATGCGTCTGAATTTGTCCATAAAAGTTAGAAATTAGCATTATGAACTAATTTGAATTGAAGATTCGCCCCTTAGGTTTTAATAACTACCGTAACGTTCGATGACGTTTCACGTGCAACGGGTCCTCGGATTTTCAAAGCGAGGGTTACTTCTTTTACGAGCAAATATTTATGAACTCATAAGCTTACTCTCATCTGCATATACGCCTATGAACAAATCCCAACAATATACGTGTACTGAATGATAAGTGCATGGTAGCGCTTTAATGTCCTGTTAGGCTGAATTGCATTGGAATATTACTTGTGTTCATCACGACAGTACACGGTAGCTCTTTAAAGATAAAGTCCATCATTTGTAATTTGTGCATTTTGTTCGTTTGAAGCAACAAAAGTGTTCAAAATCTAATGAAGGATGCTGAACAACTAACCTGATGAAGTTTCAGCTCAGCTTCAGCTGAATATTCCGAGAAAAACAGCATTCTAGGATCTCCATTTCAAATCAAAAGTTGCTGAATCATGTTTTGAATTGTTTTGAATTGCAGCTTTACGCGATGTCGCGCACTGATCCGACGAATTATAGCAACCGCGCGCGCCTGTGCGTCGTGCCAATGCTTGTGCGCGCTGCGCCGAATAACAAACCGAACTACTAATTAACATTTTCCCACGGTGCGTCTAAAGACGCAACGTTGGAAAGGCCTTCTTTCGTTGATTACTTCAAAATGATAGCTTGCCAGAAAGACTAATTTCACAGGGAGTTTAGTCCACCTACTATCTTTCAACCAAGTATGTTTTTCAACAATAATACGCCAGTTACTTTTCGGATGGCTGCAAATGATGGACTATAGCTTTAAATAGGACCATGTAAACTAAATTTGATTACACCTCAACAAAAGGAATTCCGAAAGGTGAAAATAATAACATTATTATGTACATTGCAATGTTGTGCACTTACCAGCAACAAGCAGTCAGGTCCAGTTCAGGCAATATACGGGGCGTGTATAGATCTAAACTATTCGTACGCACAGTCTGCAGTTTTATAATAAGTATTCAGTTGGCATTTTTTTATGCGTCTGAATTTGTCCATAAAAGTAAAAAATTAGCATTATAAACTAATTTGAATTGAAGATTCACCCCTTTTGTTTTAATAACTACCGTAACGTTCGATGACGTGTCACGTGCAACGGGTCCTCGGATTTCAAAGCGAGGGTTACTTCTTTTACGAGCGAATATTTATAAACTCATAATTACTCTCATCTGCATATACGCCTATGAATAACTCCCAACAATATACGTGTACTGAATGATAAGTGCATGGTAGCTCTTGATTGTCCGGTTACGCTGAATTGCGTTTGAATATTACTTGTGTTCATTACGACAGAACACGGTAGCTCTTTAAAGCCAGAGTCCATCATCTGCAGCTATCCAAAAAGTAACTGGCGTAATAATTGTTGAAAAACATACTTGATTGAAAGATAGTAAGGGGACTAAACTCCCTGTGAAGTTATTCTTTCTGACAAGCTGTCATTTTGGAGAAATCAACAAAAAAGGCTTTTTCAACGGTGCTTCTTAAAGAAGCACCGTAGAAAATTCAAATTAGTATACGTAGTTCGTCTTGTTATTCGGCACAGCGCGCGCAAGCATTGGCACGACCTTTGATCTCCGTATACATTTGTATATGGAGATCAATGGGCACGTGCACGACCATGGGCACGGATCAGTGCGCGACATCGCGCAGCTGCAATCAGCTCAGTGAGAACGTGTCTCGGACGATGAATTCAAGTCCAATTCAAAACATGATTCGGCAACTTTTGATTTGAATGGAGATCATAAAATGTTGTTTTGCTCGAAATATACTGCTAAAGCTGAGCTGAAACTTCATTAGGTTAGTTGATCAGCACCCTTCTTTAGATCCTGAGCACTTTTGTTGCTTCAAACGAATTACAAATGATGGACTATACCTTTAAAAAGATTAGATCGGCAGCGCGTACAGACGCACCCAAATGTATAGGGCCAATTGGTCATGTCCTTTTACGCTTCCGTATATCGGCAAAAATGAGTACGTCCAGCTAACCTCGAATGATTAGAGCTTTACGGCTCTGCATCCCAAATTTCATGCTTTTACCCCAATTTGGGCACGATTTTTGACAAAATGATGGGCCAATTAAGGAGCTCCACTATTACACAGGATTTTAGCCGGCGAGAAGGGGGATGGGGGGGGGGGGGTGTAATTAAGGCAGGTATTTACCCGCCCCCACCCAATATTTTGTAAAGGGTACCCTTTGTACACGGTTACGTCTCGATAGTCCGAAGTACTACCTTTTTTTGTTGGAATGTTGCGCACACGCCCTGAAAAACACCACCTCTATTGTCCGATATCGATAGTCCTCATGATTGTACGGTTTGAACAGCGCCCCCATAGGAAGATGGTACCAGCGTCCCAACTTGGGTGCAACCCTGCAAAAAAAATCCCATAGACACCAGTGCTAAATGCGCATACTTCAAAATTCTTTTAAAAATACTCAGAACTCTCACAGGAGAGCTACACAGAAAAATGATGATCAATGTGTCATTTTTCATTTTCTTTTCATTTTTTGATGGGTTGACCATTGAAGAAGACGACCCCTATTTGCCCAGGAAGATGGTACCAGCGTCCCAACTTGGGTGCAACCCTGCAAAAAAAATCCCATAGACACCAGTGCTAAATGCGCATACTTCAAAATTCTTTTAAAAATACTCAGAACTCTCACAGGAGAGCTACACAGAAAAATGATGATCAATGTGTCATCTTTCATTTTCTTTTCATTTTTTGATGGGTTGACCATTGAAGAAGACGACCCCTATTTGCCCCAAAGCGGAAAAGCAGCCATCTTGAAAAACGATCCCTCCACAACATGGTAAAATAGCGCCACTTTCGAGCCCAATAGCATCCAAAATGCTCAGAATTGAAAGCCCCAAGTCCGGGCCAGAGGTTCATTACCATACTTTTCAATTCCCCAATTTTATAGCTCTCAAAACTCTCTAATATAGAATATTTTGAGGGTATAACTTTTATTCATGAGCTCGGCGGACGGATTTTTGACCTATTTACAGGCGTGCACCACCAAGTACCCCTCTCGTATAACAAGATAGTGCACTTTCTCGAGATGATAACCACCCCTGGAAAAAAGAAGAAAAAAGAATGTGTCCCCTCTCGCGATAAAAATATGGTCTCTCTACATAACTAGGTGAAAGAAACACAAGAGCAAGATGGACAACGTATTCGTAATATATCCCTCGTCATATATAGTTTATAGCGAAATGAATGAACGGGACGTTTTTTGCCTCCACTTTCACACCGACGGAAGGTGCCCCTTTTCTGAGCAAGAGCCCCTTTTGGGTGTCCCCCCTCCCAGTTTGAAAAGCGTTCCGCCGCCCCTAGCAGCCATGATGTTTTCTTCCTATCACACGAATAGAAAATGATGTAAAATTGTTGATTAATTCTCAAGAGCGATCCAGGCACAATATAGGATCTTTCCCATTGTACGTGTTATTGACCATCGTTCATAAAAGAACGTTCAGTGAATGTCCATTTGGAATCAATTGAATTAATTTGGGATCAAGCTTTACTGGGTTTGCTTCGTTTTTATTTTACTATTGCGTTTTACCTTGAACATTAATTTTTTTTATGACGAATATTGTCTACGAAAAAGAGTTTAGGGCCTATAGGTCTTCCAGTCATTTTTTTCTGACCGTTCCATGCAAGTTGGGATAACATTGAACAGGAATTGATTATAGTTTGATGGTTATAATGATGTGCATAACACAAATCAAACAAAACAGTAAACAATTAACCATAATAAAACGTTTGACATAGCTGTTAATAGGACATCCAGTCATAACATCAAGCTATCGGATAATTTCTTTTTTTTTCCAAATACCAAAATCTAAAAATCAAGTGAGTGTCTTAGGAAAAAAATAACCCCCAAAATTAAACCTGTCTACATTTTGAGTCAGTGTTGTAAATGAGTTGACCTTGCGTGAATTTTAAAAATGAAAAATAATGCTTCATAATACTCAACGATACATTGTAAGAAATCAAAACTATATCCTACACACCATAACCCATAATATTATGAAAAAGAGCTTAGTATTAAAAGTTCTGCGATCATGTAGGCCACCAGTAATTCATATCCATGTTTGCCTATTTGAAAATTGTCTTCATAACGTAGACTCGACATATGTTTCAGTATTATCAACAGCCGTTGCCTGCTTTCCACACGCACAAAAGAACAACCTTTTTAAGCCTCTGCGGAACTCTTCCATGCGGCCCCAGTAAATGACCGGGTTAATGGCGGCATTGGACGCCAAAATGACCACACTGCTTTTGAAAAACACTCGAAAGCTGACCGCCTGCCCGGACCAGAATTCCTCACCACTGAAATGAGTGATCAAATTAGCGACGATATTTGGAATCCAGCATATGGCAAACGCCGCCAGGATCACGGTGAAGGTGACCATCAGGTGTCGGTCTCGACGCATGCGCGTTTCCGCCTCATCAGGCAAGGGCGCCCTCAGCGACAGCCCGTACTGGGCGATCTTACGGAACACCATGACGTAGACGACTGTTGTGAGCAGCACAATGATGACAACGATGATAGGCGTGACGAGGCGGCCGATGTCATTCTCAGTCAGATACTCGAATGGAAAGGTCAAGGCAAAAGCCAGACCCCACATCAGCAGACAGACTACAGCCATGCGACCGCTCGTCGCAATGGCGTCATAACGCGCCGGCGGGTTGATACTCAACGCCAGGAGCCGGTTCACCGCCACGGCTAAGATATTCAGCCCCTCGTTGAGAAAGCAGATCCGTGTCAGGGAAAGCACCACGGGATGCGGCACGTGCTGGAATAGGATCGCCACGATGGAGGTGATAATATCCGTGAGAGCGAGGTTGAAGATAAGACCGTAGTACTTAACGCGTAGCGTCTTGGTTGTTGCCAAGACTACCACCACGAGGAGGTTGGTAACTATGGCAACAGCACAAACAACTTGCAGAATTATCTTAGCTGCTTCCAGTGCCTGTGCCTCTGTACTACCCGTCATGATGGTTCGAAGCCTTTTTACATTTATTTTCTGTGTGCAGAAAGACAAAAGGCATGCGCGTTAGTTCCCTTAAGATGGACAGTTGTGAACGCCCGATTTATTTTTCATTCAGTTCAGAATTCACTGGAAGTCTTGTCCTGCATGTTGTTAACACATTGGGGTGCTGATTTGAGGTAATCCCATTTCACATAGTCCTATGGGCACTTAATTAACGGTGAATCTTAAGCAGAACAAGTTTTCCATAATGCTTCGATTTTTATAAAGCAATGTAAGAATTAGTGAAGTAATAAATGATATTTTTAAGAGTATATAAGGCATGTAGATATAGGTAAGGGGAAAAAAGAACAATGAAACGATAGGCAATTATGCAGACACATTTCGAAGCCAGAGGTATTATATGGCGATGCCTTGACAAAACAAAACCGAAATGCCAACTTAACAAATACAGGGACGGTCAGTCAGTCAGTCAGTCTGTGGGGGAGTCAGTCGGGAGTCAGTCGGTCGGGAGTCGGTCAGTCGGTCGGGGAGTCGGTCGATCAGTCGGTAAGTCGGGGAGAAGGTCAGTCAGTTATCAGCCAGTCAGTCGGTCAGTCAATCGGGGAGTCAGTCAGTCTGTTCGGTGCATGCAGGACTCTCTTGTACAGGCCATTATTATGGTTGTCGGCCAATGATCTGTTTCGCATGTCACTAAATAGACATCTGATTGAAACCGTTTACTGCATCAAGTAAGTGGTTGATTTACTGCCAAGTCCAATTAGGCGATTCGGACGGTACTTTGCACGTCATTTAATACGTCTGTGAGTCAGGTTCAAACCCCACCCACGCTAGACCCACACGATGTTTCAGACTCCCACCATTAGAAAGGTTGGCCGTCCGCTGCAGGGACCGGCAAAATTGAAATAGACCCACGTAAACTAAATTTGATTACACCTCAACAAAAGGGAAGGTGAAAATAATAACAATGCAATGTTGTGCACTTACCAGCAACAAGCAGTCAGGTCTAGTTCAGGCAATATACGGGGCGTGTATAGATCTAAACCATTCGTACGCACAGTTTGCAGTTTTATAATGAGTATTCAGTTGGCATTTTTTATGCGTCTGAATTTGTCCATAAAAGTTAGAAATTAGCATTATGAACTAATTTGAATTGAAGATTCGCCCCTTAGTTTTTAATAACTACGGTAACGTTCCATGACGTTTCACGTGCAACGGATCCTCGGATTTTCAAAGCGAGGGTTACTTCTTTTACGAGCAAATATTTATGAATTCATTAGCTTTATACTCTCATCTGCATATACGCCTATGAACAAATCCCAACAATATACGTGTACTGAATGATAAGTGCATGGTAGCGCTTTAATGTCCTGTTAGGCTGAATTGCATTGGAATATTACTTGTGTTCATCACGACAGTACACGGTAGCTCTTTAAAGATATAGTCCATCATTTGTAATTTGTGCATTTTGTTCGTTTGAAGCAACAAAAGTGTTCAAAATCTAATGAAGGATGCTGAACAACTAACCTGATGAAGTTTCAGCTCAGCTTCAGCTGAATATTCCGAGAAAAACAGCATTCTAGGATCTCCATTTCAAATCAAAAGTTGCTGAATCATGTTTTGAATTGTTTTGAATTGCAGCTTTACGCGATGTCGCGCACTGATCCGACGAATTATAGCAACCGCGCGCGCCTGTGCGTCGTGCCAATGCTTGTGCGCGCTGCGCCGAATAACAAACCGAACTACTAATTAACATTTTCCCACGGTGCGTCTAAAGACGCAACGTTGGAAAGGCCTTCTTTCGTTGATTACTTCAAAATGATAGCTTGCCAGAAAGACTAATTTCACAGGGAGTTTAGTCCACCTACTATCTTTCAACCAAGTATGTTTTTCAACAATAATACGCCAGTTACTTTTCGGATGGCTGCAAATGATGGACTATAGCTTTAAATAGGACCATGTAAACTAAATTTGATTACACCTCAACAAAAGGAATTCCGAAAGGTGAAAATAATAACATTATTATGTACATTGCAATGTTGTGCACTTACCAGCAACAAGCAGTCAGGTCTAGTTCAGGCAATATACGGGGCGTGTATAGATCTAAACTATTCGTACGCACAGTCTGCAGTTTTATAATAAGTATTCAGTTGGCATTTTTTATGCGTCTGAATTTGTCCATAAAAGTAAAAAAATTAGCATTATAAACTAATTTGAATTGAAGATTCATCCCTTTTGTTTTAATAACTACCGTAACGTTCGATGACGTGTCATGTGCAACGGGTCCTCGGATTTTCAAAGCGAAGGTTGCTTCTTTTACGAGCAAATATTTATGAATTCATTAGCTTTATACTCTCATCTGCATATACGCCTATGAACAAATCCCAACAATATACGTGTACTGAATGATAAGTGCATGGTAGCTCTTTATTGTCCGGTTACGCTGAATTGCATTTGAATATTACTACTTGTGTTCATTACGACAGTACACGATAGCTCTTTAAAGATAAAGTCCATCATTTGTTATTTGTGCATTTTGTTCGTTTGAAGCAACAAAAGTGTTTAAAATCTAATGAAGGATATGCTGAACAACTAACCTGATGAAGTTTCAGCTCAGCTTCAGCTGTATATTCCGAGAAAAACAGCATTCTAGGATCTCAATTTCAAATCCAAAGTTGCTGAATCATGTTTTGAATTGTTTTGAATTGCAGCTATACGCGATGTCGCGCACTGATCCGACGAATTATAGCAACCTCGCGCGTCTGTGCGTCGTGCCAATGCTTGTGCGCGCTGCGCCAAATAACAAAGCGAACTACTAATTAAAATTTTCCCACGGTGCGTCTTAAGACGCACCGTTGGAAAGGCCTTCTTTCGTTGATTACTTCAAAATGATAGCTTGCCAGAAAGATTAATTTCACAGGGAGTTTAGTCCACTTACTATCTTTCAACCAAGTATGTTTTTCAACAATAATACGCCAGTTACTTTTTCGGATGGCTGCAAATGATGGACTATAGCTTTAAAGCCAGAGCTATCCAAAAAGTAACTGGGGTAATTATTGTTGAAAAACATACTTGGTTGAAAGATAGTAAGGGGACTAAACTCCCTGTGAAGTTATTCTTTCTGACAAACTGTCATTTTGAAGAAATCAACAAAAGAAGGCCTTTTCGACGGTGCTTCTTAAGAAGCACCGTAGGAAATTCAAATTAGTAGTTCATCTTGTTATTCGGCGAAGCGCACGCAAGCATTGGCACGACCATGGGCACGACGCACACGCGCGCGCATTGCTATAATTCGTCGGATCAGTGCGCGACATCGCGCAGCTGCAATCGGCTCAGTGAGAACGTGTCTCGGACGATGAATTCAGGTCCAATTCAAAACATGATTCAGCAACTTTTGATTTGAATGGAGATCTTAGAATGTTGTTTTGCTCGAAATATACTGCTAAAGCTGAGCTGAAACTTCATCAGGGCCCAATTTCACGGCGCTGCTAAGCACACGATTTTATGCTAACAGAGTCTTCGTCTATTTCACGGAGACCGTAAGCATAAGCACAGCAAAAGGCACGCTAACTTTGGGGGAAAAATTTGCTTAATGTAGTGACGTAACAATATAAATCTTCATGCACGCGTGACCGTTAGCATGTCCACACCGTGAAATAGTGCTTAAGGTTAGCAAATTTCTCTGCTATGCTAAACACAACTTTTCTGCTAACTGTTAAGCAGCGCCGTGAAATTGGGCCCAGGTCAGTTGTTCAGCACCCTTCTTTAGATCTTGAGCACTTTTGCTGCTTCAACTAAACAAAACGCACAAATTACAAATGATGGACTATACCTTTAAAAAGACTAGATCGGCAGCGCGTTCAGACGTCGCGCCGCCCATGAAAGAACAATTTTTGTGCACAGCGCACGCACGGCGCGCGTGCCCAGGTGCGTGCGTCGAGTACGCGCCCAGTGATTTCAATAGAACACCGTACTACGTATACGATGCCATCAAGCATATCGCAGACTTAACCACAAATCACCAAGTAAATTCAAGGATCACCATGAAAGAATTCATCGATCGACAAAAATGATGACCTTACAGACAAGGTAACTAGGAAGCAGGCACTCTACCTGGGAAGCGGACCATTGGAGGTGAGTCTGTGTACTCCCCAAGTGATGTGGATTGGACTAGCGGGGTCATTGCGACTTTATAAATTAGGCCTAGGCCTATATGAAACTTGTTCAAGTAGGCCTAGGCTGCCGTACGTTTATTCGCAGAAAGACGGAATACATGTACTTAATTACGACGTCCGTCTTTCTCTGTTGTCATCCACAACAACACGTCTTTTGTGGAATCTCGGAAAAACCCTCTTTCTGTGACAACCTCTCTTGGAAGATGTTGTATCGACTCAGTTGGACTTCTGTGATATCAGGGAATCCTGCGGAATCCCAGATGGTCACAAACATGAATGTGATAGATTGGCAAACTAAAGACTATAGGCCCTAATATGGTACAAACTGCGGCTGTTTTGGAGACAGTTTGACTTTGTGCAATGCAAATCATTGTATACCAATCGAATATGTACGCAATTTTTAACTAAATATTCCATTCAAATCGAGACATTTATTTCCATGTACTACAGCAAATACTCATTGTGAATGAGGATGATTATTACAATGTGTCCACAAGGTTTCTATGTTTCACACATCATTGTCTATGATTATTTTTTTTCTATATACTAGCAGCTGCATGATGTGCTTGTATCAAGCAAGCGTCGTTTTCGTGTTGTGTTTTCTCGTGACGACGGCTGTTTCCAGCGAGTGCCCCATCGGTTGCAGCTGCAGGGGGCCTTCCGAAGCCGAGTTCCATACGGCTATCTGTTACAACGATGTTAAGGAGCCGACCAAAGACCTCCCGGCCGCAATAAAAACGGTGTAAGTTAGTAGCTTAGAGTTATTGTGGTGGGGTGGACAAAATACGAAGATTCAAAAGGATTATGGACTTAAGGACATATAGTTGAGAAGCTTTTTATCGTTTGTAAACGATTAAGTGCCTCCTACAAAAGAAATGACCCCAAATAAACGCCCACCTCCTGAAGACTAGACCGCAGTTAGCCTGCGTAAAACCATAAATTCAACAGGTTTGAGATTACTGATTACATACAAGTGGAATACTGGTAAGTCAACATGTTAGGCCTGCTTGTCTGTTCCTTACTTGGGATACATTATGCTCTAAACGATTGGCATGCACTAAGAACGCTCTCACTTTTACTTGCTGTACTTCATCAAAAGTAGGCCTACTTCATCAATCTCTTAGAAACCACTGATCCTTGAAACCTCATCTTTTAATTAACTCGTATTTGTTTTGTTTTTAAACAAACGTAAATGTTTGGTTAACTATTGGAACTGCAGTGCATGGATTCATTTTCCCTTCCGCCTCCTCTCTCTTTCCTCATTCTTCCTCATGCGTGATTAAACGATTCTGGTGTTGACAATGAAATGCTGCTCACCTCTGTCGTTGGATGACTTGTTTAACACGTGGTTCAGCTCTGACAAACACAGTGCTACAAATCACCTTGATGCTTCAATTTCTGATTTTAATACAGAGAACTCCGTTACTTGCCCTTTGTCTCCATGCGGCGATTTCTGAAGCACGCGCCTGAAGTCACCGATCTTATGTAAGTGAGCCAGTCCTACTTCTGTTTTTTTCCTGTTGATTTTCTGCATATGTGTATCTCAACAACAACTACGACAACAGCGACGGCAACGACGACAACAACGACAACAAAAACAAATAAACTGTGGAGCTAAATGCACTGATTTCAAGACAGATAAGTCTAGATGTTCCAACAACAGTTACTCAACTGCGGTACAACTCGCCCTTGAGAAGGGTCTTGCTTAAGACCGAATTTAAAACTCGATGGATTCTTGATGGTTAACCGAAGAAAGACGCCTTCTTTAATAAAATATGGTCCCCCAAAAGTGGGTCCAAAAAATTACAGCGAGGGGTTCGGGGCCCGCTTAAGGGCCCCTATTTTTTGGGAATTCTAGATGCTCTGTGGTGCAATCTGAGGCAGTTTCTGACCACTTTTTCAAAATGTTTTTGAGGAAAAGATGGTAGTGTACGCAGTGCCTGCCTTTATTGCGACGAAATACTATTATCATTATTATTGGGGGGGGGGGGTGGCCCCCTGGATCCGCCTTTGTTACAGATTGGGGGGGGGGGGTAATTGGCACATGTTACCCTGCAGCTAATGAAGATTCATTTGGTGGATTTTGCCTGTGCCCGGTTTCCCTTCTAATTCCAATTCAAAACTCACGTTTATTTCCATACCAAAATGAGAAATAAAAGCAGGGAATACACGAGTATAATAGAATTGTCAAGAAGGTGTAATAGGTGACAATATATATAGGTATGGAGTCTTCCATTAGAAGCCTTGGCTTGTGGAGAGATGCCTTGGACGGACTGACACAGGACAGAAACAAGAAAGAGTACAGACGAACAGCCGCCGCTGGACCAAGACAAAACGATAACCTTTAAAACTTGCAGATAAACCAGAACCGTACGTATCATAGGCCGAAGAGAACCAAAGATTAAAAAACCCTGAAAAACCAAATGAAAAGCAAGCTATGTCAGATATTGGGAGATGAGAGCTCTTTTATAGGCATGTTTAAATCGTTTGCTCTCGAACATAAAATGTATTCTCAGCAAAGCCTTTCTATAAAATTTACCCTGGTGTGACTATTGAGAACGTCAAACATTTCTGTTTAATTTCTCCCACTGACAGAATCCATGACATAAATGGCGACGAAGAGAAGCCCATTCCGTCCAACCTTTTCAGCGGCATGAAACACCTCAAGGCATTGTGAGTATTTGGGATATACCTCTTCCATTTCATGTCAATTATTCATTCACGCGTTTTCACTTCTCAGTTTTCAGTTCTAATAGAGCACATATGCTAGCATATATAGTGCATACAGGGTGTCTTAAAAAAACATGAACCCTTAAAGCGCCCTCTTTTTCACAGCTTTGAGAAATACATCGCAAATATCTATACATATTTAGAGAACATCCATTAGTTTTTCAACAACGGAAAACTTGAGTTATTGAAGTATGGCCAATTGAAAAGAAGCGCCGCTTTTTCATTTTGTCCACGGCGACTGATATTTTGACTGCCGCAAAAAAGAGCACGGGCCGAAACTTGCATCCGTGAAAAGGGTCATCAAGTATAGAGGGCAGCGACAGAGCAGCACAGCTAAACATCTAAGAAGTTAACCAAACTTCGTTTTTTTTCTAGACTACCATTACTTCCAAAAGGATAAATGACCGTTGTTGCCAAAAAAGAAGAAGAACCAAATAAAGAAAGAAAGATTAAAACCTCCAAGAAAGCAAAACTACCTTCGACCCAATCCATTACATTACTGAATGACAATTAGGACAGTGGACAGCTTGAACAATCGGCGCTTATTTTGAAGTGGCCATAACTTAATAAATATTACCCGATGGGAAACATATATTAGTTGCTAAACAGCTAATGAACTAAACTCTTCAAATATGTATCATTCACTGACGAAACTACTGGCCGGAAAAACCAACAATTTCAAATGTCCCGCTCTGCGAATCTGTCGACCATCTCCCACAATGCACTGGGAAAAATGAACTATCCGTGGTAAAGTCTTGGTGGCGCACTGCATTGTGAATCGCCCGAATTGTCGCGGTAGCTGCCAAGGTTCACTGTCAGCACCAAACAGCTGTAGGCTCATAGGTCAGTACACGATAGAGCTTATGCGTTGCAGGTATCTCAGAGGGCGTCTTTGTTATTTTTAAGTAACAGTGTATACCCAAAAGGTTTACTCATGCCTATCTAAGCGATACAAAACCATTGCCCTCTGACTCTGTCGCAACGCATCATGTCTAAAAGGCAGGGCCCAATTTCATAGCGCTGCTTAACAGCCGACTTTGTGCCTACCGAGCCTCCATCTTTTTCATAGGGACCGTTAGGCAATAAGCACAGCAAAAGCACGCTTAACCCAAGAAGAAAACTTTGCTTAAATCAGTGACGTAACAATAGAAATCGACATGCGCGCGCAACCGTAAGCATGAAATAGTGCTTAAGCAGCTGCATGGTTTTCTGCTATAGTAAGCACAACTTTTCTACTTACTGTTAAGCAGTGCTATGAGCCAGTTAACCATACAGACTCATGTACTTCCAGCATCTCAAAATAATGCCCATAAACCCATATTATTACTTTTTCCTAGCTTGCTAATAGGCTCGTTGAGTTTTTCTTAGCCAGGCCTGTGAGTGGATTATATTTTAGAGTGATAATTAACGTCAAATCTTTGGATAAAAAAACATATTGGAAATTGTGTTTACCATCTTGTATTAATTTCAGAACGTTCCATACACTGAAGCACGGAGTAGTGCCCAAAGGACTGGCTGCTTCCTTACATGGCCTAAACGAGCTGCGATTTTTGTAAGTCTTGCCCATGTGTACCAGTACTGTTCCGTAATGAGTTAGTAGAGCACCTGTACGATATTCCTGTCGTAAAATAATTACAACTTATATTGTTCTGCATTGTGTTATTACACCAAAGAGACTTAGGTCGCAACCAGCTGGAATGCAGCTGTGAGCTTGCCCATTGGATGAGCCAGCACCGCGTGATACTCCTGGGCCTCCACAGTCTGTCAGCTTCGACAAAGTGCAAGGAGGCGGGATTCACTGAAGACGTTTACGAAGCGGATGAGCTACTGGATGTGTGCCGTAAGAATAGGGGACAATATACCGATTCATTTTAGACCCCGCCCACTGCGCACGTGGGTCACAACACGTGCGCCTCTCCGATGCCTCACTGCAATGTTCCAGACGCGTACGTCATTATGCGAGTGCACGCGTATCGAGCATTAGTGCACATTGATCTCCATTAGTAAGACTTACTACTGGAGATCAATGTTAGTGCACGAGTGTTGGATTACAAACCACAGCTGTGATTGGTCAAAACATCATGGGGTGGGGCTTAGTCATAGATATCCGGTTCGTTAGTGACTTGGTGATACACACGCGCGCACCATTGATTACTCCGGTTGCAATGGTTCCAATGCTACTTTCTGTGCAGTGGGCGTTGTTTGAACTGTTAGTGACGTCACACTAACGAACCGGATTGAATAAAAAGACTAGATCGACAGCCCGTGCGCGGTCTTTGCTGGAGGGTCACATGCTGGAGAAAAGATAAAAACAAATAATAATAAAGAAAAAACCGCGCCAAACGTGGCGTGACGAACGCAACGCCGTTTACGCGCACAATGCGCGTTGAGCTACGTCACGTGTTTGAGGAAAGATACATCTCACTGTATTATTACTTTACGTTAGTTGTTTTGCGCGTGCATGAGAGACCACGAAATGGCGCACATTCATCGCAACATGAATGGGCGCGCATGCACGCGCTAGCTGCTGATCTAGTCTTTTCCTTCCAAATTTATGGGCTAAGTGGATCGGCCTAGTAGAAGGCTGCTAAAGAAAGACAATTTTGGCTGAGCGCGAAAACTCGCTTGGGAGAAACAGCCAGAATGTGGACGAGTTCCACCCCAATATCTACTTCGTGGGACAAAAATATGAATTAATTAATTCATTCATTAGACCAATTCGCAGCTGAAAGCTGAAGTGCATTGCAATATGAACTGAAATAGAAAATTAAATACAAGTAATAATTGGAATTAGAGATAAATAGAAACTTCAAAATGATAGAAAAAAAGAAAACACAATTATCAAATCGGAATAACTATCTAAAACACGCAAAAGGGTCCAACAAATTATTATTACTCCACTGGTTAAGAAATCTGGTTCAGAAGTTTTGTCAGAGAGGGAATCGCACTATTACCATACCTATTGTGATTGTGATCTGGAATGTGGTAAATGTTGGATTGCCTCAGAGTCATATTGTGGGTACTATTATTGGCTAGAGGCCATTCTGCGGATCTGTTTAATTTTGTACATTTATGAGTAAATTGGGAGCAGAATGGAGCCTTCTGTCTTCCAAAGTTTGGAGGTCTAACCGGTCACAAGCCTTTGAGTATGTCTCATAGTCAGCTCCAAGAATAATGCAACATGCAACTTGGAATCGGTCAAGTTGATATGTCTGATTGTTGCTGATGTTACCCTGCCAAACATCTTATTGATTATCAATCGTTTCTAGCAAGCAGCTCTTTGAAAGAGCTTCCTGAAGTGATATAAGAATTCACAAACATTAATGATATCAAGATAATTAAGGCCAAATACAAAAATAAACATGTTTAGCGTCCCCACCCGCTTCCTTTTTGGAGGCCCCTCCTTTTCTTTAATTGAACAAAAAACACCAAATGATACATTTTAAACAGTGACACCATTTTGGCCTCTTTCTTTGTTGCATTTAGCCAACATAAGGCTGGTATGTCATTTCCTGAGTCAAAGTTGCGGACATTTAAGAGAAAAAGCTGGCGGCCATCTTGAAAAATGGCCGGCTCGGGCGGCCATTTTGGAAGAAAAACAGGCCTCCCCCTTTTTTTTCCAAAAACGCAGGACGCTAGACATGTTTTTGTTATTTGGCCTAACACAAGCGTACATTTTGGGGTCACTGTGAAATCTGGCTTCATGCAAGGGTCTTGTTGTGATATTGGAATTTGTTATTTGCGTATGCAGGTCATCTAAACGAGACCACAGCCGCGGACCGAACGAAAGAGAATGCAGTAAAGGAGAAGAAAGACGAAGCAAAAGTTTATAAACACGAAGGAAAAGACTTCGGGAAAGTTGAAGAGATTGTTGCCAAAGAGGACTTAGAAAAAGAAGAAACGATGGAGGACAGACTTAGACGATTGGAAGATCTTTTACTGAGGAAGAATGCCATATTTAATGTGGGAATCGAGGACAAACATGAAGACAAAGAAGAAGACAATGACTTTCAGGAGGAGGAAGATGAAGAGGACGTTGAGGAGGAGGATGTAGCAAGCGAGGATTATGTAAAAGCAAACGAGGTCCTTGTAAAGGCAAACAAGGGTCATGCAGAAGCAAAGGAGGACCATGTAAAAGCAAATGAAGTGCGTGTAAAAGCAAACGAGGACCATGTAAAAGCACACGAGGACCATGTAAAATCAAACGAGGTCCATGTAAAGGCAAACAAGGACTATGTAAAAGCAAACGAGGTTCATATAAAAGAGGACCCGACGGAAAAGAAACCACGACAACTGAAGAACATTTTGCAGGGGAGGAACACCGGCAAATTCGTGGTAGCTGGAGGGTCAAAGCTGCCAGACAGCCGCCACGCAGCAGGGACAGTGCGTCCGTTTCAATGGGGACCAAAACATAAGACAGGGGAAAGCCCTCCCAAAGAGGAGCCAAAATTGGAGGAGCAAAACACTTTGAAGCCTAAGACAACTACCGCTCAAACTAACACAACAATGTACATTCAACGGCAAATGAGCACAGCACTTCGACGCCCCCGTTGACAGCTGCCACTCGAACGACGACGGATGCACGGTCCACGCAAGAGTCGATTACGACGAAGTCACCGTCGACAAGTAAAACGCCACAAGATTCTAGCAGCATCACGACCGTACCTGAGACAACTCAGGCAAAATATTCCGAGTACTCGACAGAAACCGAATACGTCGATACTGGAACAACGAAGGAGGCGACACCTGTACCGAGTACAACTCCACCAGATATGAACCTAATGTCAACACAGTCATACCCAGCCGGTAAAGCATTTCCCTCAGCCGGTTCAGAGAAACAACCGATTCATAAAACAGTTAAACACACGTCATCTGGAGCAAGCAAAACGCCCAGAAAGAGTTTCCAATCCACCAGCCTTGGTCGAGGCATTCAAACCGAAAAGGACATAAAGAAAGGGATTCTAGACGGATTCAGGCTGTCGCTTCTGAAACGGCTCTCAGCGGATGGTCTGGGGTCACCGCTAGATGGCGCGGTCGATGTCAAACTGCATCCGGATGATCCGTTGGAATTGCAACTGCTGATGGAGTACGTTCAGCACATTTCCGGAAGACATGTACGCATTGGACGGCCAGTCACGAACACATAAACTTGTGTCAGATGTCAGATGTCAGGTGTCATGGAACTTTTTTTGGCAGATAATCTTGAATATTTTGTTGTGCTAAATATAAATATGAGCTGAGCACCAGTTACCAGCAATTTAATATTATATGTGATGCAAGTTCAGCTGGTAACCGATTTTTGTCTTGTAACCAGTTTTAGTGTGCGCGTATTTGACATGGGCAGAGAGCCATTCCAACTGTGACGTCAGGAAATTCCGTGAAACTTTATTTTGTTTCTCCAACAAAAAAGTCTACATCATATTGCGTGCAAAACCAGGGAACAGAACAAAATAAAACTTGTATAGTGAAATGAATTTTTGGGCCGTTATTTATACCACATTGATCGCATATGAGCTAATTGGTAATTAAATTGACAAAAAAACCGTGAAATAAACAATCAGTGAATCACACAACTGCATGAGAGCTTATTTTCAAAGACATCAGTTCGTCCTCGTGCCATGGCAGTATAGATTGACCTGTGTTACAACTGATAATGTGATAACGGATAACGTATCACCAACTGAAATGTATCACTAACAAGCTGGCAAAGAGGCAAAGAGGCAAGTCTTGAGACCGAAGGGTTGAGGAGAAAATGCCAGATGTAGTACATGATGCACCTAGCTTCCACTTTGTGCAGTAAATAGGAAGGCCTGTCAGCGGCGAGGCATACTGGCTCTCTACATCGCAGTCTAAAGGTACCTTAACGTAGGTAGTTTTGGACAAACTATACGTTGTTCAAAAGCTGCTGAATAGGCCAACAAACTGGCAAGTCTATTTCAATGCAGACCCTGTGTATCAAGAAACTGTGATGCTTGTGCCCATTGACAAAATATTCTTTGTGATCCCGAAAATCCCAGCTTATGACTTCCGATGAGGCAGACATTTTGGATTTTAATTTTATAAGGTGATGGCGGCCGGCCGGACTCCAACAGATCAACAACACGCCGCGGTATGATGTCCCTGGCGCACATGCAACATGCTTCGCTGGTGTCCAAGCATTATAATTTGGAAGTCGAATATGTACACCGGCGATATATCTTGAGTGCTCCATTCACGATCGCGAGGACTCGATTATTAGGGAATCGATAAAATGATACGTACATGTATAATAGCGTACACGACAACTTTTAGTTCCGATGTTATCGAAAACAGAAAATAAACGGTTTTTTTACGAGCATGGGAATCGAGTACCGAGTACAAAATGCCGAATTTCGCGGACGAGTCCGAGTACGAAGGTGCGAGTATAGTGGATAGCACTCGTTTCGAGAAAAAACAGTGCAAATATCATTCACAAACATTTGTTCACGAACACGTCTATAGCACTCTTTAATGTCCAAAGAACTAGAAAACAGGAGGGCGTGGGTTCGAGTGCCACCCGAGTGATTTTTTTCCAACTTTCACTCGGGAGGTAACACACTGAGTATACAGTGTTTATATACGTCAGTGAAGGGCAAAACCTAATTCAGGAGATAGCGCCCTCTAGCAGTGTATAGGCCTATCAGGAAGCACACATCTGGTGCTGCATGGATGGCTACCCAAGCATAGAACCATCAGGGCCTATCGGTGAATTGGACGGAGCCTTTAACGTCCTTGGGTTTAAGCAACAGATGCGTATCTTAAAATAAAATAAACGTTTTTATGGCTTTCGGCTTTTGCATGGATATAATAAAAATCCTGCACTGAGATGACGGGGGAAAAAACGTTTGTGGTTACACTGTCGAAATTCTTAAAATAACGTTTTTATGGCTTTTTTGTCTTTTGCAAGGGTATAATAAAAGTGTCACTGAGGTTATGACAGAAAAGTTGGTGGCCTTACGCTGCACAAATATTAATTTTTAGCATTGAGATAGAAGAAAACTGGTGAGGTGCAAATGCAGTCGGTTATGATCCATGCAAAATCCGATACTTTGTAAACGTTTTTCCGCCTTCACTTTTTGGGATTCATTTGTTGGCAAACATCATGCCAAGTTAGCTTAAGCATAGTTCGTATATCATAGTTGCGTGCCGAAGAATGACGTCATGAGGACGTCATCATGGGTCACGTGAAATCATCTGAAGGGTGCATATTTGAAGACCCTTTATCTACATAACTATAAGTCCGATTGGGTTGGAACTTGATATGAAGGTAGACCGGGATGTGCTGTAGATGAAAATTGAGGTGACGTCATCATAACGTCATCAAGTGATTATACATTCATATTTATATTTGAGAGTTTGAAGCTTAGTGCCATCTCTCACGAACGTGAAATGCATAACTGTTATTTGTTCGTGCAATTGTTAGGTCAGAGATGTATAAACAAAGGAAAATAACAAGTGTGTGACGTCATGGAGACGTCGTTACAAAAAGACGTCAACAAAAATGCGATTTTTAAAACACATACGAGGGTAGGTGCGATCGTCTTGTAACTTGGTGGGTAGGTAGATACTGTTACTAATAATGCTACGTCCGAAAACGGGTTTGGACCACCTGCTCACCCAACTTGATCACCCAACCTGTGGTTGAACTTTGTTGCTGCCTCGGCAAGTGTAAATGCCTATCAGAAAACACACATCGGGTGCTGCATGGCTGGCTACTCAAGCATAGAACCATCAGGGCCTATCGGTGAACTGGACGGAGCCTCTAACGCCCTTGACGTTTATGCAACAGATGCTTATCTTAAAATAAACGTTTTTATGGCTTTTGGCTTTTGCATGGACATAATAAAAAATCCGGCACTGAGATGACGGGAAAAAAACGTTTGTGGTTACACTGTCGAAATATTTATTTTCTGGATGAAGGTACGAATTAAAGGATTACTGTTGATATGCGATTGCAATCAGTATCGGCGAAAGAAATCAGAAAAAAAATAGAGTATTAGTATTGAATACTTTGTGTGATCTTGTTAAAAAAGAAATCGCTTAGATTTGCATATCGTAAGCAATATACGTGTGCAAATACCCTTCCGATCCTCGTGTCCACGGCACCTTGACTAGGCGTGTATGCATACCAATTCCCATCAATTAATTGCTGTGTTAGTAACGTAATAGAAGAGCAATACACTTATTTTGTCCGAATCTAAAAAATACCAAGAGTATTCTTGACCATAGTGCTTCAAAAGGTTGACCAAACTTTGAAACCCAATGTAAAATGACAAAATTTATTCAGACAACAGCACCTGAAATTTTTTGGATGAATTTTAATTTTAAAAATGGTGAAAAGGAAAGGGGGAAAAAGGTTTCAAAAAGCCGGTAAAACCAATATAGTTACCCATGGCAATTATGTAAGATAATCCGTCTGTGTATGTAATCATATTTGTTTTCAACAAGCAAATCGGGGCACGTCTTCACGATCAAGTGACATCCATATTTTACTCTTGGCTGTGTTAAATATAACCCGTGAGGTTATATAGACAAAGTAAGACAGTAAGAGACGAAGTGGTACTTGGGATGATGTGGTTTATTCGGTTGGCTGTGACGCTCTCTGTCTGATTTCTAGATTCTACTGGGTTTTTATACAGTAAATGAACATTCCAATCTTACAGCTATCTTACAGGTTTCTTGCCTTATTAGGAATCGTTCACTAACTATGGAATATTAATAATACAGAATTGAAGGTGTTTGGTCAACTTGTATCTGGGGGGCAGGGCTAGGCAAATTAATAGAACAATCGGATTTCCTTATAAGTCTGTGGGCTGAATCACTGTGGCCTTCCGGTGCAGCCCAGCATCCACCACCCACGCGGACCTTGTGGCTAAACTGGCCATTCCCTAGAATGTGTCTCATTACCAGGAAGTGGTCCTGTTCCTTGAAGGTCAACGTATACAACTTAAACAGTAATTATAAAACATGATATTTTATCATGGTGATATAACACATTAATTCACATCGCCTCACATTCACGCAAAGTACGTATGTTACAAAACAAATTGGACGAGGTTGTATGAGTACACTTATTGTAGTTAGCTGTTTCGGATACACAAACGAGGCAGCTCTCCTTTTCGTAAGGATGTTTGGCTTTTCCGCATAGTTGCATAGTTGCTTGTGTTTTTGGGACTATGATGATCATCACACAAGTTGATAAACAAGGGTTGAATCACCTTTTTGTCGCATCCGCTGCTGTCCAGCATGTCGAATAGTTCAAAGTCGTCATGTCAAATTACAACTCGCACGAAGCCAACTTGGGCAATTTACACTACATGATATTAACCGACGAGGGACATGTAAGCTAGCAAAATACATTAAAAACACGGTTTTTACCCACACACCAAGAATGGTATTGATAGATGAATTGATATGGTCAATCTGTGAAATGATCTATGAAATCTTTACTCTCTATATTTCAACTAACAAGAAACAACTTTTCTGAGCGCCTGTACATCAAGGCTGATTTCATTTATATTGTACATGTCGACATTCTCATCAAGTTGAATGGCTCAGTTTTCTTTTTGCAGATTTTTTTAAAGAATTAAGAATCAATACACGTATGAGAACTTGAGAACTGTCCCTTTTAAGTAATCAGACGTTTCAACGTAATAGCCATATTCCTTTGTTAAATTCCTCCTCGCCTATGTTGGAAATGGGTACTGTAAATAACCTTATTAGACGGCAAGGTTTTTTCAACATTTTCTTTTCTAAACAAAATAGGGGGGACAGAACTGACTGTGTAACCCTGAGATAAGAGAGTTCACAAATTTTTCTGCTCTAGTGTTTTACATTCCGATCGAGTTTTCTGTAGCTAATAACTAATCTGAGATCTTAAACGTGATCATTTCAAATTTGACAAACCTGTAATAAAGAATGTTGGTATCCTGATGCGAAATAAAGACAAAAAAGCTAGAATATAACACGAAAGAAGTATCATCTAGCCTGCACTAATTGCGTGTGAAAGGTTTCTAGCTATGTCAATAGAGTGCGCTGTTTCCTATATTTATTTTTTTCATGAAGAATTGTCGGCGTTTTTATTCCAGATTTTCTCATTGCCAATCAAACTGTGGAAGCAGGGACATTTTTTTTGTTCGATAGAGTACACCATAATTTATAACTCTGGAAAGTTTGGTGAACCATATCGCCTATCTCGAAAACTAAAGCGTTTTCAGCCTCTTTTCCTGGGGACTACTGACTGACTGACTGACTGCCTGGTATCCGTCCGTCAATACCGACGATCGACTGCGCCGGAGGGGGGGGGGGGGGGGAGGGGTTGTGTCGTCTTTGTTTGCCACGATCTGGAAGTTCAGATAAAGGTAATTGTTTTCTCCTCAAACAACACACTTTTATATGAAGTATGGTTTCAGAGTAACTCTGCCTTTTTTTACTCGAAGTTCAATTAGACTGGGAGCTAGGTGGAGATTAATTAACAATTGAACACAAAGGGTTTGATGGTTTCAAGCCATTGGCCGTCGGGGGGGGGGGGTAGTTCTGAAATGGCCATGTTTAAGTTGCTCTAGGTTGGATGGGGTCACGGGACCAAGGTCAACCGTCCAAAATTTTGAGTTTAATTAACATGTTGCGCCCAAGTGCCGCTTTTGGATTAAAGTGTTGAGATTGACCCGGTCATACCAAAAATGCTGCTTAAGAACAAAACAAGTCGGATAAAGTTACATTACAATGATTTAAAGATTGTATTTAGATATATTTCAGATATATAATGTAGGCCTATACCAATGTACACGTATGTATCCTGGTCAAAAGTGAAGCTGCTTAGGCCCCTTATTTTTTACCCAAACAGTGCCCTTAATGTGTGACAAGAGCATGATATTGGGAACGCAGAGCAAAAGTGGTCTGAAAATCATTCTAAGAGGTGGACCCACATTCAATCTTGCCTATTTGGGGGCTGAGCTTGATTTATAGGAAGGGGATGAAAGAAATAAAAAACTCAGAAGAACCGTATTAGACTTTCATTTTCCTTCTTTTTCCATGCCGTAAACTAAAACTTGGACATGACATATAAACATTCTAGCATATTACTAACGTCATACTTTGTGGGCGTGGCCAAATATGTAAAGGGCTGGCGAATACGAGTGGTTTGATCCAACTGTGACAAATATCGTGCATTTTCGTGGCAAAACCTTGGAAATTGGCTGGTCTGGTTGAATTTAAATGGGTTGAACAAAGTTTTACAAAGAGGGATCTACTTTGCAATTTGCCCTCTGTGGGGCAGAGCTTTATTTAAAGGGTGCACACAAAATCCAGACAAAAACTGTATCTGCAGGACTCGGTGTTCTTTCTAGCTTCCGGTCTAAATATGTTGATTTGTACAACGGATGTGCGAAGTACAACCACGGTGAATGATAGTGCCCCACCGCGCCGTTGAACGCGAAACGGGGTATTTTCTTCACAATCGGTGATCTGGTCGACAGAAACGATCGGGCCATACTAATATGCCCCTCAAGTGAATCCCATCCAAACATTTTTTGGCTTCTCTTTCAGATTTTTGCCCTGGCTACTATGCATATTCATGACAACCCACACAAAACGACCTATTCAAAACCTGATTGGCTCGTATAGGGCGGTTTTCGCACCAATGCGGCTGGTCCGGTTCTGTCCTCCCACACACTGTTGGCCAGCGTACGCCATCTGTACAAGGCCTTTACCCTTTTATTCTATAAAAGCTGGTGTAAGTGACGGGATCCTAATCAGATCTACCAAGTCACCATTTGAGCGATTTCATCGATGAAGAGAGACATTGCGGAGTTGGTTATCGGACTACCAGTTGTATAGCAAAACGTTCTAGGTAAGTTGTGACATGTTTTGGAACTTGTACTGCCTAATGTGAGGGGAGATTATAAGTGAGACCAACCATGCGCTAACACTTTCAGGACTTTGGATAGGGCTATCAACCTGCGCAGCGTTTACAAAAAAAACTTTACAACAACTCGTCAACTGCTGCCCAGAGGTACTTTCCCGCACAACGCAAGACCCTATTCATAGCAATACAACAAAAAGCCACGTGTCAGACAGTGTCCAGACAGTTGCCGGACAGTGCGCTGGAAAGATAATTGACTGGCGGCTGTGGTATGCAGTTATGAAGGGAGATGACTGTGTCAAGTTACAGGCCTTGTTGATGTTTCAATGAGACTTGGCAGGAGGCCTGGTCGAAAGTTTGTTGACACGGCCTAGGTGTAGCCCTGGCTGCAAAGTTCATTGAACCAGCTGATTTGGCAAGGGTTGAATGAGGATTAGATAGGAGGTGAACGTTATTGGCCCTAAAAAAAAATGTATTCAAAAAATTGGGTTTGTTGATGCCCCAGGCACATCAGGTCACTCCGCCCAGGGTTAATGGATAGTGATCGAATTATGGTTTTGTTGCGCCATATGGCAGCATTGAAACTATTGTCTTCATATTTTATTACAAAATATGCATAAATCGACAGCATATTATTTATGGACGGTATACAAATCAATGTGCCAAGTTCAACCGCTGGAAGTCTAGAAAGAGTGCGATTGAGAATAATAGAGTGCAAATCCCGATGATTTCCCGTAAAATGAATATCAGTCAATCGCACATCAACAAAAGAAAACAAAACATTACTGTAGAAAGTAAGTGCATTAAAGGAAGTAGATTAAAGGATTAAAGGAAGTGGATTAAAGGATTAAAGGAATACTTCAGAGTGGTCCAAAACTTAACCACTTTTTCAGAGGCAGATTCCTCAAAATTGGGGAGCATGTTGAAAATATTTGATTGTATATTCCTATCGATAGTCTACAAGATCTTTGTGGTAATTAGTAGAATCGGCGTTAAAATGAAGCGGAAGTTAAGGAATAGCGGCCATTTATATAGATCAATGGTCACGGGGTTGCCCTTTCTCTTGATATAATAATTTTTAACAGTGCATAACTTAATCATATATTGGTCACACTAACAAGTCTTCCTTGTGAACTTACGGACACGTTTTTTTGTTGTTTTCTGCCCTCTCACAGGAACGTATTACTATTCCTACGCTTTTGGGTGTTACCGTATTGTTGAAGTGAAACGAACTGTGGATTCGTCATCCAATCATGTTTTCCTTGCATTGGTAAGTTGATATGTCTTACTCACGAGTCGGCCACATGAAATTGAAAGCAAGGTACATGTACAACACTCTTTATTATTGAAACTAGCGAAACTAAATTAAAGCATTGAAATAAAGTTAATTACAAATTCATATCCGTCTGCTCTTGAGAAATGAATTAGTTGTAGTAGTGTTCATTCGTTTTGAACGTACGCAGAACGGGCATTTACGACTCAGCCAATGAAAAGCCTTGCTTGCCACGCTCCACCCACAGTTACCGCCCGCCGTGACCGTCTACTGCCTTACCTTTATTATTCAAATTGTTCGCTGCTTGTATTAATTATGATAACAATGCAAGTGGATTCCAACTCGTTGAGCGGTAAAACAATCTAAACAACAAAAGAGGATCTCTTACAATTAAAGCTGTCTGGCACAATGCCTGCTGACTCTCTCTATCGAATCAATTTTGCAAGTACATGTACATTGTACATGATGTGTTTTAGAAGAAAAAAAATCTAGTCGGTAAAGCAAACAGAATACGCACGTAATTAGTTCAGTGCAGGTATATGAATTCAAACTGCAGAGAGTCCTCTCAGCATTTACGCCCTGTACATACTGCCTTTAGTCATGGATCCCGTGGCTACAACCATATTCCTTTCTGTATGTTATTAATTAATGTTATTGATAAGTGTACCCCTGTTGATTTTTTTCTCGACGAAGAGCTGGCGTTTCTTTTGAATTATTTCAACACTCTGTTTATGGGTTTTCTCAGCGCGGGCATGTTTTGTTTGCCTACACCTTTGCCAAGATTGCGCTACAATAGAAACTATTCTGAAGGCTTACGTAGGGTACAGCATACAGTCGGTATTCAGATTAACAATACACTTGGAACGTAAGGAAAGAATAAGGCTATAGACACTATTATAAAGGCTTACGTAGGGTACAGTCGGTATTCAGATTAACAATACACTTGGAACGTAAGGAGAGAATATGACTAAGGCAGGGTACGAGCTCTACAATAGAAACTATGTAGGCAGTGGCGTAGCCAGGAATTTTTCAGTGGGGGGGGGGGGGGGGGGGGGGCGCTGGGGGGGGGGGCTGGAACATTTCATGGGGGGGGGGCGTCATGTAGATCAATGATAATTTTTTTAGAAACTCAAAATCTCAGTGGGTGGGGGGGGGGCGACTGGGGGGGGGGGGGGGGGCGACAAGGTTTCATGGGGGGGGGCCACGCCCCCCGGTGGCTACGCCACTGTATGTAGGATTAAAAAGGCTTACCTAGGGAACAGTCAGTATTCAGATTAACAATACACTCGGAACGCAAGGAAATAATAAGGCTAAGGCAGGGTATGAGTGCTACTTAGAAGAACAACTTGATAGAAACGGGGTACAGTCAGTATTCAGATTAACAAGACATATACATTGTATGCCTATAAAAGCTAAAAGACACCGTCGGGTACTGTTACTCGCAAGACGAAAGTGATGCACGAAATGGCCTGGGGAACGTTCGACAAAATATGTGCCCGTGTGAATATATCAATGATGAGGAGAGGGCACTTGTATGCATATCGCCATAAGTTTATAAACAGAGAAGAGGTTTATGGAGTAAATTATACGTTTATAGAGTAAATTACCAATGTTTAAGGACGCTGAGAAAAAAGTTTGGCTCATAACGTTTAAAATTAACCTTAACTTAATCTCCAATAAAAAGAGATATTTGTATGTACCGTATTTTTATCATATTCTTTTTATAACTAAAAACGAATAAAACTGCTGCAAACTGTTTAAGGAGTACATTGACATGAAACTACTGATCAACAAACTTAGCTGACCCAAGTTTCGGCAAGTCTTTATAATTTTTATTTATAATTATTTATTTATAAAACATGTGATAATTGATTGGATAATTGGTTGACAAATGTTGTCGAAAGATTTCAACATGAGTTTGAGTTGTGCACTACAGTGTTCTATACATGTATGATACACGTACATGTTCAACATTGTCAGTGCATTTCTTCATCACGTCATATGTCGCCTATAGGTACAACACTATACAACTCCACTTTATTGTTCCCAATCCTGCCACTTAGAATGTTCTTTTGTTATTTTGATATTTGTATCGCTCAACGAGTTGGAATCGTCTTGCATCGTTATCATGATTAATACAAGCAGCGAACAATTTGAATAATAAAAGTAAGGCAGTAGACGGTCATGGTGGGCGGTAACTGTGGGTGGAGCGTGGCAAGCAAAGCTTTTCATTGGCTGAGCTAGACTTAAATGCCCGTTCTGCGTACGTTCAAAACGAATGAACACTAATAAACAAACCCTAAAGTTCGAAGACCCATTTAAAAAGAAAATACGACAGTGCGGCTCGGAACGCAATATAACTAGTATAGTACCATCCTATTTAATAGTTTGCAATTGATTGCAAACATGCAGGGGTCTCCTCGTTGATAAGGTTTAATGTTGTACTTTCGATCAAATAGGGAGAAGGAGCAAAATGAATACACAAATAGTACAGCAATGGGCGTCGCGAGAGGGGGGGTCAAGGGGGAGCGCTTGCCCCCCCCCGGAAAAGCCAAAAAAAAGGAAGGGAAAAAAGAAAAAGAAAAGAAAAGAAAAAGGGATGCGAAGTCATAGTGGTGTAAATTTAATGAGGGGGGGGGGGGGGCAAAATGTCCCTGCCCCCCTCTACAACTGATAAATCGAGAGAAATACAAGATTTTTTGGGAAAAATATGTTTTGCCCCCCTCTAGAAAAAAATCCTGGCGACGCCCATGAGTACAGCGGACTGAGCAGAGACATACTGAGAATAATCCAGGCAAAAAAGTAAACAATGTCTTGGTTCAAGTTTAGCCACGTGCTCGCATTAAAAAGGGGGCTAAAGGAAGACCCGGCAGTGACAGCAATGGCCATTTGCACATATTCATCCCGGCCGTAGCGCGGTAAACGATATCCTCGCTAGCGCTATGCATGCGGTGCTAAGTACAGCGCGAACAGCGACCTCACGCGGCCACCATTTCTATGCAAATCAGTTCGACCCAATCTAGCGCCTTGGTTCAATCGTCGGCAAAAGCTTATGTTTTTCTTTATTTTGCGCTGGATTTCTAGCGCACGACCTCATATGCGAATACATAAGTGTAGGCGGGGCTAATATGTGGAGTGTCCAATCACACCTTGGTAAATCCGGACGTCATCAAATTATTTGCAGCTATTCGCCTTTTGCGGACGTGACAGTACATTGGTGCCGTGTGCAGAGACACACAACGTGTACGGTATGGATTGTGTACGGTGCCACGTTTCACTATGCAAGTTTCCATGCAACGATCGACCAATAAGAAAACGACATTTAATGTCAGCTAAGGCTATTAACGTAATGAGCCCCACCCCCAAAACCTCACATGGACGATTGAACCAAGGCGCTAGATTGGGTCCAACTGATTTGCATACAAATAGTGGCCGCGTGAGGTCGCTGTTCGCGCTTTTTTTTGAATGCACTGCATGCATAGACATATGACTGCATGCATAGCGCTAGCGAAAATATCGTTTCGCGTAACGGCCGGATGAATAGCAACTAGCGCCTTGACCAAGGCTAGCAGTACCACTTTTATGCACAACACAAAATTGCTGTTGTGTTCACTTTCGCGTAAACTTTCACGTAGATTAATCAAACACGAAGCAAATTTAATCACGTCAACACTGCGAAATGCACTTATGACTCGCTAATGTACGTTCACGGAATTCTCTCAGCAGCCAGTCAAACTTGGTTGAAGTATAAACCTGCCTTGAACTCGAGGAAAAAGCATCACATCTGACGTATTCCGAAAGCATATTCCCACAAAATGTGAATTCTTCGTTTTGTTCTGTAGGTCTATTTTGGTTCTGTGCGTCGTACCGGTGGTGCTGGGCAATAGCTGCGATTGGATTGATGGACCAAAGTCTTGGAGAAACATCGGAGGGAAGAAAATGGCCCAAATCTCGGTAGGCCCAGCTGGTGTGTGGGGTATTAAAAAAAACGCCTACCAAGTACTGTACAGAGAAAATACCTACGGTAACGACCAAAATAAAGGGGATTCTTGGAGGCCAGTTGGTAATGGGTTCAAGCAAGTGGAAGTGGGCGGCTATAACCAGGTCTTTGCCTTGGGTAAAGGGGGTAGGTTGATTTTTCGGCAGGGCATATCCGAGACTAATCATACAGGAGACAAGTGGGTGCTTGTCTCCAAAACAGCGAGGTTTAGATACCTCAGCGTAAGCCCGAAGGGACACGTCTGGTTGATTAGTGCCAATAACAAGGTCGTTCGCATGGGAGGGGCAAACAGCTGTGTCAAGAGGTTTAAGTTTATTGCGGAGTCGATAAACTACAAATCCCCATTTGTGAAAATCTCGGCTGGTAAGAGCGGCGTTTGGCTTATCACCAAGAACGGTCGGGTGTTCTTCCGAGGCCATACCTACGGCGACCCTGAAGACCTGCCAGCCAAGATCGCCTATAGAAGCATTGGACGTTTTCCCATGAAGGACATCAGTTCTGGTAATACTGTCTACGCCATCAAAGCTAACAACGATGTCGTGTACCGTTTTGGAGTGACCCCGCAGAGACCATTTGGCACCGCCTGGAAGACAATTCCTGGGAAGTTGGTTCAGCTCGATACCATGGCACTGTCTGTGTGGGGCATCGGCATCGACAACACTCCCTACGCAAAAGCAACCGAGTGATTTCATCAACCCTGTGAGGCGGAGTTAAAAACGAACGTCAATTGGCACACATTTGACCGCATTCTGACTCCGGTTTTGACACATTAATGAACAGGTGAAGGGTTTTGAGCTCTAGCATTACCACTACATTTGAACATTTTTACTTTTATGGGCTTGTCTTTGTCAGAAATGTTTTGGTGGTTTTCTGCGGCCATATTCATGAATCCGTACTTACTTAGCGGCACGGGCAGCTATTCTCAGCCAACACCATCAAGATTTCCACAGCTCAGGTTGAAAAATCATTTGTTGATTTCAAAATTAGATCATCCCAATTTAAATCTGAGTCAAAAGAATGGCTGTCAAGCATGGAAAGTCCAAGAAGGCAACGGGGAACCACCTAAAGAGCCAACTGTTAGTCTGGCACAGCAAAACTAACTAGTAACTTAGAGTAACTTAGAGTTACCCTGGATCAACACTAACTTTAGTAAGAAACTTGGAATATAACTAACGCTAAATGTTTCATGAATACCGATTAGTTACCAATTGAATACCGATAAGTTACCAATTAGGCTTACTTGCCTTCTTAATAACCAACTAGGCTTAGTAAGGTTTTATGAACATGGCTCCAGCCTGAGGGCCAGTTTGAAAGTATAAAAGACAGGGGATCGCAATACTACCAGTGAATCCGTATTTAGTCCGAAATTCACACTACACTGGCCCAGCTGCGTTTTGCGGGACATCGTGCAGTACGCGCGATGAGCACGCAAATCTCCTTATAAGGTAAAGAAATGTAGAGGGACATTCCAAACTATAGTCAGAAGGGTGTTTCATTAATCATGAAGTAAAATTGTTGAACAAAATGGTTGGTAACGTCTTGTTTTTAACTTGTTTTGATTTTTGGACTGAAAATATATATTTTTTTTACCGAACAATGTTCATGAAATGGAATAAATATGTGCTTGGTTGATATTAAACACTCTGTTTAGGATCAGTTGGAGTCTGGAGTGCTGATAATAACCTTATCACCCATCCAGACTCCAACCAGTCTTCAACAGAGTTTTTAATACCTCCCAAACACACATTATATGCGTGTGTTTATTTGGGGAATGGAAAGTTAATGTTATTAGCACATGTAACTTAATCCCAGTGTAGTTCTCAGATTGCATAAAAATTACTGTCCGTACGTAAATGTTGAAATAGTCATTTAGGTGTGAGTTTATATCAGTAAAAACCTAATGTTCTTTCGGAATCAAAATAACTACATCCAGCTAGCAATCACAATTTCTATATCATTATTGTACCTTTCATTAAATTATGTTTCCTTGTTATTTCGCAAATGTTTGGTTGAAAATATAAGAACGTTAGCTCCACGGCAAATAATAAGGGAATAAATGTTAAGACCGGTGGGAGTCTGGATGGGTGATAATTACCCGAGGCGAAGCCGAGGGTAGTTATCACCCATCCAGACTCCAACCGGTTTTGAACAAAGTGTTTAATACCGACCGAACACATATTTATTCCATTCACAAATACCTTTTCGGTAAAAAAAACCCAAATCTTTTCGGTCCGAAATCAAAACAAGTCAAAAACTAGACGTTGCCAACCATTTTTTTTCAACAATTTTACTTCATGTTTTACGAAACACCCCTCTGACCATAATATAGAATGTCCCTCCACAACTCATTACCTTATAAGGACATTGGCGTGCGCGTCGCACATACTGCGCGATGTCGTGCAAAACGCAGCTGGGCTGGTGTAGTGTGAATTTCGGACCATGAAATACTGATTCACTGGTAGTATTGCGCGTGCATACGTGAGGAATGTGAACGTTCAACCAATGAAGCGTTAAAATGCACCGGATTTCATGGGAGTCCAAATTTCATGTGACACTGGAAAAGTGTTTAAGACCAGCTAGCCATGTCTGTATCGTCCGTTTAAGACCGGCCACGTGACGGGCTCTCGACCAATAGGAATGCGTAAACTGTCTTAGGTATTTATGAATAGCCTTTCAAAATTAACAATTTGAAGAATTGCGATGTGTGCTCGCAGAAAACTGAAAATGGAGTGTCCGTAAGTGTGTTTTGTGAAATTGTTATTGTGACATGCGCTTGTTGGTTAACTAGAAATGAGCGTTAACATATTCACTATAGTATACATGGTTATGGTTAACATAATTATTTGTTTAAAGGGAATGTGCAACATTTGCTTTTGCTGGAATTTTCAGAAACAAATAGATTTGGAGGATTAGTATGTTAGAGAAAATATTGTTAAACTGACTTGTTTCACGTTTTGGGCTTGTAAATGCTGGAAAAACCAAGAAAACCTGTCATGTTCTTGTAGTCTGGTTCCCTGACCCCACTTAAGATGAAACGGAGCAATTACTTCACTTTGGGGAATTGTAAGGTCAGAGAATCAGTCTAGCAGGCTTGTACCCCTTCATAGGCCTGTAATTAATTGCAAAGAAAAGTCAGAATAACTAAAATTGAAAAATTAGGAACAGTTGTTGGAAAACAGCCAGTTTTCTCCAACGCTGGTCGGCCGACCAGCGTTGGAAAAAATACAGTTTTTCTTTAAAATGTCAGCACACCAGGAGCCACGATTTTAAAGGATGCTTTAGACTGTCTGTCCCTAACAATTCAGTAACCTATTTCGTGATAATTTGATCATTTCGTTTTTTGATGTTTGCAAATGTTGTATCTTCCCTTTAAATACAATTTTGGGTAAACTCGGTGTGGGTGTATTTATTTCAATTGGCATTTAGAAATTCAGAGCTTATGGACGTTTCTGTTCTAGCTTATAATATGTATTCCTTTTATTGGTTGATGGATTATATGGTTATTAAAACTGTAAGACAGCATGAATGACGACGGTTACCGTCCTTTTTTTGCCTTTTGCCAGGCTGCATAGTAGTTCATGCTAGATGATGAATTGAAGGCAGTGTGGCAGTTGCAAACACCGACAACGTCGGCTTTACTCTGTGCTCTTACATGGCTTTACGACCGAGGATCACACACAAAGTGACACCAATACGGCATCAGTTCAATATTCATCTATAACACATCCTGGTCTAGGTATACACACCACCTTTCAACCCAATCGAACCTGTAGTTCTGTAGATAGGCCTTCAACATATGCACCTTTAAAGTGACGTGAATCTTGATGACGTCACTATGACGTCCATGTTCGGCACATAACTGTAGAAAAGTTGGAGTCGAGTACCAAAATCCTAGTACCAAAAGTACCACGTTTTCCCAGTTCGTTTAGTGCCAAGTACGAGCCGAGTCCGAGAACTTTGTCATCGATTCCTGTCCGGGCCAAACATCCGAGTCCAAGTTTGTCAGGGTCTGAGTACGGGCCAAGTACAAGTACATTGTATACACAATGAAACATTTATAGAAATGATGTTACCACTATTATTTTAATACATTCCTTGTGTATCCCTTTGTGATCCCGAAAATCCCACTTTATGAGTTCCGATGAAGCAAACATTTTGGATTTTAGTTGTACACGTTGATGACGGCCGGCCGGACTCTAGCAGATCAACAACACGCCGCAGTATGTCTGTGCGCGCACGTACAACTTGCTTCGCTGGTGTCCATGCATTAGAACTTGGTGGTGCAGACCAGTAAATCGGTCCGAAATTGCCTACGCCGGCCAAATCACGATTTGCATGTCCTCAAAATCTTCAGTATTTGAGCATGCTGTGGGCCATGAACTTGAGGGTTTGTAAAAAATATGGGTGGAAGCCGTGCACAGGACTGGGAGCTTGCAGTTCTGTGTAATTTGGATGTAATTTGGACCCTAAAAGCGCTCTATTTTGCAATGGAGTGTATGCATCGTTTTTCAAAATGGCGATGGGCTTCAGGACTATTTTCAGGGGTGATCATCTTCAGATGGAAATTTCTCCAAAAAGCATCAGTTGACCCCCAAAAATTGAAGAGAAAATGAAAGATGATGAAATAAGCTTTAATTTGATGTGTGTCTCGAACACCTTGGAGAGTTGTGAGTATTTTTCCGAATTTCTGAAGTGGAAGCATTTACCATTGGGGTCTATGGAAGTTTATTTACTGGTCTGCTACCTTTGGTAGTCGAATATGTACACCAGCGATGTCATATCTTGAGCGGTCCATTCACGATCGCGAAGACTTGATTGTCAGAGAATCGATACAAATGATATGTAAATGGATAATAGCGTGCACAAACAACCTTCAGTGCCGATGTTATCGAAAACAGAAAATAATCGATATTTTTTAACGAGTAGGCCTACGGGAGTCGAGTACCGAGTACAACATTCCGAACTCGGGGGACGAGTCCGAGTACAAAGGTGCGAGTATGGATGGTGCACGTTTGAGAAAACAGTACTACAGATACCATTCATAAAAACTTGTGATCACGAAACACGAATCCGTCTATAGCACTCTTTATTTCTAAAAGTCAGTAAAATATTGACCGATGTTTGAAATGTCTTGATTTCTTCTAAATGGCAGCAAGCCAGACAATATAATTTCACAGGATGTTAACAACCAGTACGATCTTCAATCAAAGTACGCTTGTTGATAATAATTCGGCAAGTTAGTTTTGCCTTTTTCTTTTAACTTGGTTCGTGGGCTTCGCTGGGCTACACTGGGCTGATCTAACCATGGATTGCATGTTATACAAATACCAGAACAATCAAGGAGCAAAAGCAAAATAATGTTGAAAATGTACTTGATATGAAGACCAACAATATTGAAAACCTATCCACCTGTGGGTGGGCCTGGCAGTTCATTTCCAATTCGGGCGATTCACAATGCAGTGCGCCACCAAGAGTTTGCCATGGAGAGCTCACTTTTCAAGTTTACGGTCGACAAAACATGGCCCATTTGAATGAGTGTCAGTAGACAACTTAATTGGACTAATTTGTTATAGATTGAGGCATAGCGTTCTGCCGCCTTACCAAAAATCACCTTATTGATAAAAAGAACAGAAAAGGGCAAACATATACTTGTATTTCACGCTTACAAAACTTCTGACCGGAAAAACGAACAATTCCAAACGTCCCGCGCTGCAATTTTGTCGACTATGATCCCACAATTCACTGGTAAAAATAAACTCTCTGTGGCAAACTCTTGGTGGCGCACTGCATTGTGAATCGCCCCAATTATAAAATAAGTATTCCGT